TCAATTGATAAAATGTGGTTGATAACATGGTCAGCTCATACAGTGTTCACTCAGAAAATCATAATGTTGAAACTTGCAAATTAAGAGTTTTGAGCTTGTAGGTCGAGTTTAAGAGTCCGATAGACTCAACAGTTTTTATGTAAAAATTTATTTTCAACAGGTATTTGTAATAGCCTTTGGACCTTAGCATGGTTGACACGTTGCATGTTCTCAAAGCGGTAAATTGGGCCAATATCATTAGAAACTCTACTGATATGTACATATCAACCAGTAGTTGATGAAAACTAAAAAAGATGTACATCTACTCTCAATAAGGCACCACTTCCCTGGTAGCCGTTATCTACCCGATGCACTTAATATACACAGCCGGTAGGGAATAGCATAGTTTCTCTCGCATGCGCCACAACGTGCTTTGCTAATGTGATGGCATTGTTATTCTACTAGCTAGAAATGTGCAGATATGCCTGGTAAATCATGTGTGTTAAACATACGCATGTACGCGTAAGCCTACATGCGCACTGAAATATATATATATATAAACCGAGTTGCCTTCAATCCGGAGCTTTGAAATATTTTCAAGACACACTTCATGCCTCTTAGAGTCGAAAAGAAAGATCTGTCTGGATTGACTGTATTAATTACAGGTGCTAACGTTGGTGAGTACATTTTGAAAGAGAGATCGGTATCAATATGCAATGATCCATTGCTAACTAATTTGATGAATAGGCATCGGCTTGGAAACCACAAGAATGCTATCGGAAATGGGCGCTCAAGTTACTATTGCTTGTCGAAATGCAAAAAAAGCCGAAGCCGCTGCTGAAGACATCGAGAAGACAACAGGAAATAGACCTGATACAGCATTACTCGATCTATCCATACTCGAATCGACTGCTGATTTTGTCAAGGGATATATGGCAAAGCACCAGCGCCTGGATATTTTAATCAACAATGCAGGTGTGGTTTCTACGGAAAAGGCACAAGATGGATTGACGCAAGATGGGTTTGAAATAGAGTAAGTCAGAATATTGTTGGGATCATCAATAGCAGCGTTATCATTTTTATTCACCCATACGATTATTTTCGTCAGCTTTCAAGTCAACCATCTTTCTCATTTCTTTATGACCGTTCGCCTATTGCCACTGATAAAATATGCTTCTCAACACAAGGTCAATGATTTTATACCGCGAGTCGTTGTTCTTGGCTCTAACGCAGCGAAGGTTGGAAAAATCGATTATGATTACCTGCAAAATGGAGATAAGCTGCCCTTCTTTTTCGACCGATATGCAAACTCTAAACTGATGAACGCCATGTTTACCAAAAAGCTTGCCGAAAAAGTTAAAGACGATGGCATTGTCGCTCATTTTGTACATCCTGGGCTTGTGGCTTCAGGTAAGCTTGCACCAATGCGTACGCCTTTCCATGTTCCAAAAATCTTTAACATGGGTTTTCCAATTAGACATATTTGAAAAAACAGACTATAAATTGCCAAAGTTTGTACTTTTTCTAGTTCGTTTATTAGTCAAGGCAACTGCTCGCAGCAATGTTCAAGGTGCAATGACCAGCGTACATGTAGCAATTTCAGACGAAGCCACAAAGTCAAGTGGGAAATATTGGGACTCTTGCAAGATAGCTGAGTACCCAAACAAATTGATGACCGACGAGATTAGTTTGAACGACCTTTGGAGTAAATCTGTACAATATATGAAAGAGAAAGGTTTTGAGGTTGAAGAATAGTAATAACCATCGCACCGTCTAATATCGATGGAAACCCAATCATTGACCAAAACCTTAAAGCATTAATCAACTACATAGCCCATTCTCTATATCAGTAATATATATATGTTCTGGAAGTAAAATCACCTCCGTTAAATCACTTTTGTAAGAGCTGGCACGGCGAAAATGGAATTGTGGGGGCAAGTACGATGACAGTTTCTAAATTCCTTAATCATGCTGTCTACGTGAACTTGATTGTTGAGTGATATGGGCATTTATAATGGAAACAACTACAAATATTTTGCAGAAAAGATGATAGACACTGGCGCTTCACAGTAAAAAATGAGCCAGCGAAATGATGGTTCAGTCTTTCAGGCAAACCAAAAATGTGGCTAGAGCTTTCCGAGCCACTCACGCCATCACCAGTTACAGACACAAGTAATGAAAAACGGGTAAAGCGCATTTCAGTTACACATTATTGCCACACATTATTTGCGATGTAATACTGCAAACCACAGAGAGTCATGCTTTACTTGTACCTCTATGCTCATGTTCGAAAGCCCGATTTCGTACCTTAAGGCTCGGTTTAAAAGTCCGATAGACAAACTCTGATTCATCCAGCAGACAAAGCCTTCGCACGTTTAGCATGATTGACGCCTTGAATTGTTCTAAAAGGGAAAATTGGGTAATATCAGACGAAATTCTACTATTATGTACATTATTAACGCAACAGCTGCCGCAAAATATAGAAAAGATATGCCTCGACTTTTGTTCCAAAACCCAGCCTAAATTAGCCAATATATATAACGTCAGGATATAGAACGGTCTTTCTCTCGCATTCAATGCAACAGGCATTGCAGATGCGTTTGACATTTCCAAGCAAAGGGAGAAAAACCCGAGGTCCCCCAACAATCACGTGTGTCAGGCCCATATTGCAAATAAAATTTATCGATTCTGTACCACAATCAGTTTTTCTTCTTGCAAACCTCAACATAACCGACTATGCCTCTCAGTGTTGAAAAGAAAGATTTGTCGGGCTTGACAGTATTGATCACTGGCGCTAACGTTGGTATGTAAAATCTGTCAATTGGCACCCTATCCCTGCTTTGATCCTGACTGGTTGACCTATTTGATGGATAGGTATCGGTTTGGAAACCGCGCGAATGCTATGTGAAATGGGTGCTCAAGTCACCATTGCTTGTCGAAATGCCCAAAAAGCCCAGGCTGCTGCTGACGACATTGAGAAGACAACAGGAAATAGACCTGAGATAGTATCAGTTGATTTAAGTAAACTTGAATCTGCTGCGGCTCTTGCAAACGAATACACAGCAAAGCACCAGCGTCTGGACATTTTAATCAACAATGCAGGCGTAGCTACGACAGAAAAAGGACAAGACGGATTGACGCAAGATGGATTTGAGATAGAGTAAGTCAAAGTTTTGGGAATTTACAAGTGACTCCTAAGCCATTGATGTTCCACTTACATGTTGAATTTCAACAGCTTTCAAGTCAATCATCTTGCTCACTTTCTCTTGACCATTCGCTTATTACCACTGATAAAACACGCTGCTCAAAATAAGATCAACGGTTTCACACCGCGTGTGGTTGTCATCGGCTCTGAAGGAGCGAGAGTTGGAAAGGTCGACTATGCATATCTTCAAGACTCAGATAAATTGCCTTTCTTTTTCAACCGATATGCAAACTCGAAGTTGATGAATGCCATGTTCGCCAAAAAGCTTGCCGAGAAAGTCAAAGAAGATGGCATTGTCGCTCACGTTTTGCATCCAGGATTTGTAGCTTCAGGTATAATAGCACCAAACATAAGCCATCTGATGTCTCAAAGATTCTAACGAACGTTTGCGGTTAGACATTTATTCAAAACCAGAGTATAAGACGCCAAAGTTTCTTCAAGCTATCATTGGGTTTGTGATTAAGGCAACTGCCCGCAACAATGTTCAGGGTGCAATGACCAGCGTACATGTAGCCATCTCGGACGAAGCTGCAAATACAACTGGCAAATATTGGGATTCATGCAAGATCACTCAGTTCCCTAACAAACTGGTAGCGGACGATGACTGCGTGAACGAACTTTGGAGTAAATCTGAACAATACTTGAAGGAAAAAGGCTTTGACGTAACAGAATAGTAGCAATGCCCATCGCTATGTATGGTGTCGAAATCAATGGCATCATTTGGCAAAAGTTTGCTGCTTTTGTCGTATCTACCTAAACTAATTTCTGTGTTAGTAATATATTAATGAATGAAAAGCATGTATGGTATAAAGATATTCGATTGAATCTATTAGTTGGAACGACTCAATTTTGTTATCGCGAGGACGCTTGAGACAGTTGAATCTGAGCTTCCGATGATGCGTACTGAACAAGCTTCTCGGCTATAGCAAAGAAATTAAAATTCGACGTCGTCGTCACGGAGCAGCAATTAACCTCCTATTGGGGGCTTAACATTTATGTTAGCTTGGCTTGACGTTCATTTCAGAATTCCACCTATGTTAAACCCTCTATTATTTGGTAGACGACACAACGTAATTCTGCGAGATAATGAAGATGAGAGGTACACCGCGCTAGTATATGGCTAGTGGCGAATCTGGTAAAACTCTTGAAGTGCTTTATACTATCCGTTATCAGGATGACTCTTGAATCAATGTGTTGTGTGTCATATCCATACATGACATATAACAACTGTGAAGCTATAAGAGTGGATAGACATTGACGCCTCACAGCAGCAAATCAGTTGCCGGCACGTTGCGTTATCTAAATATAGTTGAAATTCTTCTTGTCGTTATCTACCAATACCCTTGTTCAACATGCTGATATCTAAGAAGATGGTGTAAGCCCGTAATAGAGGTACACTCAGCTTTTCAACATGGTGCCACTTGCTGGGGACGTATTGTTAACATGAAATATGTAACGATAAAGAGACGCCAGAAAAGATTACGTGTGTATGCGGAGCTGCAAGCTCTCGCGGATCATATATGTTCCGACATGTCTGTACACAGCCACACTAAAGAGAAGATGTATACTTCTTTCGGGTGACTCAAAAGCAACGCTATTTGTGATCACAGTTAGCCATACAGAACGGGGAAACATTACTCCTGATGAGCCACGTGCGGTATCTTTTATACTTAAGTGAACGCCTACTACCCAATTGAAGAAAGTCATATCTTTAATCTACCTGACCGCGTCCGCACCCGTTGGTTTTTACAAACGTCAAGATACACGCATATGCCTCTCAAAGTTGAAAAGAAGGATCTCACTGGTTTGACAGTACTGATCACTGGTGCTAACGTTGGTATGTTGCATCTGCCAGCCCTATTCCTGCCTGATCGTAAGTTACTGACATATTTGTTTGAAAGGCATTGGTTTGGAAACCGCAAGAATGCTATGCGAAATGGGCGCTCTCGTAACCATTGCTTGTCGAAATGCTCAGAAGGCCGAAGCTGCTGCTGAAGACATCGAGAAGACAACAGGAAATAGACCTGAGGTAGCATCGCTTGAACTGAGTACACTCGAAACTACGGCTACTTTCGTGAACGAATACATAGCAAAGCACCAGCGGCTGGACATTTTAATTAACAATGCAGGTGCCTTTACGACAGAGAAGCCGCAAGATGGATTGACGCAAGATGGCTTTGAAATAGAGTAAGTCATATACTTCGTGGCAGTTATTAAATTTATTCAGCACAAACCATTCACTGATACGTCTGATTTCATTAGCTTTCAAATCAACCATCTTTCTCACTTTCTCTTGACCATTCGCTTATTACCTTTGATTAAATACGCTACTCAAAACAAAATCAATGGCTTCACACCGCGAATCCTCATCGTCGGCTCTAACGCAGCACAGGCCGGAAAGATCGATTACAGCTATCTCCAAAATGCAGACAACATACCTTTTATTTTCAACCGATACGCAAATTCGAAATTGATGAACGCTATGTTTGCTAAAAAGCTTGGTGACAACTTAAAAGATGATGGCATCGTTGCTCATGTTATACACCCTGGATTTGTGGCGTCAGGTAATAATATCAAGCATAAGGCTTTCAGTGTCCCAAAGATATTAACAAATGTTTGTTTATAGATATTTACGCAAAGCCGGATTATAAGCTTCCAAAGTTTCTAATTAGTGGAATGGGTTTTCTTGTCAAGGCAACTGCACGCAGTAACGTTCAAGGTGCAATGACTAGTGTGCATGTAGCGATTTCGGACGATGCTGCAAAGTCAAGTGGCAAATACTGGGATTCTTGCAAGATAGCCGCTTACCCAAACAAATCAATCAATGACGATAGCATTGTGAACGAACTTTGGAATAAATCTGAGCAATACTTGCAGGAGAAAGGCTTTGATGTTTAATACCAGCAATTCTGTCACATATGCTATCACTCAGTGTCCAACTAAAACGGTATCAATTAGCAATACGTTAGGCTTTTATGATATGTACTCAAATCTTACTTTGTACCTTATAAATGATATAATTATTATGCGAAAAAGATTTATAACTCTATGATGATGCGCCGAATGAGTATTCTCGAAGCAATGAATACATGACTTCGATGAGGTTTCTAGAATCAACTTGGCACGGCGCCGCAGTGTCTAATTTACCTCATGATCGGATCCTAGGCAGCTCGGTAGCGTAATGCAATAATTATTGCTCACCATGTATGATCCAATCCAGTTTTGTAGACTTTTGGTATGTCTAGCGGCCCTTTGTGATGCCACTGTACCTGCTTTGCATCGATAGGGAAAGACAAAATGTCTTGAATGGCCATAATTTTCAAAGTGCGACAAAGAAAATCGCACAGTGACTGACAGGAAATTTCGGTCACCAGAATTCTCATTGCTTGAAATTGAACTTCACCATGGCAGGAATCAAGCGAAAACCTGACCATGAAATTCCTATCGTGGACGAAAACGACTTGCTCAAACTGACGTGTCTTGGAGCTGGCAATGAGGTCGGCCGATCGTCGCTACTGCTTGAATACAAAGGAAAATCAATTCTGGTAAGAACTTGTTATACACAGTAATGCCTGAATTCAATTCTGAGCACGCCGATCAGACCTGCTTCAACCTCTGAAATGCTCAAAAGCGCTATACTTGCTCGCTGAAAACTAATGATATCATGATCCTGTAGCTTGATGCTGGAATTCACCCAGCTTACACGGGGTTGGCTTCATTACCATTCTTTGACGAAATCGATCCGGGTAGTGTTGATGTTCTCCTCGTCAGCCAGTAAGTTACCACTTGCAGTCACGGTCAGAGGATCTGTACCGTTTTTCTAATGCGATATTCCTCTAGTTTTCATTTGGACCATGCTGGCTCCGTGCCATACTTTATGGAGAGGGTAGGCTACTCGACAGTTTTGAATATCGTACACAGTTTTGAAAGCGAGGTGTTGACCAGAGTCCATTTAGACATCGTTTAAGGGAAGAGTATTTATGACGCATCCAACCAAAGCCATTTACAAGTGGATGTTAAGTGATTACATTCGCGTCAGCAACATCGGCGCAGAAGACCAAATTTACAACGAAGATGACCTCACCAACTCGTTCCATCGAATTGAAGCAGTTGATTACCACCAACAGGTCGAAGTCGAAGGCATTAAGTTCACTTCTTACAATGCTGGCCACGTCCTTGGCGCAGCTATGTTCTTGATTGAAATTGCTGGTGTCAAAGTACTCTATACAGGCGATTACTCACGAGAAGAAGATCGGCATTTGATGGCGGCAGAAAAGCCGGAAGGTGTCCAAATCGACGTTCTGGTCACTGAGAGTACATATGGTGTTCAAAGTCACGAACCGCGCCTTGCAAAGGAACTTCGATTCACCTGTAAGCATCTATCCCTCCGAATGACTCTTACTTTACAGTATTCACTAATTGTTATTATCCTTAGCACTTATAAGAGATATTGTCACTAGGGGTGGAAGGTGTCTGATGCCTGTCTTTGCACTAGGCCGTGCACAAGAGCTGCTTTTGATTTTAGACGAATATTGGGAAGCACATCCTGAACTTGACAGTATACCCATCTATTATGCTTCCAGTCTGGCCAAAAAGTGCATGGCTGTCTACCAGACCTATATCAACATGATGAACGCCAGAATACGAAAACAATTTGCAATTTCCAACCCATTTATTTTCAAACACATTAGCAACCTCAAAAACGTTGAGCAATTCGAAGATTCTGGACCATGTGTCATGATGGCCAGTCCAGGAATGCTACAGGTATTTAGCAACTTGCATAATCTGCTGATCGATACATGGACATGCATTGACTCTAAATATATTTGTAGAATGGATTATCTCGAGAGCTTTTTGAGCGGTGGGCACCAGACAAGCGAAACGGTTTGGTTATAGCAGGATACTGCGTTGAGGGAACGCCAGCACGAGTATGTTGAATTTCAAAAGTTACAAGCTTGAAAGGATAAGATATTTACCCAATTCAATTCTTACAGCTGGCCATGAATAATCCACCTGAAATTCAAGCTATGGATGGGCGAATGATACCGCTTAGAATGTCGGTTGACTATATATCATTTTCTGCACATGTTGACTTCACCCAAAACAGTCAGTTCATCGCTGAAGTCAATGCGCCACATGTTGTTCTCGTGCATGGAGAAGCCAATGCTATGTTGCGTCTGAAGGTGGCATTGCAGCAGAAGTTTGCCGACTCCGAAGAAAATACAAAAGTATACACACCACGAAATTGCGAAACGCTCAGCCTCCACTTTAGAGGAGAAAAGATGGCCAAGGTAAGCGAGTGTCTTGATTTGTGTCAAATAGATGTAAAATCTCATCATTCTGGTTCCAGACCATTGGTAGTCTGGCAGCAAAGTATCCGACCGAAAATCAGGCAATTAGTGGTATTTTGGTGGCCAAAGACTTTCAACTCAACGTCATGTCGCCGGACGACTTGAATGAATATGGAGGAGGTCTTTTGACGACCGTACTGACTCAGCGACAAAGTGTACCTTTCCGAGCTACGTTCAGCCTTTTGCAGTGGCATTTGGAAATGATGTTTGGGGATATTCACGAGTCTGAATTGACCAAGGGTGGTGACTCAACCGAACAAATTGGAACTGTGATTCGCATATTAGACACCGTTGATATCAAGAAACTGAACGACAAACCAAATCAGATCACGCTGGAATGGGTTGGAAATGCTATGAACGATATGGTTGCTGACTCCGTTCTTGCCGTTATCCTTGGCATTGACAGTTCACCGGCTAGTGTTAAAGGTACGTAAATCACTGCTGGTGATCAGATGTGTGCATCATGCTCTTCGCCTTAACACCACTAACGACTTGTTTTACAGTTACCCATAGCCCGCACAGCCATTCTCACGGTCATGCCAAGATTACCGAGTTAGAAGGGGAAGACGAAGACATGGGCCAGACACATGATGAACTGGATGATCACCATGAGCAAGAATTCGCAAGTGTGACAACGTTCCTGAAGAAGCATTTCGGGGACATTGATGTGGATGAAAAAGAAAAGAAAGTGATGATCAAGATGGACGGTATGGAGGCGTCAGTGGATTGCTTGAGCTACGTGAGTACATTATTTCATATATTCTTATGCATACAATATGGTAATTGGCGCCTGACCACACTTCTATCCGCCGCCTTCGCAGAGCGTCAAAAGTGATCATGAGCTTTTGCAGAATCGAGTGTCCAATGTATTGCAAAAAGTACGCAGAACCATTAATCCAATTAGCACTGTTTGCGGTGTAGCAGGATAGAGTTCATATAGGATGGTCAACTAGAAACAAAGAACATAATGAAAACGTGTTTAGTCAATTATAATACAAACAATTCTACAAAAACATTGAAGAAGCAGGCAGTGTGATTGAACCTGTGAACGAACCACTTTGGTCTTTTTGAGATGCATCAGGTGACTTGCAAAAATAACTTTTTTCAGGCACACCAAAAACATAAAAGCTTAAAAGTAAAGGAAAGCCGCGCTCGAAGCGACTTCTTATTCTTACCATTTGAATTCTTCATGGCACATTCCGGTGCTTCACCTTCAAAGAAGGCAACTCATGCAAAGCATGCTGATGAACGAGCTCCCCTGTTAGGGATCGAGACTCATCCCAGCCAAGCGGAAATCCCTCGAATCCCGACATTTATGCAAGACAGCATCCCGAACCGACGAAGTATTTTAGGCATATTTTGGTCGCTGACCGTCAGTATGGCCATCGAACTCATCATTCCCATTGCTCTATACTACGCTGTGCGTCCCTTTACAACGGCTCTAGTGGCGCTCGTCATAAGTGGTTTCCCACCTGCGGTTGTTGTGGTGTTCCATTGGTTGCGGGACGGCATCATTGATATGCAAGCCATTATGATGGTCATGGTCGTCGTTCTATCGTCCCTGCTTGCAATGGTTCAATCGGATCCCAGACTGTTCCTCCTACGAGAATCTGCTATCACTCTTGGTATGGGCTCACTGTTCCTTATCACGCTCATTCCATTCACTTTCCGAGGGAAATACCTTTACCCCTTTTTGTACTATACCGCCAGACAATTCGTGATTGCTACTGTTTCCGACCCACACAAAGTGAAAGATGACTGGAAATGGATTTACGATAACCGCCCTCGTTTCCGCTTGACTTTCCGTGTCATTACTGGCGCTGCTGGCATCGGCCTTGTCAGTGAATTTGTTGTTCGAGTCACACTTCTCATGTACATGGATGTTGACGACGTTATATACTACTCCAACATCTATCTTATCGTTCTCATGTCGTTTTTGGGTACATTTATCCTTGGTTTTGTTCTGTACATGCGACATCGATCCAACCGCGAACGTCTATTAAAACGCGATGAAGACGCACGACGTGTCATTGAGCAAATCAATGCTCTGGTTCAACATGAATCTTCAGCCCACGAAGCTCTCCTCAAATAATGCGAGCCATTCTCTTGCACAAGACTTGAACTGCCATCAGCATAATACCCCCCCCCCCTTTCTTTGCCATCGAGGCTCCATAATTGTATTAATATCTAACTTATCAACTTTCGTAGTATACATACCCTGGAACAAAAAAGTACAATCTGCCGTCCAATGCCATGGAAGCCATATGGCAAAAATAAAATAAAAAACAAATTATTGCGTTTTGCCAGTGTTTTAATTACAGGCTACCTGATTCTGTAAAATCTCTTTGGAGGCACTCTTGCTGCTTCAATTGATTGTATACAATTTAAAAATTTATGGTATGAAAGGTAACGGTGCTAGTTCAAACAAGGAAGAGCAGTAACCTTGGTGTAAATGTGCAAGGGACATGACTATTACAGTGGATGGAGGTGATGGTTAGTTTTCTAACTCTAGTAAGGATACAATACTGAAATCTATATTTTGACTGTCTGTATATAATGTTTAACGCCTACACGAGCGCTGGCAGAGTCAAATCGCTTCTCTCGCACAACAATGGCAGCGTGGGCGTTCATGGAGTCTATGACGAGGACGACCTTCTTCCAGGACAATTTGTTCATATCTCTTACGATGTTCTTTTGCGAGGGGAGTAGGTCTAAGGGCTTGTAGGTTTCAACAAGCTTTTTTCCAGGTGGTACGTTGAATGCGCTAGATTGGGTAGCTACTATCAAGGGCTCGTGTTAGTTATGTTTCGTCTAATGTTCATCGAATGGTCTTCGCACTTACTGTCAATGACCACATCTTCGTTGCTGTCAGAGTCTTCGTTTGGTCGAAGATTCTCTTCACCAGGAAAGTTGACACCGTCCAAAGCAGGAACAAGGACAGTTTCATCTAAAAATTTATCGACAGTATTGTGTTCACCATTCTGTTGGCTATCAGAGCTGTCACTGATGGAACCCAAGGAGATAGTTGGTGAGACCTTGATGTCTTCGCCTTGTTTATCTGTATTCAAAGTATTAGGGCTTTCCTGAATCTGTGAGGCAGCCTTGCGTAGGATACCAGCTACTCGAATGCGGGAGCTAGTGCCTTGTGTAAGAACGACGGACAGTGCGATGGTGATCCATAATGGTAATAGGACAGGTAGTAGTAAAAATAGGACATATTTCAAGATCGTCCAGGATGTAAATGGTTTTTTTGGAGGTACATATTTAACGTTGGGATCTCGTAAATCAAAGGATTTGACGACTGTATTGAAGTTTTCGTCAAAGTCGCTAGTGAAAAAAAAAAAAAGGGTCAATGTTCACCTTTCAGGTACAGATTAAAAATCAGAGTAACTTCCACTTACATGTCCAAAGCCGGTATGCTTGAAAAATAGTTTGTATGCTCGAATGCAGCTGTCCAATAAGGAACACTACGGTCGTTCACACCGTTGGCATAAATAAACCGATGTTGGAAACGGGCCATGTGCTTCATAAATTCGTGATCTACAGGAAAATTCACTGTTGTTAATGTGACGCACATAATCACATTATTGCTCGATTTATGCATACCTGGGCTAGCCATGATTTCTAATAATGGTCGACCATCTCTATAACTATCGGCGAGAGACATTTGCTCTCCACTGCGGGAGAGAAGGCGTTTACTCAACCAGTTGAAGATCCGCACTATTGTATTGCGCGGTGGTTGTTGGACTCCAACATGCGGTGTTGCAAAGGTTGTAAAATTCTAAAGATAGCCAATCAGCAAGCTATATAGATAAAGTGCCAAAGCTTGCGGACAACATCTGACTTACAATCGGCTCGTGCTTATCGAAGAATCCTGATTCACCTAGGACACCAATGGCGTATCGAGAGATCAAACCACCAAGAGAATATCCAAAGAAAGAGCATTTATCGACTACCTTTCCCTCCTTTTCTAATGCCTCTACTTCCTTGCGAACCTGTCAAATGCGTTGTGTCAGAATAGCTTAAATTTTGCAGGTGATTATCTAGAAAGTTTTCGCCAAGTCAAATAAAATTGTCTGCTCATTTACCTTTTCCACCAAGCGATTACCACAAAGGTCGACTCCATCGTAGGTCAACTTTGCTTCATTTACTGCCACATTAAGCTAAAATGCAGGTCGACATGGTGAGCCAAGACATGTTATGAAAGTTGCACAAATAAAGCTATAATAACTTACGGTATGGATTTTATCTTTATACGCTTCGTTCAATTGCTTTGTGATATACTGCAAATGATTCTTGTTTCCCCAAAGGCCGTGGTGCAACACGAATAAGTGAACTTTCTGCCCGGAAATCGTCATGGTTGAGAATGGACAGTTGGCTGGTGGAGACTTATCGAAACGGTGTTATAAAGGGACGATCAAAAAAATTCCACAGTGCGACTTGTCTGCGTAAGCTCTCTATAAATGGATGTGCGGGCCGAAATATTGCCGAGCCCTTGTGCTTCCGGATACCATATCCCTCCACAGTCACGAATTTAAGAAACTTCGTAAAGACGTCTTGCGTGGCCTTTGCTTCGGCGCACTGGCCGGTAATCAATATTGTTTTAAGACTTCGATGTTTTGACCGATGATATAAAATAACGACACTTTACACTATTTTCACATATTATAATCACGATCTCATTGTTTCTTGCATCGAGCTGTAAGGGTACAGCGACAAACAAATCCTCAAGCATCCCTGCGCCGCTCGCAGCTACCATTAAACAGCATTGAAAATTGTATATTTAAGTGCGAAATGAATGACACCTCCTGATGGATATACTGGCAAAGGCGAATGATCAAATGATATCATTATCTGGGGGTATAAGCAGAATGGTGCAGTATGGCATGTGTATCATAGGGACAGCCAATGATGATAACAATATGAATGGCGGTCAAGATCCTACATAATCAGATTGGCGAATCATTCGTTAATGTAACTTTAATCTGTGGTGGGAAAGTCAACTGGTGGGTGGAGTTGTAACCTGATGTGGAGAAAACCTGAAGCGGCAAAATACACGATCTCGAATCTCTTGTTTCTTACTTACTTACTCCACCATGGGCAAAATCGTCAATCACAACTATACCCAGAGATCTGAACCTGCCGGAGGATTCAAGACTCTAGAAGAGTTCTATCCCTTTTACCTTGGTGAACACTGCAACCAGATAAACAGAAGGTTGCATATTACAGGTACATAATTCGTCTGACTAAGGGCATATCCACATGATCTTATATTAAAATGATACAAACGAACAGGAACCACTATATCACAGATCATAATTGCATATGCTGTCATTAGACAGAAATGGAAGTGGATTCTTGCTGCAGTCGTTCAAGGCTATGTATGGGCATGGGTGGGCCATTTCATTTTCGAAAAGAAGTGAGTGATAGGTTACAATATGATGGAACCCAGCAAATTAGTCTAAACTTTCTCTATATTCACAGCAAGCCTGCCACTTTTCGTTATCCCATCTGGTCGTTTATCTGCGACTTCAAGTTGTGGAAAGAAGTCATCAGTGGCCAAAGAGCTTTCTGATTAAGAGAATATTTAAGTAGTTTTGGTGCTATTACGTCTGGTGCGTGCTAGATACCTTTGTTTGTGTATGAATAAATGCGGAGCTGTATACTACTGTAATTGGGTTTGAGATTGTTGTTCCGGGGATGCCTTTAAGGTGTGTGCAAATCCATGAAGCCCGACTATCTCATGTCTGTATTGCGAATGGATCAACTCCCCAGCCAGCCTGATTTGACTGGTTATGATGCAGTGACCTAATTTGCAATCTCTCCTCCACTTCATCCGCATCAATTTCGTAATTTCTTAATAGATCGGCTACGTCCTTTAAGTCGACCGGTTTCCGCATGGTGATATTCGGTATGACTGGTGCTGATTGAAATACCTATGAATACCCGTTAGTGTGGAAAGTCATGAGGGTTGCGGTGATATGGCGAGATTTGTACCTCTCGAGCTTCTTTATAGAAGAAGTTTTCTGTTGGACAATACTGCTTGGGTAAATGTGGTAGCATCGCCTCTATAGAGCCATATTGTTGCATATACTGTAGAGCACGGACAGCACCGATCCCTTTGATAGTCGAGTTAAAGTCTGTGCCACACAGTATACAAAAGTCGACAAAGGATTTTTTCGACAGTCTTAGTTCACGCCTGGCAATAATTGGATCGATTCGAAGAATAGGGCGATTAGGGGCAAAAAAGTGACGAAGAATAGGCGAATCGCCGAAAACAAGAGCATCCAAATCTTTTACGGATTTATGCAGGTTAATAAAATGATTAAAAACCCATCGCTAACTTTCCAGACACCTACCTTCAGTTATAGTTGCTGAAGTTATCCGTGATGCACAAAGGTTTGCACACATTGCCTCCGCTTCATGGTCATCACACACCAGACAGGTGTAGCCGAGGGCATTCAAGAAATCCATACATTCATCCTTCATTTTTTGAGTTATCACAACGGACCGCTTCTCTAGAAAACAAATTGCAAATAAACACTTGGACCTTTCGCAATTTCCCCAAATACGCTTCTAAAAACGGCCTTACCAAGAGACACCAGCTGGTTGTGGTTTTCCGCGCTCAGGTCACTCAAAGAGGCCTTTATCTTGATTAGTTTCTCTTCAATCAAGGCGTCCATAATAGCTTGCTCACGGTCAGATAGCTGACGCACCGTCCTGGTGTATTTTTCATGGTCTGATGAAAGCGATAGAGAATCACGTAACTCGTTTGCAATTTGCAAAAGTTTTTCCTGCAACTGCTTGCCACCAAGATACTTGTCTGTGCTGGCGGAGTCATGTTGAATATCCAAGACAATGGCTGTTGCTTCTTCTCCTGACATGCTGAGGCCTTTTTCCTGCATAGTTTCTATAGCTTTTCGCACGTCGGGTAAACTTGGGTCTCGTGTTAGCGAACGAATAACGGACAGCCAGTCCGCTAGCCTGCGCTGACGATCCTGTTCAAATGCCAAAGAATACTGAACTTTAGACTTGACTTTGGCGCGCCTTTGTTGCTCCAGATACTTCTGTTTTAGTCTGGTCGAGCCGTCAAAAACGAATATTGGAGTTATGTTGTGGTGAGTGCAGAATCGAGCAAGGGCAAAGAACCCGCTAATATGCGGATACGCGTATGGTTCAGCGGCATGCACGAACTTGTTGAGATGACAGCTAGCGTCGACGGCAAGGGATGAGGATCTTAGATCGTTTGCTGTAATGGACGACAAGGAGCGCGGGGCATATCGCTTCAGGAGTGGTGTCAGACCACGTACTCCCATAAACCGGTGGTTGCCTAGAAATCGCAGCTGGCAAGTGCGCAAAAATTTACAGTAAATGGCTGGTCCAGCCACGTGAGGGATGCGTGGAAATCATCACACTGACCATCATCGCCCTAGAGAAGCCGTGCCAGAAGCCTCTTATCTGGAATCATATTATGTATCGATCTGCTCCTTGCTACATTCATTGCTTACATCTTCTTATTTTGCACTTTTTCTATGTACTACTATCCATTAGTGTCTGTCTTTAACGTTGGGTAAACTCATAATTCAGTACTTCACTTTACATATAACGAAGTAGCTTCATGACAGCCTTATCTATTAATGAATGGTATTAACGAGCCATCCATCAGTCTTTGATATTAGAAGTCAAAATTTAGGTGAAAACCAAATTTTTAGTTATAACGTTTGCAATATGTGTTCGTTGCTGCACTTTTAGCGTTAGCAAGACATAGCCGAGCGATGTAATCTCTCAGTAAGTTAGACGTTGAAGTAACTGACGGAAGAATACCGTCAAACGTCTGCAAAGTAATGACTCAGTCATACCGCGGAAAGGATTGGTATTTTGTTCATAAAGTAATCGAACTCGAGTAGAACTGAAGTAATGTGCCTGGTACCTATAGAAGTAGCTTTCATTTGACTAAGCGCACAAGTAATTCGTTTCTCGCCAGCCAAAGGAATGCAGCAGTTATGATTGGACTGTCGAAAAGTATTGTAAGTATCCTTATTGGATTCAGCTCCCTGCCTTGCCCAATTAAACTGTGGACTTGTGACGGAATTTGAATGACACATCTGACCCAAAACCTACCGAGTGTGTTCATTTGCTTACCGTGACATTACGGCCACTGACCTGTTTGGCTTTCGCAACCATGGCAAACAAAGCATACGACCAGACGCTCAACCGCGCAGAATCTGATGTTCGCGGCTGGCTTGATGGCCTTGAAGATCTGCAGAGCAACAACCATCCGTACACAGCAGCGATGTCACAGAACATAGCAGGCAATGGTACCGCTCAATCGGATAGAAACGGAGAAAAGTAAGTATAGAGTGTGAATATATAACGAAAATGGTGGTTTCCGACATGGCATTAGAACAATCAACCGGTGCAACGTAGTGAGCATCACTCAGGAACGACGACTCGATAGTTTATGCAAACCTAACGTTGCATCGCCAATAACACCGAAGTGGCAAAGTGTCCAACAAAAACGCTTAATTTAACCGATGTCTTTCCGCTTGCAGGTTTATACGTAGACCACAATCCGCTGCATCTATAAGCTCGCAAGACAGCATAAACCTCGATGACATTATCAGATCAAACGATACGATAGATATTCAAGAGACTGGATTAATGCCGTACCTAGAAGATCTCGATATAGACGACGCAAATGATGAATTTTGGAAGATGGATGAGGTAGGTTGATTTTCGACCATAGTGTTGTTGTTGAATATGTGCTCTAACATTCCCCTTGGTCAAACTTAGGCGCTGACAAATCTACATATTGCAAAAAACCATCCAATGCAATCTGTAAAGGCAGCCAGTAAAACAACACAGCCCCATCCAAGTTTAAAGATGCTCTCGGATAATATGAACGTTTCCTCAAAGCATATGGAGCCCTTGAGCAGTGATTTGGACGATACGTCATCCGAATCTTCACTCAACAACCAAGCTATTGATGCGTTTGACGTCGATCATTACTGGAGTGAATCTCTAAAGGTAATCATCTATCGTTGCACATCAACAGTTGTATCGTGATAGTTCCTAACCAAGTGTGGGCATAGGATGAGGCTGATCGCAAGCGGAGCGCAGACGGCGGTTTAGGAATTTCTAGGAATAGTAGTAAGTGGATGGCAATCCCTGGGGGTTCATCACTTCCTTTGCAGCCACTAATTTATGTTGGTTGTACAGCCTTTTCAAAATCGAATGACTCCCTTTCGTCGGAAAATACTATCCTGGCAAAAAATGCGCTATACGCAAGCTCTATCAGTAGGAGACAAACTGGTGGCAATATACCCATTGGGGGCCGATCCCCAAGCCAAAGTAGTGAGAACAGCTATACGTCCCAGTCAACCATGCCAGTTTCCAATGCTAGTGGAACAGCGCAAACATCACCAACGTCTTTACGACCATGCCAGTCAAATTCGAGCTCATATAGACCATCCAGTAGATTGAGCGACTATTCAGTACAAAGTTACGGTTCGGCATCCGGTCTACCTCGGCCCAAACCTACTTCCAACGACAAACTTGTTGGAAGCAAGTCGTTTTCAGCACGCTCATCTATCATTGCGGCCAAAAAATCGTCTGGCTTGAAAGAACCCAGCATGTTGCCTAGAATGCCCTCACGGCCAGCGGGTTCGATGAATACGTCGGGCTCATCCAACACTTCGAAGCTTGCAAAGAGAGCGTCTCATATTCCTGCGCCATCCAAAACAAGAACCACCCCTATACCTCAAAAGACCTTATCATCGTACTCTAATGGAAGAGATTCACCCAGTAGAATGTCATCTAAAGTCCCCGCCCCACCGGTACCAAAACTTCCACATGGAACGAGTTCCCTAAGGATGACAAGCAACACTTCAAGGTCATCAAAGGAATCTTCAGATACATATCCTCTTTCCCGTGGTACCTCCCAAGTTGGATCAACAGCCATTGCTCGACCCTTTGCAGCTCCGAAGCAACCTACGAAATCACCTAATAGCCAGTTCTTGAACGATAGTCAGCCTCGAGAGCCTGCATCGATGCTTCCTCGGCGGAGCATGACCCCAAATGCCGCCCGTAGTCCAAGTCGCATTGGCGTAATGCGAAAACCATAATTCTATGTTAATACTCATCATCAAGAATAATGCTTCATGCTACATACCCCCATTTTAGCAAAGTCCCCTGCTATAGCCAAATGTCCCACTGTCGACAATAAATAGTACTCTGCCTTTTCCTTCATAACCAGTCAAAAGGGATAGACCCCCACATATCGCTTCCCAGAGAGCAGTCATAACGTCGTTATTATATGAATTTGAAAGCTCTATGTAGGACAGAAACGTGCCTGTCAAAGTGTAAACCCATAACATAACGATTTTTTAAAATTTCAAAACTAACAAATGTGCGAACAATGCAAACATCAACATGCTAAGTAAAATGTATATGGGAGCTGAATAGTCGACACCTAGACGAATCAAAAAACTTAGTAGCTGTATACTTCAATTTGGAATGAGCTCAAAACTGTTACCTTTAGATATAGTGTTTGGAAGGGGTGTCACTCGCAATTGGTTACCAGCTGCACTTGCAATGAAAGAATTGTCACTGCTCATTGTGATTGTGAATATGGGGTTTTCGTGGGCATTTCGCAGACGATAGACCGGTTGCAATGTTGAAGCGTTTATGACTCCAATGGAGTTATCTTCTGCAGCGTAGGTCAGCAACGATCCATCGGAACTACAGCAAAAGACATATGTTAATATTTACATCTTTTACCTCAGGATACACTTTCTCAAACCCTCTGCCGGCTCCTTACCTCATGTTGAACGCAGTTATTGGGGATCTAGTCACACTGGCGGTCTTCCCTTTACGCAGCGTACTGTGTATCCTCTTTCCAAGCTGCCACAAGCATATGAAGGCCCCAGACTTGTGGTTAGAAGTAACATTTACAACAGCGTAGAGGTAGCCTCTCGAACTATGTCTGCCAAACCTAATGTATGGGTTTAGTCATCAGCAATTCGAATACCAACAATTGACATGAGCCGTACCTGCACGCAGCAAATGTACCAGCTGTTGTTTGATTCAGCATAGGACTCTCTATAACTTCAATCACTGCTCCAGTGCGTACGTTGATCAATCTGATCGTTTTTGGTGATGCAACAGCTAGAACCTCTTCGCCGCAGTGGGTTTGCAGGTCGACATCGAGAATTTCGCCAATGGTCAACGGAGGGAATAATCCAGTCATCGACGGATATCTAAGTACGGCTATCTTTCCATCGTTGAATCCAGCGATCAAGTATTTTCCGGAAGCGCTGAATCTGGTAATAGTCTATAGCATATTCTGGCTGTTAAGCACAACTGAAGCTTATATCCGAATTTTGCACTATAAAATTTTTGTTACCTGCGTATACTCTGACTGACTACTGCTGTTGATTCTGACAGCTAATCTCGGGACGATACTACAGCATATTTTCAATGAATGATCGGCGTTTTTATATTGAGCCCAGAACTACACTTACCTTGATCCAGTCAAATCAAGTATCTTGCAGTCCTTTCCTGCACTTGATGGAGCAGGAACGCTTAAGCCTACGGCTATGATGGATGAGCTCGGGTGCACGGCGAGAGATATATCATTGCTTCTAAAACTCTCCATGGACAATGACGTGTAAGGCACAAGCTTGTTTCCTTTGCCAGAAAGGTCATAGACATCCTAGATGTATTGATTGAATTGTCAAAGAATTTAGGACTTTCTGCCCACACAGAGTGACTGATAGTTGAAATGCTCTTACAATTCTATTCTGAACGCCAGAATCGTCGTAACTACTTCCTCCCGTAACAACTTGGCCTTCAGGCGTTACATCCACCACGTAGATGGACAGATCGGTGGTGGCGACAATGGATTTTCGTAGTGGCATGGAGAGAAGCACGTCAAACAATACAGGAGAACACCAAGTCACAAAGTGTTGGTAGGAGAAAGAACACCTAAGGGACACTTTTTCACTTCCATAAACCGACACACACGCGAAATGGCATTATATCCATCTGCATGGAAGACACTCTTCCCGTTCTTAGACCTTCGTCATAGCCAAACGAGAGCTAGAAGGTAGCAATTGAGTGCGCATGAGTCGACCCTTGCAAAGGACATTGACACCAAAAATCTCAATTTTTCTGTTTCTTTCGACTCCCTCGCGTAGAGAGGTGCTACTATTGCATATAATGGCGTTTTTTCAGGACTCGTAATCAAGCGTATTGTGCGCTATCGTAAAGCAACATGTTGCACGGATGGCTGACAAGATTGGCGAAAAATTCCCTTTTTGGGACGTATAAAGAGGATTTGCTGAATTAGTGAGCAAGTCCTCCTTTCTTCTACCATGTTGATCAAGATCCTCGCTGGCGCATTCTTATTTGCGCTTCAGCAACAGAATGTCGCCGCTGAAACTGATGCTTCTGTATACATTCCTAACATCGAGGGCAAGGTAGTCACTTTGGGCAGCGCCAACTTCACACAACAAGTGGAAGATTCACCAGACAGGGCATGGTTCATTAAGTTCTACGCGCCATGGTGTACGCACTGCAAAACTTTGGCACCTGTTTGGGTGGATCTTGCCAAGACACTGAAGGGAAAGGCTAATATTGCAGAAGTCGATTGTACCCTTGACGAACGTAGGGGCCTTATGATAACCTTTCGGAGCGTGCAGTCACAGTGGGCACTAACACACACATCCTTTTATCTAGCACTTTGCAGATCATATGGAGTAAGCGGATTCCCAACGTTGAAATAGTAAGTTTAGACATGTCCCCGTGTGTGCTTCCTCACGGTGCCAGTACTGAAACGATGGTTTTCCAAGTGTTGCGAAGGATACCTCAGTTGAATATCGTGGCACTCGTGATCACGACAGTCTTTTGGCTTTTGTCGACAAAGCCTCAAAGTAAGTGCAATTCAACACTTTTTTTAAATGTAAGGCAAAAGTTTCTAGTTGTAATAATACGTTTGCGCTAGGTCGCCTGTCACCCATGTGAGCGATTCTGAGTTGGCTGCTAAACTCGATAGTGATGAAGTCTCGCTCGTCTACATCTACGATAGCAAGGCAGACCACATTGTAAGTACTTTCAACCTGAATTCAATTTTGCATATTGGGGTCTTCTAACAATGCGCTCAAGGATACCATCGATAGTGTTGGTCAAGCATTCATAAATGACTTGGCTACGTATGCCACTTCGGACCCTAAAGCTTTGGCTCGATTTGGATTACAAAAGGAAAATCTTCCAAAAGTTGTATTGTGGAAGGGTGACAAGGCCATGATATACCCTGGCAGTGACTTTTCAAACGTTCCTGAAACCCGTGCTACCCTTCGAAACTGGGTAAACGATCGCAAATACCCGCTTTTCTTTGAGCTTGGTCCTGGTAACTCTAACGACGTTCTTCGCGGCAATAAGCTGGTGGTCTTGGCGTTCTTTATGCCTAGCCGAGAACTGGACGAGCAAAAAGCACTGTTGAAGAATATAGCTGAGAGCTATGCAAAGAATGTTGGCGATGAAGGAAAAGTCTTGTTTGTGTGGATGGACGGTATTAAGCATGCTCGTTATGTGTACAACGTGTATGGCTTTAACGGAAATGCACTCCCTGCTGTTGTCATTAGCGACCCCAAGGTAAATACCAAACACACTACATCGGATCACTACCTCCCGGGAACATGACTAATATGAATTTATTCATAGAACACACAATTCTTTGCTAAGAACATCGATGGAGAAGCTTTGGACCTTGTGCAAACCGATGAAATCGTTAAAGCTATTGATGATGCCCAATCTGGTCTTCTTAAAGCGAAATCAACCGTTCCCTCTGGACAGCATTTCGCAAAGTACATTGAAAAGGCTATGGTGGTTGCAGGAAAATACTGGTTCATCACTATTCCTGCCATCATTGTTAGCAGCGGACTCTTGATCATTCCTTTGGTCAAGTCCGCTCAAGCCAGCGATAAGCGCACTGATCCCAAATCCCAGTAAATCCATGTTTGTTTTAGAGCATTTGTATTGATTATTTGTTATATAGCTGAGGATGAATAGTTTATGAAGTTCCTTGACATTGCTTTTCTTTTTTCAATTCAATTATTTACCAATCAACCGCCTTAACTGACGTTGCAATTGATGTCCAAAGCGACTCATGAACCTTGTACCATGCTGTTTGGGTTGCTTTTCATTTATGGCCGTTTTATCTGCCACTCGGTAATAGCGATGCTGACCTAGGTTGGTAACAAAGGATTGATTGGCGACATGTCCTTCTGCTGCTTTGTAATTATCATCGGTAGTCAAATGAGGGTAGATCTTTCTGTAGTTTGTTGAAGTAGAGTCAACAAATTGCATGTTAAAATTCTCGTACTCTGGATGTTCAAGATAGTGGGGCCAGCCCATCCTGTCCTGGAACTTCCTATAGGATTCTAGACTGCATAATATACAAGATACAATGTGATTTGTATGTCTGTGAGGGTACCCATACGCTGACTGTATGGGATGGCTGTACGTTGTTGGGCCTGTCAGGGAACCTGAATTGTTATATCTCTCATAGCTTGTCACGCTCGGTTGATAATTTTCGTCATAGCCAGAATCGGCAGAGGTTGAAAGCCGAATGTCACTGGGATGCTCTGATATGCCAGTTTCTTTCGTTGAATCTGCTGGCGATGCGTGCGGTCTTGATGGTAACTCTCTATCATTAAATGGATTTAATTCTGTAGAACTGTTGATGGAAGCATTGGGAGACCACATCAAAAGGTCGTTGGTGAAGGTTGACAAGTGATTGCTATCTAGAGGTTCATTTCTGTTTGTCGTTCCAGGGTGTATGACCGAATTTGGGCCAGTGCATTCAATTATTATGTGCGGCACATGTATGACCATGATACATGCTCCGTGGGTAGAAGAAAAAAGGTACGAAGAATAGCTGATTTTATTGCAGTACTACGCTAAATTCTTAAGCATGATCGAAAGAAAATTTCCTGAGGACAAATAAATTTCCCTCCAGACAGAGCATTATCTTTCAAATTAAATGATGACCGTCAATTTCTGGTAAATGACCATGCGACATTAAAATGATTTATGAATCAGGCTCTGCAGCTATAAAATGCCAAAGCTTTGTGAAATCAATAAAACTTGAGATAAGTGTCTTCAAAATGATTCAAGCATGATGTTTGAGTGAGTGGCCACTCAGTGGAGAAGTGCAATATCCATTATGAGTGTCACGCCCGCGCAGACGTATGTGCAACGATGAAATGGCAACATTGTGCTCAAATTCGGTGTGCTGCCTACTGTTGAGACTTACCTCAAAAGGAGGTTAGGTGTCGCTCACAAAAGAGAGTGAGAGTTACACTCATCATTATGCTATAGACATTCATTGATATTTTCCTGTGTCTATACAACAAAAACTAGTTATAAAATCGAGTCAACTGGATGAAGGGGTTCAGTCAGTGAAAAGTTGGCATGTGCTGAGTTGCAACTGCAAATCCAATATGACCTCCATCGGAGTGTACGACGTTTGCACTCTCAATGGATCGAATCAAAACCTTTTTGGGTGACCTACTTCGACCGGCTGAAGCGCCTAGTTCATTTGATGCGCTTTTAGGAGAGGATAGGGATGAGAGAGAGGAAATAGTGAGCATTCCTCCAGAAGATTCTTACAATTTGGTTTACTGGGTGAGTTGTCTTAACCAGTCTACACCCTTCCAAACACAGCCATTACTCATATGCATTCATAGATCTTTGTTCTACAAGGAGCGGCCATGTTGCTTCCATGGAATGGTACGCTCTGATGGTTAACAGGTCTAGATCAAGGTTGATTCCTGCAACATGTCTAACGCTTAATATTGAATTTTTCAGTGTTTATTACCGCTTCCACATTTTTCGCCAGCCGCTTTGCTCAGACGCCATATGGAGAAACCTTCCAGAATTACTTTAGCACCTATTTCACGGTGTCGAATCTCGCGTTCTTTGCCTATGCTCTTTGGAAGCAAAAGAAGGTAAGTTCTCATAGAAAGTACCAAGCTGTGAGTATGATAGTATCTCATTTTGGATCACTCTAGGCAAGTGCTAACGCAAGAGTAGTATTGGCCGTACTTATCAACACTGTTGCCTTCACGATTATTATGGTCACTGTACCCATGGCTGGATTTTCAGGACTTTCTTATTTTTATTTCATAATGTTCTTAGTTGTCTTGACTGCGGCTACCACCAGCTTCTTTCAAATTGGTGTCTTCGCCGCTGCAAGTCGTTTCCCACATAAATATCTTCAAGGTGTCATGAGGTATGAACATTTCACAATGAAGTATAGGAAGAATGTTCTAAATCATATTAACACCTGTCTATTACACACAGTGGCCAAGGTCTGAATCCAAAATATCCATCCCGATTAAACATGTTAGCAACCCACTTACATTCATCTCTCTTTATTCCATCTCAACAGCGCTGGCAGGAACAGCTGTGGCATTGTCATCCATTTTGAGTGCGTTAGCGGCATCACCAACGACCAAACCAGATGAGGAAGCCATCCGAAAATCAGCTGTATTATATTTTCTATCAGCATTACTCATCACTGTGGTTGCGCTGGTTGGATACCTGGTCCTACTCAGGCAACCATTCTTTATGTACTATATGGCAGACCGACCCACTGGAAACTCTTTGTTACGAGATGAAGACAATAACGACGATGATTCTGATCCAGAAATGGTCTTTCAACCAGACGTGGCTATCGATCTTACCATCCTTGGTGTTCTCAAAAAAATCAAATGGCTCGCTTTCTCCGTCGCCTATGTTTTCGTTGTGACTATTGCCGTTTTTCCCTCCATCACGGCTCTCGTCAAATCCGTCCGTGCACATCCACCGGACTCTTCTGTTGTTAACGTTCAACTACCAAGAGTGTTGCAGGACGACATTTTTGTGGCATTCCACTTTCTCATTTTCAATATTTTCGACTGGGTGGGCAGAATCTTTCCCCTCTCCTCTTTGCTCAGGACAAGCAATCCCAAGCTACTTACGTTTTATTCACTTCTGAGGACCACCTGCATCCCATTGTTCTTGTTTTGTAATGTCGTGGCCGCTGACAAGACGTTACCGGTCCTTATTAATTCTGACTTTGTATACTTTATGCTACTGATCCTGTTCTCACTGACAAACGGCTGGATAGGCAGTCTGTGCATGATGGCTATTCCGGATTTGAGCAGCCTTGGAACACCAGAGGAAAAATCTTTGGGAGGAAGCATAATGAGTTTCTGCCTTTGTGTTGGCCTGGCCATCGGAGGAGTTTCAAGCTTTGTAGTTAGATCAATGGTTTAAAGTGAGTAGGAGAAATTAAAAAAAGCTGCATTAGAAAAATATCAACATGATGAAAACAAAGAAAGAAATGGTAAATTTGACTTCAATGCTGTTTGGGCTGCCATTTTTGACTTCGGCAGCATCTCGATGGTATATTGTCTGGACCACTACAACGTGTATAAACGGTATTTGGGGCTTAAACCACAACTTGTGCCATTTAACACAATTTGAACTTGAAATGGCTGACATTGGAAACCATAACAATTTGACCCCGAATCGTGTGCGGCGATTCGTAATCCTTGCTTCGTGTTGCTCGCGAATTTTATCTTCTTCTGTCGATTTGTTTGAGCGTCAAAGCAAGTAGAGACTAATTACAAAATCTTAGTGCCCATTCCTGCATGGACTATCCATCTTTGCAAGAGGGCCGGTATTTGTGACATACCCATGAACGGTGAAAATTTTTCAATTGGAAATAAAAGATAAAAAAAAAATTTTTTTTAACGGACATGGTACCGAAATTTCTATACTATGATGGAGTGGAGTCATTCACGGAAAAGCTATGTGCATCAATTCGCATTCGGCCGTCACCTCTTCTTGTATCATTGCAGGATATCAACAATTATAAAGTGCCAATTGGAACATAAAGGCCAACCTGCTATCTGCCTAAGCCACCGATCTCATACTTGAATGTTGGTCTGTCACTTTACAAAAAGTTGAACGGCAGCTAGTGTATTGTTTCTGAGTTTATAGCCTCCCGTGCTCCTTACTCGTCTACAGCATGAAAGGGTCTGGTGTGCTGTGACCTCCTAGTTAGTTTTAACTTCCTGAACTGTGCTTTCCAGCATTGTCGGGAAAGCCTACAGCAATAAGCCAGAAGAACCTAATTATCACATAACGTTAGAAGATATCCCTCTCTTTTATGGCTTACAGGAAACTTCTGAAGCTAAGAGTTAGCCACAAGCAACTTTGAACGATGAATCTCTAAATTGAAGTAGATCATGAAAGCGTGCATGTGAGAGGACATTATAACGACTGTCTACTGCCAGTTTGTGGAGATTCTCCGACATCCATCCAAACTCAATGTTATCAGTTGGTACTTCTTTACTCTAGAGTCGATAACAAATATGATAGCATGCGTAAAAACCACAATATCTTTGAAAGACCATAATAAATGAAAAACATATACTCATAGAACATCGCATTTCAGGCTATAAAAGAGGTGCAAATCTACGATCTGCCAATCCTTTTGAAATCCGATGATCCCATTTTGTGCTCAACTCCGTACCTGTCAAAGTCCGTCGTTGGGATTATTTTTTTCTATCGAGAGTCGCTTTTTTTTTCCACGCCTCAAAGCCAATGACAGCCAGACGTCCGAGTAGACACCTGGCATTCGAAACGCCAGAGCATTCTGTTCCTCCATCACCCACTTTATTTCCGGTCAATTCCAATACCCGCCTTCAAGATGGCGACGTGGACGAAATAGCACAACCCGAGCCTGCTATGCCACCATTGCCTCTGCAGCGACATGAGAAGCAGGCTCAAACTATCATAGAGTCTGTCACAGAGTCTTCTAGTGTATCGCCTAATGGCGTCTTGTCGTATCTATTGAGATTGCAATCCGAGAAGGCCAACACTGTTATCGACATGGATGACGCCGATACGTATGCCACAGGTTCAGCTTACGGCTATGAAATGCAGACACTTTCGTCCAATAGAAGAAATCGATCAGTAAATGATGGAACGGCAAGAAGAACCTCGTTGAAAGAAGAACAGCAGTTGAAAATAAAGGAGTCTATCGCTGATGTCCTTACTAAACATTCATTTCTATTGAAGTAAGTTTTCTTTACATGTCTCGGTTGAACACATTGATATCGCCGATCCAACACTAATTCAGTTGTTTCTGAAGGTTGAGCTCGGCACTGGTCTGCTACGGTGCCCCAGCTCATCGTATCGAGGATGCACTAGATACCATGAGTGAGGTGCTTGAAATCAAAGCGTCATACGCGTATTCGCCAGGCATGGTATGTACAGCTACTTGGGCTAAACTGCGCCAGCGTTCGTATTCGTTGGACTTACCACTCTCGCTGTTTTTATGAATAAAACAGATGATGATCTCCTTTGTAGATATGGCTACTCGAACCAGCGAAACTCACCATGTTCGCCAAAGTGACGGTTTCGATCTATACCGCTTAGAACTGGTATACCATCTTATGCGCAACCTTTGTTACGACAAAATCACCGTCAATGAGGCGTATCGAGACTTAGAAACCATCATGAAGCGTCCACCATATCACTCGCGACCTGTATACCTTTCCAGCTACAGTATCTCTACCGCTCTGGTGGCAGCAATCGCATTTCGAGGAAGCTGGTATGATGTTTTGGCATCCGCTGCAGGCGGTACTATCTGTGGTGTACTGTCTTTATTATCAGGAAGTCGGTTCACTACCTTTAGTAACGTATACCAAGTACTGGCATCTTTTTTGGTCGGATTATTAGCTAGAGGTCTACATAATTATATTTGCTATCAGGTACGAATGGACTGATTGTTATACATGTTCACAAAAGCTACGCAGCAGCACACTAAAACGCTTTTACAGGTCGTAATCCTCTCTTCCCTCGCTGTTCTACTTCCTGGTTTCCAGCTTACATTAAGTTTGATGGAGATTACTAGTAGATCTGTTAATTCCGGAACAACCAGATTGCTTTCTGCCGTCATGGATGCATTATTTCAAGCTTTTGGAGCTTGGATCGGCATATCCGCTGTCAATGCGTTAGAACCAGGTGTAGCACTCAACACTGCAAAATGTTTTGTACCCATCAATCCTTGGTTTTACTTCCTTGTCTTTCCACCGCTTTCTATGGCAATCAATGTGCAGTTCGGTGCTAGCTGGAGACACATGCCAATCTGTGTCGTTGTCAACGCAGCGGCATTTGTCGTGGTATATTTCATGTCAAGCGTCACTACAAGTAGTGTTCTACCCGTTGGTGTAGCAGGTAAAGTAACCTCCGTTCACTTCATTCTTGATTTAGAACCCTTTTACTCATACGATGTCTGTATAGCGTTTGTGATCGGCTTAATCTGTAATCTTTATGGAAAGTTCACGAATCACCTGGGATTCGTTCCAGTCATGGGCGCAGTGCTTATCCTTGTGCCTGGAAGTGTTGGTGTTAGAGCGGCATTGACTATGCTCATCAATAATCAGCTGGAACTAGGGTTTGAATTTGCGTTGCAAATGATCTTGGTTGCCTCAGGTATCACTGTGGGTCTGTTCGCATCCACCTTTATATGCCATCCTACTGGTAAAAGATCCGTACTGCTTGCCTTCTAAGCAAGATATCACTAAAGTAAACTAGATTGTAATTTTTAGAGCCTAACAGCATGTGTCTGACATTTTGTAAAAACCCCTTTATCTAATCAAAACGGTACAATGTATTATGGTTATATTTGTGTGTTCATGCTGGTTTTTTTTTGGGGGGGGGGAGGGGAATCGTCATGCTATCATGACGAGTTAGAGATCTCGTCCTTATTCTCATGCTTCTTCTCGTCCACTTCATCTTCGGTCACCGAAAACCCACGAATAAGCAAGTTGAAAATAGATCCGAAGAACAGAGCAATGACAGTGCATGTCAATGTAATGACATTGTAAGGCATACTAAAGTCAGGCGTAGGCAGACTAGCAAGTAGGATCTCAGTATAAACTTTGATGTTCTGTCTTGTAGGCGTATCTCTGCGGATGGGATTGGATGTTAAAAGGCGCCAGCAGCTTCATGTACAATGGTTAGATTAAAACTTGCCGGTTTGTCACTAGCTCGAGAACGGTAGAAGCTAAGTTATCGTCACCAGCCGGTAAAAGAGTGGTAATAACAGCCGGACTGAGGAATGATAGGTCAGTACTGGAAGGGATCCACTATAAAGTAATAGTGATATGCTTCTTACCCAACGTCAAATCCACGGTTAGCATCAGGTCGATGCTCAGTATATTTTAAGAATACCTTGTCAAACTCAATTGACACAGCGGTGACAGAATCTGGTGGAAGACGTAGCTTCATCTCCAACACCTGAGGCCTGGATCTGTCGACAGCAGGTTGATAATATAGGTCCTGTACAATATCTAAATAGCCAACCAAGGTTACTAGCTTTTTCCAATTGATCCAGGTATACACACATTGCTCCAATCTTTACCATTTTGATCAATATGATCCTTGCCCAAAACCGAAACTTCCAAAGTATGTAGATACAGCTTGAGGAACCAAGGAACAGAGTCGAAATAGCTTATATCTTGACTTTCATTCATGTTGTTGAAGATATTGACTGTCACGCCTCCTCGTTCATGGCCGTAGCCTGTCATATACTTATGCGCATACACTCTCGGCTTTGAAGTTTGCAACGCTATGGGTATTATCCAGAAATTAGTTGAGTGCTATCATTGCGGTGATCAAATAAAAGTGATGCTTACGATAGGAAAATTCACCCTCATTCCACGTCATTTGCAAATTGAGAGGTTCGGTATCTAATGCGAGGTACATGAGATAATGATGTTGTGCAATGCGGGTATGCAAATGACTTACGTTGAGAAAGGTTGTAGACAGCTATTGGCCGCTCAACTTGGGCGGCGGTTCTCTCAATAATGGTATCATAAGATGGAGTTAACTGGTATTCATGTTGTTCGGATGGTAGCAACACAGTAACAGCACTTCTATCCGAAACGGGACAAGCTGATTGTATCTCGCGACCAAATAGACTTGAAAATGACCAGTCTAACAGACCCAAAGCTTCAGTCATGGCATACAAACGTTCTTATATCGCAAATCCCAGTATTTGACTTACCTCGTCGCCCACTCTCACGCACAGGATCAAGAACGGACGTCACCGTTTGAACCAGCTCCAACGACTGGCTAGTGCAATTCGCATCCTATGTATACTAATTAAGGCGAGGCTCTGACTAACTGACAAATATATATGTTACGATGCGTACCTGGCATACGGGTCTGATGTGAATAGCCATAGAGTGATAATTTGTGTCGTATAATTTGTGCGCATTGAGTAAGGTTGCAATACCGGCCTGTGGTGAAGAAAGTTGGCACAAAAGGATGGAGGCGAAGTCTATGCAGCATAACATTTACCTTTGACTTGCATGGAAGCAGTTTGATCCAAGGCGTCAAATTTTCGGTACAGACATTTTCATGCGGTAAGATTCCGTATCGAACTTCTGCACCTTCTCTCATCCTTTCATCATGATTGTAAGAGTTTTTGGCCCCTTCGGGACGGAATGACAATTCTGGCTGTGAAGTCAGCGTACCATCAATGAAATTCAGGGACGCGCAAAACAATCCAGACAGTGTGTTTGTCAGAGACCGCCAATTACTTTCGATGCTTGTACAGAAAAAAATGGACATGAGATGCGCTTTTCAACACGTTTTCATACGGTGCTTGTATCTAAAGCTCACCTATCGTCTAATTTCATCCACGCCCATAACTCGACACCTGTTCCTGCTGATTGGGCTACCGGGTATCCCCAATCCTCATACTGCCATCTTCCTTGCGTAAATGTAAGATGAAGCTCCTGTACGCGGTGATGATCGATGATTTGCCCTATTGATTTCGGGAATAGACCATAATGTGCGTCTGCATATGATAATAAAGACGAGATATAATGAAAGTATCGCGTCAGTTATGGACATAATAACCATCATGGAAACGTTTGATATCTCTTGGCGTTCTTACATCTTCCGTCTTTCTCATCAAGGCCTCCAGCGTCAACAAGAGTGGTGAATTGGAAATGCGCAAGTAATTTGCCGTCTTTGAGCGGTGAGATTAGAAGGTCTTCTTGAAATGAATCTTTCTGGCTACTTAATTTCGACTGCACTGGGTACGCTAACGCCAGTAAGAGAAGTATACACGAGGGCAGCTTCTTCCACGGCATGGTATCAAAACGATGTACTGTTTATTTTAGAATTATTTTGCCCAATATACCAAAATTATTGTCACGATACCAGAGCAGAGAGCCTGAAATTTATTCTCGCAATCATTAGGAGCGGAACCCAGATCATCCATTTTCAGCTCAGTTCGAAGAGATGGATCCTGTCGGCAAATTCGGCTTTACAAACTGAATCCTGCCACAGTCAGCAAGATTCTCGCAATATCCACAGTCGCCAATCAATACTGTTTACATTGATGTCACCGAGGAAGGGCTGATGGAGGTTCTCATGACGGACCTCGAGATGAAGCCTTTCTAAGAGAGCTTTTTGAGCTTCAAAACCTACAGACCTATACAAACAATTACAATTCAACAGCGTATATTCATCGATCGCTCAAAGTAGCATCATGAATACAGACTCTGATGACCAGATTCCTACCTGGTCTGAAATACTAGAAGAGAGTGGCAGTCCCACTCCCATCGGTTAAGATGAGAGCTGCTGTTGGCATCAATAGGACTTTCGCGTCAATCAAAACAGAGATCGTGTACGAAGTTGAAGCATTCACGAACACGCAAAGATCACAGAGAGCTGCTGGAATATTGAAAAGAGCCTTAAACCCAGATGCAGTGCGATATGAAGTTCCCAAGAACATTCTCAATACACACCTGGTAGTGGAAGAAATTGTTAAACAAGCTGGAGAAATAGCGGGCTTCGCGAACCTTATGTTATACCGCAACGACTCAAAGATGAATACCTTGGAACTGGTGTTCATATCACCAGACACCGCAAAAATGGCCATCAACGAAGGAGTAAAGATCCAGGATATGCTCATCCATGGTACCCCCTATGTAGATGAGGCTCGTCGCCCCCTAATCAAGGTCAACCTCAGAGGTGTCAAGGATGATTTTTATGGAAGACGAAGACGGCTTCATTCCAGCCTTTTTTCAAGGTGCACCCAAGATATGCTTTCATTTCTAAGATCAGAACAAGCCCAGTGGATTACTGAGCTTCCCTTCCAAGTCGACTGGCTAACAGAAGCTTTGGAAGATCCTTGAAAAACTGTTTCCACAACCATCACAATACTCGAATCGTGGGAATTGATTTAGGAGAAGTCTGCACAGCGGCGGCTTGTGCCATCCTTATTGATAGCGATACAGCTACAGTGATATATTCCAGTAGTTCATATTATGTATGCTTTAAAATTGATCCCGCCAATGCAGTGAGAAACCTGGTGGTAAAAAGGAAGGCGCTTTACCAGCCGGTGTTGAAACAGAAAAGGATGATACGACAAGCAAATCAAAGAAAACCTACCTTGCCGAAGCGTCGAGTTCACGGCAGCACGGCGATAAATATGCAGGCCAAGATAGCTGAATATGACAAGGCAGTGAACGCCATCCTTCGCATGGTTGATGCCCACATTGGACGGAAAAAAAACACCGGAGGAAGATGTGGTGTTTGCAATTGGTCTTGGTGGCTTCAACACTAAAAGTAACCTACGCAGCTTACATACATCGTTTGGCTCATCAACAAAGTATGTCAATGTCGGATTTACTGCGTGAAGTTGAAATAATCCAAGTATATCGTCTCCAAGGTGCGAAGTCTTGGATATCTGGTCGTCGGTGTGAACGAATATTACACATCGAAAAAATGTCCATCCTGTGAAAACTTTGTAGGAGCTGTGAGACTCCGGCGGCTTCACTGCCCACGTTGCAAAAAGCCATTCACAGAGACACCTTAGCAGCACACAATATTGCTAGAGTCATTGTCGGTCAAATGAAAAACTATTGTCGCCCAAGCTATTTCTTTGTCCAGCCATTGATGAGCCTCGCAATAGACGAGTGCCACAATAATAAAATTGTTACGTTTTGTGCCTTCTTCAGTGTGAAGTATAAATAACAATTTTTCTATGGTACTGATATCTCTAGTTCTTTCTAAGCCGAGCGTTCGTAGCTGGTGATTAAGGAAATCGACACCACTACAAATATCCTTGATCTCTCCGAACAACAAATCAGCCTCAGCCAAGATAATGAGAAAATCTCGGAAAAAGTAGGTATTTAAGATAATGCAAAAATTTAAAGCTTAAGACAATACTTACCGTAAATTATGAGATGTGCACACTCGCCTTCCTCCTGGCTGAAGCTCTTGACCTTGGTTTTCTAAAAACAGGTTCGATTTTAATGTCAGATCAAAGGCTTTGAGTATCCTTCAGGATCGCTCTGTCACAGATGTTAACGGCCGCGTGGAAAGTGCGCCTACCCTTTAGCCTGCTTAAACATCAATGACTACTGAAGAATTTCTAAACCAGTTACTTCCACTATTGCAACAAAAATTAAATGAACAACCAAAAGAAAACGTCCTGGACGGACTCATCCGACCAGCAAAACCCAACAGAATTACCCTGGTTCCAGCTCATGGAGCAAACAAGGCAGGCACTACGCCTATACAAGCAACCGCCAAAGAAGTCATCAGCTTCCCGAGACTGGATAACCGACTATCATCCGTCTCTATCAAGAACTTGCTCCGAAACAACGATGGTGGAATACTCAGACCTCAGCAGATTGACACAGAATTCCTCTCCTTCTTTCCAACAGAAGCCACGCAAAATATTTCTAAAAACACTGTAGCATTGTTGAAGGTCCCTTTTGCAGACAAGCTGAGATTAATTGCATACGCGCATGAGCCACAGTGCGGCTGATAAGCCAAAATAATGGGAAACACTTTTTTTGAAGTATGTATTTCAGAATGCAAGCAAATTATGATGAAAATGTAGTTACAAGTGATATAAAAAGGTATTCTATGCAGCTCCCAACAGTCTAAGAGCAAGTGCTTCTTGGTCAGCAATGCTCTCTGGCTGCTCGACCTCAATGAGTTTAGCTCGCTTTCTACTTTCCTCTTCATCACTACTGTCGTCTTCAAACCACTTTGGCTCTCTCTTTTGTCCTGCTCCCTGCGAAGGTGATTCATCTTCTTCCATGTCATCACCGGATTCGTCGCTACTGCCACCGAGAACAGCGCCTGCTTCATCTCCATTTTCTAGTTGCTGATAGAAGGACAATTGGTTAGATCAAACCAGATATGAGCGCTTGACATAACTGGGTTTATCATTCTTACCTCGCGTTCTCGAAGCTTCTTTGCTAAACGTTTCTCTCTTCTCTTTTCTTTGGCGACTTGTTTGTCTTCTATATCTGCCTCCTTCATGACACTGCCTTCTTCTTCCAAGAACTTAGCCTTCTGAGTAGCTGCATCTCCGGCCTTCAAGAAAGATGCCTCATCTTGCATCTCGTATAAAGCATGAGGCTGAAAAAGTTGAAAAATAATGATTAGCTTTTGAATGAATACATTCCCTCTAGCAACTTTATGGTTCTTACCTTGCCCTCATCATCGAAAATGATGCGCTCTCCCTTAGATTGCTTCTTGGCCAGCTCCTTCTTAGAGAGATTGAGCTGTCGCTTAGAGGTTGGCAGCATTGGCTCATTTTCCTCGTCTGATTCCAACTTGTGGTCACGACGCTTGATAGTAATGAATTCATCATCTTCACCAGCCTCATTGTTCAATAAGTCGTTGTCATCTTCATGGTCCACAAGCTTGTTGTAATGCTCAGAAAGAATATTTTGATTCTTTCGTAAGAACATCTTTTCAATTTTGGATGTTGGCTTGGTAACCTAAAAATGAAATGTATCAATATCGGATACATTGACAAGCAAATGCACTGTATAAACGATCATTACCTTTGTCGTGGGTGCAGTCTCTTCTTCATCATCGCTATCTTCTTCTTCGCTGCTTGATTCGTCCGCTGCAACGGCTTGTTTTGCCTTCGCTTCTGCACGCTGAGCCTCCTTTGCTGCTGAAGCTTTCACGAATTTAATCTTTGGAGCACCAGGAAGACCAAGAGACTGTGCATACTGTTCAGCAGGAAGTTCATGGACCTTGAAAATATCCTTGTTCTTTTGCAGGTAGACAGAACGCATGTATGCAATAAAAGCCTATTGAAAACAGTTAATACACCGTACAACTGCATACCAGTGTCAAATCCCAAATACGTTACCTTTTGGCCCAAATACTTGATTTCTGGGTCCTGGAAACAGAAACTTTGAAGCTGATTCTGAATGGACTGCTGCTTACTGGCTCTAATTTTGACTTCCTCCACAGGTACTTTCTTTTTCGCAAGCTCGGCTTGCATTGCCTCCTTTTCGCTGGGTAGAAGGAACATTAGCGCTGAACCAGCGGCATCAAAGCGGGCGGTACGTCCAACGCGATGAATATAAGTATCAGCATCTTCTGGGCAATCCAACTGGATAACCCAATCAACAGCCGGGAAATCCAATCCTCGTGCGGCGATATCTGTGGCAAAGAGAACAGCATTTGCCATTGAACAATATTTTCGGAAAATCTCTACTCGCTTTGTCTGCTTCTGTTTTCCATGAAGGTGCAACAGTGGTATACCAGGATGAAGCTTACAGAACGCTTCATACACAAATCGAGTTTGGTTGCAGCTCGAGATAAATACCACAATTTTGGACTTGAGATGCGTTCTAATGAAAGAATACAGAATATCGAGCTTTTTGGGGAGTTCACATACGAGGAAATTCTGTGATAGCTTTTGAGGGGTGCTGTGGTCGGCTTTCTCGTGAACCGCTACATATTCTGGATCCTATAGTGAAAAGACCTGTCAGCATGTTGATACCTACTGTCAGCAAGTGCACAAGTTGAACTTACCCGAAGACTTAATCTGGCTAAATCCTTCACTGATTTGGTTTGTGTTGCGGAAAACAAAAGTGTTTGTCGTTGCTTTGGTAAGTTCTCGACAATGGCATTGAGTTCTTTCTGGAATCCCATATCAAGGATACGATCGGCCTCATCTAATACTGTGGTAACATGTTAGTCGACCTCTTTTGATTTACCCCTCCCCTCTCATAAAAATGTATATGATGCGTACCCAGAACTTGTAAATTATCACAATCGAATCCTGCAGTCTGATCCATATGCTGCAATAGTCGACCAGGTGTTGCTACTAGAATATTCATTTTCGCTACTCGTTCCTGTTCAACATTCAAATCTTTTCCGCCAATAATCAGACCAGCTGAGAGCATATGCTGCTTTCCAATCTTTTTGAGCACTTCGAAAATTTGTACAGCAAGCTCACGAGTTGGAGAGATCACAAGTGCTCCAAGACCATCTTCTTGGTTCCACTTTGCCCTATACAACACCTCCAAGATCTGATGAAACCCAATTAGCCTGATATATCAACTCATTAAACGTTGAACTGCCTAACAATTCTTACCGGGATAAGGAAGGCTAAAGTTTTGCCACTTCCAGTTTTTGCCGCACCAAGGACATCACGTTTGGCTAAACCAAGAGGAATGGCTTTTCGCTGAATGTCGGTTAATTCTACAAAGTTGGCACGCTTTAAACCTTCAATGGTCTTTGTTGATATTGGTAGTTCCGAAAACAGTTTGCAGTTGGAATTCGTTTGCTAATGGAAGATATGAATCGTTAGCTACGGTTACAGGGTCCTGAGTAGGTGGAAAAAGTCGGAATGGTCTTACAGGATCAGAAGCCTTCTTTTCTAGCTCTTGAAGTTCCTTCTCTTCATTTTGTCGCTTCAGCTTTCTCTTGTTGGTTGGATGCACCTTGACTTGCTTCTTGGATTTGGCCATGGCGAACTGAATGAACAATGTCTTTGAAGCACTGGAAAAAAGAGCCTTGAAAAAAAAAAGTAAAAAGGCCAGTCACAGTCAAAAACCCTCCTCGGTTAAAACGCCGACAAGGTCAGGTTCAATGGAACAAGCTCCAATAGATGAACAACCAACACTGGAAACTGATCTTTTCTCCACATCAATAGAGACAGACATCTGTTTTTATTTATTTTTGTAAAAATCATAATCGAATGAAGGGAAATAATTCGTTGCAGATGGAAGAAAATGTCGTTCAATAATAGGATATCACTATTGTGTAAATTCAGACAAACGAGAAGAATCCAACTTGGCGGCAGCAGCTGTATCAATAAACCAAGTTGCGGTACCAGATGAAGGATGAACAAGCTGACAAGGCAATCCTAGCTCGGGGTGTTCAATGATCTTCTTCACCATGTCCTGCTTGCCTTCGCCGGCTGTTACGAAGGCGACATGGTGTGCGTGATTCAAAACAGGGAGCGTCAATGTTATTCGCTCCTTAGGTGGCTTTGGTGAATCTACAATGGGAGATACCCATTCAATCGTTTCCTCCAATAATTCATGTCCAGGAAACAAAGAGGCAGTGTGGCCATCTGGACCTGTCAATTCGCGTCTTGATTAGCAAGGTGGTATTCAACAAAGCAAAAGATGACTTCAATGTATAATTTTACCCATTCCGAGAAGGATCAAGTCAAATACAGGGAACTTGACAGCATTTCCTGCAGCAAAAACGTGCCTGAGTTGATCCATATAATCCTCGGCAACATCCTCAGGAGATAAGGATGGATTGATGGCGTGTACAGAGCCTGGTTGGATCTGTTCTGCGAGAGCATCGAGAAGTTGCTTCTTGACTTCGAGGTAATTAGAATCTTCGTGATCAAGAGGTACACATCTTTCATCGACAAAGAAAATTTGCCACTTCGCGAAGTCAATTCTCGGATTATGCTTTAGTGTAGCCGACAGTAACTTAGGCAAGGATCCACCTGAAATAGCAATGGTAAAGCGATCGTGCTTTGCAACCGCTTCAGCCGAAAGCTTCTCAACATATTGGTCTAAGGCTTGTGAAAGCTGATCAGTGGAAGGAAATGTGTAGACGGTTGTCATTGTGTAGAGTAGATTGAAACAGCCCCTCTCCAAACTGGGAAAATCGCTCTGACGTTCGTTCCATCGGGACTGAAATCCCCAAATTTCTATCCTCGGTCGTTTTGCCTTTGTCTTGCTTGATTACCATGCCATCCACTACATTACCGTCAGCAGAAGACAAGAACCTGGTCAGACGCGCTGTACCCACCTCAGTAGGTTTCTCCATCCTCATGCCATCAACCCTTTCTTCAAAACTAATGCCGAGATTTAGAAAATATTCACCGCCGGTGTTGCCCGGCTCTTCCTTGCTTATCCCAACCCGCAAAGCTGGAATTACTCAAACATATGGGGAGCTGCCGTCTTCTTGAAAGACAAGGCAAAGAATGATTCTTATTTTATTCGCATCATTGATTTAGAGGTAAGCTCCTTGCTGCGCTGATGAACATGACCGTGCAGCAAAGAGCATTTTCTCATGCATATGGATGATACATAGAACCATAAGGGTGTAATATGGGAGCAGGAGCTGTATGAAGGATTTCAATACACACAAGAACGACCATTCTTTCATACTTTTGATACCGACGTGAGTACTTCGTAGCTTCGCTTAGGTATGTTTCTCCGACTCACCCATGCCCAATTAAACAGGATTGCCAAGCCGGTCTGCTATTTGTCGATGATGGTGAAGCAGAAACGTTTTATAATAAGCTCATCAATCGACAGATGCTGGTCCAGAAAGGTGAGTTGTCGCAAATACGAAAGCCACGCCTTGCAAACTGACTCATGTTCAACATTTTAGGCCCTGCAGTCGAAACGCATGTGCGGAAACCAGCAGCCATGAGTGCTATTGAAAGAGCCAAAAAACCAAAAGGAAGGGTAGACAAAAATTCTATAGGACTACCCTCCGACTTTAGGTAAGCAATTGCAAACTTTAGTGTGTGTATTTTATACTATCGTTTCTGACCATTACATAGGCATTTGGGTCATATCGGATACACGCCAGAGCAAGGATTTAGCGTACAAAATAACTCTCCAGAATGGAATGGTATTTTTGATCAGCTGAAGGCTCTGGGAATATCGGCAGACGAAATTAATCACAACCAAGAATTCATCAAGAACTTTGTTGAACAAAGAGGAGGTCCTACTGCTACAGCTCCTCCCTCGAGAAATACAGGTGGGCCACCACCTCCTCCTCCGGCACCTATGAGGCAATCCAATGCAACAGGTATGGCAATGCTTTTTGATCGTTTATGTTTTCATTGCACAAACTAAGCAGTGTTTGTGTTTAAAGGTCGACGTCCGCCTCCTCCACCTCCACCTCCAAGAAAATCTGGTCGTCCGGCTAGTAATGCTCCATCGTCATCACCAAGCACCCCACAGCCAAGCTTGCCTTCCAGAAATCCACCGTTACCAAATCGAGGCACAGCTTCACCAGCACTTCCAGGTCGCCCAGGAGCAGGTGGTGCTCCCCCTCCTCCTCCACCACCACCCCCACCTGGTATGAATGCACCTCCACCGCCTCCTCCACCACAGGCTAGCCCCAGCATTCAAGAAGCGGTACCAGCAGAAGTCTTCAGCGATGGACGGTCGAGCTTAATGGCTTCCATCAGAGGATCTGGAATTGGTACTCTACGCAAAACAGAAGGACCGCGTGAACCAAGTCCATTGGCGGCAGCAGGATATGAAACAGGCAGTGGTGCGGCCGCATCTGCAGGAGCGGCCACTGGAGGAGACCTTGCCAGTAGCTTGGCCATGGCTTTGAAGCAACGAGCCACAGCCATGCAATCAGATGATGAAGACGAAGAGGATAACGAAGAATGGGAGGATTGATGGGGTCGAAAAAAAAAACATTAACTGGCATATTTTGTGCATAATTCATTGTCTTCTGTTCCATTTTGAACATGCTATTTCTGTTTAAGACGAGCAGAGGGATGGCGATTTGTATATAAAAAATATCTTGCACTTGAACGTCGACGATGTGAAAGAATACAACCAACGAACTGGGAATTGACAGTCAATAACTGATTTGGAAATTTTAAAACATGAACTGAATTTAAGCTGCTGAGCTTTCTTACCCGTCCCCCTCTTTCGAAGTATTGCGAATGTGGGAGCCTGACGAGCAACTCGTCTTACGTGCAAACACAAAGTACAAAAAGAAGGATGGTACCTTGTTTGCCACCAGTCGACGAGTAGCATGGCAGCAAAGTGGATCGCGCCAGCTGCACCCTGCTGTGCCATATGGTGACATTCAAGGTGCGATTCTGTGCCCATTTCCCCAAAGATCAAGCGCTATGCTAACTGTCTTGCTCATTTATAGTTCAGATGCAGTCGCCGGCAACTGATAAGAACGTCAAGCTAAAGATCGTCACCAATCCGCCCGATCCTAAAAGCTTTGTGTTCATGTTCGAATCGTCTCGAGCGCTTGCGGAACGCGAAGCAATCAAGGCTTTCGTCAGTGAATCTATGGCGAGAGCACGCCAGTTGGCTGGGGATAAGTCTGCAACTCCTGCTTCTGTTGCTACGCTGACAAACGACTCACCTGTAAGCTCTGTGGCCTCGACACCTGCGCCATCCACACCAACAACTACCTTGACCCCGTCCAATGGAGCTACTCCAGCCGCTCTATCGCCCAATCTCAATGTATCAAGACAAGAAGAGATAACGAATCGACGACAATTGCTTTCTACGAACAAAGAACTCCACACTTTACATTCAGAGCTAGTCATCAATGGCAAAAATGTGACAGAAGAGGAGTTCTGGGAAAGTCCATATGTCCAAAAGATCCGTCAGGTATGGCCATTTATCTGCATGTCTGCCCTATTTGCTTTATTCGAACAGACATTGATCACTCTGTATATACATTGCAGCAAATGAAAAAAGATGCAGCGTCGAAAGAGGGTCAACAGAAAGGAAAATCTTCCAAAATGGTGGAATTGAGACCGGGCCAACAAGAAGGAAGTGATGTCAAATATACACTGACAAGTCAGATTATTCATGATATCTTTGCACAGTACCCATCAGGTTCGAATTGCAGTCCTTTTATGGATCATACCATTGTTCAGAGACTGACATTATGTTTTCGCATCATTCTTCTTGATTCAAGTTAAACGAGCGTATGATGCAAATGTTCCTGATAAATTGTCTGAACACAACTTTTGGAGAAGATTCTTGGCGTCTGAATTCTTCCATAGGACTCGGACTGGCAATCGTTCCACCAATGCAGTTGCAGATGATGTCTTTGATAAATGCTTGAGAGAGGAAGATGCAGGTAGGTACTCTATTGATTCGCTATTGCATAATGCACATTTACTCAACCTGGCCTCCCATCCATAGAAAATCTCAACGCACCTAGTCTGGCTGAATACAATCACTTCAAAAAGACGATTGATTTGAGTGCTACTGCTGAAGATCATAACGAGGTAATTTGGATCTGGTTTATAACAGAATAACCACCTTCTTGAAAGCATGTCTCACTATTTCATGTCCGCATGAACGTTCATAGAGTGGCAATGCGCCAGATTTCACTATGAGGCCAGGATCGAAGAATTTGCCACTTATTCGAAGATTCAACCGACATGCGATGCGAGTCTTGGAAGTTCCAACGTAAGCTATTTTATTTTTTTTGTTTCGTTAAGTGCGATTTTCCAAGTATGCTAACCATGCTTGCTTTAGAAAAAGGCGGAGAGATGCTGCGGATGATAAAGAGGTTAGTTGGATATAACTTATTGGGCTGGATAGGGCAATGCCAACTCACTGTAATTCCATATCATCCAGGACGATGTCACCAGCGAAATCATAATAAGTGATCTTATGGATGAACAACCATTTTCTCGAACGGTCCTTGACATACAAGATACGCGTCGCTACTTTGAAAGTCAAAGTCGCAGCCAAGATCAACACCCACTTGCGAATGGCGTACGTGTACCGCTGATTGACCTATCATCAAACAATTTGACGCTAAATATTTCTATGTGCTTTAGAATGCTTCATCTATCTTGTCGTCCTTTAGCGAACAATTCAGTCATTTTGAGCCAGATCTTACAAAGGTACTTTGCTTTTTTTGAAACACTTGAACTTGTAAGCATAAGTAATGTTGACGAATCATTTAAGCAACTGATGACACCTCGTGCGGCGGTCAACGTAACTGGCTCATTAACAGAAATTATCAAGCACAAAAATATAAACCAATCTATGGATCCAGGTTGGTTTTCGCGCACACGTGTGATTATAAGTGCCGTTGGAAAGTCATAACCACCCCATTTTCGCAGACTTAAAGCTACCGGCGCAGGTTCAGCAGAAAATGATAGATTATCATAGCACCACTAATGAAATATTACGGCACTTCTGGTCATCTTTTGTGCCCTATAAAGCAGAAAAGAATAGACGCATGGTTGACAGTCTTAAACGGCAAAAGGACAAGATGTCTGAGGTACTGATCACTGCCAATAGCTTCAAAGCCAATCTGGACGCCGTTAAACATGTAAGTAACACTTAAAAGCTCTCCAAATTCTACATTAAGCTTAAACTCTGACAACCATTTCATTTCAGGCTCTTAGTCCGGTCATAAAGGCGGTGGACACTGCATTGAAGTCTGCAGAAAAACGACCACCTCCACGGAAATGACCCCGCCGATGTGACTTGCAAAAGTGGATAAAGGGCAATTTTTCCAACCTCACCACAACTCATTGGAATGATCAAGAACAGCGACCTTCATGGAAACCAGTGATTCAACGAGTCTTGCTTCGATCTTAAACAAATATGATCAATTCGTTAACGAAAAGCTGAAACCAGATCTCAAAGCAACCCTAGACGCTAGAGATTCGCTTTACGATCTCACCTCCGAGTAGTCTGTATTATTATGTAATTGTAAAAAGAACAAAAAAAAAAAGAAACCTCTCACCATGATTCTAAACGACGCTTTGCGCATGCTTATCCTTTGTATAGTCTAAAGTTGAAATCGCAGATTGAGACGATTCAAAGCAATGATTTAAAGGAAATGAAGACAAAGGTCGATTTGGGCTCCAATTTCTATGTTCAAGCTAAAATGTAGGCTGCTTTCGATTACTTGCATGAATATGATATCGCGCATACGACTGATAGCCTTAATCTTTTGTTAGTCCCGATACCAAATTTATCTATATCAATGTTGGATTCGGTTTTCATGTTCAAATGACACTGAAAGAAGCTTTGGAATTCATTGAAAAGAAGACCCAGCAACTACAAAATCGCGCCGAAAAACAAACCCAGGAAGCGGCCAAGATTAGAGCCAACATCAAATTGGTAAGGCCAGCTAATATTTACTAGAAACGATACTACCCCATCAACAGGCTAATTATTGGTATAACTTCTGCAGGTCATGAGAGCTATACAAGAGGTCTTAGAACTGACGCAAGACGAAGAGTAGTATTAATCACCATCCTCTGATAGATTTTATCTCACCAATGAGTATTTACAGCCAGCTGCTGGCTGTGATATTTGTACATCGGCATTCATTATCTTCATGACAAGCAAGGCTTTTTACCTCTTTTGTATCATCATTTCTTCATCTTTCATACTGTATTTTTACAATTCCTATTTCAAAACTTTGATTTTCGCTTTCTTTTGCCTGGAAGGGATATGAAAATAAAAATGTTTGAATTCCCCATTTTTTAAGAAACCGACGGATTCTCGATCTGGACATCGATGATTCACGAAGTTGCATGCTATGAATATTTTACTGAAGGCACGTCGTTTTAGTCTGCGATTCCTGCAATCGACTTATGGAAAAGCAATGTATGCTTATCTTAATTACATTAACAGTCTGATGTCGAAGGCGTGTTGGAGCATGTTGCTACGAACAACCATTCAGGCGACCCAGATCAGATCAGGTACATACGCATAGTACTGAACTTTCGATCGCCAATCCATTCTTATTTTGACACTTCCATTCTAGTCACACCGTGATTTCGCTATTAGCCCAGGAAGTAGAACACACCAGACAGCGTTTGGATGGAGTCAGCTTTGAACAGGAACTTCATAAAGTCCTATTTCGAGCATGGCAACAAAATACCGGTAGCTATCAATTAGTCCCAACAGTCAGAAAATCATGTTCACGCAAACTTAATAAAACATTGAATGTTGCAGGATCTTATCGACCTTACGCTAAATTTCACCACCGCAACGGATTGAAAACAATCGAATATTATCAGTTATTGAACAAATTCAATCTGTGGCAGCAGCTAGCTGTAACTGTGTACACACTTCCACCAGAGGTTGACCATTTGTCTTTTGTGCCTTCGATTCCTACCAGCGAACGTTAACTTAATACATCATCCTTTACAGCTCGCCATAGATATTCTCGAGACATTGGGAGGAATTTGTCTTAAAGATGACAGCGACAACGCATACATCGCCATCTACTTGATTGTATGTGCCAATTTACCGGTGCGCCAGCGAATCGAGAAATGCGAGACGACAATAATGACTTTCTTGCAAAGAAGTTTCAATGGTAAGCCTACAGCCTTTGAAACTTTATCCACATTCACGCAGATAGCAGACAGTTGACTTTTTTCCCTAGCATATATTTCCAGTGCGTTGCTGACACTACTGAAATCCCTCATTGTGGGCATGACGACGGCGACAGCAAGCTCTGATGTTACGAAACCCATCCCAGACATCCTCCAAAATTTGTTGAACCAACTTATGAAAGCCAGTGCAAATAATGACAGCATGCAAACGCCACATAGTCAACCGTGGCAGAAGTTGTTCTGGATGCGACTTAGACAACTCATTGATTCTTCAAAAGGTAAGTATTTGAGATGGTTGTAAATTACGAAAGATAATTTGTAATGACATTTCGACAGATTGCCGCCTGATGGATATTCATAAGATTTGCGAGGAAGAACTTCAAAAGCTGCAAACGACATATAAGAATAAGCAATGCATATCCTTAACAAAGCAAGATTTTACCAAGTACGATGAGTTAATATGGCCATGTTTTCAATGTGTGTTCCAATTCTAATGTTATATTTGCCAGATTCAGAGACAATTCCAGTACTGATCCAGCGAAAGAACATCAAATAGCAAACAAACACCTTGCTTCCTTTATTCTGATTTACAAGAAGATAGCTATGAATTGCCCATTCGACAACTTTGTTATTGATGCCATTCCTGGATCTACCAATGAAAATGGCGTTACAACCAAAACATACAGTCAGAGACACCCTTTTTCATTTCACGCAGAAAGCCATAGTACACTGGGGCATTGTGTAGAAGAATGTTTGTACCGGATTCGTAATCACTTACCCGGATGGAAATCGTTCTTGGAATTGGCTGTGGATTATCAAGACGTGGTGTTCAGGTAGGTATTTTCAAATATCGGTTCATCATAATTACCAATATTCACCAAGATTTGAGGTAGTTATATTGAGCCTGGATCACAAATATGGCATGAGATATGTACTGCTATCGCTTCAGAAAAGCTATACTGGAAATTCTTTGAGCGTCTGGTTTATATCATCAAAATACACCTACAGACAGACGATCTGATAGAAAGCGACGAAATTCAGGTATGGAAAGAAGATACTTTCTAGTATATATTTGGTGGCAGTCCCTAAATATTATGCGATATTTAGGCACTCTGTGAAGTATTTATGGCAGTATTCAACTCCATAACCGATTTGGAGGAAAGGTTTAACTTTCGGAACCAAGTACATTACTCTAGGTAAGAAATGGTGACATTTAGATGCAGTTTGTTACGCCATTATTCACCTTTTTATGCATATATAATGTTATTTAGTCGTAATGAGGACTCCGAGAGTCTCTATATTCTATTCGAGACGTTTTCAGTGTGGTCTCGATCTACTCTCCTGGCATATGAAAACGAACTCAAAATAGTTTGCAATCAGATTGTCGAGGTGAGCGAAACTGGAGAGGTAGATGAAACTTCTGAACACCATACCGATCGCCTCATTATTGAGAAGCTTTGTACGGTAAGAGAACTTATATATGATGAATTTTCCACCGAAGGTTCTTTCTGACGTCTCTCAGATATCCGTTGTTATGCCATACTCTGTGGTGAGCCATTTGGTGATGAATTGCATTCGCAATAGAGGCCAAACTACGGCGATCGGACACATTCTTCAAATGTCTGGGGGAATTTGTTCTCTCATTACTGGCCCAGACAACAGTACACTCCTTATAGATGTCCTCAGCAGCGACGAGGTAATACGTATGCTGGAAACTCCCACTTCACGCCGAAACTATGTGGATTTGGTTTGTCAATGGGCGAAGGTAAGCTGCAGCCTATTTACTCCATAAAATAGAGTAACCATGTTAAAATCCATGCAATTTCATTGTAGCTTTCTACGGCTACTCAACCTCATACAAATGGTCAAGCACTGCTTGACCTTGTTCCATACTATCAATTTTGCCTCATTCCAGAGCTTTCAAAGGCTATAACGTCCACTTCCGTACGCGCTGCCGCGCTGCCGGCGTTTATACAATTGATATCCATAACACTTGGCATGCACTTTGAAGAAGGCAATCAGGATAGAGACAGCATGAAATCTGGATTTGATGCAGTACAACTCCAAAACAATCAAGGCGGACATGCTCGCAAATATTATGCAGCCGATCTCTTGAAGCGTTTGAACTGGGTTCAAATATTAGCCTATCTGGCGATGCTGCTCTCAACTCGAGCACACAATCTGGACAAGCCCAGCAGTGACAAGGACACCCTACATGTACATATGAAATTTGTCGATTGGGAAGCTTGCATTTTTGCTTTGGAAGCACTTGTGACTATCTCCGAGGACTATATCAATGAGCGTGATCAAAAGCCGAAGCGATCAAAGGAAACACTGTTGACATTGACAGATATGGCCGGGAGCATCGATACCCTCATTGACAAATCTTCTTGCTTCTGTAAGTGATATTATCTTATCTTTGTATAACCATGAGAACAAGCACTCATTCTGCTCATGCTATTTTCTAGGTTGGGATCTACAGCTTAGATTATACCCATTCTTCAGCAATGTTGCCCAGGGTCTAGCTTCGGATACCCCTTCAATGACTCTTCCCAATCATCTCAAGGAATTTCTTGAAGGCTTTGGTGGACCCATTGTATACTATGACGGAGGCAGTGATGAAAGCAACAAATGGACGCAGCTAATGATGGCTTGCAAATCGACTTCTTACATACACAGCACCGTCATAAAGGTAGGCAACCTGAATCTAACAAAAAAATCTACTACAAGGTGATTCCTATTTATTAAACATTCTATTGCAGAAATTATCCAGTTCTACAATATATACAACAGGAAAGCTGCACCCTGATAGGAGTGTCCATTTTGCGACCGGGATGTATCAAGCACTATTACCTAGCAGAACCATGAGCGTTTTGTCGGAATACAAGAGACTTCTCATTGATTTTCTGGGAAAATTATTTGATCTGCCCAACATTCCGGAAATGGTGCGAAACTATGACTATGATAGCGAATATATGAATAGGATGGTGAAAGACCTTGAACATGAAGGTTAGAATTGACAAGATACAATTTTACAAGGGATGACAGTACTGACATAATGTTGTATTTGCAGATCTGCGAGCACTTCACTCCATCATGTATTCGAAGCTTTTGCTAAGCACGTCGACACTATTGAGCAACCAATCAGACAACTCAGAAGGAAACACTTCGGCAGCTTCAGCAAAAGATAGTAACGACAACCACGTAACTTACTTTGTGGCTAGTATTATGAGAGTCATCCAGGCATGTATCGTGGAAGTCGAAATATCAGTTCCTCCAACAATCATAAATGTTAGAACTAACTAAATTTGCCTCCATAGTCGTTGAGAAACTGGTCAGATATTCTAGCAGATAACCGACTGCAGGTAGCAGAACTCCAACGTCAACCATTTTCAGACTACTTGCGACAAGTAATGCCAGAGCTTCATAATCTTCCACCCGAACCGTCTTTTCAATCACGGTCTGAAGACAAATTGGGTCATAACGGGACGGATGCATTGGATGATGCCATTAATATGTATATAGCAATGAGCAATGAGCAACAGGATGTACAGATGACAGCCCACCAGCCAAGAGAACTGATGTTCCCACCGTACTCGCCCACAATGGTTTCATATGTCAACTTGAGTGTCATTACTTTGAACCTATTGGCACATGCCAAAGCTCTGCTCAAAGACGAAAAGCTACGGGAGACTATTTGGATTCTCATGTCACACATCATTGAAGGCATTTGCAATGATCCGCAGAGAAAACGATTGATACAGGCTGCCAGAAAGGCCGGTAAGGCGACTATAAAGAATTGGAAGAAGAGGACAGACGATCACAAGTACATAGTCAAATGCCGGCCGCTACTTAGCCCTGACCAACAGGCTTTAACGCGAGATACCCTCACAGTGCTAGATTCCGAACAAGAGCGGCAGGTCATTTCAGATAAGTTAGACCTCAGTGGCTCTTCTAACGCCAAAGCACCATCATACTACTTTTGATTGGTTTGATGGACGTATTGCATAGATTTCGATATAGACAGTGTATTCTTTTTTTACATTACTTTTGAAAATAAAACGATACTAAACTAAATCCAGCATTGAAAGACCAGGGCTTCCAGGTACTGATTTATCTTTTCTCAAAATTCCTGGACTGGACGACATAGATCTATCCAACGCCATGAAACTAGGGCTAGCGGTCATTGACCTATCCAAGCCTCGCATTTTGAATTTTTCGAGCTCTCGTTCCAGTCGAGCCACTCGTTCAAGCGCTTCCTTCGCTTCTCGCTCTGCAGATCGTAGCAAACCACGGTTCTTGGCTTCAGACACAAACTGAAACACCAGTACCAAAAATTACTCAAACAATGTTGTTCGCAGTTTCAATGCTGAACATACTTACCAGGTCATCAAGCTCTGACCTCAAGCCTTGCACTCGCTGGTCTGCGGCAATTATGTCCAATTGCTGTTGACTAATCTGCTCTTCGTTCTCTTTCAATGCCTTTTTTTGAGATTCTATAACACGCTCATTATTACGAATGGTCCTTGTAGTTTCAATCTTGAATTTAGCTTCTAGTTCCAACTGAGCCTTTATATCTTCGATTCGACTGCCAGCTGGAGCATCTCGAGTCGCTTCACTTCCCAGTTGCACATCGTCCATGTTGAATTTCTGTAGTTCTTGAAGTTGCTTCTCCAGAGATGACTAGAAGCAAAATGCATTTAAAACCTTGAAGTACCGTCTCACGACCTCTCGATATATTCTTACTTTTTGTTGTTTAAGCTCATCATTGGATTTGAGCAGACGAGAGGTCTCATTATGAGCTTCGATAATGAGGAGCTCCGCTTTCTGCGCCTGGTTTTTGGCTTCAATTTGAGCATCATGTCTTTCATCCATCCTCGTTTTGAGCTCTTCAATTTCCGCAGAAAGATTTTGTATAGTGCGTTTGAACACTTGTTGGTTCTTCTTTTCTATTTGATTGTGGTCCTCCTCTTCGATAATCTTCTTTTGGAGTAAACGACAACGTTGCTCCAATTCGGTTCTCTGAATTTCGCTTTCCAATAATGCGTTCTGCGTATCGCTATTTTTAACACTTATAGCTTCCAGGTCTTCTTTAATGTCTTCTCGCTCGTCCTGAATCAACTGAAGTGTTTCAAACAAATCCGATATCCTTCCTTCGAGCCTTTCTTTATCTCGCCTCCACATAGCGTTGCCAGCTGTTTCCTCTTGCAGCCTAATGTTCAATTCTTCTACGGTGCAAACTTGTTCTCGGTTTTCAGATTGTAGCCGCTTTATGGTTTCTTTTTGTTCTTCAAGCTCGCTGGCTGTATTATTCAACTCACGTTGATATTTTCGTCGACTGCTATCATCTGCTTGAGCCCATTCCTCTTTTTCTTTGCCATACCGTTCTCGCTCCATTCTCAACTCTTCACCAAGACGTTTACGAGCACTCGATAATGATTCTTTGTCAATGGTAAGATCATCTATGTTGCTTTCCATTTCTCTCAGTTGGACCTCTAGGACCGCCAATTTGGAGTCCGCTTCCTTGCGGTGAAGTCGCTCTTTTTCGAGATTCTGTATCAACTCTTGTTGTTGAGTCTTCAATATGCTTTCAGATTTTTCCAGTCGTAGACGAGCAATTTCGGCGTCTTCGCACTTCTCCATGGCCTCTTTTGCTTTTTCTTTGTATATGACACTAATTTCAGCACTTTCTTTTGCCTTTGCTGTTTCGGTGCTGAATTTGATTTCCATATCATGAAGGTCAGTGTCAGCTTTTCTTCGCGCAGCCATTTCATTTGCCAGGCTGCTGGATGTGGTCTCCAATTGTTCTCTAACATCATCCAAGTCAGTCTGAAGTACTTGGTGTTGCTTCTCCATGAGACCAATGTCTCTTCTGTAGTCTTCTATTGATTGTTGCAATTGTCTCAGTTGTGCTTGAAGTGCGCGCTTTGACTCTTCTAACTTGGAATTTTTCGCATTGAACTCTTCCCAAACCTCCCGTCTGACTGATCCGTCCGATATGGATTCACGAGATACGAGATCCGCACGCTGCTGATCATTGATGCGCTCGATATCTTCTTGAAGCTGGACTACTTGCTCGTTCAGCCTTGCATTCTTGGTCTCCATGAGTTCCATAGCTTCTTGATCAGATATCTGATGTTGCTCTAGTTCATTTATCACTTTTTGAGCACTTCTCAAGGTGGCTGATGCTTCTTCACATTTTAGTTCCTGTTGGTCAATCTCTGATTGCAGTGTTTTTGCCTTGCTTTCGTAGATGCTTGCAACTTGTTGGTAATTTTCTCTAGCCATTGCTTCAGTTTCTGCTTTATGCTTCCATTCTACAATTTCAGCCTCTACTTGCTTCAATTTTTTCATCTTTTCACCATCTTGGTTCCCCTTTGAGCCATCTTCCAGTGCATGTAAATCTTTTCGAAGTTTGTCATTGGCATCCTTCAATGTTTCGGTTTTTTGCAATTCTGTATCGTACTTCTCGGTCAGTTTATCTATTTCTTTCATCAGCAACAGTTTTGTATCTCGCCAAGCCGTTTCTTTTGATGAGAACTCATGTTCCATTTGCAATCTGTAGTCTATGCCGTACTGCTCGATCTTCTTCCGTGACACTTCAGCCAACTTGACAGATTCCTTGAGTTTCAGCTCCTCTTCTTCAAGTTCCTTGACTCGGTGCTCAAGCTGTCGGCGTAATTTCTTGCTCTCGTTAGTCACCTTATCATCTTTACCTGCTTCAATTCCAAAGGCTGCTAGCTCTTGCTCGACAATATCTTTACGTTTTTGGAGGTTGGTTACAAGATCACGCTTTTCTTCAACTTCAGATAAGAGACTGTCCACAGTGTGTTGTAATTGTCTTGCCACACTTTCTGTTTCTTCTCCCTTCTGTTGTTCTTTACCAAGCTGCATCTTCATCATCTCATTCTGTGTCTCGGTATGCTTTAAGAGTGTTTGCACCTGCTTCAATGCCGATTTTTCGCTGTCTGACTCCAATTGCAAACCTTCAACCTCTGTAGTTAAACGGCAATTTGCTTTTTCGATTAGAGATATATGACTTTGCAGCTTTTCTTTTTCAGCTTGAAAACTATCTCTATCTTCTTGGTTAATCTTCACATTTTCTTGCAATGATTTTCGAAGAGTTTCCACTTCTTGGCGGTGCTGAGCTCTCAGCCGATCAATTTCAGAATTCACGACTAAAATTTCTTTTTCAGCTTTGCTTCTGACCGCTTCCGAGGCAGAGATTTTGATCTGCATATCACTATTTTCTTGTCTAATGCCTGCATTTGTCGAATCCATCTCTGACAGTGCTTGGGTGAGATGACTGATCTTAGACTCTTGTTCCGTATTTAACTTCTTCAATACATCCGACGAAGCGAGGAAATTATGGTTCTGCTCCTCTATCTCGTTGTTCTTTCCCAATTCAGCGGTCAGCTTGCGTTCAAGCAAAGAAATCTTTTCATAAGAAGTCGACACAATGATTTGTAAATCAGAGATTTCAGATTTCTTCGTCTTGAGCTCATTTGTAACTCGCACTTTGAATGCTTCAGCGACATCGAATTTCTCGCTAGTTTCTTCCACTTGCAGTTTAAGTGCCTTTGTCATCTTTTCACTTTCACTCCTCTGTTTCTCCAAATTGAATATCTCTTCTCGCAGTTGCTGCTTCTCTTCGAACAGTTCAGTGGTGACATCCTTGTTCTTCATGCGCAGCTGCTGGATTTCTTGCTGGTGGACAGATTGCTGTAGCTTCAAATTTTTCAACTCCTGTTCGTACGAATTTCTGAGCTCCCTTTGCTTGGCTTCTTCATCCACTTTTGCCTCCAGGAAATCTCGAAGTTTTGATATTTCTTCTTGATATTTAGTGTGTTCCTCAATGAATTGCTGCTTCTTGAGCTTCTCAACGTTAAGCTCTTCTTTGAGTATGGAAAAATTACTTTGGTTCATTTGGTTGTCTTGTGCTATGCGCTCTTTTTCCATTGTCAGCTCGTCAATTTGACATTTAAGTTGAGTGGATTCCTGGTCTTTGGTTTGAATTGATGCTTGATATGTTGCATTTTGAATTTCCAAATTTTGTATCTTTTCAATGGAAGCCTATAACTTCAAATCAGTAGATAGCCAAACTGTGTTATACTGAGGGATGGATGAAATACTAACCGTGTAGTCCACTTTTAATATTTGAAGCTTTTGATTGGCTTTGGATGCGTCTTCAAGCTCTTGCTTACAGATTTGAAGATTCTTGTTAACTTTTTGCAACTCCTCCAGAGTGCCAGAAAGGTCATATTGAGCACGAAGAAGTATTTCTGAGTTGTCTTCTGCTAATTTTCGCTCAGATTCTAGCTGCCTGCAGAGTTCAAGCTTCTCATGGTCCAAACTGCGACGAAGATCATCACACTTCATATATTCCGCTTGTTTCTCGTGTAATCGCGCTTCAAGCTCCTCAATGGTGTCTTTCTTCTCCTGTATGTCGTCTTCCATCCTTTTTACGCTCGTAAGCGGTTTAAGTTTGATGTATAGACGCCACCAGCCCCAACTGTTCAAGGTGACAAAAACTCTCGCGTTCTTTTGGATAGTTTTGATCTTTTCGACTTGTACTGCTCTCTTTCGGCTGAAGCTTCTTCTCAAATACGTTCGGCAGCGGGCTTGGAAGTTTGTGAAAACCAATTTAAGCTGGTAATCCCGCATTTCGTCCAGGTGTGCCATCTAAATCAACGTTTAGATCTTTGGTATACCCAATCTATTAAACTTAAAAAGAAACATGGAAAGAGAGTGCGTACCACATCTGCCTTGAAGAAGACTTTACTGAGACCTATCCTGTAGGTATTTTCTTCCAGTTTTGCTGCCTGCAACAAGATTTCAGCAGTCTTGCGCCCGTCCACAAACCCAGTGGCAATCTGTCCAGGACAAAGGATTTCATACTTTTTGCGGAAATTTGCAAAGGACAGGCGGTGTGGATATCCTTTCCGTTGAATTCGAATACCTTCCATGACTCCATTACATCGTAGTTGATGAAGAACAAGTGGTACTGAGAACTTGGATGGCTTGTATTCGTTATTTGGAACAATGCACCGAATGAAATGGGGCTGAGTATCGTAAAGCGTTTTGATGAGGGACTTCAATTGTTCTCTGTGTCGTTGGCCGACCGTTCGCAGAAATCCAACACTTTTTCTTTGTTTAGTTGCTCCAAAAGATGTGCTTGCTGCTGAAGTTGAGCTAACACTCATTCCGTCACCACTGTAACCCATGAATAATGATGCAAAATATTTTTCCGTTGAAGTTGTCAAAAGGCGTACGATATTTTCATTCAATGCTAAAGAAGTATGAATATGTCAATAAAAAACTTGGTATTGATGGCAGGTTAAAATGACTTACGATCTTTGTTTTTTTCTATCCATCCGTCTGTGGAATACTCCACATTAGCTGCATAATGATGGAGAATAAACCCACTACCAAATCGAGGCTTCTCATACTTGTTACTGCTTCCTGACCAAATTGAATGAAGCTTTTCTGTAAAGGTGGTATCTGTAGCCTTAGGCATAACGCATTCTTCATCGAGACATGAAAGTATTCCTATGGGCTTATTATTTCTGTCAATATTTTTCAACTCTGCAAAGTACAAAATAATAACTCTTACATTGGTCTTTTCAATGAGATCAATGGTGGGCTGAAGATCTAGACCAAAGTCAATGTAAGACCACTCAATCCCCTCCTTTTTATACTCTTCTTGTTCAGCTGTGAATGTATTGTGGTTGAAAAATTGTTGTAGCTTTTCGTTGGTATAATTGATGCACAATTGCTCAAAGCTATTTTTCTGAACAATAGTATGTATGTGAATGAAACATTATTAGCCCAGCATAGCTTTACTTTCATTACTTACTTCGAATATCTCAAATCCAGCGATGTCTAGCACACCGATAAAGCCGAGATTTCCATATCCCTTTCCACCATCGATTTCCTGATTGATTCTTTCAACTAGTCGACTGAAACTTCTTTCATAAAGTACTTTGGCCAATGCATCCAGGCTTGATACAACTTGTATTCTATTTCGCGCCTGAACTACCCAGTCTCTACCAGCCTTTATTTGTGGAGTGAGTAAACAGGTACAAAAGTCTTGGACAGGAATACCTAATAAACGGCACGCTCTTTCGACTTCCGAGTAATCAGTAATCTCTGCTTGATCATTGCGATCTTCAGTGATCGAAATGTTTCCAAGATGAAGTACTGCTGCTGCTACGCGAAGGAAGTCCATCTGTTCTTCATAGTCGAAACCTATCGTACTCATTGCATTCTGATACAGCACAATTAACGTCAATATGGATCATTCGGGCGAAGAAAAGCGTCTTGTGCACATACCATTGTTTTCTGTAGCTCCAGTGAATCATCAACTCCTTCGATCACCCTTGAGGAATCTTTGAGATACCGGTAGTCACTCAGTTTGCCCTCCAGGAGCAAGGAAGCTAATTTAGAGAAACAAGTTTAACGCTCTACTTAGATTTCCTGACATATGTACAGAACAATAAATACCTTTCATCTCATCGTCTGCAGAAAGCAGCTGATAGAAGATATGATAGTTTCTCTCTTTCTGTGATTGGTGATGTACACGAGATTTCTCTAGCAAATAGTAGTCTATATGAGCACCACATATGGTACCCCCAAGACTAAATGCAATCCTGATAAATTTTCCCTAACATAGAGAGTTGGTGAAGAGCATATCATGAGACAACAATGGCAACCACTTACAAAACGAGATGAGTTCTTATTTCGAACGGTTTGAGCATTTCCAAATGCCTCCAATATAGGATTGGCTTGCAAGATTTGCTGTTCCAGCTTTCCTATCTTCTGGTCACTTGCTATTGTCGTCAGGTATTGAATTACTCTCTTCGTGCTTTCGGTTTTTCCAGCACCAGATTCGCCTCTTTAACAAGATATATTAGCCGTTGAATTTTCGTCGCATTTAACAAATATAGAATACATACGTTATGAGGATACTTTGGTTTTCGTTGTTTCTAATCATATCGTGGTATGCTTGATCTGCGGCTGCAAAGATGTGTGGTGGAAGCTCCCCTCGCCTCTTGTTCTTGTAAAGAGCCACTGTTTCGTCGGAATACATTGGGAGGGATTGGAACGGATTTACTGCTACTAGGAACAGCGCGGAATAAGTCTGCAAACATTGATCACATTAATCTAAGTTGAGTAAGGCGGGATGCTTCTGTCAACTGCTTACATAGATTTTGTTGGATAGGTATCGCAGTCGAAGATTCTGAACAACAGATGCTTCATTAAGGTACGTGAGCTGAGCTGCATCTTCCACTTGATCAAATTTGGGTGGATTCATCTGGTGAGTCTCATTTATGTTTACCGTTCGGACCTGTAGAGATCGTCAGCATGCAAGTCTGCCGCTATATCTCGTATTTCCTTTTTACTTACCTTCCCATCATTCAACGCAACTTGCACACTTTGCTGGTTCTGACTTCCGCTAACGATTTGACCAGGCAAATATCCTTCGTCTTTATCTTCCAGCCATACCCATTTTTGCTCGCTGAAAGCTGAATGCACGACTACATCTGCTACCTCGTTGGTGGAAGCTTCCAAGATATATTCCAAATTATTTAATGCCAACTTTGAACTGCCTCCCGTTGGAGACATCTGAACCATGCTGATAACGGGCCAGGGTTTCGTTATGTCCAAAGAAGAAGCAAGAGATTCTCTTTTCTTATATCCAAATAAACAGGAACCAATATATCAATCGAAGCTGATCACTGGTTCAAAGCTTATTTAAATGTTGGGAATGTAAGCATATAAACTATGCGGAGCCACTGTTGCCTTCGCCTCGCTTCTTCATACAATCATCACAACAGCTACACCTGACTGAATAATCTTAGTTTCTTTGAAACTGTATTTTCTGTTTTCTTTAGCGAGTATATTTTATACTGTGAACAGCCTAAATCCTGTTACCATTCGTACTATTTACCATTAAAGACAAGTCTGTGGAATGCAAAGTCAACCCCCTCAGTTCGTCCCATAAGCTTTGTGTCAACAACTATATTTTTGCAACATTCATTTACACTGCAAAAAAGTACTGTAGACCAACGATCAATAGTTAGCGAATAATATTATTGCATCTTCGCACAAGAACCACGGGTTTGTGCACACGCGTTTTTCCTGAGAGTTTCACCGATTTTGTTGTTTATGCTCATACACATTTGACTTCCCTTAGTCCAAACTGTAAATTATTCATATAAACAAGCCAACTATTAAGAATCACATACAGACTGTTGTCATACAGCGATATACACAAATTGTCATCTTGGATGGCCATATGACAATAGCCTTATTACATAACAGAGAAGGCAGTATTTATTTATATAAATACGCTTGGAGTATACTGCAAATTAGCATCACTAAAGCTACCAGCGCTAAGGCAAGCAGTATAGTCAAAGCCGGGTTGATTTCGACAGCCACTGCAGAGAAAAAGTTGGTTAGATCTACGCGGTTTGCTGTTGAGGGTTATATAAGCTTACTCACTTGATTCAAAGACCTTTGGTAAAACAACTGCCCTGCACTTGTTTTCGGCTGATGAACTAACCAATAAAGACCTATCGTGGTTGATAGCTAGTCCAGTGATGGAGAAACTATGGGCTTCCTTGACCTGCAATAATTTCTGATATCGAAAATAGTCAAATCACTAGCTCAATTATTTTCATAGTGGATGTTAAATAACTTACTTGAAGGTTCATTGTATCGAAGACTCCAATAGATAAATCAGCTGAGGCATAAGCACCGATACTGCCGTCCTTGCTATAAGTTTCCGAAGCGATATTTAGCATTTGTGACCATTTATGACACACTGCTGTGAACACACCTACCTCACACAGAAGGCAGTCAACGGCTTGCCGCTGATCTTCTTGGACTTGACTATTTCCAAAGTGTGAGAGTTGAACTTAATGATTGTACCCTTGTCCCGGGCTTTTGAGTTCAGAGCAACGAAAGCGTGGTCTGATGAGACTCCATTTCCATATCTTACGTGATGAAAATGTATTAGACCAAAACCTCCTGTATATAGAAATGCAACCAATACTTACCGTACAGCCCGGAATTCCGACTTCACTGTCTTATCCAGACTATTAGCTTGAAGAGTTTGAAGCTCTCGACCGGCTCTCTTCCCACGCAGACTGATTAACCTTAACAAACCCGACGTAACCACCAGTAGCTTTTCATTGTCAAAGTCAAAATCAACATCCAAGATCTCCTCGTTTTCAAATTCAAGTGGTGGAATAACTTGTTCAAGAGAAGGATATTTCAGTAGAGTCAATATGCCATCTGTGGTGCCCGTGGCTAAGAACTGTCCATCCTTGCTGTACCGACACACTTTCTATCATGAAAAACAGAATCAGCTTCCAATCTCTGGGTGGTCATTGGATCTTTCTCGTGCCTACCTGATGATCATCAACGTTTTTACTTTTGATCGTTCGGACAGACTCGATGAGCTTGAAACTGCCAGATAGCAATTACCTAATAAGCCATCATGCGCACGACTTCCAATAACCTTTAAACTAATACCTATCATCATCCAGATCGAAGACACGACAATTCTTGCTATCACCAGATTCAACACTCTTGTCGGTTCCATTCACACCAACAGCGCATTCGTCTTTCTAATGGAGGAATGCTGGGGTTAAGACGGAGAAACACGTGGCTGTAGTGGCTGCTGGACCGCGTCGAACGTCCAACACAACTTACTGTGGGATGTACATCCAGACACATAGGTGCATCTTCCTCAGATCCAAACTCGAATTCTGCGTCTTCGCGAAACTCCTTGCGCCTAACATCTACTTTGTAGCTTGCCTGTACAATCGAAGGTAAGCAAACATCACAGGCATAGGTTGCCCAGTGTCAATCTCGAACTCACCACTTTGTTCTTGACTCCCGTTCTTCCAGAACCGCCACCGCCTCCAACAACTAATTCATCTCCTGCGGTAAATCCTAGTCCGAATATAGGGATTCCAACATCGGCAGTGAAAGTGGTTACAGGCATGATGTTGATTTGACTGTAACCGGTTTGGAGAAGGCTAAAGTTGGAAGTCAGCGGAGTCCATCAAAGCCCGTTCTAATAATGGTAAAACTACTTTATTGAAATCAGAAAATTTATTCTTCAAGTTTTACGAGCGACTGCCACTTGGCAGCGTACTTCGGCTGCACCTTAAATTCTGAAAGATAGGGCTCAAATTCAATGATGATTTGATATAGCCCGCTCTTCAAAGCTGCATAGATATGGTAAGCATGTGACACGGAAGAGAACATCAATATATTAGACAGCACTTACCATTAATAATTTGAAGGGGTTCACGAATTGTGATCCTACTGTCGCTACTAGCCGTTAACGCACTGTATGAGGCCGGTGGGTTGTACATTAATGATTCCACTTCTTGAAGACACCCAAGCATGCAGTCAATTACAGCAGGTATGTCGCGCTGTACGAGGCCAAATTCATCCTCCTTGAGCGAAGCAGATGTAAGATTACTTAAGGCTATAACACTTCGTTAGTACAAAAGGCAATAATATATCTGTATAGTATATCTTCCCATACTCACACTCAATAGCATAGAGGGTTATTTGGGAACTAGGGAAAAGCGATTGAACCTTGCGAACCAGCCCGCGTGCGAATACTTGATTCCAAATGGGCCATTGTCGAATATAACCATGAATTCTGGCCAGCCATCCTTCGAGCTCTTTCTTTGGATCTTCCAAATTGAAGGAATCTGCAACTGTAGTCGCTTTGGAATGTGTGACAGGGAGCATCTTTGGCAACTCAGCAATGCTTCGCAGGATGTCTCCTGTTCTGTCTTCCACGTCTTCATCTTGGTATGCCATTATAGGCTTTCGAGATACCCGACTAGTAAGCATTTCTTGCTCTATTGGGCTGATTCGCTTGATGTTAAGGGTCTTTTCCGCCACAATATCCAACCTGTTCTTGATTGGCGATGCTGTTATGATTGAGGTAAGCTTAAGTAGCTGATCCGGCAATTCTCAATAACATAATGGTGAAACCTACGAATGATGTCTGGTCGTTTGTATTCCGCTATCACTGTGTTTTTCACTTCATCTATGGTCTTCATACATTCCTGGCTTATTTTCTTCCATGCGGAGATCCCATTGTCAGTACCGATGTCGTTGTAAATAGTGGCGCGTCGGGCAGGTTCAGACTTGGAAATTCGAGCTAGTTCTGAATATGACAGTGCCTACACCACCGGTTGATGTTAGCACTAAAACAGGAATGCTTTAGGCAAGCAGTCAATCATATATTCGTACCTGGATGAAAGGCTTTTGATGCATTTGAAGTCCTGATAGCAGACAGGAATTGGCATCCGTGGCCAATTGCGAAACCAATAGAGGCTAATGTAGCTTGGAGCTTAGTCTTTTTCTTTTTTTGGAATTATCAGCCTCACAAAGTGTTATCTTGAGGCGACTTACCTGTGTCAAAAATATATCGTAAAGCTGATCGAACAAGTCCCAACTGAAAGTAGTCAAAACCCCGCTAAGGTACAATTGTAAAAACAAGTAGACATTGAACCATCCAAAGGAGACGATTGGAGTATCCAACATTCTTGTTTGAGCGTTAGAACTTGCTGACCCTTGATTTTGAATATAAATTACCCGTTACTACTTACTTTGTAAAGAGGCCAGCAATATGCGCACCATGCCAATAGATTGTCCTTCGGAAAACAAGATATAAAATATAGTTTCCGACTATGACACGAAAAGAAAATTGTGCACTGTTGTGCGCGATCGTCGCGATTTCAGATTTTACAACATGTCGTTTTGCTTGCTATGGAGACAATCATGTTAAGATGCAATGAAACTTTATAATCCAAAGTATTGAATACTTACTTGCACAGCAGGGAACTTTATAAGGTTACGATCGTTCAAGATTCGTCTTGCACCATACACTGTTCCAAGTACCAGACCAAACATTGATAGGAAAATGTTTTGCTCATTGAGTTGCCTTGCGCCATATCGATTTCTGGAAGCGATATCAGCCTTCGAACATTCTTTGTGTTCACTTAATGTTGTTCAGTATAGAATTTGAGCTTACCCTTGTGGATATATTAAAAGGTCCTCTGTGTACTTTTCATCATGTAGCACATTCATGTACATTCGAGTTAGGATAAATCCACTGATGGTGTATGGTAGTATGGATAGCCAGGTGTTTGACTTCGTAATTCTAGACACAATTTCAGACCATAATGTTGGGTAGCTGTTTTTGCGAACTTTTTCGAATGAGAATCACGTTAGCCATATCAATACTACTAAGGATAAAGCCTTTCGAAGACGTATCGCGTACCTGTGGTCTGTGACTTTCTGACAAACAAAAGGCAGCAAGAAACGACTGACAGTGCTAATGAAAATATCCATATTTCGGGTGATAAGAGCTTCTTGGCTGTTCCAGCTGAAGATTGATACAGTAAGTCTGATGATCGCATTGTATAACCTACGCTGATCTAAAACTTACTGAGTCCGTCACCTAATCTCGCCTGAAAGAGGATCGACAGGGCAATGTGGAAGCCAAGCTGTGTTGCAAGTAGTTGAAGGAGCCTATCGTTTAATTCCGGAGTGCACACTGTTAAATACGACGTCGCCTTGTTGGGGCTAGCTGGGGTAGCACTCGACATTTTGACTGTGGACAAGCTACACTCAATTCCTCGGTTTGCGAGCAACAAAGCAAAAAAATGAGAATGTTGCTGCTGAGACTGCTTCTGCTCACGCGAAATTTTTGGGCTGGTAGTTTTTCAGCGTCATCGCACTGCATAAATTTGGCTGTTTCAAGTGCCTAAAGCGCTTCTATGAACCGAACCTTTTCGGTTTACAAAAAGCATTTCATATGCCCTCATGGCCTCTACATTACACCGTACTAGAATGTTTGACAACGAGAAAAAATCCCATTTATTAAAATTGTACCCTGCGTTACGCTTGTTTACAGCTAGGTTATGCCTCTGCAAACACATAATTTACTCTCCCTTCCAAGCTTGACCGAAGTATAGCATTTGGAATTGATCGTACAGGGAAATGACTAGGGCAGCCGCACTACCTCTGAGGATATTAGCACCTGCTCCTTTGAAGAAGGCTTTCGTACCTTCTTTTGCAAAAATTTCTTTGAACGCATGAATGGAAGAATCGTACTTGACAGCTTGACCGGATGTCAGCATCATACGACGGCGGACAGTGTCGATGGGATACGAAACTGATATTCAATCAGTAATGACCAGAGTATACGAATTTCAATCAGCACTATTCACATGTACTCACCAAAACTGGCGCCTGTGACGACGGCAAATCCCACAGCAAAGTTTGCAAATAGGTTATTGCGCCATCTCGAGGGCAATAGCGGCTTAAATGTATCATAAAGACCGAAGTAGAGACCACGATATACGATGATACCAGCTATAACGAAGTCAACACTTGGCGAGTAGTTTAACATTGATTTTTAAATATATATATTTACCACACGAAATGTTGAATCCGCGATAGATACCAGCAGCTCCATCAGATTTTAGAGTCTTTCTCCATACATCAAGTATGCCATTGTACTGTCTGGCACCGCCAGTGGAGGTCTTTGAATCGTTCGAGAGTCGAGTTCGAGCATACTCGAGAGGATACACAAATGCCAAAGAAGTTGCCCCAGCGGCACTTCCAGCAGCGATGTTACCAGCAGCCCAACGAATATATCCATTCTTTTCTTTACTCTATTGATGGTATTCTTAACTGGCTAGATCGAAGTAAAGGTAAGAATTGTTTGTCACTAACCTGGTTAAAAAGACGCTTGTACTTGTCCTTGAAAGCAAAGTTTAGAGCCTGAGTCGGAAAGTAGCGAAGAACATTGGCAAAATTGCCACGCCAAAAGGCGAGAGTTCCTTCTTCTTTATAGACCCTGATAAAACAATCACCTATACCCTGCGACGATCGGAGTCAGAAATGTTGAAATGCATGGTTCGAAATCGATCATTTACCTTATATGGCTGTGCCAATCTACCAGATTTGACAAGCTCTCCTTGGTTTTGAAGTAGAAGCTTGACACGCTCAATGGGAGCAGCAGCAGTCTTTGAGATTGCAGCGCTCACGCCGCCCATTGCAAAGTCCTAGACACCGGTTAGATTCACTGTTTGCTAGTAGGAAGTGTATACGGTACAATGCAAAAAAAAACTTACAATGAGAAAGGTTGATTCTGTCTTTGTGGACATCGTAGGTTTTTAATTGTTTCCTTAGGTGGGGATGGTGTTAATTTCAGTGAAGTATGAGATTTTCGTCTGCTTTGCCATGTCTCACTGTATTGAGCAAGTTATATATTAGATTCAAAATTCCGTGGGTTAGGTTAACGGAACGAATGACTCTTACGGCGGCGACAACCGGGAGCTATTGTATTTCCTGTACCCTTCAGAGTCGACATGCTTGTAGTAAGTATCCAGCATAGCCTCAATAATGTAGATAGATAAGCAAAGCCAGTAGAGGTCCATGCATTTTTTTTTTTTTTTGAATTATGGACGGGACTTAGGTTTTTGTGACAGCGCAATCGCGTTGAAGCTACTTATGACCTCAGTTCCTGATTACATTAGTGCTCAACGGCAAAGGTAACAAGTATGATGTCGCAAATGACCGATGATAGTAAACTTACATCCATAACTTTTAGCAAACAAAAGCTACCTCTACAATTCATATTTTGCATACTGAATTTACTTCGCTCATTGATATTCATAAATAAGTGTGCCAATGCTCAGATTTTCGCCTTAGAAGATGGCGACCGGCAACAAATTTGTGAAACTAGCTGCAAAGGACGTAGAGGGGGGGGGGGGGTTTGAGGCAGATCCAGTTGCGGATTTGTGTTTAACGCAGTATTATGATATGTAACACATTATCAATGTTGTTCCACTTGAAGAGTGCAACTATTCAGTATGCCCAAAGCCGTTCCTTATACCCATGCCAAACACTGCTCTTTGGATAGACAGTGACAGCATGTTCATTTAAACCTGCATTTGTAAAAAATCGCCAAATCTAAACTGTGCCTGCCGGCCTGAACGGCGGCTTTCGTAAACTTTCGCAAGAAAATTGGCATGCAGCGGTGTCGTGCTCCCGGTCACCTTGGCCAATCTGAGTTATTAGATACCATACCTTGGCTCTTCCTTTTCTTCTTTTCAATTAATATTTATTTTGGTTAAAATGAACATATGTTGAACAATCTTCTATGTGGCATTGAGCGGTAAGATCGTATCTCTTGCACGGCCTTGCATCATCCTGGTATTCAATATAAGCAAATCGTGCTTTCGAATCCATTTTACGATCGTATGGGAGCTATTGAAGCAATTTAAGCAGCTAAACTACTGAGGTCCGGTTTTCTGGCCATAACAGTATCTCTGTCGAAGATAACAGTTTGACCATCTAACACATAAGTGCTGTCCTGATGTTAATCCAAAAGGGAAGCAACGTTCGCTGTCAAATGAGTTCCCAATGCGATGCCTCTTCTATCTTCTATAATACGTTCTCATTTGGTGTACGCGGCTATTCTTTTGACGTCTCGCTCTAAGAGTGAAATAAGTACTTTCGTTCTGGGGATACAAAAGGGCAATGACGATATTAAAATTCGCGCGAGTTTCTAACGTCTCAAGACATTGTCACTGATTGCGTCTTCCAAAAAGAAAGCATGTCAGATTCAGTAGAAATGAAACTTTCAAATCGCTCGACAGCATTCCCTCGTGTTGGCAAGCGTGGTTGACAATGAAATTCGATCCCGAGCTTGGAAAGGCGCAAAAACTGAGTTGCTGCAAGTGACTGCATTTCAAAAAGTCACGCAAACCACTTCAGCGTGGTGCAACCCAGGCCGAACAGCAGTAACTCACAAAGCACGATGCAAACTCATATGATAACCAAACCTTGCCGATCCCTTCACCGGACAATCGGCTTACTTCAGCCTAAAGCTTATTGTGTTCGTCTATATAGTCAAAGCACACAGAAAGCGCAATCTACGCACGATCAATCTGATGGGAATAATATTAGTGCTACAGTCGACGCTCCTGATAAACCAGCGTATAAGTCTGCAACAAGCTTCCGTAAGAATGGGCTTATAGTTATTCATAGTATGATTATTTCGTGCTAATGACGTTATATGATATCTGGTTCTACTTAGCTTGGCTGCTGTCCAAAGAAGAACCGAGAATCCCTTCATATCCATATCCAAGCGCTCCAAGCATGTGGTCACTTTTGAACTATCTGCCTGCGTTTGCTCAGCGGGAAATGAGCAAATACCTTGGCACAAGAATGCTTCGGCTGAATACAGGCTTCTCATATTTCCCTGAGCAATTTCTTATTGGCGGTAAGTGCATTCATGATCATTGTTGGGCGGGTTCATTCGTCATTAACAAAGGAAGGATATAGCGTCTTTGGCCACTAGAAAGGCTCTTGAAATTCTTTCCGAGGATTTGACCATGGGGAATAAGGAGTCGTCAGAGAAATTGGAATCTACTTTCTCACCAGCTCTATTGCAAAAGCTGAGAGATATACGTAAAGAAATGGACCCTAACCTCAACATTGATATTTCAATACCACAAATTTACGATGCTACCATCAAGGACGTTTGGATTACACTTGGCACTCCCCGCGCGTTTGATAACAATCGACAGTTTGAAGTGATGCAGTGGATGACGTTAACAGTTGGAGTCAAAGCGGCTAAACAAACTGAAGAGGAAGAAAACTTTTCGGATTATAGAGGACGCGTTGCAAAAGGACTAATGGATGGTGCTCACTTCAAGGTTGATGTAGAAATTGATGCCGATGTAGAATATACAGTTTCATCTCCCAAATTACAGGAAGTCGGCGACGCCGATATTTTGATTCATGATCGTGGAAGACGACCGCTTATCATAAGCTTTGAAACACCATACTTTGAGCCAGCTGATCGTATGGTCGCTGGTAGAGATGAAAATGACGAGCCGATTATGGATTGGAACTGGCGTATAGCTGATATTGACCAATTATTAGCAAAAGAAGCTCTAGAACAGGAATCGTAATAAACGAATAGTTATTATAGAATACCGTATGACTTTAATGCCTAATATTTTTCGACTTTCGCATAATATAGAATCTGTGTGTCTAGATAAGCATAACATCAATTGGTTGTTTATTGAGGTAAACACCACCGTCGCAACTCCATTTAAATTTGTGATACTCCTGTAATTCGCCTGAATTCGACTTCAGTATGTTTCCATAGCTGTTCGACATTACCTTCAGATCTCAATTTGCCAAGTAGTTCGACTACCTTGGCCCCGGAACTTTCTCCATCCCAGTGCAATGAATAGACGCCGCTTCCCATTTCACCGTTCGTTCCTCTTGCAGGCAACACTCCATCGGATAAAGGCACTCCTGAAGCTACTTCTTTAATTTGTCCTGGTGGCCCATACCTTGCACTTGTGGCGAAATATACATGACGATCACCGCATTCCTCATTCGAGATAAAAATGAATGGTCCTACAATTGCCATTATTCCTTCTGCAACGATATTCAATATGCGATTGCTGACACGCATCAAATTCGTCTTGACGGCACCTGGGTAATCATGGACAAAGCTTACTTCTGGTGCCATCTTTGAAACAGCTTCCAGCGACAAAGTGATCATCGAGCTTACATGTCCACGAACTGTGAGCAAGGAAAAATAGCGAGCCTGGTAATCGCTTTTATCAATTTTTCCTTCCTTACCCGCGGCGAACACAGTGACAACTCGACGAAGTCCAGAAGCTTGTCGGAGGAGTGGTAGAAGATTGACCATAAACCGAACGCGAGAGTAGTATGCTAACGCCGACGCAAAATGCAGTCCTTCCGTAGTTTCTGAATAAAAACCCTTTGTGAGACACCTTGATCCTTCATATTAATTTGCATGAGAAATCGAGCAAAGCAGTGGCCCTACCTGTATGGAAAACCAATGTTCCCTGACTGAGATATAGGAGATTGATAGTCTTCTCTTTGTTTTTTATTTCCTTGCACACATCATCGACGCTTTGAATAAGACTGACATTTGCTTTCATAAACATGTAATCTCCTTCCAAGTTTAAAGCCTTGCATTCGGTCACAATTCGATCTGCAGCCTCTTGTGATTGGCCAACGAAATAACATCGCGGTTTTTTGGCATACTTTGCGAATTGTTTAAGTGTCGCCTCTCCAATGCCGCTGGTTGCGCCAACAAAGACAGCAACCAGGCCTGGAGGAAGAGAGCTGGCAATTCTAGAATTTGATGCTTGAACGTCAGATAGCGAGATCATTTTCGAGGTGGTGTAAAAATGAATGACAATCATTTATACCTAAATTTATCTCCACCGCTCAGTTTTCCTTGAGCGGCATAGTAAGTGCCGAATCCGTTGTGCGATTAGACTGAAACTTTCAACTTGCCAACATCGAATTTGATTGGCTGTATATTGTGGCCGCTTCATATTAAGGCCGTGACCACGTAATGGATATCACCAGAGTCACTTTCGACACGTTTCAGAGTGCTATTGGGAGGGGAAGGAGGTCCGTGCCGGCATTTGCAGCTCTTGCATGTCATTGAGTCCCAAAATTTCCTTTACAAAATCAATGGAGGGATGATACGATATAAATTCAATTACTGTAACTGATGTTGCTTTATTAACACACCAATATTTTTTTATGTTCTGCCCTATTGCTTTTGATGATGGTCGAGGAGCTATAAATTCTATGTGTCCCTTTATGAATGGAGTCATACTCGGGTGATGATACTTTGATTTTATTTGTCCAGAAAGATCGACAGGTCATGTTTTCATTGAACAATCTTCCCTCGGCTCCCTCTTCGCCCTTGAGCGGCAGATGTGTCAGAGTTATTCGGGTCAAACGTTTTTTTGACGTTGTCAGTCGATGGTGTGCCTGGGTAGTTGATTTCTTAATGAATTAAACCTACTTCCCATGCCTTAGCAGCACCTTTTTTATCAGTAGACTTGGCTCCAATGAACCAATTTCCATTCTCGTTTCCACAGTATTCGCTTGTTGGACAGGAACCAGCGGCTTCCTTTACTTCCTTTAAAATGAAGACAGGAATATTTTCATTGTCAATATCCTTTGTGTCAATCTGGGATGGTATGGTTTTCGGGTCCAACACTATTGAGGAAGAAGGTAGGGTTAATATCCTCTGTGTTCTTTCTCGATGGCCAGCAGACCCAAACGCCTCTCTGTCATACTTTTTGGCTGTTCTCTCTCATAAGTTGACAATTCAGATAGATAGGGTGTCATCCCATTCCTTTTTCTGACAAAGTCGATGTCCCTGCTCATAGTTGATACAATTTTTTTTTTTTAATTTTTTTTGGTTTCCGGTCCGTGTGCAACGACAGTAAAGTAGAAATGCCTTTGTAAATGACTTTTTTTTTTGTCCTATGGTTAACATCGGCATGACACAAACTGGCTTCACATCAGCTGACATTATCAGACTTAGAGCATCTTTCGATGCGTCCGGGCAAGGCCATGTCTTTACTTTCTGGGATTCTTTGACAACTGAGCAGCAGCAAGACCTTTATACCCAACTTACTGAACTTGACATTTTCCGCATTAACCAAATCTACGACACCGCCGTCAAGAAGGCTACCGACTATACCTCTAATCAGGCTGCTATTGCACATCCGTTGTCAGCTGGTGCCTACGAATCAACTTTGACTGTGGATAGCTCCAGCCTTCAGGAATGGCGTGAACTAGGTTTGAAGCTGATCGCAGAAGGGAAGGTTGCAGTCATCTTTGTGGCTGGTTGTAAAGGTACCAGATTGGGTAGCTCGGGTCCTAGAGGATACTATGATATCAATTCGCCTTCAGGAAAGACCTGGTTCCAGTCCCAAGCCGAGCACATTATCAAATTGCAGAAAATGGCTCGGGCGAGCAATAGTGTCCAACATAATGTTGTTATTACATGGTACATTATTACATCAGGTCGTACTCACGACCCGATATATTCCATTTTCGAAAATAATAACTACTTCGGTTTGGAAAAGGAGAACGTTCTCTTTGTAAAACAAGGTAATTCTTCGTCGGGAGTTACGTTGGTTGAACCGAGAACTGCCGTGAATGACCATAACCTACTTATACCCATCTGTATTAGGTATATTACCTTGTTTGACCATGGAAGGCAAGATCCTTATGGAAGACAAATATAAGGTTGCTGTCGCTGCTGATAGCAATGGCGGTATTTATCATGCACTTCATAATAAGGGTGTCATCACTTCGCTTAAGGAACGTGGCATATTGTATTCCCATTGCTACGATGTCGACAACTGCCTTACCAGAGCTGCTGACCCAACCTTCATCGGTTACTCTGTTGCCAAGAACACCGACTGTGGTGTCAAGGTCGTTGCTACAGCTATATCAAAGGAACGTGTCGATGCTGTCGAGTATTTCCCAATCTCAAGGGAAGTCTTTGAGATTCGAAAAACAGATTGTACTCTTACCTTCGGTACCGCCAACATTGTAAATCATTTTTTCTCCACTGAATTTCTTGAGCGCATCTATACTTTCTCCCATGAACTGGAATATCACATTGCCAGAAAGAAAATCAAGCACATTAATTTAGATTCAGGTGAATTTATCACTCCCGAACTCTACAATGGCATGATGCTGGAATGCTTCATCTTTGATGTCTTCCCCTTTACTCGCAACCTTAGTGTCTTGGAAGTTGACCTCAATGAAGAATTCTCGCTACTCAAGAATATCCCTGATTTTGCCACCGATTGCTCTGAAACATCTCGACGTGATCTGGTCACTCAGCGCTTACGCGAATTTCAAGCAGCTAATGGTAGGAAAGTTCGAAAGGATAATAATGAGAATTTGGAGGTGAAGGTCTCGTCTTTGGTTTCTATATGGTGGTGAAGACCTGCAGAATGTCTGCCAAAATCATTTAAATCTTCTGTTGCTGCTCAAAATGCCTATCAGCTTGTATGAGTCCTCTCGTGTGTTTCCAAACTAAGTGACAATGTGTATATAGTATAGCTAATCCTTTTCTTTGACATCAATTTTTTATGCTCTACTCATGTTTTTTTAATTGCATAATCAGATCAGTGTTACGCATATAGAAGCAGATACGGCTTACGCTTCTTCCCATGTTGTTTTGATTGCCACTACCGTTCAAGCCGTGGATATCACACCAAATCTCATGTCATGCAGCTCTTGTAATCCCCTTCCTGTTCAACACTTGTGCTTTCTCGTTGTTACATGTTTATATACCTTGTTCTGTTCATCGTTCTTTCATTCAATTTCGAACTAGATTATCTTTAAAATTTTGTTTAATACGGCACTTCCTTTTTTTATATTCCTGGCACTCATTGAATGTCTAAGAATAGAATCAAACATGACACTCTCACACCTTTTGCTTTTTGGCGTGATCTGCCGGCTTAATTAGATACAGAGAATTGCGTGATTGTGTGTTCATTATTCACATTATCACGGCCAATAAGACCAACTGCAATGAAAGCATCCACGGCAGCAAAGTAGATGACAAAGTCAACATGTAGACACCTCACAAATCTTACAACTGCTATTCAACCTATGGTCTACGAACGACAGATTCACTGATGAAACATATTCTGTTACTTTGGACAATTGGTCTCGCAACTAGGACTTGTAAATTTCTGTAGCAACAGTTCGGCTACTGATATAAAGTGAAGGGGATGTTACCGAGGCTTACTAATGCAACGCAGCTATGTATCCATTTTGTTCTATGTCAGGTGACGTGCTAAGGGAAAATCGGCCAAATATATCCGGGAAGCATAGGCAACGACAGTCATGCAAGTAGATCTATAGCTTAACTTCTCTAACGAATACATGCTGTTTAAGCATAGTTGGTGCTTGTCAAGTCTCTTACGCAATCTTAAATAATAATATGAAGCACATTGGAGAAAAGACATTCAAGAAAACGCGCGGATAAAGTTAGCCGAATTGGCCGAAACCCGAAAAATATAAATAAAGCCTTGGGATGGACAACGAACACACATATGTCGCAGAAAACTATTCTCGTCACTGCTGCCAACGGTAATGTTGGCAGTAGTCTTGCAAGACGACTCTTGGATCAAGGCTTTAAAGTTAATGCTTTGGTAAGAAATACAGCGTCCACTAGTGCTCGCGATCTTGAACGGCATGGAGCCAATATTTTCCAAGGAGATTATGACGATATCAAGTCACTTGAAAATGCGTCTCGGGGAATCTGGGGAGTTTTTATCAACGCCTTCCCAATACGGGGAACACTTGATGAACTGCGACACAATACCAATGTCATTAAAGTTGCCAAAGAAGCTGGAGCCAAGTTTGGAATATACATGAGTGCTATTTTGACCCAATACAAAGATGAGCTGCCCGACTTGAACCCTCAACATGAGCGTTATCACTATTGGGAATCCAAGTACGGTACGGAGGAGGCACTCCAAGCAGCTGGTTTTGATTATTGGACAATCCTTCGACCGGGTACATTTATCAGCAATTTTTTTGGACCTCTCTCCAGTTTCGCTTGGCCAACCTTTCAAAAGCAACATCTCCTCATTTCACCTGTTCCTCCTTCTGGTACCATACCGCTAGTTGATCCTGACTATATTGCTGACTATGCCGCTGCAGCATTTGCTGAACCCAATACTTTCAATGGTTTAGCCATTGACCTTGCTAATGAAGATATCACGCTGAAGGATTTTGGAAAGCTCATCACCGATAATACAGGTATCCAAATCACAGTTAATCATGTTTCAAAGGAAGATGCAGTTGCTCATGGCATACCGGCGAGTTTTGCTGTTTGGTTCGGCTGGATCAAAATGACCAATTACCATACTGACTATGAGCGGTTAGACCAACTTCCTGTCAAGCGTACCACAGTTACAGAATTCTTGAAGAAGAATAAGAACTCCATTACTGCGTTTTTGTCTGCCTAAGACCACTTACAAACCACACCACTGTGTCATGAAATGTCTCTAAGTGATTCTTCTTTTTTTTAATAAAGTCGGCTTGCAAATGTTGAAAGTAGTCAAAAACCATAAGTACGGTGTATTATTGAATATGCCGCTAAACTTTGCGATGTCTTATGAACTATTTTGCTTGCTTTGCTTGTCTTTATTACAAATTTGCGTATGTTTATTTTGTTATTTGTTCTGTACAGAGGAAGGAGGCTGTTAAATATAGCTCGTTTGATATCACTTGTACTTTGGGACGCTAAATGTTGCTTCCTGGTGACATTTTCTTTCTTACATTGGTAGTAACTTTTATTGATACGGTATTAAAATTTAACTAGAATTGTCTCGACTTCCGTTGGTCGCAGTCTAAGTCTGTATAAGCTAAGACTTTGGTATGATCTCAATGTGCAACTTGTAGGGTGCTTGGTTCATGCAGCTACCACTTGCTGAAGAACCCGAGGTGGAGCACAACACCCTTGTAGCGATGACGATTTCCTGGTTCGAAGAAATAGGGGAGTTTCGAATAACGTCTTATGCGCGTAGCGATGATATAAGAGACTTCCATAAGTACGGCGTCCTTTTGGATAGATATTACATTCCTGACAGCCCAATGCCAGTGTCTGCAAAAACTATTCCTTTTCACCATGGCTAATACTGTGGCATTGGCCGCTTGCACAGCAGCTAGCTGCAAGCCACCTCTGTATAGTTCTCCTTGAGCTTTTCGTTTCCACTTTTCTCTTGATTATCAAAAACCTTAGCTATTTGCGGAGCAAATAGAGTAATAAAACACGTATACAAAAAAAAACTACCTGACCGCTTTGCCACTTCCACAGTTTGACTCGTATTCCAATGCCACCTTTTAGTAGTCTCCATTATACCGTAGAATAAGCGATGTCTGGCATTCTACGCCTACTTTTATTTCGTCTTTTTGGCGCGCTATTTTGGGTTAGGGCTGTCATACAGACCCGATTTTTTTCCCAGTTATTTTCTTAGCCATAAAATCCTTTTATACTTTTTAATATATTCAATACTTTATGTAAAATATAAAAAAGTAATATATATATTTTATTTAATATGTAATTTAATAGTTTATTTGCTATAAGTAATTAAAGCACAAAATATTTATATTTTGTAAATGATTTTTATAATACAGAAATAAACAAAATTAATTTTTAAAGCTAGAGTTTATTTAGTGTCACAAAATATATATATTGATTTAAGCAACCCAAAGGTCTAAGACATTTTGAGGCGGGCGGCTTATAAAAAGGCTCTTTCGAAAAAAAGACCAAAAAAAAACCTCTTTCGCTTAATCAATCGTTACACAAAGTTTACACTCTGTGGTACTATGTAGGGAAGGCTACGCAATGAACATAACCAAAAAAAAAATGTTCACCAAAGTGAACTTGAAAAACAAGGCTTGGATAAAGCCGGCCACCAATAACTACCAACCCCAAAACCATCGCCGATTGAAACCCTCCCAGTGAGAGGCTCCTATGCTTCATATGTAACTAAGAATCTCTTCAAAGCTCCAACAAACCCTTTGTTTACCTAGGTTGCCAAGAATGGTTTTATCTACAGAAATGTCAACCCTAGTGCAGTCGTCTTCGACCTGTCAACCATGCCTACCTCCAGCAACTCAGTTGAAGATGCGCTTGAAGCCATCTTTAACAAGTTTACACCAGCCAGTATCCGAGGCTACCGTTAGGTTGGCCCCTAAAGGAGTTGGGGTCGAGATTTTTTACGAACCAAAGATAGCATCCCAAATGCGCAAGCAAGCAACCGAATTGGGGATTAAGGTCAACAAATATCTCCCTTGAAAACGAGCATAATTGTGCAGTGAATTCAACAGAAAGCCGTATTCTTGAAAGGTGTTAACATCTTTGAATACTTCCGCTACGTCACATTTTATTAACGAACTCAATTTTACTTGTGACATCCGTGCGATCGAGACCCAAAGCATGATAACGAGGCTGACGTTCGTCAAACTCCGCAACATGTTCCTATATCCCAGCGAAGAAGTACTCGTTAGAGTGCTTAACCAAAGTATGGCTGCTTTTGGAAAGGTCAAGAACGTTTCCATATACAAAAATGTGGTAGGCAATGGAAAATTACAATTCTATGGTGGAGAAGGATTTATCCTTCTCGATACCACCTATGCCAATGAAATAGCGTATCAAGAACTAAAAACATTCATATACATACTTGAATGGTAGACAACCATCCAGGCTAGATGGGACAATGCCACTCCGGCGTGTAATTACTGCAAGCAAAGTGGGCATCTCATCAAAGACTGCAATGTGAAACTAAACTCAGCAATGGGTCTACGCACATGCTATCGCTGCGAAAAAGCTGGCCATGATAGCAAAGATTGCCATTATATCAACTCAAATTCAAACCAGCCCTTATCCCAAACAATGAAGACCCAATAAACGGTATCTACTCCTGAGCTTGAAAGCCAGCTCTCCAATACAGAATCGGAAATCCCGTCCGATCTCCCCATCAGGGACGACGGGCCACTGCTGACACAAAGCCAGCCTACTGCTCCCCAGAAGAATGTACCTAAAGAAAACCAAAAAAACCAATCTTACAAAAAACCCAACGGAACACTCGCTGACTACGCAGAGGCAGAAACAGATGATGAAGACGGTAACCATGAGCCCACGGACGACAACATGAATACCGATTTGGATAGGCCTCCTCAGAAGAAGACAAATATGATAATCACATATTAGACTCAGAAGCGGACGACATTGAGTTGATCAGGCTCTTTCGCTTACTTTATCATTACACAAAGGACTGAAAACAAAAACGAACATGAATCGAAATGCTGATGGGAGAGCGACTCAGTCGTGGTCCGATTTCGTCAGAAGGGTAGCGAGATGACAATCCCATCGATTTTGACTCGCCAACGTAAGAAAAATCGAATGTCAAAACTATCACCAAGATAGTGTACGAAGCAGAAGGCTTCGAAAACGAACGTCGAGCCCACCTAGCGGCTGCCATTATTAAGAGAGCCCTGCACCCGAATACAGTGCTGTTTGAAATCGAGGCCGCAAACCTCAGCAAAGATGATGTCTACGACTTGATCACAAATGAGATTGGCGAAGCTACAGGCTTCCGCCCAATCAATGAGTACAGAGGTAACGGAAGAGGAAATTGGCTGATCGAAGCCAAATTTAAGAACAGCGCGGATGCCAAAAAAGCGTGTGAAAAAGGATTGACTCATGAAGGAATCAACTATCAGGCCACGCCTTCGATAAAAAACTCAGAAAAGAGTCTGACCAAGGTCAACTTGACTCACCTACCGCTAGAGCGCCAGGATGAGATCAAGGATGGTCTCCTTCAACCCATGAAAAAGTATGGACAGGTCTGCCAAATTAAGCTCTTCACAACAGCCAGGGGTCATTTCGAGGTGAAGCCACGGTACTGCTGGATACCACACAAAAAGATGAGGACCAGCAGTCGGAAGAGCTGACCCGAATGATATACCTGGAGAAATGGGATGACTATTAGACTTGTTGCAACGCTGCAACCAAAATATAGTTCGAAAACCTACAGACCTATACAAACAATTACAGTCCAATCCATCGATCGCTCAAAGTAGCATCATGAATACAGACTCTGATGACCAGATTCCTACCTGGTCTGAAATTACTAGAAGAGGGCTGGCAGTCCCACTACCATCGGTTATGATGAGAGCTGCTGTTGGCATCAATAGGACTTTCGCGTCAATCAAAACAGAGATCGTGTACGAAGTTGAAGCATTCACGAACACTCAAGGATCCCAAAGAGCTGCCGGAATACTGAAAAGAGCCTTAAACCCAGATGCAGCGCTATTTGCAGTTCCCAAGAGCATTCTCAATACAGACTTGGTAGTGGAAGAAATTGTTAAACAAGCTGGAGAAATAGCGGGCTTCGCGAACCTTGGGTTATACCGCAAAGACAAGTCTACAATCCCAATACATGACTTACACACTAAAAATATTGTTGAAGGCTTTCAATATTTCTGGAACAAAAAAACCCCCTTAAAAACAATCCCACAACTATGATAATACTAAGTATGGCAATCTCGACAGTCTGGAAACAGCACTGGTCATTCATCTTCCGAGAAGACCGCTCAAAAAGTCTTACATACAATCACCTCAAGAATGCCATGTGGAAAACTTTGTCCGATCGTATATTGGATGACAGCAAAATACACCAAAAAAACATCATATGGATACGAAAAGGGATAGTGGACTGGACGTCTCAGAGCATTCATATCACTTACCCAAGTATACATATTACTGAATAATATGTTCCAATAGCTTCCGTTTCTAGAGCTTCAGTAAATCCATAAAACTACCACAAATAAAGTCTTCAGCTTGGCTTCGCCCAAAAAAAAAAAAGAAAGGAGCTGGTTTTCTTACAACAGATTAAGCTGCAAGATGAACATATTTTGAAGCAAATGGGACAAGTCATGCTCGCCATTTGGATAACTCACTGGAATTGCATCAAACAATAGAGAGAATGATAGGACCAAGCTGCTTTCAATATGTTCGAATCAATCATCCAGCCCACTAATGACCGTTTCCTCCAACCGAAGGAAAAGAAGGCATGCAATGGATGGATACCAATAGTACGAAGCTTAACAAGTCGAGGCAAAATTGAGGTTTCCGTATGGAAAAGGTGCAGATATTACCAATGCCAATACAAGGAAGGATTCCGTGATGAACGTCCAAGTACCGACTTCGAATTGGTGTTTCCTTTCCGGGTCATTTTTGACCAAACGGACGCACATTAAAGCTTTGGAAAGGCTATTACTAGCTCCCTGGCGAGACCTAAATTCATGAAGCTTCGAAATCGACCGCTCGATGTCTCAAGTTCTTAAAAAACCCCCAAAAAAAAAACTTTTTACAACATAGCAATCAGTAGAGATAACAGTAAGTACATCAGTCAAAGAAATACAAGATATAAAAGCAACTCACTGAAGACAAAAAAACGGACACCTCAATACCTCTGTCCAAACAGGTTATACCGATTCACCATGGCTAATGCCACAGTCGTCTTCCAGAAACTGAGCCTAAGGCTTCTTACCTTTATTTCCCGCTTTCCTCTTCTCATATTGTGTTTTTGGATTCCTGCGATCTCTATTTCTCCTGTACCCCGTAATTATCTGAACTTCCTAAGCTATTTGCGGACCAAATGGCTGCATAAAATTAGAATAAGAGATTCTTTTGATTCATAGCCTTGATAGTATTCCTCAGGCAAGTTCATTCGCTGTTACACGAGACAACAGGACATGATATTGTTCTTACAAAAATCACCTTTAAGCATTACCGTCTCCCTCAACACAACCGACAATCTCAACTCAAATTGTAAATATATTCATCAAGCAATATCCATAGTGTATACTGGTCAGTTTTTCGGTGTACGAACTGGTGAGTCATTTTTCAGGCGGTCCTTTTTGAAGCTGCATTTGGCTGAGTTTCATAAGCACAATTGCGATTTCATTGGCTTGATGTAGGAATATGCGTCACATTGCAAAATCAAAAAATTTCACCTAACGGTTGAACGAACAATTGTTTGCTAACCAATCTAATTTCCACAATGGCGTTGCTACAAAGGTACTGACTGAGCTTAGTCCGTTTCATATCTTGCAAAACAGCCTCCATTGACTCAACTTGAATTTGAAGTGAATGCCCTGATCTAACCCTCGTAGCCCGGGGCAAAGTACGTGACTTATATGAAGTTGACGACAACAGCTTGCTCTTTGTTGCGACTGATCGCATTAGTGCGTTCGACGTAATTATGTCAAATGTAGGTTAATATGAGACGTATACACGTCCTTACCGAGCGAATACAAACGGAACTAAAGCGATAGTCAATCATTATAGAGCATTCCATCGAAAGGCAAAATCTTGACCCAAATATCAGTTTTTTGGTTCAACTATTTGTCAAACATCATGCCAAACCATCTCATAACAGCTGACTTTGAAGAGATGCCTGAGAAGGTTAAAAAGTATCGTGACCAGCTTGACGGGCGATGTCTCTTGGTTAAAAAGCTTCGAGTACTCCCTATTGAGGCAATTGTACGCGGCTACATCACAGGCTCCGGGTGGAAGGAATATCAGAAGAAAGGCTCTATTTGTGATATCAAACTTAAAGTAGGATTGCAGGAAAGTGAAAAGCTCGATGAGCCATTGTTCACTCCTAGTACAAAGGCGGAATTAGGTGATCATGGTATGATTTGGAAGATCCTGAAATTTTGACAACCGAGTGATTGTTGAGTTCTCAATGTTTTTCTTAGATGAAAACATTCACCCTTCCCGCGTAGCTGGTATTGTTGGCCCTCATTTGGCTAAACAGATTGAAGAGGCTGCTTTAGAATTATACAAACGTGCCAGCGCATACGCATTGGAGCGTGGAATCATCATCGCCGATACAAAATTCGAATTCGGTGTTGACAAAGAGAACAACTTGATTTTGATTGACGAAGTCTTGACTCCGGACTCTTCTAGATTCTGGCCCGCTGCAAGCTACAAAGTCGGTCAGGGTCAGGATAGTTTCGACAAGCAGTACTTGCGTAACTACTTGGAGAGCATCAACTTCGACAAAAAGAACGGCATAGAGTTACCTGCTGACGTGATTGAAAATACCATGAGCAAATACATCGAAGCCTATCAGCTACTGACTGGTGAAGAGCCTAGACTCTAAACAAAAGACAACTACATTTTATTGTCATGTATTAAGAAAAAAGCGTATAAACGACATAAACGAGAATAAATTAGCTATATAGTTTCTAAAACGCTTTCGATTATGTTACAATCTGCAGTGATTTTACGCGCTCCAGCTCTCGCTGTAACGAAATGACTTCTCTTTGCCATTTATGAATTATGTTCACAGCATGCATACTCCACCAACCAATACTTTGCAATGCCTTTTTAGATGCTTTAAGGAATGGGAATGCTTGGAATACATGAATCATGTCCTCGTAAATTTCGAGTTGAACATATGTATTAGACTGAGCGATTTTTGTCGCCAATTCTTGAATTTCGTCGTGTAAACATTCACAACCTCCAGCTTGTAATAGGATAGGCGGAAGATCGTCGAAGTTATCCGCGTATAATGGCGAAACATAAGGATGTGTTATTAAATATGGATATCGGTGAGCTCCTAGGTACATTTTTGTAGCATGAATTGGATGATCCTCTGTCAACAACGGAAGATAATCGTATTTTTGGTTACTCCAACTAGCATGGCTCATCGACAGATCAACCCAAGGCTAAATCAAAACATGACATACTCAGTAAATGCTTTTATAAACACTTGAAGCAATCGGTGTGCACTTACAGACAAGAGCGAAGCTGCTCCAGGTAGAGGCAGTCCATGATCCCGCATGTATAGCATCATAGATAATGCAAGACTTCCACCGGCCGAGTCTCCCATAATCATGACGTTTTGAGCATCATATCCATACCCATCCTTTTTGTCAATTAGATGCAAAAAGGATAAAACGATATCATGTAAAGCTGCTGGGAAAGGATGTTCCGGTGCTAGCCTATGAGAGCGCCAAATGAAGTTAGCTATCTCAGCGGTCATCAGTCATAGAGTTTGCATGATGTAAATCCGCTGTTTACCTGTAATTTACCGCTAGATCGAGTGGATACATGCTTCAGTAAGATATACTTTTCCCAAATGTATGCCGAATAAAAATATGTACTCACAAAACACTGGTAATCCTGTATGCTTACTGATATTATGCGTAAGATGCCGATGTGTTTTCGTGCTCATGAGTACCATGGCACCTCCATGTGCATACAAAATCACTCTTGGAGAACTATCTTCTACTACATCGACTACATGAGATCGGTTTCCAGATTGTAAAATTCTTTCCATAGGTCCAATTGATTTATCAACAATCCATTCCGCTTGTATCTCCCTTGTGTTGAGCTCAGTTTCGTCGAGCTCTTTTAGGATCCCAGGCAAGCTTCTATATTGTGCAACAAAGGTAATTTCGTGTATGTTGCAAGAAAATGGTGGTGGTATGGTTGGAATACTGGTAAAAAAGCGCACAATCTGTAATTCGCCTAACTGGCCATGTGATGTCAAAGCTTGCAGCAAAGAGCATAATAATGTCGTACGTATATCCCACGATGGCTTTTTTGGCTCATGGAAGTAGGACACAAGATCTGTAGCCACTGTTAGAACATTGTTCGATAGTAGTGTTGCTCTTTTGGCAAGGCGATCGAGCATCGACTTTGCTACAACCGTTGTTGCATTATATGAGTGATCGTATGGGTCCACATCTAGCGCTAAAGGTATACAGCACCCTACAGAATTGCAATGAATTATATCTCGATTTTTCTGCAAAGGTGACATTATGATATGACAGTTGTTGAGGAAATTATTAATGTTTGGAAAGCAATATTTATACTAAATGGATTTACCCCACAGCTTACATATCGGTCAGGTGCTGATATTGCCCCTCAGCATGACACGAGGGTCCAAATTTCACAGCCAGATGATACTTTTTGACAGATTTGGCTCCCTCAGTGATTTTCACGTGTTTGATTGGTACGATTGCGTCTGAGGCGATTTGAACAATGAAACGGCTTATGGCGGTTGCAAACGAAGAAAATTGCAATTATGCATGATTTATTATCTATGATTATTCTCGCTAGATGATTTTATCGTATCTAAATAATCACCAAAGATTGTGTCCTTAAACCATGCCCAATCTTCTTGCCACGCGTGAAGTACATACTGAGAACCAATGTCAACAATTTCTGTCCCGTCGTCAACCCAGTCATTTACTGGTGTCCAAACTACTAGATGGAAGCCAAAGTGGATGATAGCTATCCTGGCGTCATACAGTGTAGGATGATACTCCTTACAGTAAGCAGACAGAAAGGCTGTTATGATATCTTTGCAAGGCTGGCGATATTTGTCTAGGCAGTAAGTTTCAGCCAAAAATTGCCCCAAGTCCATGCCTGAAGGTGCATACCGGCATATTTCCCAGTCAACTACCTGTATTTTCAGGTCTTGTGTTAAGTCATTGGGTAGCAAAATATTGCCTGGCCAGAAATCACCCATGCACAGTGTTTGGGGATTATTAGATAGTTGTTCACCTCCCCAATTTGCAGCGTCTTGCAAGGCTTGATCTGTCTTGCCAAACTTCTTTAGTACGCTTTCCACTCGATCGTAAACCACATATCTTGAAATGGCAACGCCCTTTGGATTATCCAGTTTGTCTATGAGCTCATGTCGTTGGACATGTCCAGCAGAATGCAATCTTCCAATGAATCGCCCCAAGGCTGTTCCAACTTCACGTGCAAAGCCAGATGATGGAGGCTCATCCAACGCGGATATATATGCTTTCATATTAGCTGAGTGACCGATATCCTCCATGAACGCGACTTTATCGGCTTCGTCATATGAGTATATTGTGGGTACAGTGCAATTTGGTAGAGAGATGGTCGCATCAGCTGCAATGCGCATGGCAAGAATTTCGTAATTCATCCTTTCAGCAAAGAGAGCAAACTCTGGAGCCGTTGCCAAAAAGGACTCAGCGTGCTTGATAACAACACTATTGCAGCCGCCCAACTCTGGACATTTTTCCTTGAGTCGCGCTCGCCAAACATAGTTCGCGGTACCACCACTGAGCCTCTCAATTGTATCTATCTTGATCCAGTCCGGTTTGGTTCGCTTAATGTAGGCAAGAATATCTTCATCACTTGTAATTGTCATAATGAATGTTATGTCGCGAAGAAGAAGTCTACAAATCTATTTTATACTCCTTGTGTGGCGCAGCCACTGCTGGGGCCGAAAATTCTCGGAAGTATTCACCTAGGGTACGGTGGCGCAGTCACTAAGAGGTCATACGTTCGAAACACGCTTCTCATACATTCTTAATGATCATTTTATCGCTGGTTTATAATTTGTACTTTTATAGTGTAGCTGTTATAGAGAGAATATACCCCGTTGCACTGATGCCAAGGTGGAAATTGCATAATGTTCAGTGCATTTGAAGTTATTTTACTACTATTTTATGTGTGTAACTTATTAACTGGTCTCCTTCACAATCAAGGCCCGGCTAGCTCAATCGGTAGAGCGTGAGACTCTTAATCTCAAGGTTGTGGGTTCGACCCCCACGTCGGGCTATTTTTTTTCCTCGAGCGGTTTTTCTTTGTTGGCTCCGATCGCTGTCGTTGCTAAAATTACAGAATGTCAGTTACCGAGAAAGTTGCATTGAAACCCTCTTTATTTTTGATTCATTCACACTTTTATATACTAAATCATATTACACAATGAATAGAGCAGTTGAATAAACGTCAGTTTTAACCTCACGAAAAGTTCACTCGTCTGCAGGATAATAATACAGTATTCAACGACATGGTCTTCAAATTGAAACAGATCAAAACTATTGTGATTGGTCTTTTTAGGAAACCTCAATGGAAGCCTACATTCTACTGGTAGATGAAACGAAGTTACTGATATCGACGTGTTAGGACTCGCGCATCACTGCTTTAGCACCAATGCGGAGAGTAAAACTTTCGCTAATAAGAAAACATAAAGCTATTCTTTTGTTAGAGGCCAAATATGCTTCGCGAGAGTCAAGAACACCATGCACTAAAATTATACCTGATGCTTATAAACTGTCAAAAAGACGATTAGCACATGTGATGCATGCGACTCTCATGCACTGCGTCGTTCATTAGTTCGCTATCTAACATGCGAATCAGCATGTACATCTAATAAAGGTCGTGAATGCTTGAACGTTTATCTATAGCAGTCATTTTCTTAGAAGATACATGCCGTTATATTTTTTTCCTAACATTTATACACAGATGAGCGTATTTATAGTGGCAGTGACGAGATATTGAATTTATTGCTGCCGTGGTAACTTGACCGAAACTGCAAGTGCTTAAATAGTATCTAAATTCATGTAGCTAATTCAAGCAGACATGCTGTAGCAGTAAGCTCTTTTAAGGTGTAAATCAGAATATTAATCATATGTTATGGATTGATTTATTTGCTATTTAAGTCTTCGTTAGTGAATCCGCTGACTTAGTAGAAGACATATATTACCCTGTATGTAAGCCCCTTCTATCAATAGGTGAAGCTGATGAACTATGCTCGTTTGCTTGGTTCTTTTCAGAAATGAAAAGAAAGAAAATGATTCTCTTACCATTAAAATGTGTTCACTTACACCAGAGTCTCAGCGTAGAATTTCTCTCGCTCCGTTTTATATATGTCTTATCCGTCTCTAATGAAGTACTTCCCCTTGCTGTAATTGTCGACAAAACACAAGTAACATACATCTACTAACTAGCACAATTTTTTTGGTGTTATGTTGGCTTTTAGATGCAACAAGTTATAGATGTTTGACATGCGTTCGTCTACAATGCCATGGACTGTAAACTTTTGTAATTCATCAGGTTTTCCTTAAACTTTACATAGTATGATTAGTTCTGATTTCTGTCGAGCAAAGAGGGTATATCGTATGCATCCCGCTCGGTGCCTTAGATATAAATATATATTAAGGTGAAGCAGCTGCAACTTTAAATTTAAAGCTGGGAATAGCTTCAAAATAATGAATTCAACTATTTCATTTGGTTTTCATTCTACACAGCGTCTAAAAGCGAGGAAATGAGGCGTCCTTATAATCTATACCTAAGTGGCTACCTGAAGGCAGATCATGGTTGATACGTTGATTTCCTTCCAGTTCACTGATGGTAGTACGCAGGAAAGGCACAACAGTACGCAGGATGCAGGACACGTATCAGGAAACGCACCGAACGAAAGGGCAAGAATTTGTCAGCAGTGGTCAAGTTTTGCGGAATATCAATTTCATTACAGCCGTCAAAATAAAAAAAAGCGAAAGTCGTTGAGACAGTTTACTTTTAGTTAGTGGTTGCTTCTTCCTCTGGCTGCATCAGTGGAGATCTCATTGTACGTTATTGCGCATCAATGTCTCTCATTATCACGGACAGTACATCTAAATAGCCCTTGCATAACTCTTCTACACCTTTATTTGCAGAGTATCTTTAAGGCTGTTCTTATTTTAAGCAACACTCTAACACGCTAAAGCCGACTTACTGCTATGGGATTACTTTCGCTTGGAACACCACTGAAATGGTCTGAAGCCAAGCAATACGCGGACCATGTTCGCTCTCATGGTATTGACCAGTTTTTGGCCATCTACAACAAAATGAAGGACAAGCAAAAGGATTGTCTATTGTGGGGTGACGAGGTAATCGTCTGAAATGGTCACTTAAATGTGGATGGTGACAGCTTTTGACGGTGATTGATTTCATGCATCAGGTTGAATATATCGTTATCTCATACGATGACGAGCACAAAAACGCCAAAATTTCCTTGCGTGTGTTTGAAATGCTCGCCATATTGCAAGTGGACGAACAGGAGTGGCTCAAGGATCCTGAGAATCAGTAAGCTATCATCTATTTGCCGTTATCCAGAAAGATGGCATCGTGATCCTATGACTAAATGGCGTCATTATAGTCCAGCACCAGCAACATCCTGGCGTCCGGAGTATGGAAGGTTCATGTTGGAAGGCACACCTGGATCTCCGTATGGCAGTACTCTAAAGGATCTTTTGCTTGTCGAGCCCAACATGAAGCTTCGCAGAAAGCTTGCTCATCAAACCATGAAGTCAAACGAGATACCGCTCACAATTGTCAGCTATCCTCGACTTGGTTGTCAAGGCGAATTTTTAGATCCACATTATGAGCCACTTGGAGATTCTTGCCGAAGTTTATTTGTTCCGGATGAGATTATCAACCCTCACGCTCGTTTTCCGTAAGTTAAAGCTTCACTTTTCTCAATCTTGCGGGTATCATTATTTAAACAAATCCTATAGAACCCTAACCGCCAATATTCGACGCCGACGTGGCTCTAAGGTTGCCATTAACATGCCAATTTTTAAAGACACGAACACACCATCGCCATTTATCGATCCCACAATTCCATGGGACCGAAATGTCTTTCCTGAAGATAAGGAGGCAAAGGAAGGCGCGGCAAAACCTGATCATATATATATGGATGCTATGGCTTTCGGTATGGGCTGCTGCTGTTTACAGATCACTTTTCAAGCATGCAATGTTGAAGAAGCGAGAAGACTTTATGATCAACTAGCGCCAGTTGGTCCCATTATGGTGAGACATTGGAGGCTCGAAATAAGTATCTGCTATGTGATTGCACCTAAATTCGTACTTTCCACTGTAGTTGGCTTTGACGGCGGCAGCACCCATTTATCGTGGCTATTTGGCTGACGTAGATTGCAGATGGGATGTCATTGCCAGTAGTGTTGACGATAGAACTCCAGAGGAGCGCGGCTTAAAGGTTTGTCAATTTACGAAGAAATCAGATCGCACATAATCACAAACTTAATCGTCGTCGCAGCCTCTTGAAAACGATAGATTTGTCATCAACAAATCTAGATATGATTCTGTTGATTCTTATCTCTCAACAGATCCGATGTTCAAGCAAAAGTATAACGACATCGATTTGGTGTATGATGAAGAAATCTACAAAAAATTGCGAGCTAACGGCATTGATGATCAGCTTGCAAAGCACGTATCTCACCTTTTCATTAGGGATCCTCTCGTCATCTTTAGAGAACTTTTAGACCAAGATGACAATGTCTCATCCGATCACTTTGAGGTAATTTGACATATGGTCTGCAATGGAGAAGTCAAGGACGAGATAATGAACTGCTTTTTATGCGTTGTAGAACATCCAATCCACGAACTGGCAAACCATGCGATTCAAGCCACCACCACCAAATTCAACCATTGGCTGGCGTGTGGAATTCAGGAGCATGGAAATCCAAATGACTGATTTTGAAAACACAGCGTTTGCAATTTTCATTGTTCTTTTGACTCGTGCAATCTTGAGCTTTGGCCTCAACTTCTACATTCCCATATCTAAAGTCGATGAGAACATGAAAAAGGCACACAAACGAGGAGCGGTAATGAATGAGAAGTTCTACTTCCGCAAGAATGTCTTTACTAAGCACCGTGAGTTGAGAATGTACTCAATGTAGCCATGTATAGATGATCAGCTGTTAAATTTTGTCCCTCCCATGATTGCAGAGCCTACGTCAAGGCAACCGTCACCAAGCTCATCCACTTCTACATCATCCAAGAAGAATGGTCAAGACGAAGTGTTGGATGGAGATGTTGATGAAGAGAACGAGGATGAATTGGATGCTTATGAGCAAATGTCAATCGACGAAATTATCAACGGCAAAGTAAGTCATGTGGTTTCCCTGCCCTTCAATTGCATTCACATACGCTAACAAGTCACTTTTAAACGAATAAGTCTGGAGGCTTCACTGGTCTCATACCTCTGATCAATAGCTATCTGAATAGCGTTAACGTCGATATTGAAACACGATGCCAGCTGTCACGATATCTTGATCTTATCAAGCGTAGAGCAAATGGCAGCCTGATGACGGGAGCAACTTGGATGAGACAATTCGTGCAAAATCATCCTGACTATAAGCATGATTCAGTAGTCTCGCAAGAGATCAATTACGATCTTATGAAGACGATAGAGAAAATTAGCAACGGGGAATTAGAAGTACCGGAATTGCTTGGTGAGCAGCATGCATAATAAATTACAAATTGAGTTTTCATTCTGTCTATTTAGCGTTGTTTGTTCGAAATGTCTCTACTGGTGACATTGTGGTTAAAGTTATAACACGGAAAGCGAAAGGAGAAACGCATTGCACCACCAGAATATATGAATGTATGGACGTCAACGATTCTACATATCCTCATTCGTAAACTCAACTGTACGACTACCTCAACCTACGTGACAGCTACTGCAGCATATCCAAATGAGTGGGTTGAAGCAAACCCTTAAGAGAATGAAGTGTCAATACTCAAGTACCTGCAAATAACGTTTACATAGATAACTTCATGACTGACATCAAAGGCAGTAGTACGATGAATTTACTCTGATAGACAACGAGGCTAAGCTACAACAGTACAGGTGCGAAGACTGGGTTCGAGTCAGCCAATATAAACCAGAGTCGATTTTTTTTCGCAGTTTATCAGAAGTATTAATCCACTTCAAAATGCGAACTTTTACGAAAATGACTATATTTTCACTCATATTATTCGCATGAGACATAGAAAGTGGGTATGTAATGAGCATTTTTTCAAAAGACAAAATTAGGATGGCAATGTTTCCTCCTATACCACGGAAGGAGAGGTAGCGGGTCTAAGCGTTTCTATAACGGATATGGCATCTGGTCTCTTATAGACAGACCAGCTAAGCATTTGTTTTATGAAGCCTTGGTCGGACTTTGCAAAAGGCTGAATCATGTCGTTGAGGCACATATAAGGGGGATTGCCGTCGTCCTCTAGCTGCGTGTCAGCGTCCTCTGTGTGCTCCATAGTGTGTTCATCATCAGAAGGCGCAAAAAAGATGAGTTTGTTACCATCTGGGTAAACCGATAGCTCATTTATAATATCTTTGCTAGGCATGCCAATGGCACGAACGAGTATGCCCAACTGTTCCAAATCACTTCCTCCGCAAAAAGCAGGCCTTCCGGTCACCATTTCGATCCAGATACAGGCTACTGACCATATATCACTTGGTGGAGCATAATATGGGCAGGAGAGTATATGTTCTGGGGCAACATACCATCTGAGCAGCATTTGTTACGGTATTATTCAATAAAACAAGTTTGACATATGAAAATGACATTCATAAATTACCTTGTGCCGATGCCTTCTGTCGATCCCTCTATAGTCTCAGTAATTGGGTGTGCACAGCCGAAGTCAGCTACTCTCAGGCTACCATCTTCAGCCACCAGGATATTTTGGGGTGTTAGATCACAATGTACCAGAGACAGTGAGTGGACGTATTCTAAAGCCGTTGCTATTTGCAGCACATAATTTCTTGCCAACTCGTGAGAAACCGGCGTTATTTTATCAAGGGTGTATGGATGAAAGTGAAAGCGTAAAGACAATGATAAAGGTGTTGAAATGCTTGATATGAGATATATAAGCTATAGGAAAAAGTTAGACTTTACTCTGTTAGCAGTTTTTCAAGATGATCTGATTTGAACGTTACATATTTCTGGCATGCTGATTCATAGTTGAGCTTCAATTGTTCCAAAGCCCTTAGTTCACGATGAGCATGTAACAGTGCATGCCGACCTTGAGACTTGAGGTATACTTTGACAGCGATCAGAGTATCATCAGATTCAGTCTCCTTGTGAACTGTTGCATAGCTACCGTGCATGGCTCTGACTTGAGATTCCTACTGATTGTCCTCACATACTCATTTTTTCAGTAACGTGGCGCTCGGTGTTGGAATTTTTTTGTTGCAACATTTCAGCGTTAACACTTTGTTCGTACATAGCCGTAGCAGCACCGTCATGTAGAGACGAAAATATCAAACCACATTCAACGAAGAGCTCACTATCATGCTCTTCTACTGCTTTAAGCACTAATCTACCTGAACAAAGAGCGTTGTAGTGATACTAGAAGTTCATGAACAATTTCACACACGGCTAGCTTTCAATGCTGCTTTATAAGCTGAGTTCAGTAGACATCACCTTCAATTAGTGAATGAATGATAGTATCATGCGTATCTTTATATTTCATTTTTTGTAAGAGATGCTTTGTAGGTTTAGGCAATGGTCCGAAAGGCTGTCTCTATTTTAGCTCCGTGCTGGTTGTCGCTTATTTATGATCGCTTCCATATTTTCACTGGTGCATGAGTCAGTCCATACGCAATCCAACGCTCCTTTCCTTAGATATCTGGGTCAAAGAGTTTTAGTAACAACTGTTGGAAGCTCTGTACTTGTAAAGCGACATTGAGAATCCTTAGCCCGCCTTGCCGTTTAGGCTGGTGAAGGCACTGGTGGCAGAGGTCGGCCAGAAGCAGCTGGTTCTGCCCCTTTTTTGGTATGAAATTGTCGGCATGAAACGGAAAAGATCGTGACTGCCAAAATATACAATGATTGCATTTGGCTGTCATGGAATGGACTTCAACAGCACAACGAACAAAAGCATACGTTATGCTGCGCAACAATTTGAGCAGTCTGCAAAAATGTGTCCTTTTGCGATCAATAAGGCACAATAGCACCATGAATCGCCCCGCTCCTCTACCTCTAGGAGACAAGAAGAAGCAACAGGAAATGCTGGATCTCATTCGAAAGAAACAGGCCGAAATGGAATCAAGTAGTAGCGAAATGCATCCTGACGCTTACAAAAAACCCGAACCAGAGTTTGAAGGCGACGTAAACCCAAAAACAGGCGAGGTCAATGGTCCCAAAAACGAGCCATTGAAGCATGGAGACTGGAGCTTCGGCGGCAGGGTTACTGACTTTTGAGTAAATAAAAAGCGTGGCAGTAGATGTGGATTATGTACTTTTGCAAATCATTCTGATAAATGAACGAACTGGCTTTTTTCAGTGGCGTAATTTGATAACTGCGTTGAGGATGCTCTGGCTACACTTGGGGAACTGAGCGAGCTCCAATGGAAGATTTACATCATCATGCAACGGTTTGGCTACAGAATCTGATATCAAGTCTGATTGAGCGGAAAAAATCTCTCTTCAGTCCGATATTGCCATGGTTCTAAAATGAAAGTTCAGGGCATATCAGGAGTGTCAATTCGCCCTCAGGAAAGGAGGTTTTGTCGCTAGCATGTTACTTTTTGACATTAGCTACAAATTGTTATCTTCTTAGCTTAGTCTTTATTATATCAAGCTTTACACTTCAAATTGAAAAAAATTAGGTTATACCAGTTTATAAGCATCAGACACGGGTTTGCATCATTACAAACACGTTTTTTTTTAATCATGTAGGCCGTGCGGCTATTTCACAATATCGACGTCACCTGACGGGCAGCATTGCTACAACCAATAACTTTTCCGAATAACCATTGAGAATAGTATAAATTGTGAGAGTTCCAGAGTTGAAAAAGGAATATCTTGATCCATCAGATGTATTCAGAGCGTGAAGATGATGCTGTAAGGTGGCCCGAAGATTCAAGTCCGACTTTCATGTGAATCCTTTAGAATGGCTGGTTGTTTGAATCCAAACGTGTGGATTACTTTTTTGTTGTCTCTTTTTTTTTTTTTTACCCCTTCTTGGTTGAAAACCTTGGACAAGCCCAATCAGTGTCAAGTAGATCTCTTGATTCTCTATACCTCATGTCGGCTATCAACCGAAGAACACAACGCGTTGTCACTGATAGCGAAGACGACTTTGTTGAAATCCGCCAACGACAGCGCCATGACCTTCAACTTTCTCGTCGTAGTCAAACTCCTCCAATTGCTGAAAAGGACGAGGACGAAACCAAAACTAAATCCAAGAGAAAGCTTATCTCTAACACTGTCTCGATCCCCTATATTCATACCGCTCCTATTCATGTTATAAGTAAGCCTTCTGTACTATCAAAGGAAGCTCCTCCAGTCGAAGGTGGATACCATGGTTTTATACGTCTTGGAAGTAAGTTAGCTTTTCTATTCAGCTCATGACAATATGGACTCGTTTGTTCATGCCTTCGATCTGCGAAACATTAATTTTTTCCTTTCACCCGCGTCGTTTAAATAGTGTTGGTACTGGGTGCAAGCAACATCCGTCTTATCATCGAGAATTACATGAAGTATGGCCTGTTAATCAAGCTACCACATAGCTATATCCCCTATCAAGATTATGGTCTTTTTGTGCTAGCCTGGGTCAGCGTTCCGATTAGTATAGTATCGGCCTTTCTGATTGAGTGGCTGATGGCAAAGATAGCCATGCATATTAAGTCACAAAAAGAGGATTCTCGACCAAAGATCACGTCTATTGAAGTACTCGCTGGAATCTTTCATTGTATGCATCTCCTATTTTTAATGATATATCCATCCTATATTGTCTACACCAAGATCTATCATCCTATGGGTAAGCAAAAGCCTCTGCATATCTCTGGTTATTTTATTACATCGTGGCTAAAGTATGCTCTCCATATCCCCTTTCTCCATTTGATGTCCTTTAAAGTTGGGTCGGCCGCTTTGGTGATCGCCCTTATTCTTTTCTTGAAGCTTACTTCCTATGCACTTGTTAATCGCGAGCTTCGAGAAATGTACCTGACGGATAACGGAGACGCTCCCGGTGGCAGTCATAAATACCCCAACAATATTGCCATTCCCAACATCCTGTATTTCTGGTGGGCACCGACACTGTGTTACCAACCATCCTATCCGAGATCCCCAAGATTCCGCACAACATTCTTCCTCAAGCGTGTCAGTGAACTGGTAGTGTGCTTAGTGACGATGTACTTACTGGCTGAGCAATACGCCAAGCCGACTTTAGAGAATTCATTGAAGGCACTGGAAGAACACAATTATGTGGTGATTGTGGAGCGTGTACTAAAACTATCTACAACGGCTGTCGTCATTTGGCTCTTGATGTTTTACGCCTTGTTTCATGCATTTTTGAATGCACTGAGTGAGGTATTTCATTCATTCAATTTTTTTTCTCGCGTTGCACATGACTTCTAATCATTATCGTCGCTCGATCGTCGCATAGGTGTTATTGTTTGGCGACCGAACCTTTTATCTAGCTTGGTGGAATAGTAATAATTTGGGATCCTACTGGCGACTGTGGAATCGACCGGTATACCTTTTCTTTAAGAGGCATGTCTATCTGTAAGTGTTGGGATACTACTTGAAGGGTTTGGTAGCAAGAAACCGGTCAGACTGAAAAGCTAAACATTATCTGTAAATAGCCCAAGTGTGCAACGCGGATTCCCTCCTTTGCTTGGCCAATTTGTTGTGTTCTTCATTTCAGCTCTCTTACATGAAGTCTTGGTAGGCATTCCAACACATGCTCTTACTGGTTTCGCTTTCTGGGGTATGTTAGGTCAAATTCCGTTGATTGCCATCACAAAACCGCTTGAGAAATGGAGAGGTAAAGGAAGTGGTCTTGGAAACACGATATTTTGGATCACTTTCTGCGTGGTTGGGCAACCTACTATCGCATTATTGTACTACTATCAATGGGCAGCAGCACATAAACAAGTCTCTGCACCAATTTAGAGATTCATGAATAAAAAACGTACCGAATTTTCGGCAGATTGATTCGCCGAATAAAAAATCACACTCATGAGTGGGATACTCACAACTTTGTGGGGGTGGGAAGTTCACACTATGAAATGAGCTTAAAACCTTCCTCCCCATCTATTCTATTCTCCAACAACTCTTTCTTCTCACCCGTCAATTAACTATGGTAAAGGATTCTCAACTCGACCAAATGGCAGCCGACATGTCGCTGGCACGACAACGGCCTTCTTTCGACGTCAAGCTTATGTCGACCTTCCTCGTGGGTGACGAGGAGAGCTTTAAAGAGCGCGAAGAGGGAAGAGCTATTTTGGAGAACGAGCCTCTATTTGACAAAGAGCCGTTGGTTTTCATGAGCAGAGAGGAGGTAAGCACACACATTTTCAGACAACCAAGCTGGAAATATCGGCTGGCGTTACTGACACCATTATTAGCGCCTTCGTCATGGTATTAAAGTAGCAACAAGACTCATCGAATTGTGGGAGGAGCATGCCTGGTCCCCAGATCAGTTTGCCGCTGCGGTTAAGAATGTCGACATGATGACACCTGTGAGTTTTTTACGGTTTTAATGGAGCATCTAGCGAAATTTTGGATGATGAGTACTAAATGGAATTTGGATTCATAGGTAACTTTGCACTACGGAGGTAATTAGAGCTATCATGTCATATAAATACATGATTTTACACAGTTCTAAAGCTTTGTCTCCATGATTTCAGCGTTTATTCCGGTCATATTGAATCAGGGAACCGACGAACAAGTACAAGAGTGGATAGGAGCGGCTCTTAGTCATACTATCATCGGATGCTATGCGCAAACAGAATTAGGTCATGGATCTAATGTTGGTGGGTTGATGACCACAGCCACTTTTGATAAACATTCAGATGAATTCGTTTTGCACAGTCCTTCTTTGGCCGTAAGTATTGCTTGAACACTCTGAAATGCGGACACAACATCCATTTGACTCTGAAAAATCGTGACAGGCTGCCAAATGGTGGATTGGTGGTTTAGGCGTGATGTCTACTCATGCTGTTGTCCAAGCTCAATTGATCATTGATGGCAAAAATTATGGTCCTCATATTTTTGTTGCACCCATACGATCTCTCGGTATGTTATACTAATTTCTATCGATGTATATTTGGCGTCATAATTAACGAGACTGTCCCTTAATCAAAAGAAAATCACAAGCCACTTCCCAATATCTTGGTCGGAGACATTGGACCAAAGGCTTATGGTGGATTTTCTAGTATGGACAATGGCTGTAAGTTATATCCTGTTGTATTGTATTTCGCATTTGTACTGTCGCTGATTGAACGTGCGTGCAAAAGATCTACTATTCAAGGAACACAGAATACCACGAAAAAATATGTTGATGAAGTTTGCAAAGGTTGACAAAAATGGTGTATATCGTCCTCCTGTGCACTCCAAGCTCTCTTATGGTAGTATGGTCAAGCTCAGAGCCGGTATGGTTTCCGAAGCTGGCTGGAAGTTGGGCCAGGCTGCCACTGTGGCCATTCGTTATTGCACTGTTCGCAGACAATTCCAGCCTGCCAATTTGAACAAAGCTGATGCTCCTACCGATGCACCCGAGTCACAAGTTATCAGCTATTCTGGCCTCCAGCACAGACTGTTTCCTCTCATTTCAGTAGCCTATGGCCTCATCATCACTGGATTTTCCGTTAATAGACTTTTCGATGAAATGACAGAGCAGCTCGCCAGCGAAAATGCCACCCTTCTTCCCCAAGTTCACGTTCTCACCTGCGGATTGAAGAGCTGGGGTACTCGTAGATCTTGCGATGGTATTGAAGAAGTATGTACAGAGTATATGTCTAATCTGTCTGTATGGTAAACGTCTAACCATTAGCATAGTGTCGTAAGGCGATGGGCGGTCATGGCTATTCGGCATTCAGCGGTCTCTCTGATTTATTCGCTTCCTATATTCCCTCCAGTATGTTCTTATTGACTTAATAGACTGAGTCATTCAGTACAGGCTGACATTTGAAAACCGTTTTTGCATCCAGATACTTATGAAGGTGACAACTGGATTCTTACTCAGCAAGTCGCACGTTTTTTGGTGAAAGAGCTTGGAAGATTAGCCAATGGAAAAGAAATTTCTGCCAGTACAAGCTATCTCGCCCGCCTCGCCAGTGGTGATACCAGCAGCTCATTCAGAGTTTCCAAGGTAGAACAGCTAACTGACTTGAACGTTCAAGTCGACTTGTTTGCCACAAGAGCCGCTCGTGTTGCTTTCGAGCTTGGTCAAGCATTGCAGTCCGGCAGGGCTTGGTCAGATCTCAACGTGGAGTGTTGGAATGCCAGCGTTGCTCATACCGAGTACACAGTCATGAGAGCCTTTGCTGACAAAGTAGAAGAGGTCAAGAAGGATCAGTTTGCTCCTATCCACGACACCTTGAAGATGCTTTGCGATCTGGTCAGTTTCATGATCACAGCTTATGATTCAATGTCACATGTAGAATACTAACATGATAGTACAGTTTGCCGTCTCCAACATTGTCGGCGTTTCACAAGCTTCTTTTCTGGCTACGCAGACCGTTCATGCCGCTGATCTTCCCGTCATCAATGAGCTTTATCGCTCCTTGTTGCACCGTATCTCCAAGCAAGCTATTCCCTTGACAGACGCCTTTGGTTTTAGCGACAAGAATTTGGGAAGTGCTCTTGGTAGACATGACGGAAGAGCTTATGAAGCTCTTTGGGAAGCTGTACAAAAGAATCCTATTAACCAGGAGAAGTGGCAACAGGAAACCTATGAGGTAAAAGTCCCTTGCTTTTACTTGGGATTACACACAATCGAACTGACCTATCTCTCAACAGACTATTATCAAGAAACTACTTCATAGAAATAATAGCGCCGAACCTGTAGAAAAGGCTAAATTGTAATTTATCGATAGCTTATCATTAAGGATATCGTGGTGGTATTGCCATATGCATTAATGTATACCTGAAACTCTATTGAACAAATAAGATACACTGTGTTCTGGAATAAAACATAGTCAAAACTCAATCAGGGCATGAAGAAAAAAGACAGAAATGAAAGGGTACAATTGAGCAACAAAATAAAAGCAAATTCTACATATATATATGAGTGATCTAGATGTGTGCAATGTAATATCTATATCGTGGCCATAGAACTGAGCCAGCAGCTGACTTAGCACTTATGCCATTGCCTTCATTGCTGTCTCATAAGCAAAAAAGGTGGCTGCATTAGCTGGGAACGCTCTTGCCAAGGTTGGGCCAATACCGTTGAAGAAAGCCTTGGGACCAGTTGTCTTCATAATGGTTTTCACGACATGCCTGGCCGACTTGTAGCTGTAATAACGAAAAATATGATCAATGATGGAGCTATCTTCGAGAGAAATAGCAAGCATTCGTCAAGTCAGCTTTACCTGAGATCATTTTGCAATCTGCTCTTGATCACATCTTGGGGATAAGCAGGAATCCAAGCACCGAAACCAGCCAAACCGCCAGCCATCAACAGCTCAAACGATGAAAGTGGGTTGTTCTCAGGGTCCTTCTTCATGGCTTGGAACACTCTCTTAAGACCTTCGTAAGTGACTGGCAAATTTGAAATCAGATGTGAAAAAAATTGGGGCTGTATGGGGGTGACCTGATGTATACGTACTGAAATAGGAAGCAAAACTAGGAACATCACGAAGTAGCGTGATGCCCAAACCACGATAGAGACCAAATATTCCATTCGCTCGGCTGGTTCGAATACCACAATCAATGACTCCCTTGTACTGCAAACAATGTCATGAGAAGGTGTCATATGGTGTAATATCAGTATGGTCTGCCATCACTTACGGGAGGTTCTAATTGTCCGTTGGCACCCATAACACCAGCAGCGCTCTGGGTTTGCAGCTTGACTTTCAAAAGCTCGACAGGGCAATTGAAGAATGCCATTACCAAACCAGCACCCATACCAGCGAGACCAATTTCACCTATAGACAAAAGTCATTCAATTAAATAAACAATCAAAGGTGGCGTTCTGTTTTGGTCTTGATGGACTTACCCAGTGATAGCTCTTTGTTGGGATCGTTGCCCTGGAGCATTCTACGGAAGTTACCGTTGGCAGTGAAAACAACGGCATTACTGGCGGTGATACGTTAGTATGAATAGGGTGAGGTAGTTTACATGGAATAGCATAACCCACCAGATACCGATACCGGCCAAAGGAGATGTCACACCTCTGTAAAGTCCTTTAGGCTGTTGGTTTTTTAACAGTCAGTTTGATTTCTACTTTGGAAGTGTAGGCATATCCGATCAATGGTATCTTACCCCTTCAGCCTTGAACAAAGACTGAAAGCAGTCAACTGCATTCTTGTAAATTGGTGGTGAAGGTTGTGTCTGCATGCGAACTTTGATAGTATCGAAGGGATGACCTAATGGTAACTTGGTAAGTTACAAATCTGTGGCCCAAGGCAGTAATACCATAATGGATTCGAGGACTTACCAACTACTACCTGAGCCCATCCACCGATGGTTCCGGCTATAAGGTCCTGCGCAAATTTCGGAATGGCGAAAGAGGTGGTTGGCACTGTTGTTTGGGTTGTCATACTGGCAATCTGTCAAAGGTCGTTCCAAGAGTTCCTGAAGGTCAATATTTTTTTTTCTTTCAGTTTTGGGAGTTTGGTCTCAATATTTTGTAACTCCGCCATCTTTAGTCATATTGACTTGGCCAATGTTGCCGCCTGCCACATTGAGTTTTCGGTAGAAAAAGCGCTGTCTTGCGCTCTTTATTCTATTATCTCTCGTCTTTATAAAACCTTATGTACAAACTAAGCGGCAATATTCTAAATATATCATATTAGTAAATCAGATTGGAGGATCTCCTATGTATAATAGGATAGTCAGTATGGCATAAAGTGGCAGACGCAGGGATGAGCGATCGAACTTACCTAGTGTAGGCCATTTGGGCATATGCTCCTTGTCAACAAGCTCCCACACCTGTCGTGTATCAAAAAGCTCTATAAACTGTTGGTCCATGGATCTGGATTTTGGATGCGAGAACCTTCGATATTCATCAAAAATGGACGTATAAGACCAATGCTGCAGTTTTCGCATACAGCCAATTAAGCAGCCTGTACGATGCTATTGAAGATAGATAAATGAGTGCATGCTTATAAGGACGAGAAGCATAAGACAAATTATACATACCTTTCCCTTGTTGCAGTGGATCAGCATTGGGTGATTCCGGCGATCTAAATATCAACAGCTCCATTTTAGTCGTTATTTTTTTTTGCAGTGAAAAAAATGCAAGATCGTAGCTAACCTAGTATCGCAGCTAGTGCAGCACTGATCTTGTTTTCTGGAACTGATAGCAAGAAATTAGTACGGCACTCTGGGCTTCGAACGAACGTCTAATTGAATATTTATCTGCATACTTTGCACGAAAGGTTCCTAAATTTCGGGATCAAGGTTAGCTTCCATGCTAGATATCATGTACCCTATAGTCTGCAATGTACCTTGTTACCAGCTATGCCAAACTGGAGGAATTTGATTTTGTTCTCTTCCAAGAACTTCATGTTTTGTTCAGGGTAGTCTTCCAGAATCAAAGTCCTATTATCGAGAGAGGCTGATTAACACAAGGGTACAAATATAGCCACAGCTCGTTTAGTACTAACAGAACACTCTTGAGTCCGAGTTTCTTGAGGAATGAAAAATGTTTCTTCTTTGGAAAAGAGCTCCTATAGATATAGTCGGACACCATGTTGAAGTTTTCTGGCGGAATCAGAGCTTCTTCAAAGACTTCTTCCTCTTCTCCCATAAGGTCATCCATGGCTGACCAAGGCGGATTGGAAATGGTTATGACATGCTGCGGTCGTGAAACAGCTTTTGTAGCAGATATAATGGCGTGCTCCTGAGCCACTGTATCCACTTTATCGGCATTGCTTTGCGCTTCTGACATGCAGTAATGAACGGCTGAAAATAAATATAGCGAGGGCCACGTTGACGCTTTTACGCAAGCGTTTCAAACTGCGATTCTTTAGAAACGCACAGCAGAAATTTAACTCCACAGTTTGACCATTTCTCCCTCCCTACCCACTTTTTTCTGATTGCCAAGACAGCCGGCGTAAACTAGCTGCTTTTATTCCCAATGTCAAGATATCAAAAGGTACACAAACAGCTTTCAATGAAGCGACCTCTTGGCGTCAATGTGCCCATTATTAATCATTGCTCCTTGCATTGTATAGGTTCCGAGCTCGGAAGATCCATTAGAATCCGACGTTCAGCTTTCAACTTTGCACCCTCAATTTAATAACCACCCATCGTCCAGTTCATTAGAAAACACAAACAGCTCACCAATACTTCGAGCACAGAATGCGGCCCTTTTAGATAGTTTCGAGGAAATCACCGAAGAAGAAATGGAGTCTGAAAGTCACGGTCTACTAAGTAATAATGGGCATGGCCAAGATGCCATCCCACTAAGCTCTCGCACGTCTTCTTCCAGTCGACGACCACACCATAACATCAACAACCAGCATCCAGCTACCTTGCCGGTGACCAATGATGGTGTATTTGCTAATATGTCTGCCAAGCCTGAGTCAGAAAGCAATAAGGACGATGAAACGCCGCCGGTACGTATCTGGAAAATTCTCGTCTTATCGCAAAGCCAACCAATTGTACTAATAGCCCTTAACTTTTCAGACTTATGAAGAAGCATCTACCGATGCAACACCTCCCTATTGGCAAACGACAATTATTGCGCCTGCTGGCATGGGCGATATGGTCCTTGTTGAAGGCATGCCGGTTGGTAATGTCTTTGCCTTCGCATGGAATATGATCAGTAAGTTTTTTTTTACATCATTAGTCACCTTGGAAATCAACTACCTATATTTACATATTTGGGTACCGTCTGCCATAGTCTCCATGAGCTTTCAGTTTGTAGGCTTTATGTTGTGCTACCTACTTCACACTTCACATGCCGCAAAGGTGAGTTTGAATCCATTATCTTGAGCTCTTGCTTGGATGTGAATGACCACTAATTGCCAAATTTTTTTAGCATGGTGCAAGAGCAGGTCTTGGAATTTCATTGGTTCAATACGGTTTCTATATTAGCAGCCATGGTAATTTCGGCGAAGAATTCAAAAATGAAGACGATGATACTCCAACTGACGAAGAGGAAGCTCGAAATACCAACATTGTCGCTTACATATTGATGATGATAGGATGGTTCATCATCATCCGCTCTTTAGCAGACTATGGTAGAGCAAAGAAGATGGAAAAGATCATATCTGCTGAACCAACCATTGAATCCGTCGTGTAATTTCCCACCTTTCTACCCCACTTGTAATCTTTTGCTCTTTGATACTATCTTTTGATTCCTTCGGTTGCTTATACTTGAACTGAACCCGTCTAGATCAATGGGTGGCGATTTCCTCATTTGTATGTCTGTTGTAACATTATTCTTCATTCCCCCCTTGTTTATCCCGCTCCTCTCCCTTTTGCAATGCCTTTTCTTTTCTCTTCCCAGTTGAATGTTTCATCACTAATGAATGGAAAGATAAAAAAATGCTGAGGCTTAAGGAAATTGATGAAATATGTGCCTGTACCAGCCATTGATATATTTATTGGAATGATCGGTCCGTATTATGAGAAGAAGTACTGACAAAGACTTGCGTAATCATTTTTAAAATAGACACAGGGTTACTCTAAATGTATCTCTCAAGATTTGTGCAATGAAAAGAGCTTCATTGTGTGTATATGCCATATTCTTTAAGGGATATATTACCATTCCAACTTGTCATTGCCACAAGCACTTGAGCCGCAAGTTTTCAGTTCAGAAATTACCAGTGGATCTTCTGGTGTTTCCGAGATTTCCAAGTGCGGCTTGCGGCCATACAAGGAGGAGGTAATTATGGTTTTGTCGGTTCCAAGTATTTGATTCAAAGCGCCTTCCTTGGGCATTCTGAGATAAACCTGATCATCTTCTATCTTGACTTCAAAGGTCATCAGTTTGTATTTCATCTCTTCTCCTGGTACTAAGCATTTGCCGGTTTTCAAGGAAAAGTTTTTCTAGTGAGGTAACACATAAATATTTAAAAACTGTAGTCGCATGAAATTAAATAGAGACAAACAACCAAACGTTGTTTATGGTAATCTACCTTGTGCATTGGACACGAGACGTAAGAGTCTCCTCCTGATTCGTTGTCAATGGACCCTAAGAGACCGGATGAAAGCACAAGGGCTCGTTTGTGCGGACAAATGTTTTGTGTAGCGTACCATTCTCCAGTAGCTTTATGGAATACGGCTATCTGAACATCTCCGTATCGAACAGTCTTGCCTTGATCCTGTGGGAATGCTGAAACAGGTCCAACTGAGAACCATATACGGTCTTCACTGCAGTTGACACTGGTGTCTATTGCTGGGACATCCTTTGGCCAACTTGCTGGCCGTACTTGGTCTCTTTCCTTGACCATCTCAATCACTGGTTGCGCGTGCTCGCTATTAACAAATTGTTTGAAGTGGTCGCGTGCTTTTGGATTTTTGATAACCTTAGTCCATTCACATTCGTATGAGTTAATAAGTAATTGCATTTGTGCCTCAAGCTCATCTCCAATTCCAAGGTAATCGTCTACGACCACTTTCTTCAAGTATTGGATTCCACCCTCAAGTTTTTCGATCCATCTCGCGGTTCTTGTCAACTTGTCAGCAGTTGTGATGTAGTACATCAGGAAGCGATCTAAATACTTGATGACGAGGTTCTCAGGTATATCAGCTGCTAATAGTTCCGCATGTCTCGGCTTGGAGCCTCCGTTTCCTCCAACGTACAGGTTATAGCCTTTGTCTGTGGCAATACAACCAAAGTCCTTTCCCTATGCATTTGAAAAGGATATGTTGAATATAAGCTAGGATTTTCCATCTTTTTAAAACAAAGATATACCTGAGCTTCAGCACATTCACGGATACATCCGGAAACTCCTCCTTTCAATTTGTGTGGAGATCTAATGCCCTTGTACCTGTTTTCCAGCTTATGGGGCATAAGTATGCATATAAAGATGGCTAAGTGTAATTTAGACGTGTGACTTACTGTTATTGCAAATCCGACCGAGTCTTGTTGGCCATATCGACACCATGTAGTTCCAACACAGCTCTTGACTGCTCTCAAGGATTTGCCGTAAGCGTGACCACTAAAAACCATGAAAGTTCGAAGGCTTATACTATTTTTAAAACAAACGAAGGCTAGCCAAAGTACCTTTCAAAGCCTGCATCAACCAGTTTCTCCCAAATGTTCGGTAGATCTTCTTTCTTGGCTCCCACTATAACATGTTGTTGATATCGCAACTTCTTATCAAATTTAGGCTGTGAAATACTTACTGATATCAATTCTCTGTGCACCTGTGATTTTTGTGTAAAGACTGTATTCCATAGCAACTTTAGCAATGGCTTCGAGCTTTTCAGGAGTTACTTCGCCAGCCGCTATTCTTGGTATGACACTATAGAGGCCACCGCGTTGAATGTTTGCTAGGTAGCGATCATTTGTATCTTGAAGCGGCAACAATGAATCATTCAGTATATGGTCGTTCCACAAGCCAGCCAGGATCGATGCAACAGCAGGCTTGCAGACCTCACATCCGGTAGTATCTGGATATTTGGAAACCTTTTGCGCTATTTCAGAAAATGTTTTCAAATTTTGAACTTTAACAATGGTCCATAGTTCCGGTCGAGAGTATTCGAAGTGTACACATAAGCTATTCTTCACTGTTTGTCCCATAGCCTTCATCTCTGCTTCAAAGATCTAAGAAGAAGTAAGAGTTAGCTATGTCAGGATACATGAACAAAGCTGTATGAAGGAAAGGTTGTTTACCTCTTGCACTTGTGTCAAGCAACCACCACAGCCTGAGCCAGCTTTGGAGTATCCCTTTACTTGATTGACATTTAAGCATTTCTTATCCTTGATGACTCGCCGGATATCGCCTTTGCAGATGTTATTGCATGAGCATATTTGTGTCTCATCAGGCAAGTCACTTGCTGTCTCCACAGATCCAGTTGGAGCGCCGAGAATAAGTTCACTAGGAGGAATGAGTAGCCTTTTCTGACTCTTGACCATAGCAAGTAGCTTTGCATAGTCCTTTGTGTCTCCAACCATCATACCGCCCAAAATTTTCTTTCCATCCTTTGTAAAAAGGTATTTCTATAGGAAATTCATATCAACACATTGTATCTTTTCAAAGGCAGTCATGAAGGAAGAAATGATTCAGTCTTACTTTATAGATGCCACTAAATGGGTCTCTGTAAACCAAAGGCTGTGATAACTGCTCATCTGCGAAATAATCTCCAAAACTGGCAACGTTGACCCCCAATAGCTTAAGCTTCGTTGATGTATCTGCCTTTTTGAACTTTAGTAACTTTCGCTTGCTTTGATGAAGTGAAGTCAAGTTACGTGCGACCACTTCAGCCATTCTAGTGCAATTGAGATCAGCATATTGGACTTCATGAATAAAGATGGAGCTTGAATACTTACTCGTAACCTGGTGCTACCAGACCATAAGTAATATCAGCATGTGAAACACATTCTCCAATAGCAAAGACATCTGGGGCGCTGGTTTGCATGTAGTCATCAGTGATAACGCCGCCATTTTTTGCAACTTCAATATCTGATGCACTTGCAAGGTCGCTTCTTGGCCGTATTCCTATCGCATAGATCACCACGTTTGTATCGACATTTGTATCATCTTGTAATGTCAATCCTGTGACTGATCCATTGTCATGTAAAATTCCTTTGGGGCAGTTAGAGACTACAACAGATATTCCCAACTTCTCAATTTCTTCTTGAAGTACACGAGATCCATCGACGTCAAGCTGTCGTGACATCAATCGGTTTGATCGATCAAAAACAGTAACCTCAAGACCAAGGTCTTTGGCGGCTTTGGCAGCCTCTAAGCCTAGTAGCCCACCTCCGACAACGGCAGCCTTCCTGCAGGTTTTTGAATAACTTATCATGGAATCTAAATCGTCAATCGTTCGATAGACAAACACACCGGAAGACTCAAACCCAGGCATTCCGGTGGGCACTGCAGCCGTGGAGCCAGTTGACATAATACAATAGTCGTAGGAAATGACCTTGCCTTTGTTAGATGTCACGGTTTTTTCTTGATGATTGATGGAAATAACCCGGTCACCCAGATGTACTGATACATTATGGTCTTGATACCAAGCTTGTTGCTGCATCAACTGTTGTAAGACATCTCGATGTTTAAAGTACTGTGTGAGCCCGACTCGATTGTAAGCAACTTGGGTCACAAAAAAAAAAAGGTGAATATAGTTGAATCAATTAAGGTTTCTCAATAATCGGCAGCGATTTCTTACCGAAGCTTTCCTCGCTGAATGTGATGATGTCAAAAAGTTTATCGGTATCGTACTCCAGAATCTTCTCGATAAACGATAGACCAACCATGCCAAGACCAACCACAACAACGATTTTCCTCTCCATTGATGGAGCGAGCATTACAGTTGGAGCCATAGAAAAAGCGAGGAAGGAAAAAACTTTGTAAGAAAGAGGAGTGAGAGATAATGGTACTCAGAACGTGGGGGAGGGAAAACATTCTCAATGTGATATATTGGTAACCATGTTACAAGGTCCCAGGCTCGGAATACGATAGGCCACCAAAAGGTATATTGCATAGAGGAGCAGATCTTTCAGTAAAGTAGATAAGGCTTTTGGTACTGTAAAGTCTTCATAGCCAGCACTGATAAGCTATCAAAATAAAAAGATTTTCTGGGCAACATAGCGTTATCAATCAGGCTGATAGAAAATCTTCGAGCTTTTACAAGCAGTGTAACTTTGCTCCGAAAGCCGTTATCGTAGTGGAGGAGTATCATCCAATCGATTGTTTGTTAAATATGTTTTTACTTCCAATAAACTCTTTGCGTGTCGAGCACAGGCACTGTATTCGGACCTCAAATGTCGATCTTCCCTCTATGAAAAGCAATACTTTGAGGTGCTTGAAAAGTGCTCCAAGGAAGCATTTGAAATCTGCAGAGGTTTTTTTTTTCATCTTTATGGTATGCTTGCTAACTTCTACGCATCTGCTTTTCATTTCAAATTGATTTTTTTGTAGTCATTTATCTGGACTTCCAACAAAAAAGCCATTTGAGGCATTTAATCAGCTTTCCTATGTACAGAAGCCCTTATCAATTTACCTCCATTTGTGAAGAAACTCGTCCGGATGAGTTCAAATGTAGGACGCACGAGAAGATAACCAAAAGCTTGAGCAACGTCATTAGCCAAAGTTGACAGAGGATCATTACGGCTGCCGGATCATATCAAATGGTCATCCACACTCATCGATAACGGAAAAATGGCTCACCAACAACTTCCATGATTTTTTAGTAACAACACTAGAAAGGAGCTCTCTATCTACAACGCTTGACATGATAAGAAGGTCACACATATGGCAGTTACTTGTTGATAGTAAAGGAATCTAGAGTAATAAGCGGCCGCCGATTTGTTTGCAATCCAGGAATGGCAATGCGTCGAATACATTGACTTGCCCCAAAGATAAGGATAGTAAGAACTGACCATTATCTCCCAAATGCCACATTGACTATCGGACAGCGTGCAAGCCTGGGGATTTGTTTGTAATCTAGGAAAGGGAATACATGAAACTCGTACACCTCACAAAGATAAGGATGGCCATAAACGACCGTTATCACTAAGGTATCACGTTCATTTTAGAGCGGTGGGTGCGACTCGGGATATGTTTGTTAAACTAAATTAGAAATTGAGGAGTATGATAAAGACAACCTATGGCTTTGATATGCAATGTTTCGAAACACTCTACCAGTGTAGATTGACTGATGTGTGAGCCAGTATCCATTTTGCCGTTATCTGGAAGCGGTGTACAAAGTATACTAACATAGCACAGCACGCACTGCAAGCGAAGATGAGTTCAAGCATCGAGTTAACAATAGTCAATTCCACTACTCATTACGCGAACGTTGGATAAAAGTATTTATTATTTCAAATGTTCATGCGATGTAGTATACTATGATTGACTAGAACACATAAACACTGTTTTCCATAAACTCTGGATCATAGATCTCCTCTACAGCCGGGATAAATGTGTCATGAACCATTGCATCTGTTCCGCAAAGAAGTACTATACTACTATCTTTTACAACATCATTGAAGGGAAACAAATGATTTCTAATTTCCTGTCTATTGATACGGCCTTTGCCATGTTTCCAAGTATTGGATGGTCTGGATAATAGGACTCTAAACACAAATGATCAGCGAACACCCTTACCGGCCAAATCACCAGAAAAATAGAAACTGTATTTTCGCCTACCTTAGCGACATTCTCTCAGGTCCAAGTTTGAGCGCCATGTCTTCTAGTTCTTGTCTCAAGATAATATCCTCTTCATAACGATTTCCATATATAAGTGAAATTCGAGTGGATTGGTCCCCAAATTCTTGTGATATAGCCATCAAAACTTGCCAGATGGGCGTTATTCCTGTGCCAGCACAAATCATGCCAATGTCCTTGGCGTGTCCAATATCTTGTCTTTTGAGGTGGATGAATCGTCCCATTTCAAGATATTCGAAGCTTCCCAGAGGACCTTTTGTTTCGATGGAATCTCCTATATTTAATTTCTCTACTTGCTGTGTAAATAGACCACCTGCTGGATACTCTTGGGCTGGACGGTAAATCTTAATGATGAACTCCATAAACCCATCACCACATAGACTTGGCGTATATGCGCGCATAATGAGTTTGGAGTCTGATCGACAGCGTAAATAAACATGTTTTCCAACAGGCAATCCATGCTTCATAGAGGGTGAGGAGAATGTGAACCGAAACAAGCAAATATCTTGTGTAATGTAGACTTTCTTCTCCAGGACCAAGGTCTTCCAAATCTTGGGTTCTAGGAACTGATCTGAAGCAGGGTCGGAATGAGTGCGATCTTCAACAGGTGCTTGTGAATCCTTGGATAGAGTGCCGATAATATATTTTTGTAGCATTTCGTGAGCAGCAGTAGAATGGATTGCGTCAAAATCTTCCGTACAATCTTGGCCACCAACTAGTAATATGGAGTCTATTCCACCAGGGTGTGCCTTCATAAATGGAGTACAGTCATAAATCATATCCCGAACAACGATCCAACAATCGTCGTCTACATTGTGTTTTTCCACTTCTCTCCAGCTATATGTCTTCAAATCGGTTAATGGTTTAGTGTCTTTCGCAACAGTTTGTTTCTCAGGTTGCAAAACGTCTAACCAGCCTCCTTTTTCGGGGCCAGCAATGGTAGGATGTCGGAAGCGTAAACCGCTACCATCAGGGGTATCTACTATGTCGACTTTGATGGTGAACCAACTGTTGTTCATCATGCCCATAAGGTTCCAAGAAAAGTTTCCTGGCTGCGTATTTTGCGCCTCATCCCATGCCCGAACAGAGATTTCTTGGCATCGCAGCAGTCGAGAAGGCTTGATAGAATGACTCCAAAGTGCCCAGCACCAATACCTGATTCTTTCGTAACCATGATCGTCATTCTCGGTCAGCTCCGGCAGTTCATCCTCCTCGGGATGGGTAAGCGTGGTCAATTCCCAAGTTTCTCCTCCATCAAAAGAAAGTTCAACTCGAGTAATTTTCCTGTTGCCTCCGCTGTATGCGTATCCACGTAAGTTGAATGTGTCGTCCGTTATAGCTTGGCTAATGGGTAAGGTTGCGCCATGATCAGGGCAGAGAATTGCGCTATTGACATTCAGGTCATATAATGTGTATTCAGGTTTATACCACCATTTCTCAGCGTCAGCCAAATCCTTGTCCACAAAACTTGGGAACACCTTGTTATCCACATAGTGGTAAATATTGGAAGACTCGGTTTCTGATATATGTATCTTTGTCAACCACTTGACGCTGCGGCCACCAATGCAGCCTGGAACAATAACTCGCAAAGGAAATCCATGATCGGGTGAGAGCCACTCTCCATTCATCTTGTATGCTAATATAACATCATAAAATTCATTCATGGCTCGTTGCGTAGATATACTGGTGCCGTATGGACCCTATCATTTGAAACAGGATGAATACGATACATTCAGATATTATGTCAAAGCACAGCAAAGTATACACCAGTCTTGTACCTTTGGAGTGTTGTCACATCCTTCAAAACAAACATGCCTTGCTTTTCGAGTCAACCCTCCCGCAAATGTATTGATAACATCTTTCAGCGGTACGCCGGTCCATCTAGCGGTACTAACACCTGGTTCACAATAAGTGTAAGCGAAAACTTACTAAGCCCCATCTGATTTCGAAACATTACTATTACCAGCAGCACCCCTATAGTTATAAAAATCAAAGGCGTAAGTTGTTGGACATTAGCGATCAATGCTTTTTTTGAAACAGCGGTAACTTGCCAGTTAAATCCAATGGTTTGTTTGCGCATATTCACCTCTTTCCGTCGGTTACCAGCACATGTCATGGTGACGGGGAACGTGATGGAAGGCAGTTGCAGTAAATCATGCATGGATATTGAGCATGGGTTTTTCACTTCGCCGTGGATTTGTAACTGATGAGAATTAAAGTCACAGTGGGCAACAGCTCCATGATTGCGAACAAAGTGGAGGTCGTTGGGGGTTATGAATCCGCTTTTGTCCAAAAGTTGTACCGAGGGTTCTACATGAGGATTGGGTTAGAATAATTTCTCTGTGGCGTGAAAATGTAGAGCTAGAAGGTACGGTACCGGCGTTGAATGGATGCTTGCCAGTAAGACGAATCAGATTTGAATTACGGGCTACAACATGATCCGGGGTATCTCTATCCCGGGGATCTACGTTGGAGATGTCAGTCGCATAGGTTGAGATGTTATTTATCGAGTTATTTTGCGTTAGAATGATAGAGTTTGGCGGCATTTGATGAGTAGCGAGTGATATAATAGATGAAAACTTGATGCAGAAGGTCGTATATAAAGTCCGCGGAGTTTGGAATGGATGGGGGCACAAATCGGTACGGTTTCGTTTGGTTCTGAATGCTTTTCCGCACCCAAACCTAATCCAGTGATCACCGGAAGATACTTCGACAGGGGAAAGCATGTTTGATAATGCTGTTGGTTTCTACATTTGGAATCAACCTATCAGAGATTAAAGATTGGGCTGGTTCCACCATCATAGCAGCTCCCCGTAACATTTGCCTAGTTCCAGTTTGTGCGATATCGCCAAAATAAAAAAATTGGTGGATTTGAAAAAATACTTAAAGTGCCAGGTTGTTACCACATTACACAGTATCTGCTGTTGGCCGACTGCAAAATGGACTCGTTCAGTAGGACTCTCCAAACTGACAGCCACGGAAAAGCCTCCACCATTAAACTATTTTCGTTCGCTCGTCCTCATATGCGAGCACTTCATCTGGTAAGAAGACACTGCTTGAAGAAACTTGTCTGAATCAAAGGATGAAATTGTTCATTCATATTGCCTAATTTCTTCTAAGGGATGGATTTCATTTATGACAGCTTTCCTCGCCTGGTACTCTATACCTCCTCTAATATCAATCATTCAAGCTGATCTAGGCTTGTCTGCTGTATGTATTGTTTTATTTGTCATCTGTTCAGCTCAGCGAACCACAGTCAACCATGTGTTAATAATTCGCACAAATAGACCGATGTTTACGATTCTAATGTGGTGGCAGTCGCAGCGACCATAGGTAAGAGAGAGATTCAAGATGAGTGTGCCTTGACCACCTTTGTAATTCGCTAAAACTGGTGATTTCGGCTTCCAGCGGCTCGCTTGTTTGTGGGTCCGCTCTGCGAGCGTTTTGGACCAAGAAAGGTGATGGCCGGTCTGCTTCTAGTTGGAGCGATACCGACGGCCATGGTAGGATTAGTCAAAACGGCAGGTGGCTTAATTGCCTTGAGGTAATTGGATTCACTGCATCTGGAATGCTTCATCTGACATGGTGGCGAAGACTCAAAGGCGTGGTACCCTATAGGTTCTTTATTGGTATTTTAGGTGCCACATTTGTTCCATGCCAATTTTGGGCAACCCAAATGTTCTCCTCCAATGTGGTCGGCACAGCTAATGCTCTAGCTGGCGGATGGGGTAATATGGGAGGCGGCATAACGTAAGCTCTCGTATTCCAACATGTAATATGCTCGCAACTACTGACCATGCCCCTGGCTTATAGATACTTGATCATGCCTCCGATTTATAACGGCATCTACTCCCACATACCTAATAGTACAGCTTGGAAGGCTGTGTACATTATACCAGCAGGTAAATGGCAGCTTTATATCATTTTTTTCTCATGAACAGAGAGCTCAACCAACATCTTTGCACATCAAATAGGAATGTGTATTCTTGTTAGCTTAGTTGATATCTTCTTCTCCGATGATTGCCCTGAAGGAAAATGGCATAGCGTTCGTCAAGTTCCCAATGATCAAGTTCCTCCTCCGGTAGATGTTAAAAATGAAGATATGGAAAAGATGCCACAGGTGGCTGTGTATGAAGATGTTGATAACACGGACGACGACACTATTTCCTTGTCCTCGGTCAACTCTCACAAAACCTTTGCAACCTCAGTAGCTGTGTTCTTCAAGACACTGATTCGACCTCCCGTGTTGATTTTACTGATCCAATACGCTTGCTCGTTTGGTTTAGAATTGAGTGTTGACAATATCATTGCTGCTCTTTTCCATAATCGCTTCCAGCTCAGTCTCACTTCTTCCTCTTACGTCGGATCTGTCTTTGGCCTTATGAATTTGTTTTCTCGTCTGTCAGGAGGACTGTTTGCCGACTATTTGTTCAGAAAATGGAAGTTGCCTGGCCGAATTTTAGCTCAAATCATTCTTCTCACTTGCGAAGGTTGCTTCTTGATCGGCTTCAGCTACAGCCTCGGACGGCTGGACTCAAGTATAGGCATGATGGTGCTATTCAGCTTCTTTGTGCAAGCATCTTGTGGCTCGACGTTTGCTCTGGCACCATATGTAGATCCTGAAAACTCGGGCACAGTGATGGGTATCATTGGCGCTGGAGGTAAGTTTTTAAATTGTGACCTAAAGTATGCATCCCTAATTTTACTTAATATGGCCACCCGTCTTCAGGTTCGCTGGGAGGGCTGTGTTTCAATTTCTTATTCAAAAGCTATGGTCTCGATTATCACTCTGCTTTCCTCATTCTCGGCATCGTTGCCTTGGTTGCTGGCATCCCAGGCTCCCTTTTGCTGAGAGTGCAAGGACGCATGTTGTACAACTTGAGGTCCACTAAATAATATTACTATCATTAGCCCAGCTACCTGCAACATGTAATCTATCTCTTACCATGTATAAATAATTTTGGAACTAAGCCTGCCCAAAAGAAGGGGATCATTAATTCTGAGACTTCTCGTGTAAAGTCTGTGCTCATTGAAATTTGTCTTTGCGGCTCAAAATGCGGCTCAAAATGCGATCTAGAAAACCATTGATACCTCGGTCTGTAGGCGGTATCGTGCATTCACACATGCTTGACTTCATGTGCTTCAAAATGATGGGCAAATTTTTCCCTAAATTCAAAAAGGTAGATGGTAACGGAAGCTTTCGCGCATGTCGATGATAAACTTCATATGACACTGTTGCACTACTGAAACCTGTATTTATGTTAAATACATCTTTGGTGTTCGAAATACTTGATCAAGGTATGCATATGCTTCGTGACACTGGCGGACTGGTAAATAGGAAAGTGAGTGTAACGGTGATTTCTTTTTGATCAGCCCTGTGGTGAACTTCAGGCAACCTCTTCTACTTCTCTATCTCATCTTTATGAACTCATTACTAGAAGCTGCCAAAAAGAAGTCTGTTCAGATTCTTCCGGAACAAACGCGATACAATCTATTGCGATTTGTGTTCGACCTTCCTCTACCGCTATATAGATCGTTTATCGAATTTATGACGGTACCAGCGGCTTCGCATAGACCATGGATCAAAAGTGTGAAAGGTGATGGGTGGCAAGGAAGCTGGTATGGAGAGGATGCTGCCAACGTAGAGGATGTCGACAAGTGGACTTGTGAAGCCAAAGACCAAGACCTGATTTTGGTTTGGATACACGGTGGGTGTTTTTACTAAGCTTTTCTCTACACCAACTTGCTGCATTATCTCATCTAGCTGCTGACAGGGGGTGGCTTCTGCGTTGGAAGCGATATTATGTACTCTGCATTCTACATCAAAATACTGGAAAATCTGAAGACAGTTCATTCAGTCAATGCAAGGATACTGTCGGTCAAATATGGTAGGTCAAAATGCCCCCATATGAAATAACAAGTCTATACTAATGATGATATGCATCATCCAGTTCGCACACCAGAAGCCATATACCCTAAACAACGCGATGAATGCATGAGCTGTTACAACTATTTGATAAACGACCTAGGAATCGATCCCAAAAAGGCCATCATTGGTACGCATAGCTTTCCAGGGTGCACATGTCAGATGATTGTTGATAACTTACATGGTGATGTTGCAGGGGGCGATTCAGCGGGTGGGAATTTGACAGCGGTCATTTTACAGCATCTTAAACCAGAGAATTTTCCAGCGGGAGCGATTTTGGTATCCCCTTGGGTAAACTTGGAAACAACTTCTCCAACCTATACATCCAATCGATCTGTAGATTGCGTTGGTATCAAAAGTCTTAATAACGCCATCAGCCGCTACGTACCAGAGGATATGGCTATAAATGATCCAGAGCTATCACCTATGTATGCCGAAACATTCAAGGGTCATCCCCCCCTGCTTGTAACCTATGGAGGACTGGAAGTTTTCAAACATGATATTCAGACATTCATTCGTCGGAATCGAGAGGATGAGGTGGATGTCGAAGAACTGACCAGGAGTATGCCACATATATGGATCATGCAACCAGAAATTCCATGCAATGACGCTGTATGGGAAGAAGACGTATCAAAGTTAACGGATTGGTGCGCTTCTAAGATAAAACTTTAATTATCAGATGGACAGTGAGCAAACTATGGCATTTTTATGATCTAAATACTTGGTATTTCAACAACAGCATTACCTTTATGCACGAGAGTACATGTGCAACTAATTTTCTACAACTGCAACCAAGTCCATCAGTTTTCAATAAATTAAAACCAAGCAATTGTGCTGCCTTCAAATCATCTAGGTCTCTTTTTGGCGACAGTTCTTGCCAAAGCGCAGGTCCGGGTAACGCCTTTAAACTACAAAAGTAAATGCTCACAACCACCTTATGATGCTCTCAATCACTCAATGCATATGTGGGACTACTTACTTGAGCAAGTGAAATGGTAGCTATCGCGCATACCATTGAAATTGCGGATTGAACTAAACGTATAACTATGGATCTCGCTACTATCAATGATCGATATGGACAGTCCGCTGGAGGGCACTCGTCCAGGATGATCTCCATGTATTCCTTTATTAACTGAGAGATTCAAAGAAATGTACACTCTACTCACAGCTAGGTGGGTATGTTACCTTTAAACAAAAGTCGTTAGCAAACGTCTTCATACCTATTATTTGGAGCGAATTCAGTTCTTCGCTCCTCCGCATGTTGTTTCTGGCCCTTTTTCGTGCCTCGTCTAGTGCTGCTTTGACTGATGCTCTTGTTTCGTGCCGTTCGTCTTCTTCTATTGTCGCTACGACTGTTGTTCTTCTCCTCTCGCATCTTTGCCTTAGTCTGAAGTACGTCCTGAATTATCCATCCTCAAGGAATGTCGCAATGACATTAGCTCGTTTACCTTTAGTTCATGGAAGTCTGTCCTGCCTTCCTCTGTATCTCGTTCCTCTCGCCCTAGTCTCATTACCGTGCTTGAAACCGCTCACGTTCTCCTTCCCATTGTCTTCCTGCTGAAGAATTTTTAATGGGCTGACTCTGGCCTCCAAAACAGCTGCTAGATCAGCGTTACTGCCCACCGCCATTCCTTCCGCACTATTATCTCTCTTGCTCTTTCTGACGCATAGTCAGCCCATTCCGCTCCTTCTCCTTGGTGGTTATTGCAGCCACCATCGTCTCGGGAAGGTAATGGTCCGCGAAAATTCTTGAGGTTCTGCGCTTTCTAACTATATATTTGTTTTGTATTTGACAAGTCGTAGATCTTCAATGGGGTCGTTGGGGTTTTTTATCCCTGAAGTTTAGCTTACAACATCTCGATAATCTATGCTTCATCAACTGTACCCTTACTTTCCATAAAAAGTCGATCGCAAAGACAATATTATTTATAAAGGGATTTTACAAACAATAGCTTTACAGCGATATGTACTGTTTCCTTTGAAAAGTGCTGAGGTGTGTGAGGGGACTTTTTGCTCTGCGAATGACCTTTTCCGATTAAGCAGTCACAGATCCTCATTCAGATTTTTCAGAAACCTGGTTGGCCGGGGCACGATTGACTTTCCATTGCTTTCTACGTAAAATGTTCCAACGCCTTGTCAACTTTTGGGTCCAATCCTTCGTCACTGAGCGTCTTCTCGCTAGCAAGACTTTCAATGCTGTAGCCGCCAAGACTCATCAACATGTCTCCACCATTACTTCTAAGGGTAAGTTGTACATATATATCAGGCCGCTGGAGAAAACCATAGTTGAATTCAAATGACTAATACTGTAATGTGTTCACCAGGTCAACAAACCAGCAATACTTTCATGAAGGCCTTCAAAGAAAACTTGGAGAAGGAGCGTCTCAATGCCAAGAAATAGAAGCATCGCTCATGCTTGTACTTTTGTTTTTTTTAATCTCTTGTTTATTATTCCCCACCCCCACATCGTCCCTTACTTCACTTTAGCATTGTCCAATAGAGACCTTTACTCACACTACGAGACTTTCTTTTCTTTTTACTGTGCGAGGAGACAGCTTGTGATGAGGAGAAAATTCAAAATGGTAATGTTGTTTATTGCGCCAGGAGAAGGCTAGATTACAGGTAGCAAGCCTTCGTAGGTGAACTATACAGCATCATTGGAAGAAACGGTGGTATAATGGATCATCAAGCTGCTCAGGGATTAAAAGCGGATATCCTATGATGAGAAGGCTATCATCTAGCGGTTTTAAATGTTGCTGCGCGAAGTATAAAGGCTATGTTATGCATGCATGGCTTAGGGGTAAATTATAATTATGCCTGGTCTTCCTTGGAGATGGCAAGGTTGTCAATGTCGTGGCTGCGTAATGATTGAAGGGCCTCTGTTCGCTTCATGGGTCCATTATAGAGGAAACAAAAGATGGTACAAACGGCGGCTGCACAGCATTGGAAGATTAAGCCATGAGTAAGGTTATCTTTTGGATCACCATTGGGATCACGTAGCTGGTCCATGATGAGGACGAAAATAAAGCCAAAGATCTGACAAAACTGCCAGAGGAAAGAAGACGATGTGCTTTCGGATACTGGATATGAAGCTGCAAAAAGCCAAAAGGGAAATAGGAAATTTCGTTAGACTATCATTTGGCTAATTTTTCACTTATGCAAACCACCTCATGTACATACCTTCTGCACCGAGTTCAATGACCACAGGTACCAAGAAGGAAAGGAAAAATTGATTCATGGCATTCACGTATAGCACAGCTGCGAAAGAGTTTTTCTGAACTGAAAGCGTAATGTAATGTTAGACAAGGTAACGTACTCTCGGTACAAGAGATTAAGCACTCACTTATGAAGATAAAGGCAACGTATGTGGAAAGCATCAATGGCGCCATCAAGCGTAAAAAGAGCTTATGCTGCTTGGTGATATCTAGTACTGGACCAGCCACGGCTGCCATCCCAAGATAATGGTTAGAAAATGATTGGTCAAAGGCCACGGCTATCCGGACTAATACTTACAGCATCCCAATGTTCCGGACACTAGCGCAACAGCCGAGAGAATGCCGGCTTGAGAATTTGTATAGCCATATGGCGTGAGAATTTGAGTGAACAAGGTACCAAACGAGATGCTTAAGCCAACGTTGAGTCCATGAATCATCAACAACACCCAGTAATGTTTGTTGCACATCAGTAATTTGATACCTCCAAAATACGATGGTCGTGGTTCTGTGGACACAACCGAAGCGGGCGTAGGTGGCTTTTCAGGGATGAAAAAGAATGGAACAGCAGCAGCGGTTGCTATCACGGCTACCATGATTAACTAATCCAGAGTGGTCAGCGATAAAGCTTTTCGGCATATTTTTTTTTTGTAAAATCATGAGTTGGTAGAAATTGATTACTTACAGTAAATCCAATGCGCTCCTTTCCAGTTGCAATGGCAGGCATCAAGAAGTAGGCAATAATACCACCATAATTTGATGCTGTGGAGATTTTTTTTAAAAAAATAAACCTATGGTGAGCTACAAGGATGTGTCAGCCAATATAAGGGATGTGCATAACTTACCAACAAAGACACCTGCAGTTGCTCGACGATTTTCTGTAAACCATGTGGCGGCAAACTTTCGGCCAGCATTGAGATTAGAGCAATGAAATAAGCAGTTTTTTAGTATTGAAATTAACTATTTACCATAGTCATAATGTTGAGGGTTAAGGGACAAGCAGCCGAAGCAATAACTTGGCCAATCATCAGAATAGGGAAGGATGGTTGTGGGAATTGAACGGCTATCCAGCGAATCCAACATCCAATAGTATTTAAGCATGCAGCCAACAAAAGCTATGAAGAAGCATCAGTAAAAAGCATTTCCAGCAAGCTATGAGCAGTTAGGTTAATTTACCGATTTCTTGACGCCTATAGTCTCGAAGATCCAACCAGTGAAAAAGCTAAGAATGACATATACAATAGATTGTACATTAGCAAGCCAATTAATTGCTGTCAAACTGACACCCATATATTCTGCAGTGACTGCAGGTATAGGACTGAATGTTGTTTGGTATATGCTGACAGCTGAGCGAAGCAAAACAAGTAAGAATAAGACAAGCCATGCGATGGGGTAGGTGCGGGGTTGAACAGATGGATGCTCAATGACAGTTTGTGTTTCAGAAGGAGTAGATGCACATGTATCATCAGAGTAAAGAGTGTGAGGTGATTGATCTATATCTAGTGGGGGTACTGGTGGCCGACCAGAAGAATAGCGGTTTGACTTGACTCCATATTGGTACATTTCCAGATCCGAGCTCATGATGAATAGGAATGGCAAGAATGTGGAAAAACGAATGTAGTATGTATAGTGGGGGCTGTAGTTATGTCTTGGAATGAGAAAGAGGTCTTGAACGTCTTTTGGTAAGTAAGGTATGCAGAATCAAGGAAGGAATTTGACTTGAAGCACCACGACAGTCAATGGTAGAAAAGGATGGAGATGTAGAAAATAAAAAATGATTGTTTGCAAAGCGATTCGACTTTTAAACAAAGTGAAGACGGTGATCTGAAAATTAGCTAGTTGCACATACACTATGCATGATTTGCCGGGGTATCGAAAACACCATCAAACCTGCGACTGAATTGTGGATGCAATTGAGAAAAACGTGTACAGTGGTATATTTGAACGGTCGTCCCCACAGCCGTAAATCAAATTGAGTATATTTTCAATTTTATAAAAGTATGGTCCTTCTCAGTTCAAATGGAAACCTCACAAAAGGGGTGAATACGATTACCCAATAACATAAGGCAGGTACAAGTTTATGTAAGGATATAATAAGCTTTCAACAAGAATGACCGATAGGTCATTTTTCTGCCGTTCGCCGGATGCTATGATCATGCAATAATAAGATAAAGTAAATGGTGAAAGTTAGTGAAGTTGTTGGTCTGTGACATTGTGCAAAACAGTTGCCCTTTTTTTTTTCTTTTTCTTTTTTCCATGTGGGGTACGCTAGGTTCAACAGCTACAATAGAAATTTCTCAGGTTCGGTTTGCTAACTTGCCAGTTGGATGTGCTGTATGGAAACCAGATAGGCATAAGCCGAATGGTGCATTCCATGAAGGCTGAACCTTATTACATTCATCCCTTTTGCACATTATGTGACTCTGTGCTAATCCTCACGGTGAACATGGGTCAGCATATCAGGAGAGCGCGTTTGTCCAATCTGGGTGCTTTAAACAATGGAAAATCTAAAAAGAGAAAGTCATGATTTTGTGCCCTGGGTACAAACGCATTGGAAATTGAACTAAAAGTCATAACATAAACGCTATCCTGTCAATGGCCTTGCTTATGTACATACACTTTCCGTTATTGTAAGCTCGTTATATTGAGTTTTGGATGCATACTACATTGTGACAAGTCCTATCCATTTCCCCACATTTCTTTCGGTCTGAAATTCATCACACAACTCGCATGTTGTCTCGAAACCGACCAGCCAGCTCGTAACATTAAAGTTCGTGAGGGAGTCAAAGTAGTCCTCTAACCGCCCGATTTATTTAATGCTTGTTTGCATGGTTTATGGTGATTTGAATTGGTAGGGTTTGCAGATGAAAAGAATAGACCGTTGTGGTCAAGATGAATGGGGATGGTTTCGGCAGCTGCTCTGAGAAGCAAGGAAAACCTGACTTACTCCTCTTCTCCAAAGTGTTGTTTCCTCTCTGCGTACAATGCTTCTGCCCATGCCTTGACTGTAGGATGTGTGAATTTTCCCTTTGTCGAATTAAAGAAGGATTGAAGTTTCTTATTGTCGGCTAGAAGTGGGGAAGGGGGTAAGACACCAATTTCACGCATTTAGCAAGAATCTCATTGGATACCAACATTTCTCATATTCCATGGCTTGTACAATCATCTCAAACTTGTCTAGGTCTTTAACCAGCAATGCCTCAGGTGTGGTAGCGTCTTCATATTCCTGCCACAACTGGGCAATTTCCTGAGCAACCATCTGATCGTCTAATAAGGTCTTGTAGCCTTGAATGGCATCCTAACATTGGATGGAAGAATACGATCAGTAACCGGAATCGCCAATTTTGGACCGGTGCCGACCGAACTCCACTTACTCGTTCCTGTCTGAACTTTTCCTCCTTACTAACACCGGCGTGTGGTGTGATATCACCCTTTTTGAATTAAAAATAAAAAATGTAAGTTGACGGTGTCTAGAATATGGCGAAGCAGAGGATCTAGATGATGGTATTGGAAAAAGTTCGGGATACGAACCACAACGGCTTCGGCAAGATCGTGAACAATTGCCATTTTGATACACCTATTGTTCAGTGTAATTTACGTAAGTGCGCTGAAGAATACCAAGAAAGGGTGGGGGCCCCTGCCTTTCTTTCATTTCATAGGATATTTTTACTTTTCACGGTCCAGTGCTGGGTCATTAATCAACATGGCCATGACTCCCATTCGGTGCATATGATCGGCGATGGATTCAGGTTGTCGGATTCCATTGTCCACCCAACCTGTTCGCTTCGTTCTCTAACGGATGGTAAGACATAAGGGAACCGTGATTGGGCACTAGCTGGGTTGAATGCGAAAATATCTCACCTTGAGATTTTCAATAATGTGCAGGAATTTTATGACATTAGCAGGGCTGGACATTGTGAGTGGTATTCCACACTGAGTACGTGGCTTGTTCGGTGAATGAAGGTGGGCCAGAAATTGCTCTGCCTAAATTTTTTTTTTTGCAATAAAGAGTGCCACAACCTACTGTCAAATAAACAGCGAAATGTGGAATTTTTTTATTTCCTTTGTTACAACTTCTTATCTGTGCTTTCTCCTATAGTATCGATCTACAAGCAAGCGAAAGGGAACACGATGTACATGATTGACAGCACTGTAGTTCTTGGCATAAACCACGTCGTTGAATTCCTTGATACCACAGCTTACTCAATTATGAGGCCCGCTTTGTTTGTGCAACATTACAAAGTTATTCCAGTTCAATTTAGTGCCTCATTAGTCGATACTAAAAAAAAATATAGCATCCTTCTACGCGTGCAGGCCACGCTTCTATGCAATAGGCCTATGCAAACTGAAAGTTAACCAGGGTAGCTTTCTCTCAAGAGAACGATTGAAAGAGAAGGAAAAGTGTAGATCGCCATAGAAACAAAGTATAGGCTGGAAAAACGAGGTACCGCTAACTTTACTTTCTACCACACACGAGGTTCTCGACCATTTTCTGAACCTGAAATATTAATGACCTGGTAAATGGGATAGGGACCTCGATATAAGTTATATGCTTGCGTTCACCCAATAGAAAGCATGAAGGGATGGTTCTTTTCCATAGTGTTGCCTTATTCCCCCCGCCCATTCATCGATCTCAATGTTCCCAGACCTCAGCGTGTTTTCAAAAAGTGACATCGATAGAAAAGCTATGATAAATGTTGTACTCCCCGAAAGGCATAAGTAAAAAATAGAAAAGGTGTGCTACCGTAATATTTGATCAACTCTTTCCACAGTTTCCTTTCTACCTTTTCGTTCGTTGTTTCTCTTTATTACCTTCATTCACCGTAGAAGTCCTTTATCGTCGACCTCCTTCATCCCAACAAAGAGAAAGAGCTAGAGAAAGAGACAACCTATCGAAGATATCCCTGCCACTCACTTTACAAAAACACATACGCCTTCAGCGATTTATCGAAGTAAAAATTACGAATGCGCTCCACCATCCTTTGCCTTGCTGCTCTCGCTCAGCTCGCCCTTACCGCCGTTGCTGACAAGCATGTCACCATCCCACTGTACCGAAGATCACCTTCGCCTTTCTATCAAGCTGCTGGAGAGCAGATAGATGACGGTGTTGTACGTATTCGACCCAGCACTTTTTCATTGCGTCGTAGGGCACTCGACTGACCACTATCTTGTTTTTAGCTTGCTGGTAAGATTTCCGTCGGTACTCCTCCTCAGGAGTTCAACGTTGTCTTCGACACCAGTACGTGTTATTTTTTCCCCTTTGTGGCGGTTATCCTGAAACCGTAATTTAAATTGACACCCTATTTTTAATTGCAGGCACCGGTTTGAGTTGGATTCGTGGCTCAAAGGTGATTATCCATCCTTGCCTGCCTTACCTGCCATCATCAACTTACTAATCTTCCAATTCATTTGACAGTGCCGATCTGAAAACTGTCTCGACCGTTGCACTTACTACTCTACCCGCTCAAAGACCGCCGTGTCAACTGGTCACAAGTACTCTGTCAACTATGGCGATGCTTGCGTTGATACTCGTGTCTACTTGGACACCGTCACCTTCAGCGACCGAACCGTTCCCAACATGCCTATCGGTGGTGCCGATCGCATGAGCGGATTCGACGCCGGTTTCGACGGTTACCTCGGTCTCGGTCCCAACATTCAGTTCAACAAGACTGGCAAGCTCTATGCTGGCAACGGCAGTATGTTTTTATTTTTTTTATAACGCCAAGAATTCCATTTATCCTCCATAACTCACATAATTTCCTATAGACTTGCAACGTCGTCAAGACTTGATGACCCAACCTAGCAGTTTTGTTAACGCTGCTTTTCAAATTGGTCAAATCGAAAGTCCTCAGTTCGGTGTGTTCATCTCCACTAACACCACCGTTGCTCCTACCACTGCTCCCGTCGATCCTGCCACCCCCGTCACTACCACCCCTACCACCGACACTGCCAGCACTGGTTTTGTCAAGCGTACTACTGAAAGTGCTCCCGCTGGATACCTCATCTTTGGTGGTGTTGACAAGTCTAAGATCACTGGTGACTTCAACTACCTTACCCTCGCTGACCCTGTCGAGGGCGAGACCCGCAACTGGGATGTCTGCTTGAAGAAGGCTGACTTTGGTAACGGTTTGGATTTCCAACAAAGCGAAGACACCATTGCTTCCATCAGTACCTCTTCATCCTACATCACCATGCCTTGCCACCAAGCCGACAAGTTCCACGACAAGTTCGGTGGAAAGTTCCTCGAATCCACTCAAACTTATACCATCAAGTGCAGCGAAATTAGCAAGATGCCTCCTCTCAAGCTCAGATTCGATGAGTACACTGTCACCCTTCCTGCCTCTTACTGGACCCGCGAAATCGATGGCGACAGAGATTGCTGCGAGACTTTGATCCGAAAGGGTGTCTCTAACCGCGACTGGTCTCTTGGTACCGCCTTTACCCATGCTTTCTACACCAGCTTCAATTCTGAGAAGGAAGCTGTTGGTCTTGGTGTGCTCAAGGGCTCTCCCAGTGGTCTCAAGATCACCAAGAACTAAGCCAATCTTCTGCACAGCCAGCAAACGATTCACTCTCATTTTTCTTCATTGTTTTCTCTTGAAAGAACAATAAAACAAATGCACAGGAAACAATGGATCATGCAGCTTCATTAACGTTTTTTTTTTTTTATTGTTAAACCCTTCACACCCCATATTCCCTCTCTCCCCCTTTTATGCGATGCCCTTCATTTTGTACCACTCCTTTTGTACTCTCGCTTTTTGCCACATTATTAAATGCAGAAAAGAATAACAGTTTTTATGAACCATAGCTGTATTGTCTGTCAGTCCAGAGGGTCGAATCGGTTGGCTGGTTTAGCTTACTGGCGGTATCGTCTGTCTAGCCTGGCTGATTTACCTCACTGGCGTGACATGGTCTGGGAGGGGGGGGAAATTTCACGCTCCCAAAATTTTTGATCCTTCGATTGTCCTCCCCGCACAACTTGATCATGGCCCAAGTACAGACCAATCCACGAGGTATACCAACCTCACCGTTCGTTGTAAGTAATCTACCGCACGTCTTGAACGTGTTGTTGAACAAGTGCTAAATGTCCTGCGTGTCGTGACAGGAACGTGTTGAAGATTATGTTTCTGATGCTGAACCAGTGGAGGTGGTGCTCAAGAAATTCCAAGAGGCCATCAGTAAATACAAGTTTATGGAAATGAACATGTTACAGCGAAGAAAGATTCTGGAAGAGAAGATTCCCGAGATTCAAAAGACATTGTCCACTGTCGAGTTCTTGATGGAGAAGAAAGATGGCGATGACGATACCCCTACCATGGAGACCGAGTTTGAATTGAACGACACGCTCTATGCTAGAGCCAAAATTGAGCCAAGCGGTACGGTGTACTTGTGGCTGGGTGTAAGTTGCTATTTCATGACATGGGTTAGGCGGGGGGTTTAGTTCTGACACTGCTTGATAGGCGAATGTCATGTTGGAATACACCTTGGAGGAGGCTCAGGACCTGTTGGCATCCAAGTTGGGAACGGCGAAGTTGTCGCTGAGCAACGCCATTGAGGATCTCGATTTCTTGCGTGATCAAATCACAACCATGGAGGTCAACACTGCACGAGTGTATAACTGGGATGTCAAGCAAAGACGTCTCGCCAAGGCACAAGAAGGATCCGCCTAAATGGAATGAGTTTTAGACACCAAAAAAATAATAATAAACCACCAACAACAAAAAAGAAAAAGCCAATGCTTGTTTCGTATGGGTTGTGAGCAAGAGTACACGCCTAGGCCAAGGTCAGACTGTTTCCTTTCCAAACGACTAGAAATACTTTTTATTGCATATCAAGTTGGGCTTATGGGATAGTAATAATAAAGAAAGAAAGAAAAACCCATTGTACTTGGAAAACAGCTTAGTGGAAAAACGTTAGAGTGTTATGTACTGAGTGAATATGTATAGAGTAGTAGATATGACACATATGTTCAGAGCCACGAACGATGAAACGCTCAGGATGTTGGCTACTTTTTTCAATTATTTGGCAGTTTCGCGGTTGCGATCAGCAGCGTTGAATGAATCGGCGTTGCTTTGGATGTTGCTTTTGACGGTTTGATGAGCATCTTGGGCAGTGGCCTTGGCTTCCTGGGCCTTGGTTTGAGCCTTGTCCTGGACTCGGGCTTGTCTGTCAGCAAGCTGGGATTGAGCCTTGGCTTGGAGCTCACCAGCACGTTGATCCATGCGGATAAGCACCTTCTTCAGCTCTTCAGCAATGGCCTTTTCTGCGTTCTTCTTGAAAGCGGTGTTGATGATGGGAGAAAGAAGCTTGTACATGGTGTCGTGCTTGGTGTCGCGCATTTTGAGCTTGAGCTCGTGGAGCTTGCACTGAACCTTGACGACTTCCATCACATTGGAATTGGCGTTAGGAGTGGAGTTCTTGACCACCATAGTGACGTCCAAACCACGATCAGGGATATGGATGTCAGCCAAACCGGAATCGGCTACCTTGATACCAGTCTTCTTGCGGAATTCAAATTGAACATCGCGAGCGTCAGCTCGGACGTGTGACAATTGAATGGTGACTTGGTTAGAGATATCAGCAGTTCCTTTGCCAGTGGATTGGACACGATCACTGTGTTCACTGGGGGGTTCCATATGGACCTCAGTGTCGGTGTGAATCTTGACATAGCGTGGGATGACGTTAGAGCAGCGGAGTACAAGGTTATTGATCTTGTAGTCGATTTCAGCGTCAGAGCCTTCAATAGGAGGAAGTGGCAAGTACTCGATTTGAGCAGCAATGACTGGAATCATGCTGGCAAAGTCCTTGAACAGTTCATACTTGAATGTGGGCTTGCCTTCCTCGTCCAAGAATACACTCTTGGTGAGGTTTTGCAAGTCGTCAGCGAGCTTCTGGTTGAGCGTGTCTTCCTTGAAGCCTTGGCCGAAAGTCTTGGCTTCGTCGATAAGACGGTCAGTGTCGCCTTGATAGCGCTCCTTCATCTCATTCTGGCCACGATCCAACAGATCGGAAGCCTTCTGGTCATATTCCTCAGACTGGATAAATGAAGTATCACGGATAGATTTGTGAATAAACTCGCGGAGATCCGTCAAGTAGTTACGCATCTCTTGATCGTCCTTGACATGGCTGCCAAATTCACGGACGGCATTGATCAAAGGATCAAGGCTGTTGCCGTTGGCAAACTTCTCAACAAGTTGCTTGGAGGACTGAGTCACATTATCAATGTGATCTCCATGCGCTTCTTGGGTAGACTCGTGAGCTTGTTTCAACTGTCCACCGAACTGTTCACCTTGTTCTCCGATTTGACGGATGATGTAAATTAAATCATCAACGGCTGTTTGGTATTCTTGAGAAGAGTGAACTTCCAAAAGAACATTCTTAAGACGCTGCAGAAGGGTGTTTCGCTGTTCGGGGCTGAGATTGATTCCGCTAACGGATTTCTTAATGCCGGAGGTGACGTTGGAACCAATTTCTTGGCCGGCCTCGGTAAACGTGGATTCACCTCTGGCGTATTTGTCGACGGTAGGCTGAGTGTTTTCGACACCAGCACGGTACACATCACCAGCATGACCTCGGGCAGTATCACCCGTACGTTGGAAAGCATCTTGTGGGGCAGCTTCTGTGTTACTACCAATGTTGGAGCCAACGTTTTGCTTCATTTCCTCATCACCAGTGATACTGGCGCGAATGGAATCAGAAACGATGCCTTCAAGGTCAGCGACGAGGCGACGGAATTCACGAGATGTCACCATCAAGCGGGTGACGTTCCAGGCTCTACGACCTGCCTCTTGAGCAAGTTCTTGAGCACTAGCTTGTCCCTCGCGAATATGCTGATCGGAAACATGTTGTTTACCAATATCTATAATATGAGCGCAGCCATAAATATTTTTAAAACATTACGTAAATACTATGAAATCAAAGCCTAGAAAATAATGCTTACCAGCAGCGCCTTTGCTACCATGGATACCATCTTGTACGATGGTCTGGAGCTCTTGATCTGAGTTCTTTTCCTGGATGACCTGCTTAGAGGTATCCAAAACCTGGTTCAGATTTTGCATCACTTGCTGGCCAGCAGGAGACATATTCTTGGAGGTGTTGTCGACCACTTCGGAAGTGCGCAGCTTGTCGATGCCTTGCACTAAGTTATCATTTGAGGGGACGTTACCTTGGCTATAGAAAGGGTTTAGGAGCCAAGACTTTGTTGTGGTTGTTGAGCTTGAAACTTACCGCAGGTTAGAGGCAACTTCTTGCACTCTTTCCTTGCGCTCAATAGCTTCGTCTTGGCGGCGTTGTCGAGTTTGATCGTCAGACATTATATGTTATGAATATTTAAAATAAGTTGATAAGATGAGGTTCTTTTATATATTTGATACAAGTGAGGATCATGATGAGACAATGAAATCAAGTGGTTGCCTTTTTAGGCAAATGCATGTTTCTGTAAACCTCTGAGGCAAGGATTACAAGGTGTTATGGTCGTCTGGGCGTTTCTTACTATGGCGAAGCATGTTTTTAAGAGCACGTAGAGCAAACACCGTCAATCCAATACCACTCCAGTCTTCGTCGTGTAAGTCTCGTAAATCGCCAACCGTCATAATATCCTGGGCTCGTAACTTGGCTGCCCACTCCACCGTTTTCCGCTCTCGATTGGTAGCGATCGCCGTATCATTGACAAATTTCTCAATACTTGTGTCATCGTCATACTCTGTAAGGCAAGTCGTTTCATTATGGTTAATCACTAGCCAGCTATCGATCATAAGCGTCAAAAATTATTGCTAGTGTTTTCACTTACCAGACAGAACATGGGCCATCAAAGCAGAATGAGATGTGCGGCCAGACGATTCCCATATCCGATCGTCATCCATATGGGTAGATGACGATGACGACTCTACTGGAGGAGCTAATGTTTCATGTTCTGCTTCTCGTTTCTCCATAAAATCGATATATCGTTCTTCAGCAAGTTGCACTCGCTGTTCAAACGTCATACAAAGTTTCTCGGCTTCATGAGCTCGGTCCGTGGCCATGACTAGCTCTTGCCTAGCTCGCTCTAGTTCCGAACGAATATCATTTTCGCGTCTCCATACCATGCGATCTTCTTCCTTATTTTCATCACCAGGTTCTTTGTTCATATCTCGTAGAATACGGTTAATTTCGTTCGTGATGAGCTGTTGATATCGATCTGGGAGGACTTGTTCCTCAATCTGTTGGCCAAAAGGGGTTAGAATGCCACATTGCAGGTTACCAAGAGTGGATGGAACAATATCTACCATTTCATTGACAACCTCTTCAGCGGTATCCGTGTCGCTATTAAATTCAAATTTCACAGAGAGGCGATCCATGCCTTTGAAAACAACTTGTAGCGTCAACTGTTTTTTGGTTGCGTCAGTGGCGAGCAAAACCACTTCTGGTTCAACGGCGAGAAATGAATGTTCCAGAATTTCTTGGGCTGACATTCTATTGAAATGGCCGCAGTCAGTTTGAGTCGATGCGTCATGAAGCCAAAACGGAGTATTTTACTCACCTCTCATGTTCACTGGCAAGACAACTATTGATTAAAGCAAGTACTTCGGGGTTTTGTACTTTGGACAAACTTTCAGGTTTGATGTTTTGTGTGACTTTCTTGAACACTTGAGCAGCGTTTTTGCATTCGGCATAAGGGTATTCCCCTGTGGCCATTTCCAAGAGACACATACCAAAAGCATAGATATCCACCTTATCATTATAGCCTCTTTCCTCGTACATTTCTGGGGCCATGAATTCAGGCGTGCCGATCACCGTGTAACGTTTGGCAGTGCTCATCAACGGGGATGTGCGTTGCGCAGTCCCTAAATCACCGATTTTGACTTCTCCGTGAGCGCCATTGATGAAGATGTTGTCGCATTTGAGATCTCGATGAATGATAGGTGGTTCGTGGCTATGTAGGTAGGCTAAGCCCTTCAAAATTTGGCGCGACCATCGTTTAATGATCTTGATATTAGGCAACGATAGTTTGCGAATGTATTCACGTAATGTTCCCGAAGTCATAAGTTCAGTAATAAATATGAATTCCGAGTCATTGTGCCAGGCATCGTGGAAAGTAATGATATTAGGATGACGAACGGATTTGAGAATATCGATTTCATGGCCCAAATCCTTAAATTCTTGCCTAGAGATCTGTAGGATTGCGTAGGTCCAGTCAGTATATAACGGTGAAATGGTAGTCATGAAATCGAGTGTGTCCTACCTGCAAGACATTCCATGCAATCTCATATCCCTCATCTCGATCGATAGCCTTGTATACAATCTTGTATGCACCTTTGCCTAGCACAGTGTTCAAACGAGCATATCGGCCATTTGGAGATACTTCAACGACCTTTTCCGTATCGTGTTGACTGGATCGATCAATAACGTCATTGCCGGAAGGGTATTGGGGTTGGGAGGGATAATTTTCGTATTCTGGATATTGTGCAGCCAGCTGCCTGGTTAGAATGCTACTACTGGTGGTGTCCTCATTGTTGTATTCCACTTCGTCTTCAGGTGCAGAGCTGGATATTGGGTCAGACATGTCGTGCTGTGGAGGACTATGAATCCCTGAATCGACGGATTGGTCACTTTTTGCAGTATTGTAGTGATGATAACTATTGTCCATCATGGTTGTGGGATGGTGTTTATAATGTGTGCTGTAAAATATCAGAGGGATTTAAAGGAATAGAGACATTTGTAGTAGGAATCGTACAACCAAAAAATTATCGAGGAAAGGGCGTGTGATGCGTGTGTGAAGTACACACCACACTACAAATTATGATAAGTGGGGCTGTCTTTTGGAAGGGGGGAGATGAGAAAGGTAAGGTTGACTTTTGCAGAACTTGGCTGTGAACCTTCCGTCGTAGAATTAGCAGCGCCAGGAAAATTTCAACTTTTGTCATCCAAACCCTTTCTGCTTGAACAGAGCCGGTCTTTTAGCCACAATGATTCAGTCAGTTTATCAGTAATTATGACAGCCATGATTCAACCTCATCAAACGATAAATGATGTTAAAACGTCATGTATGGCATAATAACCGTCGGGTTTCTGGATAGACAATTTCCCATGACAATGTCTTAAGTGAACAGTGCGATACCGACGGGCTATCTGCTAGTTTGGGACTCAACGGCTAATAACACATGGTTTTACTGTATCGTGCCTCATATCTAAGCAATATTATTGATCGTACGGCTTGCTAAAAGAATTGTTAAGGGGACAGGGGAGAAGGGTCCTCATTCCACAGTTTTAAATCCATCGACAGCTCTCAACTTCGGGAAGATTTTTTTCATTCATCAATACTCATTATTTCTGATGTAAACATTTAGCGAACATTATAATGAACAAGGATATCATGACGAATATCATCACTTTGAACATTTTGCAACGCTTACCGAACAAGCAGTCCTTTTTTTTTTTTGCTGGCAGAAAGAGGTTCGTGACCGTGCAATAAAAAAAAATTGATGTTCAGTTCAACAAGCCTGCAACTTGAACAGCTTCTAAATCAAGCTCAACTACGACCACACATTCCCGCTACGTTAAGGGTCCAGCCTCTTATGCCGTTGGTAGACACACCCTGCCCTCGCTGCTCATCCAGCGTTGAGCAGTATAATATCAACCTAAACTGTGACTTTTACATGTGCATGAACTCCAAGGTAATTGACTCGATCTTTTCCGAATAGTTCCTAGATCCCATAGCTGATATAACCATGTCTACCTATTTCAGTGTTCATACCCGTTCGATACAGACCTCGTGTCGACATTTATCGTAGATAAACCTCCAAAGACGCGTAGAAAGCCTGCTCCTTCGCCACCACCCTCGTCACCACTTGTACAAAGACAGCTGAAAATGAAGAGGAATCGTAGCTTTGTTTCTATGTCCATGTTGAATCAGCGGAAAAGGAAGCCGTTTGACCGTGTAAATGCCAATGCCGTTGGGCAAGGTGGGTTGCCACTCTTGTCTGCGCCACCCGTGCAGAAAGAAAATATGGGATCTTTTAGTGACGATGTTTTTAACCATCCGTCGTCTCTTGATATTACCCTACAGAACTCCTCATTATCTCCCTCTACCCAAGAACTTAACTATTCGCTGGCAGACATTGAACATCTGCTTCAGCATGACGACGAGGCTGAGTATGATAGTGAACATTCAACCGTCGTGACCCCAAAGGACATTGATAGTCTGCTGGACAAGTCCACACTCATGGATGATTTTATGGTGGTAACAGCCCAAGATCTTTTCAATACCAATTGTACATAACCCCATTTCATAACTGTATCAGAGTAAACAGCTCGGTGCTAATTGCATATACTTTTTTTCTATCCTCCCATATGTCATAAAAATCACATATCACTATCGAAGCAATTTAATTGTCTGGTGCTTCACTTGAAGGCGGCGGTAGAGCAAATAGCCCTGAATTTTTCCCTTTTCGTTCCCCGTTCGTCTGTCAATCTCAGCCGTCTTCATTGCACCTCTGCGCTTGCTGGCTGCTACTACTGGGGCGATGGCTGCGGAAGAACCAGCAGAATCATATCAGGAAGTCGTAGCTCTTCGACTGAACAGCTCCGAATATGCCCTCCAAGCTGTCTTCACACAGTTTGAGGCATTGGCAGACAACAAGATCAAGCTCATGTTATCGACATCTATTGTACGACACCCTTCATTCTCTACTTTATTGCTGCTTTTATACTCATATATCTTCTATAGGATCAGCCAATTGACATTAAGACATGGCTTGGCGTGGGTGTGGATCCGATTTTCGATAAACTCATAAGATCTCTAGGATCGATCGGTAGTCACCGGCCGAGACCTGTAATTGATGCCGTCATGCAGTGGCGAAAGTTGAAGGGCGAGCCGGTCGATTCAGCGTTGATCAGGAAAGTCAGGTACAGTATTGGTTTTATTATGAAAGCTTTGTTTTTATAAACAGAAACTTTGGCTCACTGCACCATATCACAGCGAGTCGGCCCCGCTGTCCAGGGTTCGAGAAGTGCCGTCAGTCCTGAAGGAAAGGTTATCGGTTTGTATACCAATTTCATTTGACTTGATGCAAGTTCTCTTGTAGCTTACTTGAATTTATCTTTGAATTTAGTTATCCTCTCTTTTCATCGTTTGCAGAACATTGATTGAGGTCGTAAAGCGATTGAACGGCGAGGATTTGTCGGACGACTTGGCAGAGAATTTGGAGGAAATTGTGTTCAATCAACTCAAAAATGCTGATCCGTAAGATGAAAATGGGGTTCCATAATTTTTACATTCTTGCGCAAGTTTTCTGAAAGTTCTGGTTTGCAGGGATTTAATCCATCGATCCAAAAATCGAACAGCCAGCATGGATTTGTTTGCAGAATTGATTGGTGCACTATCCAACATCAGATTTGTATCCGTCAGCGATCGATTTATAGCTGAATTAGAAAAATACAACTACCATGCTATTATGAAGGAGAAACAAAACAAGATCGAAATGCTTATCCGTGGCATGCGATATCTGAAAATCAAAGTACGTACTCTAATGGATGGTGTGCCACTTTACTGCTCAATGTTGATAATATATTGATACCTCTACTTGCATTGACAGATATACCCCCTCGACGCACTCGAGGAAACCGCAGATTTTCTATCAAGCTGCGCTAGCTTCTTCAAAAATGCTCACGGCGCGAAGATCAAGCATGCTTATGCCAAAATGTTTATTCAACTTTTATTACCTGTGGCAGCGGTATGTATTGGGTGGAATATACAAGATTGTAATATTCATGTTTTACTAAATGATGTGCTATCAAGGTTGCTGTGGCAGAAGTCAATTTTCCTGCATGGTCAAAAACTGTCGACTTAATTTATCCACGCGCTCTCAAAATGACCTTAAAGCCCAGACGGTTGATGGTAGGTGGCCACAACACGATTTTCACTAAAGTGTAAATGCATGTGTTTTTTAATACTTCTTGGCATTCACAGTCGGGTTTCCCTTTGATGACTACCTTGCTATGCGTCAGTAGAAAGGACTTTTTCATAGCCAACTGGTACCCATTTGTTGAAAACATATTTTCGAAATTTAATAAGGTAAGGATTTCTCGTCCATGACGTGAGGCATGAAGTGAACATACGAAGACAATTCTGGGCTGCATCACTTATATATACACTTCAATGCAATAGGACAAGAACATACGTGTGATCTCCATTGGCTGTCTTAGCAGGCTGATTTGGGTATACCTGTTTCGATGCACTGAAAGCACTTCTGCGACTTTCAAAAGATTGGACGGGATCGTGCGAACGTTGTTTCCGCCCATGCGTAGAGGCGTCAACCCAGCAGAAGTGCCGCTTGATCACTTTATTCAAATCATCTATTTTATACTAATGCGCGACATTGACTACGCAACCAAGAATGTCTTGTTCACGTTGCTAAATGTGGACGGTGTTTCGAATGTATCATCTGCTATCTCACCACTTGAAGTTATTAATCCGGAAAAGATGATGATTGCCATTATGGCTTTTCGCCTAGTCCTCAACGACCTCGAGAAGGGCGAAATGAAACCACCATTCCCTACTAATATAGATATGGCCGTCTCTGGCATGTCTGAAGATTCCAGCGCTACCACCTTGAACGTCCTTCCGCGCGGTGTTCGACAAGATATATTGGATCGTGTTGGCGAGATAGTGAGCAAGGTGCTAATCATCTTGGATTCCGCGTATGGCCGTATGCTCGTAATCGACGAAAAGAACATTACTTGGCGCCCAGGCAGTAATAACGCCAATGCACAGACATCTTATTCTGTACCGAGTTTCGTCAACACTGTTGGTGGAATCACAACTGCAGAATCAGGTCAACATGTACATCATCAATACGCTGCCTTCTCTGCCACTTATTCGAGAGACAAACAGCCCTATATTGATTTATTGAGGGTCATTGTCAGCAGCATACCTCGAATTCCAACTCCCAGTATAACCTTGCCTAAAGTGGTAGAACTACTGGCTCGTTATACGACCTACGTTGATCCTGAAATGATTAGAGCATCCAGCTTAGCCCTTATACGCCTTGCAAAGGAGGGATATGCACAAACTGTGGTTTCTGGATATTCAAGATTTATCTACCGGGTAGAAGATCGATATGCCGAAGTCATTACATCCCTAGCCAATGGACCCATTACGGGTGGTAATTTTAATGGCAACGGAGGTGTATTGAAATTGTACACAGATCTTTTGAATATCTGGGTCGAGCAGCTAGATGTGGCGGAACTCAAGAAGGTCATAAATGAAGTCAAAACTGCAGAAGAGCCCAATCCGAAAACCATATCTGAGGTGCAAACAAAGCTATCTGATATCTATAGCTTGATTGAAGAAATTGAAGCAAATGGTCTCCTATTCTTATGCAGCAAGCTATCTGCCATTCGAAGACCGGGAATTCAAGTTATGAAGCTTGTAGCCCAACTCGATGCTAGACTACAACAGCACTTAGGTCCCGTCGCCCAAAGTGACATGAATCGTCGACCGATCTCTATGACATCGCATCGAACTTCACATATCGTCAAAAGTTGCGAATACACTCGAATTTATGACCTTTTGGAGCAGGTCGGCCAATCGCTCATCAAATTTGACAAGGACAGTAACATTCTTCATGGTCGCAAAATTGCCATTCTGGAGCGTGTTCGTTTACAGCAGCATCAGCGAAGAGACGCCAAACATGTTCTTATTCAACTTGCAGAGAGCGATCATGCCTCGGATATCATGATTTGGGAAACCCTCTTTCCTGAAGTTGTCAAGCTGTGTTTCGAACACTTTCCCGGAACGGTTGCCCTCTGTCGACAGAATGTTTGTACTCGACTGTTGCAAATGCAATCTCTGATTCAAGGTGCAGTGGAAGGCAATAAAATGAATACCGGCAATACCCTCAGCATGGCCAAAGCAAGTACTAGCAATATCAGCAACCGCATGGCTAGTGTTGAATTGATTGACCAATGGAAAACTTATTTAATGTTCACTTGCTCCACATCTACCCTATCGCAAGACCGGCTACCAACATCTACATGGGCTAACAGTGGACGTAAGCAGTCTGCGGTTGTAGAGCGTATTGCCAACACGCGAGATTTATTTCGCATGATCATGCAGTTTTTGACCTGCGAACATCGAACCATCCGAGAAGCCGCCGTCCAAGGATTGGGTACCATCAACAAAGATGTTTACAAGGTTCTTATGGAGGATTTGCAGGTCTTTGTCAGTATTATTCTGGAAGACTCTAAGCAAAAAAGTTACCAAAAACCATATCAGTATAAACGAACAAAGAAGCATGATAGACTTCGTATAGCTGTCATGAATGTCTTCCAACTCACTGCGGACTGTCTTCGAGAGGAAGTGTACATACGGGACAAACTCATCATGGATACGTTGATGAGCTATGTCAAAGAGACAAAGACGTTCTTGGCGGATAGTGAAGTTCAAACTGACTGGGAGTTCCATCGCCTCCGGGTTTATCTTTGTCAGCTGGTCGAAAAACTATACGAGCACATTAGCAAACTGGCCGATCCAAGTGCCATCATGTCCTTTGAAACCCGGTTAGCGTTATTCAAGATGTTTGAGGAATGGTGCGGCTATGGCGCTTTTGCGTCGATTACTCGGACGCGGGAAGCGACTATGATGCGTGATGTGCTGGAGCAATGCAAAGACAGTCGCGAACGAGGCGAAATGACAAAGTTGATGGAGGAAGAGCGAAAAGCATTGGAAACAGCTGCTCTGAGCGGTATGGCGGCTCTTTGTGTAAGTCTATTATTGCTGTCACATTCCAAATCTCCCTATTTCTTGATGATACTAACCAACACTTTAGCGAGGCTCTGTTTATGCGTTCATAGGACAAAAAAAGGCAAGGCAAGCCGTCATCCAGTTTGATATCGTCAATCTGCTCAGTTGGATCGATGCTGTGTTCGAAAGCCATGACACAAAATATCATATGATTGCAAGGTAGGCACACCCACTTTTATACCTCAATTTTTACGGTTGGGCATCCTGCTGACACTTGGCCTATCTAGACGTGCCCTCGAAGCTGTCCTTATTTACAATCGAGACCAAGCGCTTTTACTTGATGATATCATTGAACAGTGCTATGCAGGCAATCCAAAACTTGAGTTCACGCAAGGCTACTTTCTCGTCTTAGCAGACATTATCACCCGTGTCGATGACTATCCATGCCATATCCATCAAATTATGAGTGTGGCGCTTTTTAAAGCTGGGGATGCGAAGAAGACGATACGGAGAGCGGCCATTCGTTTGCTACGAGTGATTGAGGAGCGTGTGTTTGTTGACTCATGCGCCAAGGAGTACGAAATCGGTATAATCAGCAACTTACCCACCATTTACAAGTATACCCAGTCGCTGTTATCGGCTCGTCTGGCTGTGGACCATCCAGAACAGACATATTCCATTCTTTCAGAAGTAACGCAACGATTTGAGCACATCAGTTCAAACAATCAGCGCGAAGTATTGAATTACATGCTGCCATGGTTACGAAATGTAGACTTGTCTGTTGGACCACAAGATACCGAATTGAGCTCTTCAGCCTTCATGGTGTGCTCCAATATATTTTACATCACCATCAAATATGGCGATGTCTATGTCAAAGAAGTAGCGGCTCTTTGGAGTCAGTTAGTGTCTGAACATGTTCAAAACGTTAGAGCCATCATCATGTACCTATTGGACCTTGGTTTGGAAAAGCGCAACCCTTGGTTTGTCATTCACGCTAAGCGTGTTCTGGTTTGCCTTGGCCGCACGTCTGCACTCAGTCATGTTTTGGATGAAGTGGCTGCTGAAATCACTCCCCGTTCCATGGTTCCTCAACTCAAGGACGCTAGCAGCAAGCACGCAAACGCTTTCCCATTCCTCTTTGTGGCTGATATTGAGCAGGTACTTCCTCCATATCCCAAGCGGGCGGTTTTCTCTCGCGGTCAACTTGCCACGGTATTCCTAGTCGAGCTCGCCATTGAAGCAGGAGGTGAACTCAGTGTCCATTTACCACTTTTGCTACACAGCATTTTTGTCCAACTCGATCATTTGACTAGCATCATTTGTGATCAGTCTCGATGCTTGCTTATCAACCTCATCCACTCTATCGTGGTTCGCCAAACAACCGACATGGATACCCTGCAAAAGGCAACGGATATTGTGGCCATGTTGACGGCAAAGGAAGGAAAACGTCTGTGGTCATACGAAAATATCACTTACAAAAATCGAAACCTTCAAAGCTCAGTAGAATTACAGAACCTACTCGAACAAATTGTTGATATCTTTTTGCCGGAAGAGCCTGACTTAAGGCAAAAGTGGGGTGAAACCGCTCTAAAGTGGGCGACATGCTGCTCGGTTCGTCATATAGCGTGCCGGTCATTCCAATGTTTCCGAGCCCTTATGCCCGCGTTTAATCAACATATGCTTGCGGACATGCTTGCTCGATTATCCAACACCATTGCCGACAAATCTGAGGATATTCGAGGATTTGCCTTGGAAATCTTGCTAACGTTGCACAAAGTTGCGGATTCTCTGGATGGGACCATCAGTGACCATTTCTTACAGTTGTTTTGGGTGTCGGTTGCCTGCATGTACAGTCCATACGAGCCAGAACATCATGAAGCTGTTCTACTACTGGACAAGGTCTTGAGCAAAATCGATTCCGAAAATTCTTCGGCCTACGGTGAACTTGCTGCCAACTTCCCGAAGAACTGGGCAAGCGAATTTGATGGCCTTCAACCACTTTTACTCAAAGGAGTACGAATGGCAGCAACAGAAGAAGCAGCTCTCAATTTGGTTAAAAAGATCATGTTTATTGATGAACCAGCCTTGGTCGACCCCGCCGAGACTCGCCTCATGTATCTTTTATTTGCATGTATACCACGACTGCTCCATGGCCTGGAAGGTGAAACTCCGGATGCTGATTGCATTCTGTTGGCCAATAAACTGGCCAGCTTATTTGAGAACTACAGCTTGCCGAGCATACAGCGTATTCTTATGACCTATGCCCGGCAGAAATCCAAGTTCCAACAGGATTATGTAAAGCAACTCGTGATGTCGACTCGAGAGGTATTCCTTCAAAAATACGGTCAGCAAGCAACAGCATTTTCTGTTAGTCTGCTGAGGAACAAGTTACCGTTTTATCGGGAAAAAACGCTTATATTACTCAAAGAGCTTATTCCACTGGTCTCGGGCAAATTATCGCCGACCATCGCCTTGGGAGAGACTTCTATTGCACCATTACTCCAGTTACTACAAACCGACTTTGCAGAAGATGCTCTAGCCGTCATGGACGAGGGTATTGTGATAAAATCTGATCAACAAGATGATAATGAAGAATCGTCAAGCTCGGAACCAAAGCTCTACTGGGACGTGGCTGACCCGTCTGAAGCAGCTCGCGTTACAAGACACAATGTTCATGCCGTCGTTTTTGAATGCTCCGCCGTAACCGATGAGATACCAAGCGAGCACAACTTCCAATTCTCCGTAGAGGACTTGTCATTGCTGATGGGTGAAAACGCCAATTTCACAGCTGAGTATGCGCCTACCGATAACAACACTGCGGCCTATGGTGATGACTTGGTCAATGCCTTGAAAGATTTGGATGAGTTCTTCAACGAAGATTTGGATAAGGCTGATGCTGCTGTTGTTGAAAATACCACACCTGCTGGAAACAGTGACACCTATCCTGTGGATTTCAACTTCCAAGTAGCTCCTCCATCGCCTGTAACGCCTCCCATCTTCTACAAGACGCCTTCAGCTTTGTTTGATTTCTCACGAAAGCTCATCAATCGAACTAGTAGCAGCAATAATAATAACAACAACAATAATAGCAATAATGCGACTACAAGTGAAAATGCTGGTACCAGTGTCCGTTTTCCCGACTCTCGAGCCTTGGACTTATCTAGCCCCATTCGACCAGAACACCATGGCCATATAATAGAAACCGCTCCTAGACAATCTTTCGATACATCTGATTTGATCGACTCCAGCGACAGTGATTCAACCTTTGATGAACGGCCTGGAGATGCTGAAAGTCATAGGAGTGGTAAAAGCGGTCGTAGTCGACGTAGTCGTAAAAGTAGCAAGAGTCACCATGATCGAAATACCCAATATTTTTGATTGAGAACTATATTTTCCCTCTCTATTTCGTTTTCCCCCCTCCCACTCACTCTGCTCCGATTTTTATCCCACTCACATTTCCAGGCTTAAATTGCATGTATTTTAGATACTGTTAATCTTGACAGGGTTATGTTATTGTGTACAATAAACTTTTTCAATCTTGAAAATGTAGAAGAGGGTTTTGCAAGGGTTTTACGAACCATATCACGACATGTGGCTGCGTCTTTGTAAAAGAGAATGCGCAGACACGGCTCGGCGACCACGGTGGTTAAAGGTGATGAAGGATGGCGCGGTATCAAGTTTGTCAATGGTTCTGCAAGTACAATAGCATCAGAATCGGTATCAACAGCCAAGCAACAATAATTGGACCTCACGTACTGTTTCCTCATCTCATTCTCCATCAAGATGTTCTTGAGATCACCAGCGCAAAGAACGACACCAACCAGAGACACGACGACGGAAATCAGGCACTCGGCTATGATCTGGAATTCACAAAGTTAGTCGGTCGAACTATACAATCAATAACGGCCAACTGCAGATCATCCCGTCTGTACCTCTATTGGTAATCCTGATTCAGCTTTGTCGACGGCATTCAAATAAGACAAATCTGTCAGAACGAAAACATGTGAGTACATTGAGGCAGGGCATCTTTGGGACTTCGTTAGGTTATTGGAGTTTATACATACGCTGATATGTAGAGTATGCCGAGTGTATAAGGAACGTGATGCCAACCAGCGATAGCAGGCGTCCAATGGTTATGCTCATAATCAATGTTGCTGATGCTGATGCTTGCCAACCGTGAGTTATTTCAATCCCCGGAAAAGGGCAGGAAAGCAGTCCACATCGTGAATCGACCACCCAAGGATGAAGAACACGACGAGCTCTCTATATGCTCACCAACGATACCTGCGCTACAATAATTATGAAGCTTCTATGGTTTTTGTACCTTTTATTTCATGTAACTTAGTACTACTATTATCTAACAAGATGTACTTAATTCACAGCCTAATTTTAACTATGCAAGTCCTACTATGCCCGGGATAATTAAGGCACACTCCACGTTACTGCCCACTTCGATGGTAACAGTCATTAAAGCATTAAAGCATTAAAACATTGAAATTTTGATCATACTATTTCTTTAGGATTCGTCTTAAGCTTGATTAACATAATCGTCATAATAAATAGGAAATAGAGTAAGGATCTGAACTCACCTGCGACTGGATATATGCTTGGAAGTAGCACGTTTGCTTTTGGATGTTCAATTGGTCCATCCGAAATCTGCTAAATTGGCCTAGGCCATACTGCTGGAAGTCAAACCGGCTACGAATTTCTATTTCAGTTCTTCCTTCTGTCGCTCTACAAGCGTCCATATGTCGTCTCCATTAGCCTATTTCTTCTGATTCTCTTTTAATCAGAGAGTGAGAATTGATGTACCTTTAAAGTCGCTTAGCATAAACAATTGGTGAATGAAAGAAAATACACTACCTTCACCCGAAACAAAGTGACGTGAGTATGTAAAGAGCGATACTGAGTTGAAAAATAGTAGAAAGATCCGATTTTTTTTTTCTTTTTTACCTTGTTCTTTTGCTTTATCATATACAACATCATGTAAGCAACACTGGTCTCCAAAGGTTGACGGTATTTTCCCAATGCTAATTGAGTAATTGTAGGGATACGCAGCCTTACACTGTGGCGGTGTCACGGGTACCGACTGAGTCGATCCCCCTTACCACGGAAGAGCCTATAGAAAGTAGACAACTTCGGAATGCCCTAAACGAAATCAACGATGTCACGGAACTCGATCCTAATGTGCAGGAAGCCGTACTCATACCCAAACCTAATCCCAACGAATTTCCCACTGCTGCTGAACTCATTGACGATGACGGCGATCTGGCTTCTCGACTTCTGAAGTCGGGTTTGGAAGTCGGTGAAGCAGCTGCTTTAGGCACACTTCCTTCAAGTATTGGAGAGGACGACGACGAGGAAGCTGATTTTATGGATCCAGAGTTGATGGAAATCACTGAACGAAATCGATTTGTTGCATTGGACGAGTTTGCCGAACGACCGCCTATTCGATCGGCCAAAAGTGTTCGGAAACGACAGTGCTTGATCTTCCAAGATCCTCCCGCTGTCGTCGTGCAACCCCATCGTATAACTGTTACCATGTATTATGGTGTCCTGCCACCGGGTTGGGATGCCGGGATCGCTTCACCAATGTCTCCTGCCATACCGCGTATCAAGCCACCCAGTAAATCTCGACGCTATCTCGTAGCATGTGATTTTAGTGAGGAAAGCTTTTTCGCCATAGAATGGACGATGGGAACATTAATGCGAGACGGTGACGAGATTCACCTTGTCACTGTTGTTAATCGTGAGGACAACCCAGAGCTAGTGGAAGCTGCCGGTATGACATTATCCAAAGAGGTTAGTGAATTACATTTTGGGGGGAGGGGATTTCAATCGGAAACGGATACTAGATAGCATGTCATGATGCTAATCTCTTGCATGCAGCTCGATCGTGCATCTAGAGCGTTGACTACCAAAACGCGATCTATTTTAAACCAGATGCTATTGTATGATATTAAAGTTGTCACCTATGCTTTAAGTGGCAAGGTGAAGTATGAGTTGGCTCAATTGGTAGGTCCTTTATCTAATTTGAACCAGTCTTTCAACACCAGACGCTTTAACGAACGCTATCCTATTGAATCACAGATTTCGGAGCTACCGCTGACAATGGTGATTTGCGGCAGTCGAGGCCGCGGAAAACTGAAAGGGTAAGTACAGCACCTTGAACCTCTTTTGACAACACCCACCATTAAACTATTTAAATATCTTTAGTCTCGTTCTCGGAAGTATCAGTACATACCTTGTACATAACTCTACTGTTCCTGTCAACGTTGTTCGCCCTCAAAAGAAGCCAGCCAAAGGAAAATTCAAAAAGATGACAGCCGCCCAGAAACTCAGCCAAAGTAAGTCACAAAACAGGATGAAACATCGTGGACGCACAGACCCTGACCGCTCTCTTTTAGGTGTTGCTACTGGACAACTGGCCGTTGACGAAGTGAGCATGTCTGCAACTGCGGGCAATTAGATAATGCACATATACCTCTATAGAAAGCATTATCTTGTAATTAAAACAATATACATAGTTTGAAAATGGTTCATTAAATTCAATGCCGACACCTTGCATTTTTAGACTGTAAAACACTGGGTTGGTCAAGTTTAGGAAACCCCAACATCTATCATGAATGATAGTCAACGTATATTTCGTTGACTTGCACAGCAGCCGAAACACAGAGGCAGGCAGACAGGAGCGCATATGAACGAAGCTTTTTATGTGATTTAATGGATCGAGTAATTTGTACAATCTGTCGGCATTTATGCATACAGTCTACCGTCATCATCCACCATTATATCAACTTCGTCTTCGTACATTGCAGACATTTGAGTTCCATCGACCATTAACATCATCTAGATTTTAGAAAAGTAAGTGGTACTGCCAAATCCAATACCAAAGCCCTACAGATGACTTACCCGACTCATAAAGTCACGATCCAACGCGGTAGATTTATCTTGTCGATTTAATCGTTCACCCACCATTACAGCCTGCGAAATCTTCTCGTCTAGTATAGCCAAGCTTTCAGAGGTATCGTAGCTATTGGGGTTATCATGGAAGCTGACCATCTCATCATGATCGCCTCTTCCGGTATGTTCAATGCTGGCAAAAATGCTTCCTTGCTCCACCTTAGAAAGATAAATGTTACAATGAATGCTGATTGACCTTTTTTTTTTTTGATCGGGTGCACTCTTACCATCTCCAATATGTTCTTTTCCACTTCAGTATTTGCATTTTCACCTGTGAATCCAACTTTTTTAGCAATATCGCTAACACTCAAGGTAATATAAGTCCGTGTCAGCCCTTGTATCTTTTGTTGTTGTAAGGCGCGCAAACATTGGCCCGCGAGTCCCCAGTTGTTATCCTTCACAATAAAACTTAGCATGTCTCTTCTTTTATAATCTATTCGGTCAGATTGCTCACCTTCTCAAACGCTTCACGTCGTTTCTCAAGGGCAGTTGTCAGCTTCTCTATACATTGAGTTTCATAGACGTCCGCAAATGATATATATTGACGACAATGCCTTCGAACGAATTTGCTGATCACAGTGGCAGTATACTTTGGTAAAGGTAGTAACTGGAGTTCGTGCTGTGGTTAGTATAGACTGGAATGGAGGTAGCAACTCATATTTTTTTCATACCTTTCCATAGTGAATAAGCGATAAAAGTACGTATTTTTTAAAGCATTCTAGTTGAATTACGCTGACTGCTTGCGAAGGAGCTGAGATAGCCTGAAATAACGTGTTAGTAAGGTGACGTCTCATTTGCAAAAATCAGATGCAGGCATTTGAATGCTTCAACTTACCAAGGACAAAAACTCCAACGCTCTTCCATATTTTTTGTTACCAATATAGATCATAGCACCATAATAATAGTAAGAGAGAAAGCCCTCGATATTCGTATCAAGCTGGGTGCAGCAGCAAAGTGTCAACTGTGGTCAAAGGTATCGGACCTGAAAAAGAGATAATACTTACAGTGGCATCAACATGTTCGATATCCCAATCTAGAACAGGCAAAGGGTCTTTGTACAATTTGGCCAGCAATGCATACTGATTTCAACAGGTCAGCATATATCATTTAGGACGATGCTTCTTTCGTGTCAATTTTACCTTTGCAAGCGAGGCATGTAGCGATGTAAAAACAGGGCGATCACCACAAAATCTTTGGATGGCCGTTCGAAGAGGTCGTACTGGGATGATAGGCTGAAACAGAAACCATTTTTTTTTAGTTAACCCTCTCCAGGGGTACGCAGCTCGCCGCCCGATACTCACCGACTCCAATCTATGAGCCAGGTGACTTAGAGCATCCGCAATTAAGGTGACTAGTAACGGGGGCCTTAGTTATCATTGGGTCTTTGGTTTGACAATGAATTTTCATGTATCTTACATCTTTCCGGTGCGAGGTATACTTGTTCTGGGCTGAAGGTACTTATGAAGAAGATCAATCGTCGCAACAGATCTCTGGCGTTCGACTGCAAGTCTGAGATGCAACGCGTGGTACTGCATAGTATTGATTAGAATTACAGTATTGCTTGATTGGACTTCGTACAAGGTAGTACATACATAAAAAATAGGTATCCGAGACTCTGTTCTTGAGGATCGAGTTGGTCGAGAGGATCGGCGCCGTTACTACACTTTCCTAGATATGTCGTCAGTGTGAATGCTCGGAGTAACGGTAACAGACGATTGGAGATGTCTTTTAAGTTGGCATTTGAAACAACATGAGCAACTGCTTCATCTGTGGAAGTTTCTTGGGCTCTAGATTGCGCCGTTGTTGCTGTGGAATCTGCCATTGCGAAAGCAGGCTACAAAGGCAGGTGCGCTGGCATAATCTGCCTGCGTGCACAGAGTTCCAAACGCCGCCCGTCGAGCCTTTGATCACGTGATCAACGCCATTTCGTTACTTCAGTCATGCAAAAGAAAGAGGAATACGTTATCAATGTGTTCGGGAAGGTGACGGGTGGACCCGCTCCATGTAAGCAGTTGCAAATCATGGAATTAGCTTAATCAGTTCATTTAAATTAAAAAACAGCCCGCATTTAACATTATACACCGCTGTGAATTGCTGTCACCATCACTCGGCTGACCCAATGCTGATAGCGTAAAGTCTTACAGCAAGAAAGTACCCATGATCTGACCTTATCTGTCTGCTTAGACCTGTTTGGAAGGAGTTAATGATATACATCTTTTGGCTACAGCCTTTCCAAGTCAATGTGCAAGTTGCTTTAGGACAATGTTCACGGTGCTAGTGCTTTATACGAAAGCGTCTTGAATTAAGACGAGCTAGAGAATGGTATATTAAAAAAAAAAGCTGTTGTCAGGAATTAACTGCGCTTAGCTTGTGACTTAGTGTTGAAGAGTAATGTATGCCATTGAAGCAGCTTTCGATCGCTTACATCTCGGGATTATCCAAGGGAGTCTATTCATGAGCTGAAACCAGAATTCACCCTCTCAATAATATCATTTATAGTAAGTATGCTGCAGCATGAACGATCGATGTGCATTGAAATACTATCACATCCAACAGTCGAGGAAGGGGAGTCGTGAGAAAGGTTTCCTATTCGGGGTTTGCCCGTGACTGTATAAATTGACGCGAACCCGACCCCTTGTCAATTTTTTCCATTGTGCTGTTCTTTCACGGTGACCTACCAAAACCCTCATGGTCCAAGCTCTTTCAATGGGTAGCTACGGTATTTCTCATATGTTGCCTCCACCACCAGGAACAAGTCACTATACTATTCTCCCGACAAAGTTCATAGACAGTGGTATGCCATTAGCCTTCATCCGTGCCTGTTTTGTCAGCGTTTCGTCATCTAACTGAATTTTAGTCTCTCCACAAGAAATCAAATTTAATCTTCCTAATGAGTTTGATGGCTTGGAACGAATAATTCTGCAGGCGACAGGAAATTTGCAAAGAGTTATGGCTGCCTATTTTAACCGGCCCGTCAACGTACAACACGTTAAAAACGTTGAACTTCCCGCGACGCCTCGAAGCGAAGGAAAAGATTCTTTTGACTCGGACGATGATAACAGCGATGATGCCACCGTTGTACTCAAGCGTTTTGAACGACAAATTAACTTGTTTTGTGAAGAAAAATTCTTATATACCGCAGACTCTGTGCTCATCGTACGCAACCAGAGTGTCCTAGACTTAATAGAAAAGCAGAAAGCCGGCATTGCACAAATATTTTGGTAGGTTCCTGAAATGCATTGACATCCTACAGAACGCCACAATAACCCATTGTTGTTTTGTAGGGCGTTACAGAAGCTCCCTAACTTCAAGTTGCATGCTATTGGTAGACATGGTGACGAAGCTGGTGGAAGCTTTTGGAGAGATTACACCTTGAGTGTCGACGATTTGATGTACTGCCATATTCGCGAAATGTTCCCTGCTGATGTTTTCAACTCCTCATCTGATGACCGTCAGATGGGTCCATGCCCAACAGGAACCATATGGGTTGCAACCGACTAAAGGGGTCCTCTTCTTGGTACCCTCCAACATTATGTTCACAACCTCATACCTATTTCATCTCCTTTGCTCATTTCCATATGTACAGAAATTACCTCCATACCACTAATCTAGATAACGGTTTCCTATATATTGTTTTCTCCTACTTTTTACATAAATCCTTGCGCCCCTTTCACCATATGCATTTGTCTGCTTCATACATTATTATCAACAATTGCATTAGCACAATTTAAAATTTTGGGGGCTTATCTTTCACAGTCCAAAAATTCCGTACAATAGCATCTATACAGTTGGTTGGCATCCTGCTTACATCCACCAAATCCAACCATGTGATTCATCATAGTCTATCCTAAACCCTATCATTCCCCAAGACAAGGAGCTGCCTCGTATACAATTGATGCTAAAGTGCTGATTTTATTTTGTATCACGTCGAACTCAAATTAACAAGTTTAGGCCTTGACAGCAAACTTGCGCTGAGGGAAGTGAGCAAGCTTCTTCTGTTCCTTAACAGTCTTCTTGCTGGCTTCGACCTTGGTCAAACGGCGGCGGATGGCGCGAGTCTTCTTGGTGCGAAGGTCCAAAGGAGTGTACTTCTTGGACTTGTAGAAGAGACGGAGTTGTTCACGCTGAGTCTGGTTGATGACAGTCAAGACGCGAGCGACAGCCTTGCGGGTGGCACCACTGTAACAGATCCATCGATTAGACCAACGCCATGGTTACGGTTAAACCCAGACGTTGAAAAACTTACATCTTTTGGAGACGAGCTCCACCGGTGATCTTTTGAACACGGAGGGAAGCAAGCTCTTGCTTGAGGTCATCAAGCTGCTTGGTAAGCTCGGCCTTGTTCTTGTTGCGAAGCTCGTGGGCTTTGACGGCAACCTAGTGAGAAGGAATAAGGCATTAGGAAAAAGCTTTTGGAATAATGCACCGGTTGATGGAGAAGGAAAAAGTTGTCGAATGGTCGTCTCTAATGGCGAGTTTCATAACATTGATCAAAACGACTAGATTGCTACTGCTATTAATTTCGAGCTGTTGGCAAGCTGAAGGAAATTTCTGCATTCAGGTAAAATGTGAATGGACCATGCAGACATTCTGTCGCACTGGAGTTTTTTCATTTTTTCGTATCCATCCATCCATTCATCGAACAGTCGATCCATCTGTTATGTCGATGCTATATATCCAGGATTCATCATCCAGGACTCACCATTTGGCTTAATGTGAAAAGAGGACGTTCAATCGTTCACCAAGGCATAGCCTAAAATGGATGACCGCTGAGCTTGAGATACGGGTGATGTCAGCATTTTCCGATAGCTAAAATTTTTCATCGAAATTGCAGGGAAGAAAAAGGTAGTATAATACTCAACAATACTTTTCGCGTGGCCATACACTACATAAAATTCCAATTAAACACTGTAATTCTGTATACCTTTGATACAAATTGTAAAATAACTACTATAAATGTAGCGAAAACGTTCCGTGCATTTATCCACACGCTCAAACCACAATGATAGTCAAAATAGTGAGCTTTAATGAGACAACTTTGTCTTGCCAAATGATGAATATTATGATTTTACTGTAATTCAGTGAAAGACTGATGAAGTGGTGCGTAAAACACATTTTTTAATTTTGGTTCATGACAGCACGTATTTCGTTGAGCAGCAGTAACTGATTTTTGAGTGTAGGTGTTGCTAAAGGTGAGTTTGTCAGTTTACGATTTCGTCGTCGTCATCCTGTTCTTCATCCTCATCGTCTTCTTCTTCGCCACCCCCTGGATAATTGGTTGGAGCTGTATCTTCTGTTCCTTCTATTCGGTCAACTTGCATCATATCTTTTGTGGTGATAATGGCATTGCTTGGGGTATGATCCCAAAAATCAAGCAGCACCTCCTTTGGGAGATTCCGGAAACCAATTGTCCTTGATACGTCTCCATAATGTTCAAACATATAATTCAGAGCAGTCTGCTGAAGTCCACGCTGGGAAGCAACGCCAGCACAATGATATATCTTGCTAACATTACCTATATCCATATGAGCATGCATTCGGCGAGCGCAGAGGGCAAGTAATCGTGGCAATAGATATATGTTGGCTATAACGAGCAGGTCGCTAACTAGATCAATGTCAAACTGATCAATAGAGTCTGCGTACAGAAAAGTGACAAAAGCATGGACGACGTCGTAGGATTCTGGAATCCTTAAGTGCATGGAGACGGATTCAGCCATACCGGATTGAATGAGGTTTTCAAAGTGAGGCCACCGCGCCAATAGGATTAAGCGATGGACATGAATAGGTGGTGTTTGATCTTGTCCAGAAATTATGTAAAAATCTGCCAGTTGTCGACCGGCATCGGATGTTAGCATCTGTACGAGGTCAGAGCCCATTTGCGGAGGAGGTACTGCGTAGATGCCATGCTCTTGAAGATCCACTTTGAGGACTTGCGAATAGTACTCTTCTGATTCTTCTTCACTGGTCCCAAATAGATAAAACGATGTATCGTGCTCTGCCATGGCAAAGTAATACCATTGTCCAGCATCAAATCGGGCTCCTCCACCTCTCCTGCGCCAAGTCATGGACGTCAAATCTAAACTCCATACGCCTGCGGTGGATTCGGATACGACTTGCTTGATAGGATTGGTGACTACAACCACGAGATCATCTCCACACACTTGGGCAAAATGCTGTCCAGCAAGGGATGGTGTTTCGGGAGCATTGACTTGTAATTCTGTGACTTGATATGTGTCAAAATTAATAAAGGAAATATTGTGGGAACGGTCCATTTTTTCCGCTAGACCACCGTAGAGATATAGACGATTGCGATGGAAGAAGGTGATATGTTGGCACCTTCTCACAAATGGTATACTTGGTAACCAGACCCATTTTTTGAGATCCAGAATGTCAATGGTGTCGCTAAAGTGGCTGCCAGAAAGCTTACCGCCGCTGATGTAAAGTTTGTCATTATGAATAGTTGAAGAGTGTTTCATACGTCCCATAGGCAGCTGCCCATGAATTTCAGGTTGATGCCAGGTCATTGTCGTGAGGTCAAGTACAGATACGTCGTTGCAATAGACTTCGTCGTCGCTTGAGCCTCCGAAAATGACCAGTTTATTCCCTTGCCAAAGCGCAGCTGAGTGGTCGTTTCGTTTTGAGGGCCGATTTCCCTTTATATAAAGCAAGTTGGTCCATTTGTATCGCCCGTTATGTACAGTTAGCTGGTACAAGTCGTTATAAACATCGTCGGTGTACTGGTGGAATCCGCCAAAGACCAAAACGGACTGTCCAACCACAGTCATGGATGCACCAACTAGGCATGCCAATGTATCTCCCGTGGCTCGGAATGGTTGTGCGTACTTTTTCGTTACTATTGGTGCTGGCTGTGCCGGTGGTGAAGATCCGTTATGGCCATTAGACACTGAAGCTAACCTTGGTGACCCATGATTTGCTCTAGCATTGACCGAAGACCAGACCATGGAGTATCAAGCAACTGAACTTGGAAATCAGTAGACAAGCAAAGACTTGTGTCAGAAATACTAGTATGTGCTTATCGGTATGAACAGTGATCAGAATGCCAAATGGGTATTCTGCTGTCCTCGATTAGCAATCTCGATGCGAACAAAAGCGGAGTCTGCCTACTTGGAATATATATGTAAAAATTGAGTTTTTTTTTTTTTCCAAAGACATGTCAAATCCAGTTCACCCGGGTTTATGGGAGGATCTGACACGATTGGATATGAGGAGCATATACTGCACAGCTTTTGCTCAATGCTCTCGAAGAAAATGGAAAGATGTTTTAATTGTAAAGCTCGAGACTGATAGCTTGAATTATTTTGCTACAGGCATTTCACCCATACTGAAAATTTTTATTTTCACAAAAAGTCGGTCAATATCCTGGGTTGACACAAGAATCTATGGAAGTTGATACGTTTTCTTTTCAGTCTTTAACCGTTCCTGTGAAATCGGATGATCAATACCTATTTTGCTCAAGGTGGCCAGCAGGAGAATGTGGTAAGCTGGTTGGCATTGCGTTTGCCTTACTGATTATTCAATGGCAAAAGTAGGAAATCTCCGCCAATGCTGACATCACAGAAATTCCTTAGCTCAGCGAGCAGCCATTTTAGGCTATGGCAAGGCGAAATCTATATCTCCCTCTTTTATTCTATCTCTGTAGATATGGTACGGTACCCGTTCATCGATGACATCCATCCATCAATCGAGCATCCATTCTAACATTATTTGATCCATCAATCCTTTAATCCTCGATCTCCTTAAAAAATTTTCGACCAATGTGCAACATTTTCCAACTACATTGAATTTCGAATTGTTATAACAGGCCAAGCGCACAAAGAAGGGTAGGTCATTGGAAACATGCGTCAACATACACTTTCTCAGCAACACATATTAAATCGTTGGTTGCAATTCATAGTCGGAGTCACCGGAAAGTACGGCACTCGTTATGGTGCTTCTCTGCGTAAGCAGGTTAAGAAGATGGAAATCACACAGCACGCCAAGTACACTTGCACTTTCTGCGGCAAGGTAGGACACGTCGACCATCGTATTGACCCGTTTCATTGAAACAAATGAACTAATATGTGATCATTCTCCTAGGACGCTGTCAAGCGTACCGCTGTCGGTATCTGGGAATGCAAGGGCTGCAAGAAGGTCATGGCCGGAGGTGCCTGGCAAGTTTCTACCACTGCTGCTGTCACTGTTCGCTCTGCCGTTCGTCGTCTTCGCGAAATGGCTGAGATCTAAACAATTTCACAGCATCAACCAAAAATACGCCATTTATTGCTGCAGAGTATTATCTGCGTGTAATAAAATCAAAAATTGATCATTTCAATGAATATCATTCGCATTGCCTTTTTCTTTTTTAAGTGGGATAGAGTGGGTGAAGGCATTTTATACATTTATATATTATATAGGAGTGGTGGAAAAATATGTGTGAGCAGAATTACAATGGACTCTAGCGAGCCTTTAGAACACATTTGAAAAATCTCCATCTATCATATCGAAAGTCCCTTGCTGTAAATCATCTGCCTCGGTTGATATTGATTGTATGTCCTGAGGCATACTCTTTTGCGATCCAGTCTTAATATTTTCTGATGCAACGTCCTCTGCTGCATTAATGAGAGCATCGAAATCTAAGTCGGAGGGCTTGGTGGATTCACCATCATTGGCATTCGTATCATCCTTCTCTCCATTCGCAGTCTGTCCGTCTTCTCCTTCTTTGGTACTCTCTGTTCCCTTTCTTGCCTTCAATTTATTCACCAATACGTGTGTTGTGTAAGGGGAATTTGCAGAACGTTGTCCGAGTTCAGCTGCAAATTTGATGAGAAATTCCGATGTTTTGTCAGTTACCAATATGTCGCACATTTCAGCATACCCATGATTGGCACTGTAGAGTAAAGGGAGATTAGTGCTTTGCCAAACACCTCCAGCTCCAATGTGTGGATCAGCTCCAGCTTCAACCAAACGTTGCACAATGTCAATTTTGCGTTGTTGAACGGCGACTAACAGTGGGGTCTCATCCATGACATTCACGACATTCAGATCGCACCCAGCTTCCAAAAGAGCAATCACAGCATCCAGTCTGTTCCATGTGACGGCATGGTGAAGCATAGATCTATTATATTTCGCTCGAGAGTTTGGATCTGCACCGACCGACAGTAACTTTTTCGTTGCCTTGGGAAAATTGAGTTGAATCGAGTTTGCGAGTGGCGATATCCCTGAGGCGTTGGTGATATTAACGTCACATCCATGCTTTACTAAGAGATCTATACCATCGCTAAAGTCTTGGGAAACAGCGATATGTAGTAGACTATTTCCTTGACTGTCGACGGTATCACATCGAGCACCGGCATTAAGTAGCAACTTCATTGACTCGATGGATTTCGCAAAGGTCGCGTCGTACAAAGGTGTATGACCCAGCTCGTCTGGAATATCTACCAGAGCATCGTTATCTAACAAGAGTTCTACCGCATCTGAATTGTCGCTTTGAGCTGCTGCGTGCAGTGGCGTCTCGTTATGAGGACCATTAATGACATTAACTTCAATGCTTGGCTGTAACACTAATATGCGCAGAGCTTCGATGCTTTTGTTTTTGGCGGCAAGGTAGAGTATTCCGTATCCGTTTTTATCCTGGATGTCAAGTGCTCCTGACTGCTTAATATATTGGTATAAGCGCTTCATGTTGATGGAATCCAGACTTAAGTCTTGCCAGATGCTATTGTCGGGATCAGATTTAAGCTTTGCTAATCCAGAGCTCATTTGCGCATAATCACTTAAGGCACGCTTAGAGATTTGGTCACTGGTGAGCTCAGCATCGTCTGCTGTTCGCTTGCCTGTGATAGTAGAGTCGTCAGTCCCATTGGTATAGTCCATGTTTAGAGTCGACGCTGTAAAAAGCACAGTCAAAGTCTTGAATTCCGCTTGGCTGCGTGGCACTCCCGTCTCGAGCTTCTGTTTCCGCCAAAATATCAGCCACAAAAAAAGTTACCATCGATATCACCGCCGCTCCTTGGTTCGAGGTAGTCTGACCAGCGTACTATTCAGGCACGCCATTTAATGTAGTCAGACAGAGTGAAACATCATTGGATTCAAGGGTTACAAAGCTACTGTACAGGCGCAATATGCACCTTTAAACTAAGACTGACAAGACTGAGACAAACTTGAAAGCGAATATCACATAAGACTGCAAGCTCTAAACCCAAATTACTCATTATGACTTGACAAAATATGATAGATACTCGTGGGAGTTATGAGCCGAGAGCGCGCGAGTGGAGTTTGGCAGGTACAGCCAATGTGGACTGAAATTAAACCCAGCGTTGGACGATTAAATTTACTTTGAAAGAACTACTGACAACAAAGGACAACATCAGTAGAAGTAAAAGCATGTTAACTGCTAAGAACCATCGTCAATATTCTGTACCTTGGGATTCGTTCTTTAACTAAAAGCTCTATCCGTCTAACAGCTGCTGGGACGGTGTCACCTGATTCGCTGACAGCCGTGGGAAACTTGACTCCTGCTATAAAATTGTCGGCCGCCACTCTCTTTTGTTTAGAAATCATGTCTACCTTGATCAAGCTTATCTCGGCCAGGCGAGCTTTGACTAGCAGGCTGCCTGTTGTTCTATCTCGCTCATACCATGACGACGGCGTATATGGATATCGTGTTCGCAAGGAATATCAGTTACCGGACTGTGAGTACATAAACTACTTAAATTCAAACCTATCAGGTAGTAATGACGCGTTTCTCCTTCCTATAGATGATGCAGAGGAACTTGCCAACAGAATGGACAACGGAGGTCTACTGAGGTTTGTTCAAGCTTATCGTACCCATGGTCATAGAGGAGCCAACTTGGATCCTTTAGATATCATGCAAAGAGAGTAAGTGAAGAGAAGATCAGCGCAAGGAATGAGTGAATCGGCTATACTGAATACTGCTTCTGATTAGGGAGATACTGGCGTTGAACCCTGAGCGTTATGGGCTAACGGATCCTCACAAGTCGTATAACTTGGCTGGTATGGCTTGTTTCATATTTTTCCAAGTGTCAAAATATCGGAGTCTGTCACTCACACTGATCACCATAAAATTTTCCATAGGCATCCTACATGTCAACCAGAGCAAACATGATAAATCGTCAAAAGAAGAAGCTACATTTGATACTATCTTGCATCACCTTCAATCTACCTATTGCGGACGTATTGCGTATGAGTTCATGCATATTCCAGTGAGTGTAATGGTTCAAATATGGAGTGCTTTGTACTATGTGAAAATCCTAAATCATACATGACTACAATAGAGTGCAAGCGAACGGAGATGGTGGTATTACGCTGTTGAATCATGGAACAAACCGACGCTGTCTACAGACCAAAAAAAGAGGATCTACGATTTGGTTAATAAGTCAGAGGTAAATTTCCTTACAGCTCATTGCAACTTTCGTAATATCATCGTCTAACATCGCACGCCGTGTTGCAGACATTTGATCACTTCATGGCCAAAAAATTCCCTAATGTCAAGAGGTATGGTTTGGAAGGTGCTGAAAGCATGATGGTGGCTCTGGACAGGCTTTTTGAGATATCCGCCAAAGGTTAAACTTTCTTCCATTGATACCTACGCCGCACCCCCCTCTTGATTAACTAACTTTCACCATATTTGTACGATGCAGCTGGCCTGAAGAATATCGTTGTTGGAATGCCTCATCGTGGTAGACTGAATCTGTTGACAGATTTATTACAGTACCCACCACAAGCTCTATTCCACAAACTGAAAGGCAACTCTGAACTTCCTGCCAACACCGTTGGCAGCGGTGATGTCTTGTCGCATTTGGCCAACAGTCCTACTTTAGACTACCAAGGAAAGCAAGTGCAAGTCTCCTTATTACATAACCCATCTCATCTTGAAGCTGTCAATCCCGTTGTTATGGGCAAATCTCGTGCCAAGCAAATGAACCTTATGGACATGGAGGATAAGTCTTGTGCGCTAGGGGATCGCGTTCTTGGTGTCCAACTTCACGGAGATGCGGTGAGTAGTATTTTTGAACAGTATACAGCGAATCAAATTTTTCTAATTATTGTATGATGTTATGATAGGCATTCACTGGCCAAGGCGTTGTTATGGAGACTCTTGGACTATCGAATCTACCTCACTATTCTTCTGGTGGATGCATTCATATTGTTGTCAATAACCAAATCGGATATACTACACCAGCTCAGAACTCTCGTTCTACCGTCTATTGCTCTGACATTGCCAAGATGATCAATGCTCCTGTCATTCACGTCAATGGTGACTTCCCTGAAGACGTCTCGCGTGCTATGGACCTTGTATTTGAATATCGGGACAAGTTCAGAAAAGACATCATCCTTGATCTTATCACTTACCGACGATGGGGTCACAACGAATTAGACGAACCTGCATTTACACAACCATTGATGTACCATAATATTAGAGCGCGCCAGTCTGTGGGTAAAATGTATGAGCAAAAGCTTATCTCCGAAGGAGTCTTATCTGCTCATGAGGATGCTGACAAGGTTAGCAAGGACTATTATGAAGCACTGGAAGAAGGCTTGTCTGAGGCTGAAGGCTACACGCCGTCGGAGAAACAGCATTTGCAGGGTAACTGGAAGAATATGCTTCATCCTACCGATTACAATACTCTTCCAAGGGTGGACACAGGAGTTGATGAACATAGTCTACTTGATATTGGCAAGCAATCTGTCAGTTTCTCAGATCAGATCAGCGTACATCCTCGTGTTGATAAGTACCATATCCAAGCACGACTCAAGAAGCTGAAGTCTGGTAAAGGTATTGACTGGGCCACGGCTGAATCTCTAGCTTTTGGTACACTTCTTGCCGAAGGTTACAATGTGAGAATTTCTGGCCAGGACGTTGGTCGCGGTACTTTCTCTCAGCGTCACGCGGTAAGTTGCGACATAATCAGAATCAAACATTGAAAGACATAAGATTAAACTCCCTACATTAGATGTTGGTCGACCAAGACACTGAAAAAGTCATCGTGCCTCTAAACAACCTCAAGACCACCCTAGGAGATGCATCAAAAGCTGGTCATTTGGAGGTTAGTCAGTGTTTCCTTTTTCATGTAGTCACTCCGCACTTCCATCTTACTCGTTTCAATCTCATAGGTTGCAAACAGTTCGTTATCAGAGATGGCTGTGTTAGGATTTGAATACGGTGTATCGATCGAGTCTCCCAATATCCTACCTATTTGGGAAGCTCAATTTGGTGATTTCTTCAACTCTGCTCAAGTCATGATCGATACTTATGTTTCCAGCGGCGAGGCTAAATGGCTTCGTCAGAGCGGTCTGACCATGCTCTTACCCCATGGCTATGATGGCGCTGGTCCTGAGCATTCAACTTCTCGCATTGAGAGATTCCTACAGGTATGATCTATGTAATGATGAAAACTTCCATTTTATGTCTGTCTAACTCCTATAATGTAATCAGATTTCTGACGATCCCTTCGATGATGATATGGATGTCGTCAACCCTAACTGGCATGTAGTCAACTGCACTACACCAGCACAGTACTTCCACGTGCTACGAAGACAAATGAAGCGGTCCTTCAGAAAGCCATTGATTGTAGCAGCCCCCAAGGGATTGCTGAAGTCTCCCGTAAGTTTCAATTGATATAGTATACATGAAACTCATGAGCTTACTATGTTACTTTCTTCATCAAATAGGTGTGCACCAGTTCATTATCCGATATGGCCTCTGGAACACATTTCCAACCCATTCTTGGTGATGCGACAGTGAACGATGCTTCTAGGTAAATATTTTAAAATACCTGTCTTAAGCTTGATATATTCTGACTAATCCGTCGTTGTTAGTATTGAGAAGGTGGTATTTGTCTCCGGTAAACTTTACTATGATCTCGTTAAGGAAAGAGAAAACAGGGGTCTAAACAATAAGGTGGCTCTGGTTAGAATTGAGGTAAGTTGCAACAGGATGCGCACTTCACGCTGAATCGGCCATTGCTAATCCATAACAAATCTAAAGGAACTATGCCCCTTCCCTCGAAACGAAATTGCAAATGAACTATCCAAATATAACAATGCTGGTGATTATGTATGGTGCCAAGAGGAGCCCCAAAACGGAGGAGCATATAGTTTTATGCTTCCCAGACTATCCAAACTGCTCCCATCTGGCCAGACACTGAAATATGTCGGACGAAAGCCTTTGGCTGCACCAGCTGTTGGTATTGCCTACAGACATCGTGAAGAACAAGCTACCATCTTAGAGAATGTTTTTTAAATATAGCCAAAGGCATATATGGAATACATGGCGATCATAAATAAAATAATGATTTTTATTCATATGATGATGAAATTAGGCAGATTGTTCGCATTGTTGGTCAGCGGCAGACCAATTTTGTTGGATCAAGTATTCCTTTCCACCAGCTACAACGTTATATTGACCACCACCGCTGGCGGCTTGGGTGGTACCAAAAGTCCAAGCACATTTGTCAGCATTCTCTTGGCCAGAAGCATCGGTCCAGGCATTCAACTCAGGGTCTGAACCTGCTTCGACAATTTCATGAGCCAGGACAGAAATCATGCCATCTACAGGAATGTCTCCATTGGGAGACGCTTGCTGGTTTGTGGAAGAAACACAGCTGCTGATACAGGCATCAGCTCGACCGGCAAAAAGATATTTGATAGTGGCTCCATTAATGGTAGCTAAATGAAGGAATCAGCAAACAACACCTTTAATGCATTATTTGAAATGAATTATTTGAAATGAAAATCTTACCATAAGTGTGCCAGCCACAGTACTGACTGCAGAAACCGGATGTTTCGGACACATCCCCGGCGGTTAAGACAGCATAGATACCATTAGCGTCGGTTGGAAGACCTTTTGATATGGCATTGGAAACGATCGTCTCAATAGCATTGTCATCCAGCGACGTACCCTGAGAGTAGTTATCATCGTAAGACGTTCCGGTAATTACTGGACCGGTGACAGAGTTTCCACTGCCGTCGGTGTAGGTCTTTTCAATATTCCACCAGCCAGTGGAGCTGATACCGCCGACAAAAGTATTGACGATGTCTTTTTGTGTGGAGCTCCAGGTTCCATAAAAAATAGGATATACTACAGTAGAGAAGATGAGGCGAAAACCATTTAATTCACTAAGAATATAATCTAATCGCGCCGCCGCACTTACCAGTAATGGTACCAGTCATAATAGGTCCACCATTGTAATTAATGGGAACGGTGGCCTTATCAGAGAACTTGGTTGAGTTCCCACCTTGGCGAATGCCCGTGATACCTTTCTTGCCATGGATACCAGATAATGGAGAAGGAGCCGATGGGGCAGCAAGAGCCAGAGTTGTAAAGGAGAGAACAGCGAAGACTGAAGCGGCCTTGAAGAACATTATTACGAATGATCAAAGATGGTACTTTTGTTAAAAATAAAGATGCCGGATTTCTTTGTCAAAGTAGCTCATTTATAAACCCTGTTTAGTGGACACGAATTCATAGAATCAAATCTATGCTGTGCTCAAGCGAAACGATCGCAAAAAGTAAATTTCTTTCATTTTGGAAAGTTTAATACAGAGAGATGTAAGTGATGATTGGCAATGTAAGAGCTCAAATAGGTTAACTTGTTATGCGATAGTCATTATATTTTTTATGGCTATTTCAAGGTGATTTGCTGCACTTCTAATTATTATCTGTGGTACAGTGAATACATTTAGGGCACTTAACCTGGTATCTAGCGTCGAAAGGGTCCAATCCAAAGTAAGGTTAGATGGGACTATTATCAAAGACATTTGCTAGTAACTACACATAGCGCATTCCGGTCAATATGGAAACTTCTGTTTGACTTGCATATTGTGCCGGGAAACGCATAGCTTTGTGTACCCCAATACATTGATTTAGTGCTCAGTAGTTAATATTTAGCTCCCTGTCTAATTAATAGAAAGGGACATGTAAAAGCGGCCAACATGGCGGACTCGTAGTAAAGATGGCATAATATAATAATGGAAACACGTATAATACTGTTTTTCCCACATTTCATACGAGAATATGAAGGATAAATTTATTATATGGATCCCAAAGTATTCCTCAATGTTTCTCCTTCTTTATCCAGCGCCGTAGGGGAGCAACTCATAGCACGCTACGCTCTTTCATTTACGTACGCAAATAAGCACAATGCGGTATGGGAAATCCTTCCAAATATATACTCAAACCATCCTTTCGTTGCCGCACATCTGGTCACCATTGTTGGATAAAGCATTGATGAGAATCTCATCTATCTCATATGGCTTAGTGAAATATGCACAGTAGGACAGCATTATGCTCCCAATTTTTCCGTAGGCGTCATAGATACATTAATACATGGTAGTCATGGCTATTTATTCAACATGCTGTACTTGTTAAACAGTTTTAAAACCACTAGGATAATTGCTATTGATCGTTGCTGTGTAGCCTGATAGCTACCGTATGAGCAATCGTAAATTCTTACGCATATTTTTTTATACAGAAAGTGGTTGCATTCGTTACGCTGACCGGTACTTTAATGCCCGCTCCTCTGCTTCTCTGGATCCGTCAAGGGAACATACTGAAGAGATGCATGTTAGCTAACGAACTGATTATGAGGCGGATAATACGATCGTCATCCTACCATGACACCCATTAACTCCTTTTTCACAACCGTTCCATCCGCTTGCTTATCAATTTGAATGATGGTCTGTGACGCCACTCCGACAGGTATGAATAGTCGTCCTGGAGCCTTTAATTGATCGATCAACTCTTGTGGCATTTTACTAGCAGCAGCTCCTACATGACTTGAAAAAAAAATCAGTTGGTGTACTAGTGGGATCTAGTTGGGAAGAAAGTGCCTGAAAGACTTCATAAAACCTACATGCAATCGTACGGGCCGTCGTTAGGATAGCCTAATCGACCATCTCCAGCCACAAATCTGACCCTACTGGATTTCAGTAAATCCTGCCTTTGCTTTGCAACATTTCGTTCAGCCATGTCGACTAATTCTTTGATATGTTCTACTCCGATCACTTTGCCTTCAGGGCCGACCATCTCCGCCATGCAGGCCGTGAGATAACCGGAGCCAGAGCCAATATCCAACGCTGTTTACATAAATGAGCATAAACATTTGATCTGGAAGCTAACAAGATCATATAATACCTTTCATATTGGGCTGTAAATATGGCTCCAGATATTGCAACGCATAGCCATGCATATGAGGCGCAGATATGGTGGCACCATAACCAATGGTCTGCGGAGAATCTTCGTACGGGTACCGACTAGTGTAATCCTTTCTAATATTCCATCGCTATAAATATCACTTTGAAAAGTAACAAAAAGTACCACAAGATTTTCTTGACTTGATTCTCACCTGTCTATCGCCTTCATAGCTTGTGCTATGCGCTCGCTGTGAAATATACCAGCCCGACGGAGGTTGTCAATTAAGCCAGAGTTAGATCCCGCTGTCGAAATGCCTGAGTTAATAGCATAGATTGGGTACTATGAGATTGTAAAGGACAATAACCTGAACATGCCCATGCCATTTTGATATCGAATCAGTATTCAACTGTGCCAGCAGCGTAAAAATGCGCCGACCGATTCTATGGCCCGCATGGTACCATCCACGTGATATATGTTAATTTTATTGTGGGAAACATGCCAGAGCCCGAAATACTTGAACTCCTTGAATGTCAATAGAAAATCCTGGCGTGGTCAAAATAAGCCATTCACTATCGTTCGACAAAATTCTCTCTATTACCAATTATAGACTTTTAAAGTATGTTGTGTATCAATGATCGACCGTAACGTCAGCATGTTTGGTATCTTCATATAGCCGTTTACCTCTTTAATTAACCATTTTATGGCAGCAAGAAATATGCTACTCGAGAGAACTCCACCATATATGCGAGAAAATGCCTGCCATATCTTTATGTCGGATGGTATGGTGCGGTTTGAGAATGTTTGCTATTGCAAGTAGATGGACATTTCCCAAACATACTCGTTGACCATATGAAAAATCAAGTTTTCGATAATATAAAAGGTCGCCGTTGGAGACTATCAAAATTCATTCACCACTTGCCTCTCAAGCAGCAACAACAAAGGAACATAACTTAAACAATGAAGATCTCTGCTGCTATCTGTCTGTTCCTGGTGTCATCGACCCTAGCTCTTCCTGCTCACTTCAAGCGTGAATCACCGCTTGTCGATGTTACCAATGCTAAGATTGGTGAAAATTTGAGTGCTGCTAACAACAACAATGTCTTGGATAACGCCATGAACACTGGTAACGTCAACGCTGCCGACAGTGTCAAAGATATCCTCAAGCGCTCTGATCCGCTCGTCGACTCTGCCGACGCCAATGTCTTGAACGATGCTCAGGCTGTCAACAACAATGAAGTGCTTGAAAATGCCAATGACGTCCTCAATGTTGATCTTTCCAGAATTCTGACTGATATTGCTAAGAGAAGAGATGCTCTTGTAGATGTCTCAGACCTCAAAGTTTTGAATGATCTCACAGCTGCTAAAGACAACAATGTCGCTAACGACCCCAAGGATACCGGCAATGTTGACCTCAGCGATGCCATCAAAGATATTCTCCGCAAGCGCAGAGATGCTCTCGTCGATGCTCATGATCTTTCCATTTTAAACACTGCTGATATTCTCACAAACAACAACGTCGCCAATGACCCCGAAAATGTGCTCAATGTCAACGCTAATGATGCTGCTAAAAATATTCTCAACAGCAACGACGCTTCTACCGTTGATGGAACTCCTATGGTCATGCCAGAGGTGTCTGAGGATGGTGCTGCTATCGCTGATGAAACTCCTATGGTCATGCCAGAGGTGACTGAAGATGGTGCTGTTACTGTTGATGAGACCCCTATGGTCATGCCAGAGGTGACTGAAGATGGTGCTGCTATCGCTGACGAAACTCCTATGGTCATGCCAGAGATGACTGAAGATGGCGCTGCTGCTACTGTTGACGAAACTCCTATGGTCATGCCAGAGATGACTGATGATGTTGCTGCTACTGTTGACGAGACCCCTATAATCGACGAGACCCCTATGGTCATGCCAGAGGTTACCGAAGATGGTGGTGCCCCTATGGTCAGCCCACCAGTCGCTGACGATAACACCGTTATCAACAACGATGCTACAATGGATGGTCCCATGAATGCAGGAACTGACTCTGACAGCCCTCTTATCGACGCTCATGGTTTATCTATCCTCAACAATGCTGGTATTGCCAAGAACAATGGCATTGCCAATGATGCCAGCAATGTCGGTAATGTTAAAGGTCAAGGTATCGTTAAGGATATTTTGAAGCGAAATGACCCTCTAGTTGATGCCAATAATGCCAAGATTGCTGAAGATTTGATGGCCGCAAATGACAACATGGTCGCCAATAACATGAAGGATACTGGAAACGTCAATGTCATGGATGCAGTTAAGGACATTCTTCGCAAGCGCCGCGACGCACTTGTTGATGCCAAGGGTCTTACTGCCGCAAACAACGTTGTTGCCGCCAAAGATAACATGGTTGCTCAAAACGCAAAGAACGTCGCAAATGTCAATGCCGCCGATGCCGTCAAGGGTGTTCTTCGTAAGCGCCGCCTTGTTGATGCCCAAGATCTTTCTGCAGGCAACAATGCTGTGGCTGCCAAGGATAACATGATTGCACAAAACGCAAAGAACGTCGCAAATGTCAATACTGCCGATGCCGTCAAGGATATTCTTCGTAAGCGTCGCCTTGTTGATGCCCAAGATCTTTCTGCAGGCAACAACGCTGTGGCTGCCAAGGATAACATGATTGCACAAAACGCAAAGAACGTCGGCAACGTCCATGCCAGCGATGCTGTCAAGAATGTTTTGCGCCGCAGAGACTTGGGGCTTTTGGGTAATGACGAACGCCGTGTGACATCCTCAAAAGCTGACATCCATGTCAGCAACATGGGCAATAACATGGGTGCCAAGAAAAATATGGATTACCAGAAGGATCAAGAAGTAAAGGACCTTTTGCGTCAAATCACTGATATTCTTAACGACAGAGATTAAGCTCAAAAACCGTCCCAGTCATACGGAACAATCTTATATTTTCAATGGCGGTTGCGACTCTTTCCTTAACATACAACAGAAAAAACCGCATCATTTCTCGCAAAGCTTGGTAAACTATAATTGCCCTACCCTCATTTTCCCTTTTATCCCAATATCGGGCTATTTTTCATCTCCTTATTATTTATTCAACACATCATTGACAAGACATTATTTTTCTCCAGCTCCCATTCCCATTTTAAGTCATTAAATAAACCGCATTTGCATGGTTGTTCTATTTCCATTCAACTTGACATTATACCTACTTGACTATATTCTGCATGATCGAACCGGGGGTAACACTGGATATTACACCGCGATCTATTTGCAAATGCAGTACATCCTTATCATGGTGACAGCTCGTGGATGTTGGTTTACCCCGCACCAAATGTCGATTTGCTCCGAGTCGTTCTTTTTAGTGTTAGTAAGGTCACGCATGCACACACCAACGACCTTAATGGGATGTGGAGAACAGGTCAAATGTTCGTGGCGCGCCAGCGTTAGGAAGAATTTCGGTTATTAGGACAAAAAAATTAATCCGTTTATTCCGCCAGCGACATAGTAAATTTTCCCAGAATGCTCCTTGGTCGGATTTATTCTGTGTGCATCCCATCTTCAAGCATGCAGGGTGTGTAGTTTCTGATCTTAAATAGAAAGAATGATACAAGATGTAATGGAGATAGCGAACTTGCGAGATAGATAGATTGAATTGAAGGACCCAAACTAGCTTTCTCATGTTGAGTTTTGTTTTATTTTTCAATCCAAGCTCCAACATTACAGGCGGAGAATAGGCGGAATGGCTCCCCATGGGGAACTCACATCAAACCAGAAAAGCCTGTGACACTGTACCCACCGGACTTCGATTGTCCCCCACCAAACCAATATAAAAGCAGACCTTGACTTCAGCTCTGAACATATCAGATTCGCAAAGCGGACTTCATCAAATATGTTCTCCTTTCATATCTCTAAGCAGAGACTTGCCTGCTACTCGTATGCCATGGTGGCAACGCTTTGCATGTTCATCAACGGATATGATGCTTGTAAGTTTCTGGCTATAACATCGGGCGAATCTCATTTACCCAGATCTAACCTGCTTGCCAATTTCAGCTGTCTTCAATAACATCATGAACTGGACAACATGGAACGAAAAGTTTAACAACCCTCCCAACAACAACCTCATTGGTGCTGTCAACTCATCTACTATGGTTTCCACCATTGTCTTTGGATTTTTTGCTTCGCCCTTTATCAGTGATAGATTCGGTCGTCGCATGTCGATGTAAGTCTCGATTCAGCCGCTATGTTTCAAAGTTTAACTGATTTTGAAACTCAACTAATGGGAAACTCTTCTAAATCAGTTTTATCGGTTGTTTCATCATCGTCATTGCTGCCATTATTGAACTTGTTGCTCCTAATATTGGAGGATTCATTGGTGGTAGAGTTGTCATTGGTATGGGAGCTGGTATCTCTATGGCTGCTGGTCCCACCTACATGAGTGAAATTACTCCTCAGGATATTCGTGGTCGCATGCTTTCTTTCTGGCAAATCGCTTATTCTGTCGGTGCCTTGGTCTGCACCTACATTGCCCTTGGCACATCTTATTGTAAGTTTTTCAGAAAAACTACTTTTTTTTCTTGGTATTCTTGGGCCATTATTAACATAATGATGTATAGATCCTAACCTTGGTCAGTGGCAATGGGGTGTTCCTGTCTTGCTTCAGTGCGCCGCTCCCGTCATTTGCTGCTGCCTTATCTTCTTCTGCCCTGAATCTCCCAGATGGTTGATTCAGAAAGGTCGAGATGAAGATGCCAGAACAGCCCTTCTCCGCATACGTGAACCCCAAGAAGTCGAATCTGAATTGCATGGTGTAAGTGTATATTTCGTGGCTGTGCAGACATGCCGTAGATTCGTCCCTTCTAACGGTAACCTATTTTTTTTTTCTTTTAAAATTACCAGATTAAGGACGCTATCAGATGGGAACAGGAAAACACCACTCAGTCATTCAGAGATTTGTTCGTTACTCCCTCCATGAGACGTCGTCTCCTTGTCGGTCTTGTCATCAACTTTGGTCAACAAGTTACTGGTCAAGCTATGATGACCCAATATTCTTCCAGAGTCTATACCAAGATTTTCACCGATCAATCTACCATCACCTTGATCAACGCACTCAACTACACCTTTGGTATCCTATTCACCCTCCCCGCCACTTTCCTCTCTGATCGATTGGGTCGTCGTGCTCTCTTCATCATCGGTGGTATCGGACAAGCTGTTATGCTTATCATTGCCGCTACCGTTATGCTTACTGTACCTCAACCCGATGGTCATCCCTCGACCGCTGTCGGTGCTGGTGTCGTACTTGTCATGTTCCTGTTCACTGCATCCTATAAGCCAACTTGGGGTGCCACCGTTTGGATTTACACCTCCGAAATGTTCCCAATGAACGTCAGAGCTGTTGCCGTTGCTGTTTGCTCAAACACCCAAAATGTCGCTGGCGCCATTTTGGCTCAAGCTTTCCCTCCTATGTTCGCTAGTATGGGCTTCAAGGCTTTCTATGTCTGGGTTGGTTGCAACGTTTGTTTGGTCACCTTTGTATACTTCATGTGTCCTGAAACCAAGGGATTGGCTTTGGAAGACATTGATGTTATCTTTGGTGCCACTGCCCACGATATCGAAAGCACTTCTTATGAGAACGAAAAGCCTGCCAGTATCAAGGTTGACGAGAGCGGCGAGAAAACAAAGTTCTAAGCCTAATTTACCCCTTTATGTCTCTGAAGCTAATCTGAGCTCTGCTTCCCCATACCATTAGCATTGTAGATATTATGCTGTATCCTTAAGACCCTTACGTAGTTACCTCTAGCCCTTAAAATTACATAAAAATTGAAAAATAGTTAGTGCAATACCGTCTTGGTATCGGATGGGATGATCGATGGGAACACACCATATAGGGCAACGTAACGCGCTTATGGTATTGGGTTATGGAAGTTAATTGGTTCCTCCCAGTTTCTCATTTTCTAGGTCTTGATATTAGTCTGGCCATTTAGAGTCAATCCCGAAATTCCGCCCAAGATTTATTTGCAATCAAGTTTGACTGTGGCATTATTTGTTGCTCAGGTTCTCTACAGCTCATGCATGCTGTAGAACCTTCCACTAGAGCCCAGCACTCATACTAATAACCATTTTGAGCCCTAAAATCCCCATAGTAACACTTTGATGACCGAGGATGAGCCCGCTTTCGACGTGTAACAAGCATGCCCATTCTGGGTATAGCCCGCAGACCTTGTTTGATCGTACCACACTGGTCGGAACAAATCAGTTTGCTTGTCAGCTCAAAATCTCATCTGAATTCCGCGGCTGCTGCCGTCGGTTACTCGATCTGTATTTGATACGTTGCCTGCCTAGCCATCCCTTGCCTTTTCACATTTACGTTACATAAAAAAACTTACGGTTATTGAGACCAAAAGAAAAATTTATCATATTCCCTTCCCCTCTGTAGCCTAAAGGCAATTATTGAGAACAGTGGACAATGTTTGTCAGCGTGGTATCTTACATAATCAACGAAACCTACGGTGTAATCACAGTCGCCATGAGAAGAGTCGTTCTGCAAAACGGTACGAGTTATGACGATCGCAATTGTGTTCTCTTGAAAAGTTTAAATGTGGGGGTAATCGGGCGGCGGGTAGGTCAAGGTACGACCGACGTTCTGGCGAATAACAGGAGTGGAATGCCAATCGGATAAGAAATCGATATTAAGGTGTGGGAAATTGGACAAATCTTTATTGATTATATTTGACACTCTTATACATTCGCTCGCCTATACTTTTCAAGGAATATCTGATTCAGTTTTGTGAAAGAAAATATTGTACTTTGGTCTCAAGCATTGAAAGCTCACAGCCTTACGGAAAAATTTGGGTTTGCCATAGCATCATAATATGAAGGTTGCAAATAGTGGTCAGTTACGTCTCATCATTTTAATATTCCCATAAAGAACACGGCAGCACCATATATGAATACCAAATCTCTTCAGATATGTTATGGCTCCTGTTGCTAAATAAGGGGTTCAGGAGATATTGATTATTGGAAGAGAATTTTGACCAAATAGACCGAGCATGTGAGGACTCCATGATTGAGCTAGTAAGATGTTGCGTTCTGTCGTTCATGAGAAGATATGCGCTGAACGATATTTACCAAACGTTCTTTATCTAGGAACAAGACAAACAACCCAAGCTACCCTCTAATAAAGCCAACGAGAGACACCCCCTTTGTTCATCAGCTAATTCAGGTCAGATACAATAAAATCTTTCTGTCACTGATATTGAGACATTGCTCGTCCCGCCATTTTTAGTTCCTTTCAACACAGCATTTGTCTTCCCTTCTTCTCTCTATTTCACGTATCACATAGTTGAATCTTCCCATTCAATTACACTACGAGATTTCTGGCAAGACTTAGTAGCGATATCCAATGTATGCACAAGTCCGTTATAACATACGGTCTATTTTCTTGACGATCATCGTTACCTGTTTCATACAATTTGTCATATACGAAATATTTAGCAGCAATACAATACAATTGCCATGTACGTCGAGAGAGAGTTGTTATGAACATGCCACCAAGATAGAGAATTTTGCCACGCGGACTGGTGCGTTTAGGTCGGGCATGAATGCCCTTCGAAACCTGGCTATGACACGGCAATATCTCAAAAATAATATGCATCCGGCAGATGTGGCCAAAGATATATACATTAACCGAGATACAGGAGTACAACTTCCAAGAACGACTACTGAAAGAGTCAAAGCGGCATTTGTTGTCCTTGTTCGAAATCGAGAGCTGGATGACCTGCGATCGTCAATGAGGTATGTTGCATTTATCGTTGATCGGGACACTATCTAAACATGGGTTAATTGGCAATCCAAACATTTCGTGCATCAGGGACATGGAGGCTACTTTCAATTACAAGTACAACTACCCGTGGATTTTCCTCAACGAAGAGCCGTTTACCGAGGAGTTCATCAACCTTACTACATCCATGACGAAGGCCAACGTCAGTTATGGGTTGGTAGAAAAAGAGCATTGGGGTTATCCGCCTTGGATCGATCAAGATTTGGCGAAGTTGAAAAGGAAAGAAATGGCTGACGAAGGAATTATTTACGGAGGAAGTGAAAGCTATCGACATATGTGTCGGTAAGAATGACACTTTACGTAAGGTTTTGTTGTAAAGCAATGATTGACCATTCTTGTGCCAGATTTCAATCGGGCTTTTTTTACATGCACCCTTTGCTCGATGATCTAGATTACTACTGGTAAGATACACGCACGTGTACAGGGTAGTTAGATTCATCAGTCCACTGAAGAGTATTTCTATGTTGCAGGCGGGTTGAGCCTGACGTCAATTTCATGTGCGACATCGACTACGATCCATTCTTGTATATGAAGCAGCATGACAAGAAATATGGTAGGAGAGTAAAGAAAGAATCGAGCATGTTCGATTTGACTAATTTGAGTGTGCCACTTCAGGTTTCACCATCTCGCTAAGGGAGTTCTACTCCACTGTACCAACGTTATGGAATACCACGAAAGAATGGATGGGCTTGAACCAGAAATACTTGGTTCCTCAGCATGACCCTGAAAATTTAATGAAATTTGTAACGGATGATGATGGAGATTCTTATAATCTGTGCCACTTCTGGAGTAATTTTGAGGTAAGCTACGCAGAATGAACGTTTACTAACGTTTCAAGGGCATCACTAACATATCCAACATAATAGATAGGTTCTGTAGCCTTTTTGAGATCTGAAGCATATCAAAGCTACTTTAGACATCTGGATCAAGCAGGTGGTTTCTTTTATGAAAGGTGGGGTTCGGTCTATTTTTTATGCGTCATCATTGAAACAAGTTGAAGCTTAAATTACATGAATTAGATGGGGTGATGCACCTGTGCATTCCATTGCTGTAGCTATGTTGTTGAAAGCTTCGGAAGTTCACTTCTTTAACGACATGGGCTATCGCCACGGGCCATTTCAACACTGCCCTGACGGACCAGACTGGTTGAGTAAAGGAAAATGTTACTGCGAACCTCGAAAATCATTCGGTAAGACATCGATGAGGACCCTACTCCGTCTCGTGCTAATGATTGCTTACTTGACACTTTACTCTATATCAGATATGAGCTTTAATAGCTGTCTACCAAAATGGATGGAAGTAACGAATACTACTGTGGAGAACTACATCATTAGTCAAAGTTAGCCGAAAAGACGTCGGTCCAATGTGTGTATTATCCATCGGTTTCAATCTTAAAGTGTCTACCATAGAAGTTGTAGCATGCAAAAATTGTAATGTGAACCAACGTAATTTATAAAAAAAGGAAGTTGAACTGAGGCCTATCATTGGTCGTTAGTTAATACGGCGATTTTGATGCGTTGAACATGCCGAATTTCTGAAGGTTTCAGGTGTAATTTTTTCCAGTTATCATCTATGCGAGGCTACTTTTAGGTGGTTTCTTTCACTGCAAAGCATAATTTTTAATTCTTTTACTTTTTCGTAATACTAATTTGCATCACCATACTGCACTATTCAGTATAGACACTTGCTCCAAAACGAATACGAAACCTTAATCTGTAGGCATGGGCAATGCTCATTCTCTCGAAATCGACTTGTCGGATAGACAATTAACTAGGTAGAAAAAAGGATGTTTGCTTTGAGTAGTTACGAAATTTCATAATTGACATAGTATGGTATTTTTGCAGTGTTACGCTGCAGCAACTGGGTGCACTTGTGTCTGGACCGAGCGCCTATAGAATCCTTTCACACATCAAGCAAGATCGCGGCAACTATGTTCAGCGACTGTACTTGCGCCGCAATCAACTGTCCTACCTTCCAGCCAACTTTGAAGTCCTGTTAAGCGGCCTAACGGATTTATCTCTGAGAAGCAATGATTTGAATCAGTTTCCTCTCGAGATCACTTCGTTAAAGCAGCTCGTCAAGCTGTCCCTCGCTGGCAACGGCTTAACCTACATACCCGCCGATGTTTCTAAACTACGGCATCTGGAGTGGCTCAGTCTTTCTTCGAATACATTAGATGATCTACCTGTCGAACTGGCGAAATGTAAACGTTTGACCCACCTAGATATACAGAAGAACAGATTCAAAGGTAAGGGTAGCGAGCAACCGTGAGAAAGGAGTAAATGGTAATCCCCGCTGATCTCACTTCATGCATTGATAGCAATTCCAAATTGCATCGCACAGCTCTATACGTTGGAAGTACTACTCTGCCAGAAAAACTCCATTTCAGCACTGAAGCTTGAGGCATTTCCTCCCTCATTGCTGACCTTGAACATGGCTTTTAACTTACTGGAAGCCGTTCCACTCGCACTATATAATCTTCCCAACATACAAGCACTGATTTTATCAAGTAATTTGATCACCCACATCCCTGTAGAACTATGTTTGAACAACACATCGCTCATTAATCTGGACCTGCATACTAACAAACTGGGTAGTATCCCTCAAGAGATCTCGCAACTAAAGCATTTGCGACGTCTCAATATTGCCATCAATCAAATTACCGAAGTACCTGCAAGCATTGGCGATCTGCCGCGGTTGGAATGGCTTAACGTCAACGATAACCAGCTGACTGAACTGCCCGACACTATAGGCAACCTGCGAAAGTTGATCAAGTTTGGCATTGTACAGAATAAGCTGGAGAGGCTGCCAGACTCGATAGGACGATTGACCCAACTTGCAAAGTTAGATATGCGACGCAATCAATTCCGGTGGTTACCTGGAAGTCTCCTGAAACTTCGAGATAAACAAGACTCGACGCAGAGCATCACTCAAAACAGGGAGGACAGTATGGTTCGGGCCCTTCGACCCGGTGTAGGCAGTTTGAAAACCATCTTGATGGGAGAGAATGAGCATCTTCAATACTACGAAGGGATTGTTTGCGAAACGGCCGATCAAGATGCAATTGTTTATTCTAGCAATATGGACAACATTAGCGCTGAAAAGCTGACTCACCTCCACCCAGTTGGTTCGTTATCTGAAATTGCCGCACGCCGTCTATTGGATACGTTACCTGCACCTTCCGGGTCTATTTCATCGTTGCAATACTCGAAAGAACGGAAAGAACACTTGGAGAACCTTCCCGCCCATATATTACCTTCCTACACCCTAGAAAAAATCTGTCATAACGCCAAACAATGCGAAGCCTGCTTGCGGTTGTATTGCGACAGTTCTATCTACGTTGCTGAGCTAGGCTGCATGGGCGACTCGAGGATCGATGTACCGGTCCGATTCCGGATGTGTTCTTATCGCTGTGCAAAGGCATTCCTGGCCATTGACAAGACTTCTCTGCAATTCTACGAAGACGACTATGAAGCAAATGGGCTGGAGGCACTTGATACTCCGTCGCATAATGAACTTAGTAGTAACATACTACAAGAGAGCGAGCAGAGCTTTGATTCCAACATGCTGAGAGAACCCAGTATAACATCGGCAGCAAGTGGTAAGTGGCGATGTTTTTCATGTTCCTGTAGCAGATCTTATTGCTGACAGGAGGTTTATTTCTATTAGCGAGACATTTCAGCGTGACCAAATGTTTACAAAGCTCCTTCCGCGCTTTGTTTTCTCTACAGCATGCAGATCAAGATCTGGCAGTGAGCGTACCCAATATGTCTCGGCTTGTCACATTATCTAATGTCTCATCCCGGCCATCTTTGCCAACCACTGGCCGCTACGTGACCACCGATGTATCTGAGTTGGAACGATTTTAGCGAAGTAGTATCAGCATGTACATTTTACAAAGGAGAGTCTCCTTTGCCCTTCTTGGAGCCGTTTTGTTTTATAATACTTTAATCCAGTGTCCGTGTAAACGAGCAGGTCTTGCTTATAAAGATGTAGCTAGCTAGCTAATTAATTTTTAATATATCTTTTTGTTCGTACACAACTCTGCAGCTGCTCCAAGACCGAACACAGCGATGGGGTGTTGCCATGTAATCTACGCTTGAGTTATTACATTTTGGCGCTGGGTTGCTCCTTTCCATTGACATCTTCGCATACTTGTCTTAGCTCAGTCAATGTATCTGAAAGAACCTTGCTGAACTCTAGAGTGCTAACCGTCTCCTTCACACGCTTGCATTCCATACCGTATTTGACCAAAGTGGGAGCTGCCATGTAATTAATGCCATAGCCATCCGGGACGATCGCGCCGAATCCAGTTCCCATCAGTCTAATGCCCGCATGAAGTCCTGATGTGGACAAGCGCCAGTTCTGAGATTCCGCATACGCCGGGTCAGTGAATATTGGATGCAGTTCTGTATTAGGCTCGGAAGCGTTCAACAGACGCAGTGCCAGCAAGTGTCTATCACATCCCTGTCCGTTGGATGAGGCGACGGTATAAGCTGTGTGGCTCTTGCAAGCCGTTTGCAAAAGTTGATATTTGGTTTTGCTCTACATAGGCCAAGAGAATGCGTCAGTATCACTATTATAGATCCCATCTCAACCGCAGATCCTTCACTACATACATCAACTTGGTTGTTTTCCCATGCCTCCACCAGCTTTTTGGTATCCACGCTGCAAGTTCGAATGGTTTCGGTACGGCCGTGAAGAAACTGCCGAGTGCTAGCTGTCTCATAGGTAGCATTCACCCTCTTGTGAATCTTGTAATATGCCAACTGTAGACTCATTTGGAAGAAAGCATCAGGAGAGACCTTAGCATACTTCTTTACCCACGTAGTTCCATACTGATCCCAAATCAAAACCCTGCAATCTGAAAGAGCAATGGTCTTGGCAGTATCGTCACGAGCTTCCTGAAGGTGTTGATGCACCGTCTCGTCAACTTCAAACAAAAGTCTCTCCACAGGTGCAGCAGACTTCATGGGTTGGATGTTGGCGGTACTAGCATTAGGAGGGCATGGTTTCTTGAGCATGTGATCGAAGACATAGCTGGCGGTGAGTGCATCACACGGAGAATGTTCACCAAGGAGAGCACACTTTCCATTAGCTTCTACCACAAAATTGAGCGATTTGTCGAACCAGCGATTTGAGCCCGTGCCTTGGCCCGTAAACACATTTCGTGTCCAATCCCCAGTATCGTTGCCCACGCCGTGATCATCCAAAGACAGAGCAAATAAGGCATCCTCTACGACAGTCAATGACTCTCTGTTAACGGCCGATACACAGAGAAGATGGTTGCGAGTTTTGGCCCAGTGATCTCGGTGAGCTCCGGTTAAAATAGGTATAGGAGCTTGGAGGGGTTGTGTCTGTACATCATTGACGATAGCGAGGAGATCACTATATTACAGGGTAAGGGTTTAATTGCTACATGACATCCGAGTTGGCAAACATGACTTCCACTCACTTTTCAATTTCTTCCTTGCTGGCTCGTACACGCTGGCCGTTCTGTTGCTTGTACACATGAAGTGGATACATCTGGTTGCGGACAAGAATGATAATATGGGTGGCGCTTTCGTTCACATTGGAGAAAGTGTCGCATTGGGGTTGAGGTATACGAGTCACGCCGAAGATGCGGGTATATTGGTGCATGCACTGAGCTTTACCACCTCTTAACATGTCGATAGGCAATTTTTGACTAATGTGAAAGAATTAGCAGGGTGATCACACACTTCGGCACGTGTGAATGACTAAAAAAATCAACTCCTCTAATTACCTGTCAATGAGCTCCTTGAAATCCACACCTTCGGATATCATGTGAGCAGCTCTTCGAACTTGAAAGTACGTGTAGTGGCCGGAGGGACGCTTGGCATTGTTGGCAAGAAGGCTTTTGGGGTGGTGGGCATCATCTATTCCCAACATGAACCAGTTGCTGTTCACCAGTACAGGTTCACGCCACTCGTGGTAAGCCTTCTGGAGCCAAAAACCGTCATCTAACCAATTTGAGGGTGTGGATCTGTCCAGATCAATCAAACGTTCCTGGAGCTGCCTGGATAGAGGACTTGCAAGGAAACTCTGAACTCTCCTTTCGCTTTCTTGGAACTCCGTTTCGGTGAGAAGGGGGCGGAGGGAGTGCAGGTAACGAGCGCAAGTTGCTTCTAAGGAAGGGACTGGTAGACGGGGTAATGTGGACTGTAAGGAAAATGTTGGAGCTGAAGCCATTGTAAGCAAAAACGACTCAAGGCCGAGGGAAGAAGAGAAAGAAACACACTTGCTCACTGAACACCGATGCCCCCACCTGAGCCCTTTAAGTATAGAGGCTTGACATGTGATTTACTCGTGTGGAAAGGGTGGAGTCTCTTCCCTCCAGCATTGCTTAACAATTTGTATAGCGTAAGCAAATTACCCCACATGAAAATCTGTGCTCATAGAAGGAAAAGCCCAAGCATTTTTGTTTGGTAGGTGAGTGGACCAACCTGACCAAAATACCTTGTTGACTTGTCAACCAGTGCAAGAGACGTGCAACTCGAGGCCGCTATCACATTTTGATCTTGGCAGTATCAAACAGGTATTATTGTACATGGAAGTTTACAGAATATTTGATGATGCTGGCTGGCTGTCGTTGGCTATACCTTTTGGTCGGTTACTCAATCAGCCACACAGGTCTAAAATTGACTGTGTGCTCTATGGCTGGGGGATTATCGCTGAATCAAATCATAAAGTTTTGACACCGTAGTATGACTTGCTATACAGATCGCTATCAAGACAGTCTATATGCCTTCTTTGCAGCAGTCGATCAGTCGAGATGATCCCTACTATATACAGGAAGATAAGTATACTCGTTAATGCATCCCTCCACTCCTCATGCAGACCCTTTTTGTGAGCGAAGCAATAGGTGAGATATGGCATAATCGAAGTGCAATATGACATAACGGGGTACGGATGCTGTTCGTGATCGACTGTAGCCGAAAGGATGGCAATTCTTTTGCTCGATCCCGAGTTATCGATGGCACCATGGTAACGACTATCAGCGACTACGGGACCGGTTCCGCAGTACTGTACTATCTGGGACGATTCACCCGCGACAAAGCCAAAACTCCCATCTCTGTACCGTTATAATGTATAATTTTTATTTTATTTCCGAGTTCGAATGAAACAAATGCATGCATTTGATAGTAATGTACTGTACAAATGTGATGCCCAAGTAGACTCTAGCATCACAGTATGAAATGCATCTTTGCGGCAAATGCTAGTTGTTTAGAGGAGAGCGTTGAGCTTTGCCTCAATAAGAGCAGCGTTGGCACCAACAACCTCATCCTTCTTCTCACCGTTTGCGAAGAACATGAAAGTGGGCATGGCGCGGATCGAATATTCCTCGGCAACGTCCTACGGTAAACAAAAAAAAAAGTGGGTGGGTTTGTCAGTACCGCGCGCATCCTCACGTGTTTCCGGTATTCAAACAAGTACTTACAGCAGCCTCATCCACATCAACCTTGGCGAAGACAATGTCAGGGAACTTTTCGGCAAGCTTGATGAACTTGGGGCCGATGACCTTGCAGGGACCGCACCATTGAGCGTGGAAGTCGACAGCGACCTAAAAGACGTGGTATTAGTCATAACGTGGGTTGGGCATGGAACAACGCAAAACACACACTACTCACGGGCTTGCCTCCGTTGATGAGTTGCTTGAATTCTTCAAGGTTTTTGATTTCTTGGACCATTGTGAATTATATAAAAGAAAAAAGTACGAAAAGTGTGTAAGCCAACCATGCGAGCGTCCAAGGGTTTTTATACTCGAAAACAAGCGGAAGCTCAGTACCAAATATTATTGGATAAAACGGGTCACTTAGTAATCCTTTGGAACTCCGGGCCCACCTACCCAAAATAAAATAAAAAAAAAAGGATCTGGCACAATCCATGGCAGTGACGAAGTGATTTTTAATGGCACGCCGTTCACTTTTTATGGTTTCTCCGTTTTTTAAGCCCGATGACTCAGCCGTCCCAACACCTCCAGTATTTCTAATCTACCGTCATTCGTCGGATCCCCTGGTGGGTAGGGTTCATGGAAACGAAGAAAGGGATGACAAATGAAAACATATGGTTTATAACCATATAACAACAAAATGGATCATTAATTTACAGTACATTGTATGTATCTACATCTCCGAGATCAAGCAGTGGAGAGAGGGGGTTGCGTGTAAGGAGAGGCGCAATTCAGTTCCATTTGAGAAAGGAATCAAGTGTATCATCGCCTTCTCTGGCAGCAACGTTAAGGTCATATGCGGACCCTGAATGATTACTATCATACGCCAGCTCAGGCATACCTCCAAACAGTTGCTCCACTCCTTGCTGAGGAACAAACTGATTGTCCAGGCCAGAATCTGACATCGCTAAGGAGGGGGGGTGTGTCAATTTTTTTTTTTCTTTCTGTATCGCGTGGGGACCGCAATTGTTTATACTTACTGTCAAGTGCGTAACCCTGTTGAAGCAGGTCGTGCAGGTTGGATGTAAAGTTAGGGTCTGCTGTTATATTGGATCCGTAGTTCTCCATCATCTGATCTTCCTTGCTGTCTCCGTGATACATCATATTATTCTGGTGGTCGACGGATGCCATGGCAGCATCGAACGGATCCACCTCTAACTCGGTATCCGGAGTTCCCAATCCGGACGGAACAAACGGCGCGTAAAGAGAGGCGTGCTGATTATGTCTCACAAATTGCGAAGAGTTGGTGTGATGGTGATGATGAGGTCGTTGATTGCTGGATGATGAAGCCGATGGAACGGATGTAGATAGCAATTTGGGGCTACTAGGGCCAAGCCGTGGGGACTTCGGAGCTCCATAAGGAGAAAATCGACGGGAGTGCGCAGATGTGGGTGGTGACCCTATACTCATGGCGGCTATTGATTTTTGGATTTGTGAAAACGGGGACCCTATGACGGGTGAAGAATTGGGAACAGACGATGAATTAATAGGAGAACCCGCTGTAAACGATGAAGCATTGGAGCGGGGAATAGCCACGCCGTTCTTGATAGCATTCACCATGTCCCGTTCGTCCATCAGGCGTTGGATCAACGTAGCCTTCTTGCCAGTCGCTGGCTTACCACGTTGTCGAAGCATTTCTTTGAGTTCACTAACGGTAATGTCATCGAAGTTGACTTTCTGCAGTTGCTCGTCGAGTCTACGATGATGCTCTTCTGCATCGATCGATATGTTGGCTGCATGCGGTCTAGAAACCCTTCCGATAGGGATGGGCTTAGCTTTGGTGGTGGCCGGCGGCGTGCCAGGTATGGGCACGCGATTATTATTATTATTGTTGTTATTGGCGTTCGGCGGGAGGGAGATAGAACGTCGTCGATCTAGAGACATATCATCCATGGGGTTAGGCGTATCGTAGGTGGCTGCAGCAGGTGTGGTTGGTAAAGATGCAAATGGATTTTTGAAAGTTGGCATATCTTGTAATGAGCCAAATGAAGGTTGAAGCATGTGCGCTTGCTGTTGGCTGTTCAAACTTGCCTTGCGCGCATAGTTAACTTTAAATCGAGCTTGGAAATCGCCTTGTCTTTTTTGGTGATCAACATTTGACGTCAACGGAGAGGTTGGCGTTGAGGTATTTGGAAAAGATCCTAAAGTTAGGCTGGGTGAACCTCTTCTTCCGGCCAAGTCTTTGTTATGAACGTCAGGCGCGTCAAACGTTATTCGAACTCCCCCTTGCACAGGTTGAGATAACCGCTTTTGCTCTTGGTGTTGAGATTTAGGTTTGCTCAGGCTGTCGGACGGTGAGTGGGAAAACTGTGAAGGGTTCGGTAGAGAGCCGGAGTTGTGACTGAACATGGCACTTAAGTTAGACACAGGAGGTGGTGACGCACTGTATTGAGTTGTAGTATCGCCAGGACTTGTTTCGAGATATTGCACGTTTTGAGCTTCTTGTGCCAATATTTGTTCTTGCATCCTTCGTTGATGGTCTTGTAAGGTTTGCTGTTGTTGAACAAAAGAAGGGTCGGAAAAGAGAATATCCTGGTATTCTCGAGACGACATCATTTGATCAAACGAATCTGAATTCGCTTCTCCATGATAGGGTGTGGTATATTGAGACGAATCATCATCTCTCATCGTGTCTTGATAAGGCATGGGTGATGAAGTACCTACACTATTATTTTGGTACTCCCGTTGTTGAGGTTTGAGGTGCTGAAAAAGCCACGGGTTACTACTGGCAAACTGGTTACTGTTGGCTACCATAACGTTGTCCAGATTGGAATCAAAGAGGTCGTCAAAGTCTTTGTCGGATTCCATGAGTTTCTGTAATGTTTTTGGCGACATGGCTTGGCCATTTCGCGGGCCGAACGACGATGAGCCAGGATAGGTCATATTGTTCTGAGAATCGTGGTATGCAAAGGACCGCGAACTGTCGTTAGAGAATGGAGATTTAGTGTGGTGATCCTTCAAGTTGTGAGGCATCACTTAAAGGATAAAAAGAAGGAAGAAAAAATAAAGCAGAAGAAACAGAAGTATGACACACCCAAAGGGCCAGCCAGCGCTATAGAAAAATCGACACTTTACTTCATTCGAATTTTTTTTTTTCTTCAAAACTGCTCCAATGGAGAATTTTTGAACATCCGATAAACTACATTATGAGAGTGAATAATAAGAAGAAGAATACAATGGTAACAAAGATCTTGATCATAAGCCATCGGTTGGATGACACAGACTTGTAATATTTAAGAAGCTGGTTGTTCGCTCCAATGATGTTGGATTCAATGTCTTCTGTGTTTTGCTCAATTCTATAAATAAAATATTATTACATGCTTCAGGCGACATGTTATATCAAACGAGTTATTAAATTTTTTCTCCTTACCTTTGCACTGTTTCTCGTTGTTCTGCCACCATGGTCGCGAGCTGTTGAAAGATAGTGCCAAGCTCTGCAATTGTGCTTTCAATACTTTCGATGGCGGTGGATCTACTTTCTATATATCGATCTTGTTCTTGCATGAGTGCTTGTTGCTGTTCTTGTTGTTGCTGAGCCGTAAGCATGGGTATTCCAAGGGACAATGTGTCTTCCTGCGATTCTAGTGGTATTATGGCGGGGCTGGAGTCAGTTTTGGTTTTTGAGCGGTTTGGTGAGTCGAAAAGTAAGGATTCATCTGAAAATCAAAGAGTCAGCAATGCTATTCACCTAAAGTGTATCACACACTATACTCACAATTTGAAGAGGCAGGCTGATCAGAGGTGGAGAGCAAAAATTGATCTCGTCTGTCTTTGGATGATTTCATATTCTATGAAACGTGGTATTAGCGGGTTCGTCCACCACCCAAAAAAAAAAAGGTTGGGGTCCCTAGTAGGTCTTACCTCAGTTCGGATTTCCAAAACATCTTTGAAGCTCATGGAAGTGGTGGCAAGCTTGCTCTGCAATGATACCACCACATTTGAAGAGTGCTCTGTTGCTTGTTTTGAACCGAGTTTCTGGTCTTTGCTGTAGGTTTGCAGCATGGCAATCTGCTTATTCAAATTAGCTATATCTTGCTTAATGATATAAGTGAGTTCCTGTGAAAATGAAATTTTGGTGAGAATGTTTGTCGACATGATTGTGTCGAGAAAGATAACATGCATACGCTGATTTCTACTGGTTTATCGTCGAACAATGTTTTCCGCTTGGCAACTGTAAATAGGATAGCCCGTCAGTATACCTATTTGTTTGAACTACAAAGTAAACCGTTATGTGTACTGACGTTTTGTCAATTTCTCCAACTTGGCGGTGGTATTTGATATATTTCGCCCAATCTCTGCCGCTATTAATGAGAATTCCGTCTTATTCTTGATTCGTTCATGTGATGGTGCTGCATGCTGTATCAAAGATCGTCGCTCTAAGACCGTGTTATCGTGGCGTTGCTGTAATCGCTCCACAAGAGCCTCAAATTCTGAAGTGCGATCTCGAAAGGACATTATACGAGTTCGTCTATTACAATTATAGGCTACTTGTGATGAACGAAGTTGGAATTAAACACCCATCCAACCCAACTCTTTGAAAGCCTAACTTCCCATTTCTGGACACCAATCGGAGCTCAGATAATGAAGATCACGTGCGTTGCAACCAAGAAAATCGATAGTCAGTTCGCTTTGCTCTTCTGGAAGCAGCACTTACTTTTGTAGTTAGCGATTGAATTATCGAGCATAACGAAGGGAAAGAAGCAAACAAAAGTAATTTTGAGGATTACATGGAATAGGTTAAAGAATTTGACATTTCGTCTTGCTGTTGCACCTTAATGATGAAAGCTCGGCAATAACGCAGCAAGCAGTCCAAACTCGCCAAAAATGAATGCCATATGTTCAACGCATCATACATTATCTTAGGAGACTTTATTGTATGTACTTAAAGAAAGGATTCAAACTTCCGTCTCCATTGCTATGGGATCTTTGGATTCTGAAAAGTTGTGTAAAAGTTGAGCATTGGCTGTTTGCAGGTCAATTTCCAATCGTCGAACCATATCCATCATTTGGATGACTCTTGGTCCCTGGTAACTCTTTGCACAGCCAATAGCAAGTGTCAAATATTCAGTACGCTTTTCCAGCGTTATGTCGCATCTAAGTGGGTTAAAATGTCAACAATGTGTCAAACGCCACCAACATTCGGTTAATAAAATAAACGTACTCAGTAAGTGCAAGTTGTTCTAGAGTTTCTGCGGCGACATCGTAACGCTGCTGGAGTCGATAATGCTGCCATAACAAGTCATAATTTTCCTTTCTAAACGGTGGCCGAGTCAAAAATGGAACGACGTATGGTGTGTTCGCCTGATGACAAGGTTTGCATTAGTAATACCATCCATTTGTAATAAGAGCATCAACTAGAAGCATTACCGTCAGCAGTTGCTTAATCATGCCCTTGTTGATAAACCATTCGTATAGTTCGAAATGGAATGCACGGTCTTTGGAGCTCAAAATCATTTGGTATATATTGGTAGCGCTGGCATTTCCGGACGGTTTGGGTTCTGCAGATCCGTCATCAGACAGTTAGTGATATGATTGAGCAAAAAATTTAGCCAAATGACTAATTGCAAAAAAATAAATGTACTTGCCTGCAGAGTCATATTGCAGCTCTCCAGCATATTCTGCATCGAGCAGAGCCGAGAATACACAGATATAGCACCGCTTTTTGATTTCATAATACTTTCTCCTAGAGTCCGTTGGAGGACAGCCTTCGTCGACATAAGAGCTGCATCGATCATAAGGATCTTTAGCTTGGGCGCAAGTGAGTGCCAGATCCACCACTCCTATGTTATAGCTAAGATTTTTGTAACCCTCACAAATTTCTTGGAGCTGCTCGTACGAGAGATAGTCGGCTATTTTCTTGAATAATGTAAGTGAATCGCTGAGTTGTGTTGCCCGTTGCGTGGGATCAACAGTCTCAGATGCTTTTCGAACGTGTTGGACGGCCTGTCAATAGTATGTTAGTGTTTTTCAATCAGCATACACTGCCATGTTGATCATAAACGTGCCATACCTTATACATGATCACCTCCTTGGGGTTTGTGAGCGTTCCACAGCAATTTTGCAGAGTGTCCGTTACCACATTCAAATCGGTGCCTTTTTCCAATTGGCTGTCGACCACAGCTGTTACCAAATGCCTCAACACGGTTCTACCATCTGGCTTTGTCAGCATCGACTCATATGTGAGGCCCATTAGCGCTACTTGAGCAGAAACTGACATGCTGTAATCAAGTTATATTAGTGTTATGGGATTTAATAGCCTGCATATATTAATAAGTTGCCTCACCGTTGAACGATGCGTGGGAAGCCAGCATCAATAAGATAAGAAATGAAGGCAACTGCTTCGATAGCATGGCTCAACAGCTGGTATAGTTCTTCCATCGAGCTTTGCACTTCATTTGGATGGAGTGGTTTAGGGTTGATATATGGGTTTAGATCCATGAATTTGCGTAATTGGCACAGTTTTCCATGGATGTCCTGCAATGTCGTCTTGGGCACACTTGTGTCTTGGGCATTAGAAGGTTTTTGTGTCGTGCTACTAAGAAACCAAATGGAGACAAGAGTTAATACCGAGCAGCTGACATCATGCTGATATTTCATATGCTTACCTTGCGACTGTAACTTTTTGATTCCAAATGGGCTGTAAAAGTCGGTACAAGTATAACGCAAATCCATCTCGCTGGCTAACACCATTTTTTCCATGCAAAGATCCAATAATGGATGGTGAATCGATACTGTAAAACAATCGCGTTGCTGGTTGTGATGATATCAACGTAGCTAAAGATTCAGCTAGAAGTGAAAGGCATGGACGTAAGTATGAGATAGCTATAAGCATAATAATGTTTGGCGAAACCTACCAGAATTCGATTGTTGTGATTGCTGAGCTTCTTTGCAGACCAAATCAAAGCACATTGTGTATGTTTGAGCTGGACCGTAGTGGTCTATAAAATCTCGAATGTCCTTGGCGCGTGTATCAAAGCAAGAACCGGCTTCAGCAATCAACAGTTGTAATATTTCGATAGGTCGTCGCTTTTCAACAACAACAAGGCCAGCACGTGTTTGCACCAAGAATCGGCGAGGTGGAACCGTTGAAGATGCTGTGAGTTCGTTGAGCTTCATGGACAGCGGAATATCCTGAGTTTCCTCGGCAATAGCACAAATCTTTCCTGTCAAAGTGAATTCTTCGAACACTTCAGAAGCATTTGCCATATTCTGATATGAAAATACTGGCTTAATATCATGGTGATATACACATGCCTACAGAGGTTAAGTAAAAATGTTTACCTTGGCTTGAGCTTCAGTCATAAGAGCAGAATCTGGACAAACACAGGAAACCCGCGGCTTCAATTTGTCGGCAATCATATATATACCATCCATATAGAAGGCAGCATCTACTGCAGGAGTTGGTTCATTTGTTCCAACTTTTTCAACAGGAAGTCGAACAAAAGTAAGTTGGAGTGGGGCTGGTTCCACTGAATGAGCTTTTGTGGATGTGAAGTATAAACGAGCGCCGTTGGAAGTTACTGCCAACAGTCGACCATTATGTGATCCAGATACCGTGATGGGGTGTATTGAAATAATGTCGAATTGTTTTTCGTCAAATAACCGCGAAGTAGGGCATAAGCTTTGTGCCTTTTTGCGGATATTGGTGCATTGTCCAATATTAGTCAATGTCATCCCGTCAGGACCAAGGTATGCTACCTAATGATACGATTTCGGAATTAATGATCCCATTCAGGACGAATTTGTATTTAAATACAACTTACTCGAAGGTTATGCATGGCTGTAAGCTGATATAACATGTTTCTTGATTCATCCACTGCTAAATCAATGATAGGATCTAGTGAACAGTCATGTTAGCCAATTCACATGTTACCGCCTACATATCTGAAATGTACATACCATCGTACAGGGAAAGGAAATAAGATAGCTTGCTAGGAGCATGACAAATCTTGGTACATCGGCGAGAAAACCATGATTCCTGAGGCTTATAATCAAATTCATATAGGTATCCGTCGTCGGCAGCCATGAAGATTCGGCCAGTCTTAGTACCACACATCCGCAACATTTTCAAATTGTCTGAAGGAACCGATATGTCGGTTTGATAGAAAGAAATATTTCCATCTTCCATGTTGACTGACACTCCAATAGTAATGATTTCTTTTGCATTTGCAATCACCAATACATGCGTAACTTCGGGTACGAAAATTCCAGGTTTGGCGATGGTGAGAGCGACGCTAATGATGGGTCCGTTCACATCTTCATACAGCTGCAGATCCAATCTATCCACACGTAAAGGAAATTAGATGGGTTGCAAGTTCATTATGTTATTCTGAAAACTGAAAGCGTCTACTGACCCGTCTACATATTTCCACAAGTATAGCTTGTTTTGTACAACGCACCAGCTTCGCTTGATCTCTGTAAATATTCCAATGACATTATCATTTGCCGCTGGAGAGGAGACAAGTAATCGTAAATAGCTGTTATCCAATAAGCTTGAACAAAAACATGTAGAAACCGACCTTCCAGTTCCTTTGATAACTCTTCAGGCAATTTGTGCTGGCTTTTGATATAGAATGTCTGTCGAGATTTGCCGTCTGAAATCTTATAATGTGTGGAAGAAGTGCCTGAAAGTGCAAAGTATTGGTATGGTATCCATTCGATTTAGTAAAGTGGGTCTTCAAAGCCTTTGTTAGCATTGTCGTTAATAGATCACCTTTCAGTAAATCGACAACGTCAGGCGTCTTTAAGTCGTTATAGGATTGAGCTTCTAAAAAGGCTGCTGCAGAAGACAATGAGTTGAAAATATGTTCATCCTCGGTGGGCTTCACCAACTCGTTAGGCTCCATGACAGTGTTCTTGTGTAGTTGCCCGCGAAGATTTATGTCGCTGAGGAAAAACCTGTGTATAACCACGCGTGCCTTAAGAAAAAATGCCTGATGAAAAGACGTCACACGGACGATTTCAAGCGATTTCACTCAGCCAAGGCCGAAAACCACACTCAGCTCATGTCATAGCAATGGCTCCTAATCCTACATCTGGGTGGATACAACTACAAGTACGCTAGAAAAAACTAATTTGCTTTGTATTGTGCGCATTGCATGCTAATTAACTCACCAATATCAACAGGATCGCTTTTACAGGTTGGTGACTGAAGTTATCCGCTATCGTGCTATGTTCGAGTGTTAAGCGTGTATTATTGCGTTTCCCCGCTAGGAAAGTAGAAGTGTACTCACTACTATGGAAGCAGATTGAGCTTTCGAAATTCATTATCGCTGGAGCGCAATATGGTGGTCCCATTGGTAAGAGATAATACGAATGGAGGCGGTGCCTTGAACATCACATGGAATAGCTAACACGCAGATATCAGCCATGATACGTGACGACAAAAAGGTGTTATTGCTACAAAACCAACAGCCCATAAAACCCATTATATACATATATAGCTCTGCAGGAAAGCTTCTACAGCAGATTCAGGTATATGTTATGTTTGTCATGTTGAACTGTATCAATGTCGACGTCTGACCTCCGCTTCAGTGGGATAAGGGACGAATAGTCGCTATGGGATGGACAGAGCAAGAGCAGCTAGTTGTTGCTATGGAAGAAGGAACGATCAGAATGTATAATCTCGACGGCGAATATACTCAATTTACCCTAGGAAAGGTAAAGTATCCGTTTGCTGTCTGCAATTCTTGGTAAGTCTGGACTAAACGGTACCTATAGGAAGCGAAAGAGCATGGCGTCACAGATTGTCAGATATGGGGTAACGGTCTCGTTGCAATGACTGGAAACTACCAGCTCATATCTGTTACCAATTTTGAGGAACCAAGACCAAAACAGTTGGCGGATCCAGGTAAAAGGCAGTTGGATGTAGATATCTACCTAAACTTGGTTTACTCATATTCATTCATAGGAATTTCCGAACCTCCACACTGTTGGACCGTCATTTTACCACAGTATACCCTCAGCAGACATGTTGAAGTTTTGATTGCAACAGCAGCCACTATCATAGTTGTGGATGGTCAGGACGCAGTAGATCAGGTACGCAGTCAGTTGGAACATTACCAAATGTCATAAATGCGTCGCGGATTATTGATTGTATTTTCATTTCAGCGCTTGCAAGGACCATTCACGAAGATGGCTGTCTCTCCAAACGGAAAGTTCCTGGCTTTATTTACATCAGAAGGAAAGCTTTGGGTAGTGTCCACAGATTTCCAAAAGAATCTATCAGAATTTGCCACAAAATCGGGTATTCCACCCCAACAACTTGCATGGTAGGCATTTTTCATTCAAAGAAAGTTTAAAAACGTATTCTAAACGGTTTATAGGTGCGGAACCGATTCTGTTGTGCTATACTGGGAGCTTTCTACTAGTAAAATAGTGCTGATGATTGGGCCATTCGGCGACTGGATCAAACTCTCTTATGATGATGCCATTTATTTGATCCCAGAGATTGATGGTGTCAGAGTCATCACCGCGGACAAGTGCGAGTTTTTACAAAAAGTTCCAAGTTAGTAATTGTGTCACAGTTGAGAGTGTACCATTTTTCATGTAGTGTTGACCACACAATTGTTATGTACAGGCCCAACAGAAGAAATTTTCGCGATTGGATCTACTTCTGCATCGGCAATGCTGTACGACGCCCTTGATCACTTCGAGGTATGCTATAAAGCTAACCTAGTACAATATCGGCTGAATTTCGCTCTAACTCCAATTTAATAGCGGAAGAGCCCGAAAGCAGACGATAACATTCGCGGTATTCGTGCTGAGTTAGGAGATGCGGTTGACAACTGTATTGAAGCGGCTGGACATGAATTTTCAGAACATTACCAACGGCTATTGCTGAAGGCAAGTTATGGTTAAGGGTTGTGTGTGGATTTGGATCAGTAATCTAACATGAGCGTACTATAGGCTGCAGCTTTCGGAAAATGCTTCCTGGATAGCTATAATGCGGAACAATTTGTAAACATGGCGCAAAATTTGCGAGTTATGAACGCTGTGCGATACTATGATATTGGTATTCCCATCACTTATGCTCAGTAAGTCGTTTTGTAACATTTGACTGCCATATTCATGTATTGGTGCTTAACGAGATTACTCAGATACCAGCGACTGACTCCAGAGTCACTGATTGATCGCCTCATTAACCGCAACCACCATCTGCTTGCTATGCGCATTGCATCATATTTGAAAATTCGAACAGATCGCATTCTTATCCACTGGGCCTGTGCCAAAGTAAGCGACTGACCTTTGATGATATTTAACTGCATTTTGAGAGTGCTTAAGCTTATTCGACTTCATCGATTTAAACTTAGATTAAAGCGTCGACGGAAGATGAAGAAACAATCTGCCGAGCCATCGTCGATAAGTTATCTCTAAATGCCAGCTTGTCATATGCCGAGATTGCAAAGACAGCCTACAAAGCTGGTCAGCCTCGACTAGCTACAAGGGTGAGTGGAATAGTACCTTGTTTTTCAGTCATATATGGCCTCGAAGTACTCAATGACTCTTATAGCTTTTGGACTATGAACCAAGGGCGGCTGATCAAGTGCCGCTATTGATTTCAATGCAAGAGGACGAATTATCGCTAGTGAAAGCGATCGAAAGTGGCGACACTGATTTAGGTAAGCTGGCGGTTAGGTAATGATAATCGACGAATGAGGCTCTAACTTGCATATTTTCGCCTGAAGTCTACCTGGTTATTTTCCACCTGAAGCGTAAACTGCCGCTGGGAGAATTTTTCCGCTTGGTCAATAACAAACCATTAGCTTGTAACCTTTTGCAAGTATACTGCAAAGAGCAAGATAGGGAATTGTTGAAGGATTTTTATTATCAAGATGACCGGCGAATAGAAAGTGCAAACCTGTCGTTAGAAGAAAGCTTTGGAGAGACGGTATGTTACTAGAAACGAATCGTGGCTCAATGCTGACTGCTAACCTCCAGTCTTGGTCAAAGGACATTGTTGAAAGAATTAGCAAATTGAGGATTGCACTGAAATTATACCAGGACGACCGTAATCATACATTCGAAGCAAAGGTACGCAGATGAAACTGTCAAACGAAAGCAGAATGCCCCAGTTTGCTAACTAGGTATGAACATGTTCTCTCACAGATGGTCGAAGACTCCATCAAAGTACTTCAACTTCAAACACAGCTGGAAAAAGATTTGAAAGAGTCGTTCGTAGGCTTGTCAATCAGTCAGACAATTCACAAGTGTATAATTCTCGGACAAAGCAGCAAAGCAGCTAAAATTAAGACCGATTTCAAAGTAACAGAAAAGAGGTGAGTGCGATTTATGTTTACCATGTTGCAGGAAGATGCTGAACCAGCGGCTCGAATCAGATTCTGGTGGATCAAATTGCAAGGTTTAGTTGAAACTCGAGACTGGGAGGAGCTTGAGAAGTTTGCAAAGTCTAAAAAATCCCCCATTGGATACGAGGTATGAGAGAAGCAGATTCCGTCTTGCAGTACGAGTGTTCCAACTAAGCAATCTCCCTTGTTAGCCATTTGTGCAAGAGTGCATTAAAATGAGACAATTCCAAGAAGCTTCCAAATACATCATGAAATGTGAGCCTGCTGCCAGACCAATGCTGTTCGTCAAAATTGGCGCCTTCAGAGAAGCGGCGGAACAAGCATTTACCAATAAAGATATGGCCACCTTACGGTAAGTAACTTTTCACCAGTTGAAAGATCCGTGATTAATCCTGTCTAATGGCTTAAAATACTGTAGGGAGGTGCGAGCAAAGTGCCCTAATAGCGTTGTTGGCCAGGAAGTCGATAATTTGATTATACAACTTGACACCAAGTAAAATCTAGTCTTGGATTTTAATATATAACTTTTACATCATACCATATATCTTTACGATATGCCCACAAGGCGTGCTTGGTACACATTTGAGTTAAGGAAGACGGACTACTGGCCAGGTTTCAATGTTCGAGGGCAGAATTGGTGTTCTGTCCACCTCCCTTGCTGAGTTTAACATTTACTTTCGTCATCAGCATTCAAACGGGGTAAAAGCATGTTGACACTAGGAGTAAGAGAAGTCAACCGTATAATATTTAGAAGGAGTGTGGGACTGTTATGAGCAAGGTCCAGTGGTGTAGATCAACTGGATTTTTCGAGAAGCGACCCTGAAGTCTGATTCCAATTTCCGCTGGTGCTGGTGCACGGCCCATTTGCCGCTCAGCAACTTATTCCCAAATTGGCACACACCGAGGTTTCTCTTTGTTGTTGTTATTGATCATGTCAGGCAATGATGTCTTGGCAACATTAATGCTAACCGGCATCGCTCTACTCATACTCTCGACTATTCTAACTTCAAGAGCAACTAGAATTCAGTCTGTTACTTTCAAACTACCATCTGGTTCATGGTTTGCACGCCTACCAACGGACATTCTAGCAATAACGGGCGGTAATGCAGCGCGATCGGTTTCAAGGAAAGCTTGGAAGTTGTTTAAAAAACCAACGGTACGCTATTCTTACTGCTTTGGTATACCTAGAGAGAATACTTATGTGAATTGTTTGAAGAATATTCTGTCGACGTCCTTGCCTCAAGCTGAAGAATCTGCCTTTGAGGAACATTTCAAATACATCATAGCATCGAGCTGTATACTTCGAGAAGTCTCTCGTACACAAATTGGGCAGCTTTCGGACGGGCAGAAAGTTGAATCGAAGTATGGTTACAAGGTACCCAAGCAAAATCGGTACATCTCTACAAGCGTTGTGCTGTTTCCCATCGTCTTGGCGGTCATCCTAAGGCAGGCGGGAAATGCAGTGCCATCATTGAAAATGATCCCAGTGACTACAACACTTTTGATTATGTCTGCTACTTGTGCTTTTTCTTGGTATCGACACATTGTAGGTTACTTGTAGTTTGGCAGGTGCTAGGGTTTACCAATTTTCAATACTCATGGGAATTCTTCCATCTTTTCACAGAGACATGTGGCTATTCGTAATCATTACGCTGCCGCCATTTCTCGGCTGGAGCAACTGTCTAGCAGTGCATATGAGTTTGATTCTCAAATACTGTCAATGATGCAAGGATTTACGGATGAAAAATCAGGCGATGGTAACATGACAGAGGTCAATAGTTCAAGTGATGCTGAACAGCACAATAGCATTTCTGCCCTAGTGGCAATTTTGCGGCAGTACTACGATCAATATCAAAATTTTATGAACCAACTGTCTCCTTACGTTGATCAAGCCCACAAATATCGCCTTTCTGATATGTACAACATCGACCCCACGGTACAAGCTGGACTGACTGAAGAGGATGAACCAATGACTGTAGAGAATCTTGAAAAGCTGTTGCAGAAATTCCACTGCAAGCGCCGTGATTGTATGATCCAACTTTTAGCTTTGGACATCATGACGGAGGAAAATGATTCTATCAGAAACGACTATGAAAGAACTTGGGCTGTATTGAACGTATGGCTGAAGGATATGTTACAAGTTACACAATCCAATATCAAGAAGGTCACTCAAATTCCTTACTCGAAGCCAGGTGAGTTTGTTGCATAACTCAGAGTCGTACTTTCTTCATCTGAATCTAACCTTTCAAATTGCATGACATCAGTTTCCCCGGTGCTACCAAACCAGCCTCTTGGTATAAACAGTCAATTTTTGCTCAAACAATTGTCCATGCTGGACAGAGACATGCGACGAGTGAGAGAAAAGATGCACATATGCCAAACTGAGATACGAGCTGGCTCACTAAGTCCTCAACGTAAGAAAGTTACATCCTACGTAGTTATCATCTAAAAAAAGTCTAACCTTGACAATTTGCAGGAAGCAAAACCAAGTTGGTCAAGCAATTCGAGTCCATTTCAAACGACATCGAGCATATTGTTCGGGAATGGTCTGAAGGAAAGGAGGCATTAATGAAAGATGTTAGATTAACCACATCTTCAAACCTTTTGGAAGGAGAAGTCAATGAGCTACCGTCGCCACCTAGTTCGCCGCTGTTTCCAAATTACTCTGATCTCATGGTACCCTCCCGACAAATCCGCAGTGTACTCTCCGATAATCAATAATACGCTAGAATCTAATGGTAACATTTACAACTTGGTGATACGAAGATCCGAGTTTATTTCATAATCATATATACCACTGCATATATTTATCGTCCATATACCGATGCTTGAGTTCATGACGAATGTACAGTATAATAAACATCTTCCTTCTTAACTTAAAACATATCGAGTATGCTGGGTTGGTAATAAGAACATAATCTGGTTCTAGCGCTCTCTAGGTCAGATTGAAAATCCACTGTTTATCTTCAGGCACTGATGGTGTGATCGTAGTCAATAGTAGGCATGACAGATGACATGAATTTGAGAAATATGATCAGGTATCTATGGTTTGCAATTTTAAGTATATTAGTAAGTGGACAGTTGGTTAGAAGTACTCTAGTGCGCTACTTACTGGTCAACACGCAGGTCATTCTCTGGGTCTTTTGCTGACTGAGCCATTCGTTCGATGATTTTCTTCATAACATCAGCATGTTTACATGGGTGAATGGAAGCTAAACTAATGTTCAAATGGGGATGTGCTTCGATAGTAACCGTTTTCTTGACGTAGTCCGAGGACACATCTTCAAATACTTGTTTGGACATGAGTGGCCGGCGTTGCTGTTAAGGAATAGGGCAAATTAGATGCTAACAAACTATGTTAAGGACAATATAGCTTGTAGCAACATATATCTACCTCATCATATCCGAAAAGATATAGTCGTGGGGTTTGGTAATACTTGTCATAGGTAATGAAGACATCATACGTTCGCACCTGAAGAATTTTGCTTCAAAAAAATGTGTGCTGTAAGTACAACCGCCTAGGACATCATCAATTGTAGGAGACCAGGCAACTCACCTCTCTTCGCTAGTTGATGGCAAATCCTTGCTGGGTTCAACACTAGTTGTAGTCAGTGCAGCTGGATCCTCCTCTTCTTCATAAAGGTCGTCTTCCATGTCCGGAATATCGTCTATATCTGGAATGCTATCTGGGTCTATTTCCAGATCCTCGTCCTTTTCAGCTTGAGTACGGTTGTCTTCAATGCTTAATGCGCCGATAGGAGGCAAATCAGGTATTTCCTCAGTATCAACGATATTATGAGCAATCTCGTCGATAGTCTTGTACACTGACAAAGGAAAATGATATAAGTTCCTGTAACCTGTCTCACAGTACAGCTACTTATAACACAAACCTCTATCGCTATGTGTATACATCCATCCGTCATCATTGTTGTCATCACCTTCGTCTTTGATCTCCGTCTCTTTATCATCTTCTGTGTATTCCATTTGTTTTGCTCGTCGAAGACATGGAACTACATCAAACAGCATTAGACCTTATCACCTCTCATGTACTATTCCTCATTTCTAATCTTACCATTTCTCGTTATCAAAAATTGTTTGTCGGCGGGAAGATAGTCTCTTCGCTTACTTGGATCACCACCCTCCCTATTAGAAATCACAATGATCAGCACCAATCCTACCATGCAATTGGTTACTGTCTGTAATAAAAGTACTTACCATGACCAAGTTGGGCACTTGTAAACTAAAAAGTCTCCTGCAGCAACGAACTGTTCAAAGAAACGGTATTGAGTTAGCCAGTGTCAGTCGGACCGTCAACTTGTTATCAACTCCACATAATTGCTCCACAGCAGGCGGAAGGTGGCACGCGGACAATGACTGTTGGCTATGATAAGACGAATTGTTGTCGTAGGAAGCCAAGCTGATGTAATCGGCGTAATGACAAACAGGATTCACCTACCTCTTCAGGGGTAATGCAGCCGGTTTCTTTGAATTTACTATTCTTCAGCACAGGAGCGAGGTATTCTCTGACAGAGGAGAATCTCGAATAAAAGTTGTTATACACGTCTTGCACAGACATTGGCCTTTAGTAATGGTCAAAGTAAAAAGTAAGTTGTAGGCAAGGAGCGAGGTGTGAGTGGTTTGGCTTGCTGTGACCGCGTGATCGAGCTGACCAAATGCTGAGCGACATTGTGACAGCGTTGCGTCAAAAAAAAAAAAATTGAGTGGCATTGTCGTGCCGATTTATTGCCATACAAATTTCAAGAATATGTGAGATTTCGCAAGATAAAATAGTGTAATATATGAGAAAAAAAGTTGGGAGATAGTGAAGCTTCTAATGTCTACGGTATACACAAAGTGTATATAAGAATAATGCGAATTGAATGAATTGGAATCAGAAATTTAGAGAGCATCATCACCACGAAGCACAGGGTTTGTCTTTGCCTCTTCCATGATTTCCGTCGAATAAGGAGTGACCACTGTAGGGTTTTGCTCACCAGCAACATAAGGTGGGATGTTACCAATGACTAGTTGATGCGAAAGCGTGTTTGTCAAAAACTATGGGCAGAGTTATGTTCATGGAAAAGACACTTACTTGCGGAGGGCACGCAGCCACCAGGCATGTGAGAGCATTCACATTCGCCACCTAAAAACTTTGGAAGGTTTTCAGCAGAAATATGGTTTAAAAGAGGTTCTTTAAAGTCCTTCCCCAATATTTGTATTTTAGCAATGGTCTATGTTGATGGACACATTAGTATATTACGGCGTTTTCATGCGCACATGCTCTCGGAAAGAAATACTTACTCCTGGATCCAACCATCCCTTCACCATTCTCCATACTATAACAAAAGCAGATGGAGCGTTTACAATAAAGAGCTTGTTCATGGTTTCTGGATAATATTTTTGATCATTTTCAGAAATGGCTCGCAGGTATTGAAGTGCTGGCGTATGGAACTCTGCAAAAACAAACGTGTTACTTCTGTTTGCTTATACAGGGTCATTGGATCAAAGCTACTTGTAAAGCAACGTACGATGCCATCCCATGCCGGTGCAATCGAAGATGACTGTTTCTCTGTTAATGAACTTTCCAGCCTTCTTGGAGCAATCCTTGTCTATGTGTCTGTGCAAAAACTCATTGCATCCGATGTGATATTCAAGAACTTCTTCCACGGTGGTGAATTTGGCGATTTCTTTGGCTGCATGGTATCCCTGCAAGCAAAATATTAGCCAGCTGATCCCTGCAAATATAAAAAATTATACACATTCTCTTACTAGGCGCTCAATGTATACAGGACATCCATCCTTGTCGGTTTTGTGCAGACAACTGCCTCCCATATATGAGGCAATCCTCAAAACGCTCTCCGATAGACCGGGAGCGGCTGTTAAGTTGGCATCTTCGATGTCAAAGCCACGGACAGCATAAAGAACAGGGAGTTTGTTATCTTTGGTAGCGACTGGATATAGATCGACGTCATTTTCCGTCCTCCATTTTACCGTGTCGGTAAGTTGCTTTACAGCTTGTTCCTGTCCAGGACCAATCGAAGTCAACATGTGGTTAGTCCATTTGCGGTAAAGCGCGGAGTGTCAAACCGACAAGCCCACCCAGGATTCAGGGTTTTATATTGCAGGCACTGTAGCGATCATGAAACGTATCAACTTACCACGTTCCAGCTTCGTGCGATTAGGAACTGAAGCAAGGTCTTGACATAGTGTAAAATGGTGTTATTCATGAGATTTTCTTTTTAATTTCCGTCTTAGATGCAATGCCATTCCTAGTTATTTGACATTCGTTAGCCTTGTACATACCTCATCACTATACCGCTCATTAGTTTTTTCGTCCAAGGCTTCTCGAAAGCTATTAATGGCTTCAATTTCTTTGCTAGAATCAGCCATAAGTGTTGTGCTCTGGTAGAACAAGTGCTCGATAAACATTTGTACTGTCTGACTCGGGACATCACTTCTCCGAGTCACGTGTTTGATATGGAACTGGCTATATTGATCAGAAAGTTTATTCTTTCAGTACTACGTTGTCTGTGAGCAGAAATGCTGCAGCCATAGAAGAACATGTTCATAGATACATTATATCTAACATCAGCGTATAGGTTCTAGTGATTAAATTATACTCAGCAGCTGTTTCTGGCGCAGAGGGCGATTTTCATGTCTTTTCTGTCGTGACTGCTATTGCAATTACTTGCTGTTCAAAAAGATTTTTTTTTTTTCAACCGCTGAATCTCGAGTGTGAGGAGTAGCTACCAGAATCTGCATCAACACCCAACAAAATGCCTAGACCAGCAACGAGAGCTTCTACGAGATCAAGTGCAGCAAAGAGTGCTCCTGTTAAAGCAGAAAAGGCTAAACCACAAAACGCTCCAGCAGCAAAGCGTAAAGCCGCTGCAGCACCTGCTAAGGTTGTCAAAAAGGCAAAGGCACAAAAAGTAGTGGAGAAGGTCGAGGAATTAGAAGACGCTGAGCAAGAAGAATCTGCATTTGCAAAGGAAGTCGATACCATATCTGACGACGAGGACAGCAGTGCTGACGAACACGATTTGGAAAACGACGAAAAAGCGATCCAGAAGGATCAAACTGCAGAAGAAGCTACCGAAGCTGATGAGGCGCCCGATCATGAAATTTTGGCAGGAATAGACAGCAGCGATGATGATGATGATAGTTCTGATGAGGAAGGCAAAGAAGACACTTTCCAGTCAGGCAAGGATGTTATCTCATTGGGCAGCAAGAAGGACAAGGAATTGAAGACCAAGACAGCCTCTGTTCAGAAGGTATGACTTTGTATCATGATGGAATATGTAACTTAAGACGACTCGACTAATAATGGTACATTTCGATAGGCTTCGTCAGATAAACCTGGTGTCATTTATTTGGGACGTATACCACACGGTTTCTACGAGGAACAGATGCAAGCATATTTCTCACAGTTTGGAGATGTCACTCGCCTGCGTATGTCACGTAACCGAAAGACTGGAAAATCAAAGCATTTCGCGTTCATTGAATTCAACTCTGCCGACGTTGCTGTGATCGTTGCTGAGACGATGAACAACTACCTTTTGTACGGACATCTCCTCAAGTGCGAAGTCGTCCCAGAAGAGAAGTTGCACCCTAAGCTTTGGAACGGAGCAAATAGAAAATTCAAGGCCATTCCTTGGGCCAAGGTTGCTCGTGAACAACAAAACAAGCCCAAAACTCACGACCAACGTGAAAAGCTTGTCAAGAAGTTGTTGACGAAAGATCAGAAGAAAAGAGAAAAATTGGCTGAAATGGGAATCGAGTACGATTTCTCAGGATACGAGGCTGAAGTCAAGCCCACGGCCACCCATGTTAAATTTTAATTCACGCATTTTACAATTTTCCTTACATAAAATCGTTTGTTTTGCATAGTACGATGATTAGAGACTTTGTATGTATCAAGACTATGATGATAACAGTGGCTTAAGAGCTTGTCGGTTGTAGTTCTCGTTATGAGTGACCAGTTGCTGAAAATGTTCAATTCCAAAAGCTAGCGCCATTACGTCTGCTTTTTCTTTATCCAGTTTTGGACTCTCACCATCCGCGAAAAACTGACAGCTGTAATTGCAAGCTGCGACGAGGCCGTCCGTCAAATTTATAAGTTGGATTAGAATTCAATTCACTCCATCTTTCACAGAAAGGTAGTATGACCTTTCGCTAAAATGGTTGGGTAAACAAAGTAACATAAAAGATAGAAGAAAATTGGTATACCCAATTGGGTTCCAGTATTGAAACCTATCCTACTCGTTTCAGGTCAACAATGTAACATGTGTAAAAGGTATTGAGGATTATGCTGCATTGCTGCAGTTTATCGAATTGAAGAGACTGAGATATTACCAATATTTATTTTACCATAAACTGTGAAGAGTGTGACATATCAGATTTTTTTTGGTAGTTAAGGAGGTTTTTAATTGACGGCATCTCATATCGTATACACTTCGGCAGTCAAAAGAGGATTGCCGCTCTGTAATCAGCAGCACAGTGCGTTCTTAACAAAGTTTCCATAAAAGGAATTCTTGTTAAAAATTGCTTCTTTTTTTTATACAGTCTTTCGAAATGCTGCGCTTCGAATGTGGCAAAGTTAGTGCACAGATCTTCGAACGAGCAGCGGAAACTGTCAGCCTCGACCACAGCGACGAGTTCGGATTTCAAGGCTCGTCACAACCGAAAAGATCGCACGCCAACATGCCTCAGAATAGGGCGAAGAGAATCAAATTGGAACCGACGCACGACGATTACATTGCAATCGATTCAGCAACTTCCATCGCAATGAAAGTGGAATTCAAATTTGAATTGGATCGACCAATTAAAAATCAGAGCACATTGCGTTCCATTGCTCGAATGGCTGACTCCCTCGTTGTCAACTTCACTCATCGCAAGGCATTGCAATACAAATGGGCTAAAATATCAGTCCTTTGGTTCAAAGACATTCTCCTAGAGCATGAGGTTGCTATGCCTCGGGCGCTGCAAGAGCATAAAGAAGCTCGCGCATTTTGGGCTCTTGCTCAAGGCTGCACTGCGTTTCAAATAGACATCTCCATAGAAGCCCTACAATATACAAACTCAGATAGCATCACTGCAACCTTCAATCTTGTGCTCAAGGAGAACTGCCCAGATGAGATAGCATATTCATTATTACAGTATGCATTTCTATCTCCACCTGCACCACTTCACTACACGCTGGAGGAATTTTACAAGCACTTGCAACCACCAGTATCGCAACACATTGCCTGGTCATATATTTCATCCGACCTTCGACCGCAGCTTCTGCCATTTCAATCTCAGAACGTTCAATGGCTGGTAAGTTTGCACGGACTAAATTTTTTAAGGAACAATAGGTTTAACATCACCAAACTCTAGTTATATCGAGAAGGCCATTATGTTAACGATAATGGACAAGTCACTCCTGTTGAAGTTGAATATTCAGAAACGGAAGCCTTTATATGGGAGAAGATCCAATTAAATGAACAAGAAATATACATAAATCGTGCTAGTGAGCAAGTCTCAGTAGGCGTCAACAGCGATCTCCAATATGCAAGGACCCTTATACATAGAGGAGGGATACTCTCGGATGAGATGGGTTTAGGAAAAACAGTAAGGTGCGTCCATATCTATGCACTTTAAAAACGAATACTTTGATGGCTACTAACAGGCGCTACCTACAGCATGCTGGCATTGATACTGTTACACAAGCGCAAGTTTCCACCGGCAAAAGATGAGAACGGTCTTATACAGTCTGGCGCAACCCTTATCATTACACCATCTACGATATCTCACCAGTGGGAAGCTGAAATAAGACTACATGCGCCAACCTTATCATATACCTACTATCAAGGCATCAAGGACAAATCTGAAAGGCAAACAACACCAGAAAAGTTGGCCAGCTTTGACATTGTGTTGACGAACTACGAGGTAAGTGAAAGCTCGTGTGCGCAAAATCTTAATTTTGATATTTATGTATCTATAACTTATAAAAAAGGTACTCAGTCGAGAAATATGGTATGCAAGAGACCATAATGAACGATCTAGGCGAAGTGGTATGTAGGGCTGTTTGAAAATTTTGGAAGACATTGTGCAAAATCCTTTAACACATTGACCCACAATAGAACCAAAATACCCACCTCGCAAAAGCCCACTGGTCAAAATTAAATGGTGGAGATGCCTTTTAGACGAAGTAAGTAGACATTTTTAACGTATCGATCATATGCCATCAAAATTTAAATAGTCATACTGGATCACAAATAGGCACAGATGGTCGAGTCGACTGTGGCTGCCACTGCTGAAATGGCCCGCTTGATACCACGTCACTATTCTTGGGCAGTAACTGGAACTCCCATGTCGACTGGTTACAATGACTTGTATGGCCTTTTCTTATTTTTAGGGATCATTCCGTCTTGCGCCACCCCTGCATCATTCACAGCATTGTACCGAAACCCAGATCTTTTTTACCAATTCCTCGATTTGACTGCGCGAGTTATCAGAAGGAATGCGAAGAAGAAAGTTCAAGATCAAGTCATCATTCCTATACAAAGGAGAAAAGTGGTTCACATTTCATTTTCGCAGTTTGAGCAGCACTACTATGACGATTTGTGGTCGCAGTGCTGTCGCTCTACAGATTTGGAATGGTTAGAGGCTAATAATTGGGGAGAAGGAGAAAATTTGTCGACGGTACAGAAGTCAAGGATAAACCAGATGATGGCGGAACTTCGTAACTGGGTAAGTTAGATACCACCTGATAGAACAAAAATAACAAATTCTGCGCTAAATAGTCACACCCATGAAGCTGTTGACTCTCAGACAAACGTGTGTTCACCCTGGTGTTGGTATAAGGAACCAAAGACAGCTAGGTTCAGTGGTGCATACCTTACCCGAAGGTGAGATTCCCTTGTGGATTAAAGCCATACTTTACAGCATACTTACGCTTTACTTAGTTCTGGAGGTCATGATAAACCAATCCAAAGATAAAATCAAGGAGGCAGAATCCGGTTACAGTGCTACCTGTCTTCGACATGCTGGTATGCATGAAATCTTAGAAGAGTGGCAGCTCGCCTTAAACATCTACTTGGATGGAGTCAAGTTCAACGAGTCCAGAGTGGACGAAGCTCGGAAAGAAGTCGAAGATGCAAAGGTTGAAGCTGCTGAGGAACGCATTGCTGATGGGAGTGCTCCAGTTCCAGAAATTGAAGTTAAAAGCGCTGATTCAGAAAAGAAACAGAATGCGCTTTCCATTGCAAGAAACCGTCTTTCAAACTGCCTTCTTTTATTGCATCGCTTTCTCTTCTACGCAGCTGGAATGTATCACGAATTGAAAGATGAAGACAACGAGGCCAAACTCTACGACAGAGCTGAAGAGATCAGACGGGAACTTTTACGCCAGTCCCAAAACAAGGTGGGTGGTTATATGGCAGCAGCAATTTCACTAGTGGAACCATGAAAACTAATCTACACTACAGTTCAAATCTATTACTCAAGAGCTTGACGAAGGCTTCAAGGCCATTTTAAGCCACAAGGCACTTGAATTTCAGGTCAGCGAACACAACACAGGAATACTTTCTTGGCAGATTCTTGAAGACATAGAGGATGTTGCGGAAAAACTAGATGCTCAAATGAATCTGATTGTTGATTGGAGACAAAAAATTTATGAATATTTAACGTTGAGCTTAGAAACTGAAGATGAGGCGAAAGGTAATGTTCCTGGATGATATTGCTTGTAAGGCGATATTCCATGACTAATCGCTTACATGACTAATCGTCACTTAGGTGATGAGTTCGAGACATCCTTGGTTGTGCAAGAGGTAATGAATTACTTATATGATTTTGTTTCCTTTTACCTGATACCCATCGCTAACACTTTTATGCAAAGTCCGGTATGATCTACCTAGATACATACCAGTTGCTTTTGAAGGATCATGATTTTTATTTAACTGGTAATATACTCTCTGATTTGTCGGGCTGTGATGATTTTTCTAATACAACACTCTTTAGGATCTTGGAACGCGTTGTATTTGAACGATAATGTTAACAAGCCGGAAAGAGAAATAGATGAAAGCACCAGGACGGAGGTAGTTACTTGTCAATCGTTAAGGTGCTATTAACGAAGGCGCTTAGACTAATCAATATCTACATAGGAACTGGACAAACTAGAATCAGATCTTAAGGCCGAAAGAGCAGAATTAGCAGCTAAAACTGCAGCTGAGAACAACATTCGAGTTTTACAGAATGCTCTGCGAGACGCTGGGCAGCGATCATACGTCAACGCGGAAGAATCGGCCATTTTGAAGCTGGTGGTTAATCAACTTCGCAAAGAGACTGAAAGACACAAGACAATACTTGAAAAATTAGAGAAGTAAGGTGCTTCCAAAAATTGTACCATTACAATCACTAGCTCAAAATGACTCTTCTATTTTGGTTTTAGTGAGGCAAGGAAATTTTCTCAGTTGTACAATGCTCGTATCGAATACTACCGAGCACTACAGCATATTTCTGATCAAGTCAAGGTAGGGAATTTATAGTTGCTAATATCAGTTTCTACGAGAGCCCAACATGAGCTAAGCTTGCAAGTTTAGGCATGGGAAAGTAAAGACCCAAAAGCAGAAATTGAAGAGTTGAAGGAACAGGAAAGAAAATATCAACGCGAAGCTGCCGCCCAAACGGCGCGTTCTCGATATCTGACCAATCTAAGCAAAGAAGAGACGCAGTCTGATACCAATGAGACTCACCGAGAATTTGACAACTGTCTCATTTGCCAAAGTGAATTCGATAGAGGTATCATTACGTACTGGTAAGCTTTTCGAATATTAACTGCATGGTTAAAGAGCATTTGTTAACATTATACTCTAACACGATGAATTAGTGCGCACATGGTAAGAAATTTGATAGGTAAAAGTCTATTTGAAAACAGCTGACTGACCAGATGTACAGTTCTGTGAAGATTGTGCCAATCGCTGGTTTGAAAGTAGTCGCCGATGCCCAACTTGTAGTGCGACGGTGGAGAAAAAACAATGGTGGACAGTTGGTAAGTCGATATCCGTACTGAACTTCATATGAAGTAAGGTCTTTTTTAACATGGTTGGCTATTCAGCATGGAACAAACCGATGACGGCAGATACCACTATCGAACAGATTGAATACTCCGGCGACGCTGAAGAACTTTTACCTGCTTCAACGTTTTCCAATATTCTGTCCATTCCAATTAAAGGAGGTTTAGGTAAGCCAAATTGACGACGTACGACTTGTCGCACAAAAGCTTACCATTCTACTTTCAGGCGCCAAACTGGATACCATTATCAAGCATATCAAACACATCAAACAAACAGATGAGGAAGGAAAATGTGTCATTTTCTCTCAATGGAGAACCGTTCTTGATATTTTAGCTGGTGGTCTACGCCGCAACGACATTGGCTACGTTGAGTTTGGAAAAGCCAAAAATCAACAGCAGAGTGTTCTTCAATTCCGTAACGATCCTAATATCAGTGTTATCCTTTTGAATGCAAGAACACAATCCAGGTATGACAACGCAAATCTATCGTCCATAGATGTATGGAGTTACTGACTATTGTAACATAGCGGTTTGACCTTAGTAGCTGCGCAAACTGTGTTCATGGTGGAACCAGTCTTCAATGAAGCGCTGGAGCAGCAAGCCATTAGCCGTGTTGATCGAATTGGTCAGACAAAAGAGGTGGGTAAATCAAACAATAATAATTTGGATATATTGGGTCAACGACCATGCTAACGATGCCGACAGACTACCGTTTTTTGGTACATTGTTCGTGATACAATTGAGGAACGAGTGCATGAAATTCACAACGCCAAACGTCACTATAGAAATGAGCTCGTCAAAGAGGCCCAGGGGTCAGAAAGCAGTAAAAAACCCGAAGTACTACCTTTACATGCTACTCTGGACAAGCTGTCGGCTGGAGGAGGAGAAGTTGTATCTGATGAAGATCTTCACAACTGTTTCACGAAACACCACAGGCCATCTGAACAGGTACTTAATTAGCAATATCCTTAGATACTAGAGTTGTAATTTTCCCAAACGAAAGCACCACTCTTTCGTCCTATACTTTCATATCCGCCTCTTAGTAGTCAGAGTTTTCTGACCATACTTTAATAAAAGATTGGCAAATAAAAAGTGGCAGAAGGCTAAGGGTTCAAAGGTTGAGCTTCATAAAGTCTGTTCTAAAAAGGAACTTTTCTATCTTTTTAATGAAAGCACTGATTTATTTGAATTTTCTTCTTCTCCCTCCCTATTTTTTACTCATCTCTTCCTGTTTTCCCTCATAGTTTTTTCATCTATCAAAGTCACACTGCAAGTTTTACGATCAAGACAGTTATCCATGAGCGCTAATACACATGTCTTCAAATCGTTGACACAAGATACGTGAGCACTAATTTCTCAACACTGTCCTGCATCGCGCCTGTTTTTCGCTCATTCTTGTATGTATACCCAGACTTTTGCACTTCTATCATTATTAAAGAGTGTAGCAGCACTTGAAACGGTACGTCGAAGGATGGATTTCGACCAAAAAAAAATTGTGCGTTTTTGCGCGGGATGTGTTCTATGTAAAACGTTTTCATGACAAAAACATGCCATCTTCTGACTTACTGCCATTAACCAATCGCAGGTCAACTAGTTCCGAGTTTCTATGCACAAATTCAACCAAGCTAGCTCGAGAGCAATCTACTCAACAGACTTGATTTGTCTATTCAAAATACATCATACAGTCTCCTTGCCTTCATCAGAAAGTAGCTGTAATCATTTGTATTTGAGAATCTATGATATATCAAAATCCCAAGTGAATACCTATCAGAGCTGCAATGATTCGCCTAGTCCTTCAGAAACTCCGCAAGGTTAAACTCCAGTTTGCAACAAACTTTCGTCAACTTCAATCATGTATCCTGCAGTGATTTATGGAGGAAAAAAACCGAAAATACCTCAATCCTGTTCATTATTGATAAAGGTTTACGATGGAGAAGAAAAAATAGGATGTATGCGCAGTTCTGGGTGATTTGTCGTCAACTCTTCTTAGGTTACTGAACAGCGAAGAAACTGATTCTTCTTCTTGTCATCTTTCGATATTTTACAGCAAAAGACACTACAGTGTACAGCTCTCATTTGAGCTCTTTCTATATTAAATGAGCTTTGACACTCGAATGGCGTACAGTATCGTGCACGGTTTAGGTAGAAATGCTATCGAAATGACTTCAAGTCTTCAGACCGAAAGGACATAGAAGCTGTTCCTAACATAGCTCATAAATTGCATTTGTTCTTGCTATAACTCGTAGTAAACAAGCTATACTAATACATGATACTAGAAGTGTACTATTTCAATACGTTTATTTACATGAA